TTCCACCCCCCAATTCGAAGGGAATTTCCCTGGTTTCTCGGCAGGGAAACCCGGGAAAAGACTATCAAATGCTCTGTTGTCAAAGTCGCGGATCCTGGGTCCTGGATCAATGCCTTCGAGCGCAAATTTGAGCGTCAGTGTTTGACAATAAGTTGGGGCGTAAACCACCTACCTTCGTGCGGAGGTTTACGGAGTGGTGGCGGTCGATTCAAAGGCTTGTTCTGCACAGGCTGTGGACGTTCCCGTTGGGGATTTTGGTAGCTGGGTTGCTGATAGCCGTACGGTGAACCCCTCGATGGTTGCTGTTGATACCGTGCATCATATTGTCCATACTCATCCCACACGGGGTATCCTCCCTGGTCTCTATACTGATATCCATCGTAATCATCATAACCGTCGTTCTGAGAGCCGTAGTTGTTGTTGTATCCTCCTTGGGCATGGGCCTGCCATCCATTATTCGGCGGGGGCGGTGGTCGGTTAGAATATTGTCTTGGAGGAGGACGCTGAGGTGGAGGACGTTGGGGGTATGCCATCACTCGGATTTATAGGTTGTCTGCGCCAGCTAACCCTCCAAGGAGAGGGAAAATGCCGCTTTACTTGAGATGCAAATTTTCGAATTCTCCACGGTTGTGAGGCCACTTCTCAAGGCAAAAAAGATCTCAGTATCACGACGAACACAAGTGCAAAACAAATACAGTGGCCATACCAGAGAGGTTCTAGGTAACTACACAAGCCAAATAAACGATGGAATAGTCATCGAATCATGCGTATGGACGGGGTTTGGAGAATTTTGACAACTGGTACTGTGTCGCCTAGGGGACAGGCGACGGGTCTAGCCGCGATACGAAGTCGCCAGGCAGGCAGGGGCGGGTCGAGGTTCTGGTTCGAAAGGGAGATTAAAGAAGGCGGATGTAACTCAGCAGGCTGTTGGGTGCGGTGCGCCAATGGTCAACCCTGGTGTGGGATAATAAGTCCAATCGCGAGGCTCAAACGAGGGTGGACGATGGCAGGCTACCAATGGTCACGGATGGCGCTGTTGATGATGGACAGGCATCTGAAAATGGTGCCGGAAAATGGCAACAGAAAGAGTGAGGGAGACAAATGATGGATTGATGTTGATAGGAAATCGAAAAGGTCCCCATGAGACAGAGTGAGTAGCAGTGATGGAGTACGCCGGAGCGATCACAGAGCCAGTAAACCCTGCCCCGCACCCAAGCGGAGGCCTCCTTCACTAACGAGGAGCTTGGTTCTTATCAAGTCGGCCATCTCAGTCGACATCAATCGCTTTGCTTCAGCCAACAGCTGGATATTACTCTGGTGTGTTATTATGATTCCTGTTGCTGTTGAATCGTTGCTTGAGCCAGGATCAGGAGGAATAATGAGGCCAAATGCACACCGATGATCGAGCTGCCGGCCTTATACTGGGGCCCCTGAAAAGAAGCATTTTTGGCCTTGGGTCTCGCCATGGCTGGATTGATAAGCTCATATTCTCATCTCTGCTGCATCAGAGCCACCGACGCTGTTTTGCGAGAAGAAGAAGTGCGAATCCAGAGTAGTTTGAGGAAATTAATTACCCGTCCAGATAACTAGTTGATTAAGTAGCCGTTCCGGTAACTATCCACGGTTTGCCTAAGAGCTACAATCCTGCAGACACCAAATCTCAGGGATGAAAACTTAACGGCGTACGGAGTACAGAGGAGTGTAAATCCCCAGCACTCGGTGGTATATCTGCTTCCCTGCTGCAAAATCAGGTCACTTTTTCTCCCGGCGATTTTTCACCGGAAAAAAGCGAGTAGCGGGCACACGTGACAGGGTCCAAACACCTCAAACAAAATTCCCTCGATTCGAGTCTCTGACGAGCAACACCATCTTCTCCCTCGCTCTCCCGGCCCTCAATTCGCATCTGCTGCATGCCTCCTGCTCGTGCTGCGGGAGCGCCCTCAATTGCTCTCTGGCAGCCTCGCCGTTTCCCACATTCATGCCCAATCCGCGTCCATCCCTGTGAATCTCTGATCCTGCAGCCTTTCGTCTCGAGCAACCGGACTTACCGTGTTTGGTTTAGCGCTGGGCTCGATCCGCTTCTGGTACCTCATCTGTGCCCAGTCAGGACTTGCGGTTAGGAGCGAACGGCATCATCCAACTCCATTCCCCTCCAGCGACCTCCCTCGCTCTCCTCGCAGGAGAGCTCTGATCACCGTCTGAGAGAAGTTTTCTTCCTGCCTCCCACCCTCGACTGCAAGCGGGCTCGTTTTTTCGACCCGCCTGCCTCGTGAATTACCCGCCTCTACCCATCCGCCTGTGTTTCCTTCCCCCCCTCTATCCCACGACCGCTGGGACCTCTGCCGTTGGTCAGCGGTCGCTACGAGACGACGGCAACAAGACGCAGTGCCCTCCCGACAATGGAAACGCAGCACCCAGTCCTCATCGGCGATCCTGCCTCCATGACGCCTCCCGCAAGCGCCGACGGAGAGAAACCGTCCCCTTGTGCTGATTCCCCTCGTGGATCCGACATGGGACTCGATTCTGCCTCTGTCGACGACGATGACATCCAGCCAGATCACTATTACGGTGGTGGGAAGATTCCAGTATTCAGGCCAGTGAGTACTTGTCCTTGTGCCAGCGGCAAGCCCTCTCGACTCCAATTCGATGAAACAACAATCTTGACATTTTTAAAAAAATCTATCTGCTGCTTCCCCTTCTAAAGAGCTATCGGGACTAACAAACTACTTCGCTACTGAATAGAATATGGATCAATTCCGCGATTTTCAAGCTTTCATTCGTAAAGTTAATAAATACGGCATGAGATCCGGCGTGGTTAAGGTGATTCCACCTCAGGAATGGTAAGTGACATGAACACCTTCAGTTGATATCATGGAAGTCCGCGTCTCGCACCTCCCTACATGCCGATACACATATGGCCCCTCCGTTTGAAGGGACTACATGATTGCTCCTTTCATGCCTCGACTGTCCGACCCATTCATACTCTACCATCTCCTTGGAGGAACCAATGCCATGCCGTGACAACGGGCAAACTCTGGCTTTTCCCATCACTCTTTACTCGTCCCCTACCAGAGGATTCTTGCCCAGACTGTTTGCTAATGAGTAAACAGGTTGGATGCCCTTCCAGCGTTGGACGAGGCCGTCAGAACCATTCGTGTCAAAAATCCTATCATGCAGGAATTTCATGGCTCCCATGGAACCTATACGCAGGCGAATATTGGAAAACAACGGTCTTATAATCTTCCTCAATGGGAAGGCGTTGTGCGAGGAGACAAGCCATCAACCGCCGGCTCGCCGTGGTGAACGGCGGCGGGTTCAAGAAAAGCCTGCACGGGGCGGCACAAGAGGTCAGACCGCCAGGTCCGACTCACAAAAGCGCAAGCCTGGACCTGCCAATCCCAAACCTGTTGAGCCAGAGAAAATAGCTGACGGATTTGGCGAGAGGAAACTGGAGGGCCCACCCACGCCAGTATCCCCACAGTCCAATCCAGTGGAGCCAAAATCCGAGGAACTGAGCGATGGAGAGTCCTTACCGGCGCCAAAACCAAAAGGCAGACAGCCTAAATCCGTTACTGCACGACGCAAGTACAATCGCGGCGATGCAATGGATTTTGTCGATGAAGAAGCCTTCAAGGACTTTGATTACCACCTCTCTGGAAATGAAGATTACACCGCGGAGCGCTGTGAAGAACTAGAGACCGCCTACTGGAAATCCCTCATGTACAACAACCCCATGTACGGCGCAGATATGCCGGGATCCCTTTTTGATGACTCTGTGACTTCCTGGAATGTTGCCAAACTACCAAACCTGCTAGATATCCTTGGCCAGAAGGTCCCCGGAGTGAATACCGCGTATCTCTACCTGGGGATGTGGAAGGCCACATTTGCCTGGCATCTGGAGGATGTCGACCTTTACAGTATTAACTTTATCCATTTTGGTGCTCCGAAACAGTGGTATAGCATTTCTCAAGAGGATCTCCCTAGATTCGAAGCCGCCATGAAAAGTGAGTGTTCGCTTGACGGGCAATATAATCCCTGCTAATGGCCCTAGGTATTTGGCCAACGGACTCAAAAAATTGTGATCAATTCCTACGCCACAAAACTTACTTGATCTCTCCTTCGCTTCTCAAATCCCAATATGGCATTACTGTCAATAAAATGGTGCATTACGAGCGTGAATTTGTTATTACTTATCCTTATGGATATCATTCCGGGTTCAACTTGGGGTATAACTGCGCCGAATCTGTAAACTTTGCAACAGAACAATGGCTCGACTACGCACGCGTTGCAAAGAAATGCAATTGTGAATCAGATAGTGTGTGGATCGACATCCGAGAAATCGAGAGAAAGCTGCGTGGAGAGGCCACTCCTGAGTATTATGACGAGCTGGATGATCAACTTGAGGGTGCTTCTGACCTACTCACACCTCCTCGCAGTGTTCCTGAAAAGTCTGCCTCCCGCAAGAAACGGAAACATGATAATAGCGAATCCAAAACTAAGCGCGTCAAATTACACCTAGAAGGACCAAGGAAGATCCCTTGCATTTTATGCCCTAATAACCTTGACTATGAGGAACTTCTTCCTACTGAAGATGGCTTGTATCATGCCCACCGAAGGTGTGCACTCTACATCGACGAAACTTCCATTCTCAAAGATGAGTCTGGTAAGGAAATCGTATGTGATATTGACAAGATACCAAAAGCGAGAATGGGCTTGAAATGTTTGTTTTGTCGTGAAGTGAAAGGGGCCTGTTTTCAATGCATGTACGGGAAATGTGCCAGAGCATATCACCCAACATGTGCGTTGCTAGCTGGTGTACAGGTCGAGTTCGGTGAAATATCCGTTACAGCAGACGATGGATGCGAATACACAGTTCCGGGGGTCGATCTCAAATGCAAGTACCATCGCCCAAAAAGACTAGGATCTCAATCGCCGGAGGCTATGGATATGGATTTTAAACTGACAGAAACGGCCAAACGGTTACGCTCTGGAGATTTGGTGCAATTCCAAGCTGACAAGGAAATCAATGGCGCGGTTGTCCTTGAAAACCGACCGGAAGAGCGTGCCTTGCTGCTCAAAGTGCTACCGCGGGGGTGAGTATCTCTCATTTTCAACCTCAACATTATGATTCTAACTTTTATACAGCGATGTGATCGAATTACCGTATCGCTGGATATTAATTGTGAAGAAATCTAGCTTCCTTCCACTTCCGCCTGGTATAAAACCACTTCCAGCCCATCTGGCTCGTAAACCGGAGGCTAGGAAGGATTTAGCCTCGACCATTCCTTCCCATGGTACACCCTTCGGTGATCCATGGTTACCTTACCAGTGGGCCGAGTTCTCTTGCGTCAAGCCTCCTTTCAATCCACACGCAGCACGAGTCGATATTTTCAAACCAGAGCAAATCTGGTATTATCTTGGGAGAACTTCCACTGAATGCCGTGCACAATACACCGACAACCCAGCGGGCCTTGTTCATAATCCCAGGTCCAATTTCCTTGAAAGTGTGAAATCATTGCGAGCTACCGCGGCAACCATATCTCATCCTCACGCCTTCTCTACGAAACAACCCAAGTATCATCCGGGGCTACCCGCTACCACCCCAGTCATGAGCACACTCACACGGCCCGTCGTCACCACACAATCCCAACCTCTTCCTGCCTCGAATATACCGGCTCGAAACTTTAATGATGCCAAAGGTATGCAGTTCATGACAGCTCGCCGTCTTATCGTTTCAATCACAGAACACGCCAACTCTGGGGCCGGATATACCATCGTTGACCCCGATTTTGTTGCCCAACTCCTTCTGGGTGAAAGCAGTTCAGCAATACCAAAGAATGGAATCGAAAAGTTGAAGAAAGCTATGGTTGAGTCTATGATTCGACCCAGATCGAGTAATGGCTTGCTCCCCTTGCAGCCGTTGAATATGGAGGCAGATGAAGTCGATCATCTTTTACGGATGCTTCGCTTTGCCATTGTGGATTTGGCTCAAAAGATCAATGGAAACGATTCGAAAGTTGGCAAACTACATGAACGCCAAACTGTCAAAGAAACTCATCTTCCTTCATCCAGTGTTGGGTTGTGGGGAAGCTTCGATGCCTCACGACGTCAGCCTGATGCTGTGTATAACTCGCCGTACGCACCTGGATTCGGGTTCTCGGAGTATGCAATTAGAGAGTATGGGTTAGGCCCTCAGCGCTTGGCACAAAAGGAGCACTCAGCTGCTGATTTCTTTTCGAAACTATCACAAGAAGACAAGGAAAAGGTTATCCAAGCCTGTGGTGGCGTCACTTCGTCGAGAAAGGACGATGTGGACATTCCCATCGCTCCAGGTTTAGAAATGAGTCAAGTTTCGGGACTGGAAAACCCGAATACTACAATTTCTATGGATGTTATGAACATTGACCCCCACCACCTATCGGTTTTCGACATGACGTTACATGCCGATTCGCCAGCTTCAAGCTTTAGCAGGACTGCGATACAATATCAGTCACCACAGGACTTTTCTGCACATGTAGAACACGAATCGTCTTTGCTTCCCAGACACTTTCAAGATCATCACGACCTATTTGGTGACCAGCAAACCAATCAACGCTTCTGGCAAAGAAGTGTCCCATGGAATGACGGGGATACTCCGTCCCATAATGATGAACATCGTCCGTTTTTTGGCCCTCATTTGCCGCCGGCTGGTCATGACTATCCTTCATCTGATATGGATTTTGAGCGGGGCCCCGGTTCGTTGCATTCGATGGACATGGCTGGTTTTGGCTTCGACGGGACGGACGAACTGTTTCCTAATCCTAGCCCATAGACCTCTTTTTGCTTATCGCCAGTAACCTTCTGACTGGTCAATCTAATTCCTCGATGTGTTCAACCACAGTCAATGGAATTGCCGCTACACGACGATCCTCCAATATCTGATATGGATATTCGAATCCTTCCAATTCAACGGCGCAAATCTTGTCCTTCTTCTTTCACCCTTGCGGTCATCCCATTGCATGGTGCGATAGAAACTCTGGTGTCCTATGGGCTTTATAGCGGCTTTCTTAATCGGATACATATGTCCACGTGATGACCTTGTTAACGACTTCAAAAGAAACATTTATGACGATTCTACGACAAAAGACTTTCAGAAAAGCGTTTTCCTGCCTTTTTACATACCATGCGATTCTCGATTCTGATCGCTTCCTGTTATTCGACTAGTCACTTAGCCTGCTAGAGCCCCTTGAGCAAAGTGCCGCTATGAGACTCTTGCCAGAAACGCCGTTTACGAAGCGGAAGTCTACCGTATGCGAACCACACCACTTCTGCATCGTATACTGGTCAATTCGGTATATACCAGTTTTACCCTACGGCCACATATAGAGAAAAAGTCTATGGGCTAAGCCTAGCCACGTTTCATTACGGGCTCTAGTACAGAAACCTAAAATTTTACTGCGTGTTTTGCGTGTACATGCCGTTTTTGTTTTCTTCATGTATCAACTGCTCTTACACATATTGGGTGGCATTATGCCTTGTTTGATGTAATCATCCCTCTTCACTCCTTTTACCTCTTCGATCCTTACATTGTCACCGATTCAGGCCATAAGTGGCGGCACCTGATATTTAAAAAGCCCATTACCCATATCTGCGCTTGCATTCCACCCCGTTGACCCAATCTAAATAAGCATCTTGTCCAATTTGTATCGGGGCCCTTGGTTGTTAATCTTACTGCTTTTTTTCTTTACCCCTCATTTCCTCGTTATCACCGTCTTTGAGGATATAAACCTCCGATTAAGGCGATAGAGCAAGTGGGGATGGTAGAAAATCAAGCGCCTGTTTCTTAAGGCACAGTGGAGGGATTTTACATTTCCCGACACTTAATAAATCCTTTTACTCTTTATAGCAGCTTTGAAGTATCAAAAGACAAATTGAAGATCATTTGAGATGCTGCTTTATTATGGGGTTGGAATTGCAAGAATCCTGGCTTTCGTAATTCGCCCGGAATATAGCAGTCACTGAATCGTGGGAAACATCTTTCACCACTATGGTTACTGAAGCCCAAGACTATACTGGAGTTTTAGAATGAAGGGTACTATAATGATCATTGTCAAACAGAATATATAGGGGAAGATGGTCACCAAGGTCATAACCGACGGCTCAAAGACAGCCATCGTGTCACGAGAGGAACGTTAATGAATAATGTTGCATATTTATCCTATTCACGCTTGTTGATGACCGTACTACTCGGAGACGCTGTATTTCGAGCATTTAAGCTGCTGTCAGAATCTAGAATTCCCCAATCTCTATCCTTACATATCTCCAACGCCGAATCAAAGCATCAGCCTCATCGTCAACGAACAGAACCGAGTAACTAATCAAGGGTTGCTATCAAGGTTATATATGTTACGTCGCCGTCATGTCATTCTATCGCAGAAAGAGTCAAAGTCGACACGAGCGTTATGAAGCCAGAAACGGACCAGTTCCTCAGCCTAATCACCACACGCACACGCAAGGAGGGCCTTCAAATACCCATGTTTCGCAGCCCAGGGCATACCCTACAGATATCGAACAAAGTATCAAGGCTGTTCAACAATTTATCGCAGCACGTATGGCGACAAAGTGTCATTTTTGCAGCACGCCTTTGATAGACAGGTTTTCAGCAAATAGCTGGATAGGTCGCTGGGCTCAGAATGCGCATCAACCCCAGTATGGAGCGTGTATTTGTGCTGCTACCTGCCCTAATTGTCAAACCCTCACATGCCTTGGTTGCGGGAACCTACCAAGCAGATCTAATCAGCTTCAGCAAGTCAATGGATATTATATAAACACATGCTGCCGCCACGGAAGAACGTTTGGGATGTGGGTGCTACTGGCCAGGTACGATGAAATTGAACTGGAGATACAGGCATCCAGTTCGAACTCCGAGGACCCGTACCAGCAGCGACATCTGTCGAGAAGAGGGAGAACAGGCACGAACGATTCAAGAGGTGTTGGTTACGCGGATGACGGCCAGGCCAACCCTTGGGCGACGGCTTTTTATGGAGGACGTGCAGGTCCCCTCCGATTCCGCAGCTCCGATTCAAAGATCGATAGCTTCTTGGCAACAATTTTGCAAGCTGTGAGAACAATGATACCTAGCAACAACAATAAAAATTTGCCGCCCGAGCTTCGAGGAATGTTCCAGCTCAGTATGCTGATTGACAAATTAGCGGAACTGTTGCGCAACGACTCTCTTGAAGACATCACTTCGCGTACGGAAGTGTACATGGCCGCGTTTCAATTTGTACGAAAGCTGGGGGATCATCCCGAGTTGATCGTTCTGCTTCAAACACCTCGTCATCATAAACAAAAGACCCCTGGGTTAGAGGCCCTTACTCTAAGATCAGGTTCAGGACTGAATGGAGCTGGACAGGCTTTGAGTTTAGGAGAAACCATACCTTCAGTAGCTGAGAAACTGCAAAAGTTGGCTAAACAAAGCGATATCGTGCTAAGCACCAAGGAGAGTGAGGATCTGACCTCGAGAGGAGGAAAGGAAATGCTTGATATTTGCAAAGAAATAGCCGCTGTATACGCAGCAATAGCCGCAGGCAATGTCCAATGCGAAAATAACGCTCAATCGGTGGACCAATATCAGGCCTACCACCAAAACCATTGCGTTACGAGAGATGAGAGTATTCTGACTAGAGGCCATACGTTTAGTGCGGTCGCATCCCGCATGGCATATTCCCCGCCAGGCCGGATGAAGCGCTTGCTGGCCGAACTTGCCAATATGGCAACCTCGCTTCCTGTTGGAATATTCGTCAAAGTGAGCGAGAGTCGCCCGGATATAATGAGATGCCTCGTCATGGGCCCGCCGGATAGCCCATACGGATATGGGCTTTTCGAGTAAGTAATCCCCTTGCTCCGTTTTTTAAAGTGTTCTTTAACCATAGTAATGGTATGGTAGCTTCGATTTGTTTTGCAGAGAAACGTATCCGCAAAAACCACCTGTGATGTCGTGTCGTACCGCGAGGGAGTACAGAGGAAGTCTTAATCCAAACCTCCATGGAGATGGTAAAGGTCCGTGCCGGAACAGAGCGCATCCCCTGCTAACAACAACGCGAGAGCTAACATGGGAAACTAGTTTGCCTGTCACTTTTAGGAACATGGAAAGAAGGCGACGCTGCCGCGCAATGGCAACCCGGAAAATCCACCATTCTCTCTGTGCTGATCAGCATTCAAGCCATGATTTTCACGGAAGATCCCTTCAGGAATGAACCGGCAAACACGGACTGGGTCGGTGCGAGAGCAGATAGAGCGGCACAAACGACTATCCAGAGAACCCAGCCTTTGACGATCGAATACGGAATGTTGTCATGGCTAGAGCAGCCGCAGAAACTAAATGGGGTATGGGGAGATATTGTCAAAACGCATTTCAGGCTCAATCGAGCAAAGATACTCGCGAATGTCGAGAAGTGGGCGCGGGCCAACCCGCTGATCTCGCGGCGGGATCACTGGTACAGAAGCACACCGCCCAACGAGCGCCTTAGAAAAGCGTTAGACAAGCTTGCAGCAAGCCAGCTTCCATGAGGATTCAAGCTGCTGTTATTCGGATGGATGAAGTTGTCATACTGATGCTCTCGAATGTTGATGTTGAATTAAGCTCTATGCCCTATTCCATATATAGTTAGCCGTAATACAATCAGCTTACATAATTTATTACTCCGTGCCGGAGTTAACTTTATTTCGGAGCTCCGCCGGGCCGATACGATCGGCAATCGCAACTTGTCAACGCGGGGTTGAAGCTGCTTTATCGGCATCACCATCCAGTCACGCCCTTGAAGCTGCGCCGATAAGCGTGGATATCAAGACAAAGAGGGCTGTGACATTTCATTATAAGCGTGATCCATCCCGATTGGCAATCGGAATCCCAATTGGAAACTTGCAGATTCCAAACCTTTTGTATACTACATTTTGGGATAGCTATTTGAAGGACAACCATGTCTGAGTTCACTCCTGAGGAAATTGGACAGCTTATCAGTCGGCATCCTGTCAATTTTGAGCCCTACGAGGACCTTTACAAGTACCTCCACGCCCATCCGGAACTATCGCATCAAGAGTACAATACTGCGAAAACAATTGCTTCGAAACTCCGCGCTATTCCCGACCTTGAGGTGCACGAGAACATCGGCGGTACCGGCATTGGGGCAGTCTACCGTAATGGCGATGGTAAAACCATTCTTTTACGCTCCGAACTAGATGGCCTGCCAGTCAAAGAGCAAACCAACCTTCCCTATGCGAGTAAGACTATTGTGAAAGACGAGACTGATGGAGTTGAAAAGGCCACCATGCACGCTTGTGGGCACGATATGCATATGACATGCCTCCTTGCTGCGATTGAGGTGTTAATTTCCTCAAAGAGAGACTGGTCGGGGACTCTGGTCATCATCTACCAGCCTGCTGAAGAATTGGGGAATGGTGCTAGTCGCATGGTTGACGACGGTCTATATGATAAGGTCCCGAAACCAGATGTCCTACTCGGCCAGCATATACTGCCACAGCGAGCCGGCCGCTTTGGAATGAAACCCGGGACGATGATGGCAGCATCAGACTGCTTGAAAGTCACATTCACCGGGCGAGGGGGCCATGCCTCGATGCCCAATCGGACGATTGATCCAATAGTGATGGCTGCAAGCACGGTGATGCGGCTACAGACCATTGTCAGCCGCGAAATTGACGTCGCCCAGGAATTTGCTGTCGTGACAGTTGGTAGTCTGAACGCTGGACATGCGGCAAATATTATTCCTGAAAAGGCTGAAATGCTACTAAACGTGAGGAGCAGGGATGAGGGCACCAGGAGCAGAGTTCTCTCGTCCATTGATCGAATTATAAAAGCAGAAGGCCAGGCCAGTGGTGCCCTGCAGGATCCTCAAGTTGAAACCACTCTTAAGTTCCCTCTGACGATCAACGATCAGGCGGTGACGGAGAAGCTGCAGGGTACCTTTGCGCTATTTTCGCCAAATTTCGATCCGCAATGGCCGACATCCAATGCGAGTGAAGATTTCACGGTTCTTGGGACTTCGATCGGGAAACCTTGTTGCTTCTGGTTCGTTGGATGCACGGAAGTCGACGTCTGGGATGAGGCAGAGAAGAAAGGAAGGCTGTCAGAAGACATTCCAGTCAACCACTCTGCCTTCTTTGCCCCGGTGGTGCAGCCAACGCTTCGGACTGGGACGAATGCGCTCGTTGCAGGCGCATTGACCTTCCTTTCTAAACGCAAGTAGAACGTTAGTCATAGTCTCGGGGTCATATCTTTAACCTATAATAAATAAGGCTGGTTATGTTTGTATACGTCTATGTGTCAGTGGATTACCTATAGTCATATTGACACATTTAGCCATGCTAGCAAAGGCTAGCAGTTGGTTATCCAAACAGCCCCAGAATACCATCAGAATCCCATGCTTCACACATTGGCCTTCACTGGGCGACAGTTTGACATGTGCTTCGGCCCTGCATGGCGCCGGCTGACCCCGCAGATCAGCGAGTCACCAACCGCCCTTATCTGGCTGCATGTCTCGCGTTGCGAATCCAAAGGCTGGTTGAAGGTTTAAGCTTAACTGATTTTTGGCTGAGTTAGCAATAGACTGAGCCAACATCACGACTGCTAGTTATACCTTGAACCAGAATCTCAATAATGCAGCACACGTCTGTCATGGCAGGGAGCGGAGCGCAACGCTCATCTCCAGGCGAGAGAGTTAGTTAACTGTTAGTTAGAGAAGTTAGCCAGGCAGTATCCACAATTCTTCGTGTAGTTCAAACAGCTGGTTTGCAGAGGCAAGGCTTGTCTTGCCCCCCAGGCTCCACGAGCCCCAAAAATTCGCTATCTGAACGAGGAACAAGGCTTGAATGCTCTATCTGGGTCAGCGTTTGGCGGTAGCCCAGACCCTGATCTCCCAGGGAATACGAGATGGTACTTCCCATCATGCCATGAGCGCATGCTGGGCACGCCCTCCCCCTCTTCCTCGTTTTTGCCCATGGTTCCCCGGATAATCCCCGCAACAGCTCTGGGCTCCGAGCTTGATCAAAAATAAATCCTTAAGACGATCTCGCCCTGCTGGGTTGAGAGTTGCTCGAAGCTCTCAGTTCCTGGTCCTAGTCAGTGCGGTGACAGGGTCCAAGGGAGCTTAACAGAAACGAGAGCTTTTTCGTCATTTTGTTCAGATCTTGGTTCTCCTACTCAAAAGCGTCCTCACTTTTCGCGATCGTTGAAGGAATACGCAATCACAATGCGGCGAGATACTACAGCGGAGGATGATCCGAAGGCGCAGAGCACGTCGGCAGACGCCAATGCCGATGCGGCTCTCGCTAAAATGGGCTACAAGAGCGAACTGCCTCGAAATCTGAGCATGTTGAGCGTTTTAGGACTGTGGGCAACATCCCTCCCTATCTCTTCTGCCTCACATATATCCACTTACTGATTTGTTTATTCTTCTTTAGGTCGTTTGCAATTATCGCTGCACCATACGGGTTGAGCACGACACTCTATATCACATTAACCGACGGTCAATCTGTGACAATTATTTGGGGATGGGTCCTCGTAACCATGATTTCAATTGCCATCGCTGCGTCTTTGGCTGAAATTTGTTCAGTGTATCCCACCGCGGGCGGCGTATACTATTGGAGTGCCATGCTGTCAACGAGAGAATGGGCACCAATGATGTCCTTTATTGACGGCTGGTTGACGCTCGTCGGAAACTGGACCGTGACGTTGAGCATCAATTTCGGCGGTGCACAGTTGATCCTGAGCGCTATAACATTGTGGAACGAGGACTATGTGCCGAATGAATGGCAAACGATCCTTACCTTTTGGGCACTGATGCTCGTATGCGCGTTAGTAAACATATTCGGCTCTCGGTTCTTGGATCTCATCAACAAAATCTGCATATATTGGACGGGCACAAGTGTTATCATCATCATGGTAACCTTGTTGACGATGGCAGATACGCGAAGAAGCGCAAAGTTCGTCTTCACCCACTACGATGCTTCCGCTAGTGGCTGGTAATATTGTCCCACCCCGGGTTGACCCTGACACTAATGAGCCTTATGCTGACATTTCTCGCAGGCCTTCGGGATGGGCGTTCTTTGTTGGTTTGCTCCAACCAGCCTATACTCTGACCGGCTATGGAATGGTAGCAGCCATGTGTGAAGAGACCCAGAATCCTCACCGCGAAGTTCCCAAGGCAATTGTTCTTTCCGTCGTCGCGGCCGGGATAACGGGTTTGGCATACCTGATCACCATCCTTTTCGTCCTTCCGCCAGTGGAAATCCTTCGTGCCGTGGCAAGCGGGCAACCGATTGGCCTCCTGTTTAAAATTGTCACCGGATCTGCCTCCGGTGGCTTCGGCATGCTTTTCTTGATTTTCGGAATTCAGATTTTTGCCGGGATCGGAGCACTAACGGCAGCTAGTCGATGCACGTATGCGTTTGCGCGCGATGGCGCTATCCCTGCCTCGAGAATCTGGCGAAAAGTGAATCATAGGCTTGATGTCCCTTTGATGGGCATCGTGCTGTCAACGCTTGTCGATTGCCTGTTGGGATTGATCTATTTCGGATCGTCAGCGGCTTTTAATTCGTTCACTGGCGTGGCAACCATTTGTCTATCGACTTCATACGGCCTACCCATCCTGATCTCCGTTGTTCGTCGACGAAAAATGGTGAAGGACGCCTCGTTTTCGCTGGGCAGATTTGGATACGCTATTAACATTGCGACAGTCCTGTGGATCTGCTTGGCTATTGCCCTGTTTTGTATGCCGGTCTCACTTCCGGTTACACCGTCAACCATGAACTATGCCAGCGTTGTGTTTGCGGGCTTTGCAGCAATCAGCGTCATATGGTATTTTGTGCGCGCGCGCAAGGTATTCAAGGGCCCGCCGGTGATATTGGACGATGCTGCGCAGAGTGATGCCGGTGTCTACTCTGTGAAAGGCACGAGTCATCTCGAAGGGGGCCTGTCAGAGAAGCGTGCCACAGACATAAAGGCAGAATAGTATTGCCAACCCAACACAAGGGAGATATTTTGCGATGTATGTACCAGGGGTATCGAGATACTACCATAATATGTAGATGCGTCAATGGCAAATTTGATCTCTTCCTTAGCTTGGGGGTCGCCGTTGCTTCACAATCAACCTATTAGAAGCGACAATGCAACAACGAGCCATCCTATGACATGTTCTAGTTCTATCGTCGGTCATAAAGTCCTATTCGCCTGACTGCTTCCCAGCCAGTGAATTGCAATTAGTTGCCATAGCTATCATGCCGAGGTAAGCTAACCGTCCTGCGGGGTTTCATTTTACGGAGCTAGAAGGTTCCGCGTCGCTTATGGGGAGCCAGTTAGGATCCAGAGAAAGTCAGTTTCAGGAGAATAGGGTTAAATTTCTCGGTACGAGTCAACAGAGCTTGTGAGTAGTTCTGTCCGTGGCAGGTTGTGCATGGATATCAGACAAGAGGCCGGTCGTTCATTGTCCGTAATGGTAAGAGCCATTTATCTGTATTGACATGCCCATAGAATTATGGCATGGTATAGCTTCGATTGTTTCTTCTTCATGATGGCGAACCTCTTGATATCGTTACCGAATTGCTGTTGGGAGCATCCCCGAAGTCCGAGCTCCAAACACCAAACCTAGTTAACTAATTTGAAAGCTCAGTAATACCCGATAACTTGGTAGCTCCCGAGTCCAATAATGACATGGCCCACGACCTCATTTTAATGGAGTACTTATGGCCTGGTGGCAAACTTCATACCTCGGGTAGAAGCCCTATTACTGCTATCCACAATTGAGGCCGATATGGCCGCCTTCCAAGGGAATGTTCTCCAGCCCTTTCGTGTTTTCTCAGTAGAGATGCATGGACCGCTGGCTCGTCTAAACAGAGAACTGACCGATTGATGTCTCCCCGTTCGTGATGCGTCCCCATCTGGGATCGAAGGATCACGGTACCATTCCGGTCTGAAAACAGCTATATCGACTCCGCTTCGGTATGGACTCCAATTCCTAACCGGGAGTTCCACCTTAAACTCATCGCTACCTAGTTAACAGACAGTGAAATGCGGGGGTCACGGAATACCTGGCTTCGAACAAATGTGTCAGGCAGGTTGCCGAACTGCTATATGTATCAGGGCCCCCCAATCCTATTCGAGATGCGGCCTGCTATGCTTCGCTCTCTTGTATGTCTCTTTTCCCATCCACTTTTCCTCGCAGATTCCGGAACAAATAGATAGCTATCATGTCTTCTCTCAAAGATAGACTTGCTCAGGTCACTACCTTCATGGGTGGCTCCAAGTCTGCCAACGAGCTCCCCTGGCATCCAGACAACACCAAGCTACCCACACGCAAGAATTTGCCTTCTATCCCAGGGGCTCCCGAAGGTGCTGCTTGGGTTTGGGGGAAAGATGACTATGTGAGTTGTCCCAGTGTTCTCATGTTGCTCACATATTGATATCGCTTTCAGCTCGGAAGGCTTAACCTTCTCACCCCAACCCGCGTCAAAGCTGCTGCTGCCGAGATAAAGACCGGAGAAATGGTACCTCTCAAGTAAGAAATCCTTTTCACCCGTTAATGATAGCTGGATAAAATTTGCTGATGTTGGGGAAAAGCCTACCCCTTAATGTTCCGGAAACTCCAGCATTTGGCCGAGAAAAATTTGTGCACACCATCAAGTGTCTCCATGAGAATATCGCGTACGACGACAAGTATGAGCTTAATACTCAGAGCGGAACCCAGTGGGATGGCTTTAGACATGTATGTCAATCGAAATACACTCGGTTTCTAGCCTCTCCGGAAATAGCCACGATGCTAACAATTAAACGGGATTTAGTTCGCCCACATGGCAACCGAGACATTTTATAACGGGGTAAGACTCCCACGCCAAATGTGTGTAGCTCAAACGATCCTAATTGGAATGATTTCAGACCAAGGGGAAGGACATCCTCGGCCCGGAGTCAAACGAGAACTGCAGTATTCATCACTGGGCTGATCACGGCATTGCTGGACGCGGTGTGCTTCTGGATTATTGGGCATATGCCAATGCCAACGGTATGAAGTACGACCCTTACACCTCCCACGCCATCACATTCGACGACCTCTATAAGTGTGGCAAAGCCCAAGGGATCGATATCCGTCCGGAGGCGCAGGGCGGTGATATCAAAGTTGGCGATATTTTGATGATCCGGTCTGGTTTCGTGGATGCATATAATTCGCGTACACCCGAAGAACGCAGAAGTCTCGCCCTTCGGCGTCACGCGATAGGTGAGGCAGATGAACAGAGATTTGCCGGAATTGCTCAGGAGGAGGCCGTCATTGACTGGCTTCATGACGCCTATTTTGCCGCCGTGGTGGGTGATGCGCCCTCTTTCGAAAGATGGCCAACCCCAAAAGAATATTATCTCCACGAGTATATTTTGGCTCTCTGGGGAATGCCGTTGGGCGAAATGTGGGATCTCGAGAGGCTTGCTGCCAAATGCCGCGAGACCAACCGTTGGTTTTTCTTCATGACAAGTGCTCCAGCCAATGTCCCTGGTAAGCTCCCTCGTCTATTGAGCTTTACACGCTCGAGGTAAATCGCTAACGATTGTGAATTCTAGCTGGTGTAAGCTCCCATGCTAATGCAATTGCAATCTTTTAAGTGAATGGTTGATTCCATTGGTAGGTGCTTCAGAAGGGCAGGATTACTTGCCTGATGTTTCCCTTTTTTCTTGTGAAGATAACTTGTATTTTGAATTATATTCACGTAGGATTGGATCATAAATAACATATGGATTGTAATTCATTTTATAAGTCGAGGAAGAGCCCTCACGGCGTCTTAGCTAAATGTTTATTTGCATCAGCTACTGTAGCAGCTCCTCAAGTTAGCATATCAACTCATCTCGAAGTCGTCGCGTATAATCGTTTGATATGGATCTTTAGCCTAGCAGGTGACCAACAGTGGTGTTATACGCAGCCATGGCGATATCGTGCAATTCCTTACCCAAACTGATACGAGCAACGCCCATCTTCCTCAGTTCTGAAATCGTTAAGTAGCTTGGGCCAGTCTTCAATCTGACATTCAATCGCCCATCAAACGCTTTGACCAGATTCAGCACTTCCTCCCTGGAGACACCTCGACCCGCCAGGCCACCCCAAACAAAAACGCAAGTAGCCCCAGCCTCGAGATACGCTTTACCTCTCTGGATCGCATCATCAATCGTTCCGCCATGGCCCAACACATCCGTTCGAGCATTCACGACAAAATCGGGAACATCAAGCCTTGCAGCTTCCTTCATGACCCTCTGCACGCGCGCAGCTGCCTCGTCGCAGGTCATTAATTTGCCGGTCACAGCATCCTCGTCCTCAAGATTACATCCAACGACGCCCGCACTAATAAGCCCTGAAACGACGGTTTCCAGTTCGGAGCCCCAGCCATCGCGCATATCGATTGAGAGCGGGATCGTAACGGACTGGCCAACAGTATTCTTCGGTGAAGCTTCGTGTTCGTGGATCACAGCGTTGATATCTCGGGCGGCGGTAATCAGCATGTCGGGATTGAGGTCTTCATCTCGCTTGCCTCTGACTGCCGCAACGGCATAGCTGCTTGTCGCAAGCGCTTTGGCACCGCCGTGTTCAAGCACGATACGGGTGGTGGCGCCATCGTAGACGTTACAGAGGACGAGTGGGTCACTGGGGTTGTGGAGTGACCGGAGATAGATGGCTCGCGCGTTGAGGGGGTTCGAAGTCGTCATGCTTTTATCAAATTGCATAAACCTGTCATTTCACTCTCGATGGAAAATTGCATTTGGCCATGCGGCCTCCAGCACCTGTTAAATAGGGCATTTCTGAGGCGTATCAAGCGGACTCTTGACTGACTCTCAGCTGACAAATAATACGATATCATGAGTCACAAGTTCGTTGCCGGTGAACAGAATATCCCAGAGCTTTGCGTTCTTCTCCACAACGTGTCCTGGAACGCGTCAGCCCCGTGTTGAGGAAGGGCGCGAAACCGCCGCGATATCACGTGCTACATATCAATTGCTGCGCTTCACACCGGCTTCATGCCCTGAACTGGTCTTTTGGAGAAATACTTGGTTCTTACGGAGCATGAGCAATACGATGGCAATATTGTGATCTCTCAACGAGGCGATAACTATTTACAAATCCATCGGACTGTCCTTCGTTTTCCCAACCAATTGTCGACTCACCTAAAGTTTCGACTTCTGATCTTCGAACTCCACTCTTTTCGGCCCCGAAAAACCGAAAATGTACGCCGCGATTTTACGCATTTGGATCTCCTCGGATCCTTCGGTAATACGATATCGTCGAAAATGTCGGTAGATATGCTCGAAAGGCTGGTGCCGGGAGTAGCCATTACCACCGTGGATCTACGCATCAAACATCAATTCAGTGGACCCTTTCCAGAAAGCGTCATACATGAGAGAGATGGGGACAAAAAACTCAAGTGAGAAATACCTGCATGGCTCGGTCAGCTGCTTGACAACAGAGACGATTTGCCCAGTAATTGCACATCGCGACTTTATCGCTCAGTCTTTTTTCAATTTCAACCCATGGCTTCTTGCCCCCGGGTGCAACAGGTTTATCGGTTTGACCTCCACATTCTGCGACTATCTTGTCCATTTCCCAGCCAGTTCGAAGAATGAGAAGCCGTAACATCTCTACTTGAGTCATGAGCTCAACCACTTGGAATTGAATTGCTTGGTTATCTGCCAACGCTTTTCCAAAAACGTTCCTGGAACGAGCATACTCGATTGACCGATCAAGGCAGAATTTTGCTGCGCCGCAAGAGGATGCTGCTTGGCGGATTCTATTCTCGTGAACAAACGTCTGCGCAATGGCGAGGCCCGCGTCTACTTCACCTAGAACAGCGGACCGCGGGACAAATGCAGAGTTCACGGCAATTGTGGCATGATCGGTAGGCATGTTAAACGTCCATTCATAGCTAACGACCTCGACGCCAGGAGTGCCTTTTGGGACTAAAAATGCAGTGATCCCGCGCGATGAACCCGACTTGCCCGAAGTACGTGCAAAGATAATCATATGAGTGCAATGATGCGCACCGGTTTGCCATTTCTTTGCCCCGTCGAGGATGAATCCGTCAACCATTGCTCCGGAGCCTGGTGGATATTCTCCACGAGCGGGACGGGCTTTAGTTTCCATGAATGTGGCATCGCTTCCGTGCTTGGGCTCCGTCAATCCAAACGTTGCGCGAAATCGACCTTGTAACCTTGCAGCAATGTGCGCCTGGCGTTGCTCTTCGTTTCCAAAATGATGGAGCATGAGCACGTCTGGGAAGTTACCCACCACGCTGTGCTCATTTTGCAAGTCATTTGCCAGCGAGACGCCGCCGCCGTAGATGGGATGGGAAGATAGGTGGTATCGAATTGCGCACATCCATAGGTTTGTGGTTGGTTTAGCTTGTCCTCCGTATATTTTAGGGAGGGCAAAGCGGTAAAAACCCGCCTTGTCGGCTAAAGATCGAGCTTGCACTGTGTCACATCGCACGTTAGACTCGCGATCTAAGGTTGCATTTTGCACCTCAAAAACTCTCCGATGGAAAACATACCGAGAAGCTCCTCCCATTCTTTTCGCGGCAAACCGCCATTGTCCCAATCCGTCCGTGAGTGTTCTCTGCGGTGGTCGAAGAACCGGTTGTTATCATTGGAATGCTGCAACGGTAGTATCGTGTCCTTGATAAATTTATCAAGAGAACCAATGTACTCGGTTAGATCCTGAGGGAGATCGAAATTCATGTTCTGAGCCATTCTCGTGATGCTCAAAGCTGGGATGGTCCTATTGAATGGCGCAGGCTGCGGAGTAATAGTTCACTATCTGAACCTGACCCGATTGGAAACTTGCAACTCTGCGATCAACCGGCTTTTCAATTGCAATATTATCCGTTCGCATTTTTACATTCTTCCCTTCGTATCGTGCTGGTCGAGGCTTGGGGAACCATGGCAATTACCAAGGCACGGAACTCATCTCCCCGCACCGGCCAACCTTAACTGTATCCTCGGTGAACTTTATTACGTGCGGGGAAAGGGGCGATGAAACAGTATTCTTTGCTCTCTATGGAGTCTCGACTTGGCGTTGTTGTTTGATATTGATAATGGAGAACACTCCTTGACATCACAGCCAAGGTGGTGTTGAAGAGGAACAGCAGACGGCGGAAGAATTGGCTGATATTTCTATTTACAGGGCACAAGACTAGAACCTTGGAAACAGTGGCCCTTGTTCTTCAGGCATTACCATCCTCTCCAGCTCTGCCAGACATCAATGATTCTATCCTTTTCAGTTCCCTCGCGGCTCGAATCCACCACAAGAAAATAGCCGAATCCCGCTGCGCAAATGCAGCAATGATTCGGCCACAATCTCACTTTCTCTCCGACTTCCAGTTTTCGCATCTTGTCAAGGGGGCCCTGCCACCGCAGAATACCGTGTTCCTGGCTCAGACGATCGATCATCCACCCTGTTCTGTCTCCTTCTGGGTCATACCACCCAACTTTTTCCTGTGATCCCTCCTTGCCCCGGTTGTGCAGCCATGGAGTCATGACTCCCCATCCGGGATAGCTCCTGCATGGCTCGCGGCCCATGCAAAGTGAGCCACATGCTATGAGAGCCTCCGGCTTCTCGCGGTGGGGATAAAGACTGGCAACCTCTGCAATCACGGTCAAAGCAATATTGTCGAATGAAAGATGGTTTTGTGCTGGGCGTGCGTGTGCAGCCAGCTGCTGCAAATCCAAAGTGACGTATGCGCCTGCATGGAGTTCAATGTCATACGTTTGTTGGACCCTTTGGATCAGCTCTTTAACCTTTTTTTCAGCCGACGACATGACTTCAAGGCAAGCCAGATTTTGAGCTGAGGTAGTTGTTGGAGTTGCTCCTACCGCGATAATGAAGCGTCTCCCCGAGCCTTTCCATAGGTCTGACGCCTGGACGGCAGCAGTCTCGCAACGCTCGATTTCCATCGTCAGATAGTCCAATGCTTCTGACGTGGTATCCGAACTATAACTGTGACCCATGTGGCTATAAAACCCACGTAAATTAATCGTGGTGGGCTCCTCCTTTTCCATTTTGTATATGGCTTCCAGTAATTCCCTAAATTGGGGAGAATCTGGTGAAACTCCGGCACGGCTGTATCCGGTGTCCAATTTAACAAAAACTCCGAGGGCATATCCGGTGAGTTCCCGGTATCGGGAGAGAAACGGGAGGATATACAGAGAATCCACCAAGACTGTGATACTCCATTCGCCCAATGATGTACCAAGCCCAGCCAAGCGCGGGAAGCTTGACGGCTGGACTGGCAGACCGTAGATCACCTAAAGCAGCCTTTAGCACCTCATTGGTCTACTGGTTCAGGGGAGAACGGCAGACGTCAACTGATTTTCCGCTTTTTCTGCATTCTTCTAGATACGGCTGCAACTGCTCTGCCTCTGCCAGTGTGGATACTACGAGACGGACAATATCAGCTTTGTCACCGACTTGTAAGCGAGTAAGTTCGGTTGTCTGCACTCCAGTGTCAGCACGTACCCGAGAATCGCTTCACGAGACAGAGGCAAACATTTCAACATAGCCAAGCACGGCAGACATAAAAAAGAAAAGACAGCCAGAGCAAAAGAAACATGATGGCGGGAATCGGATATAGGACAGACCTTGTGTGTCTTCACATGAGAACGGAAAAGCACGCCAAGCTTGTCTGCGGCATCTAGCATGATCTGGCAGTTCTGGCGGGCGACGGCGACGTCAATGATGGCAGCGGGCCCGTCAATATCTTGGAGGAAGCGGCCAACATACTGGGTTTGGAGGTCGTTCGGTGAGGCATTCGGGTAGAACTTGACGCCGGACATGATTTTCTGCGGTGCTCCCCTTCAAGTAAGTGAAGATGCAAAGCTCAGAATCAAGAAAGGCAAATAGTCGATGATAGCTGATGGGCAATAGCACAGCTCAATCTGCAGTTTGCCAGTTGTTCAGCATATCCCGAATGTTGGACTCGCGAGCCTCCACGGCTTCCCTTCCTTTACCCCTCCATCGTTCGGGCTTGGCTTCTGTAACCACCGACCCCCACGCCTCTCGCCCGCGCTGTAAACTATTAATAACAAACTTCCGTTCCTGTGAGCAAATTAGCTTTCCCACCACGTGGCTGGTGCCTTGGCATTGACAGGGCGGGGAAGCGACGTCCAACCCAAATTGTTAATGTTATTCGACATTATTAATTGCCGGGCTGGGTAACAATTCATCCGAATCAGTTGACCCGCAAAGCAGCTTCTCTCCATCAGCTCTTGTTAGCCAGGGATCGTTTGGCTTATCCCAAAGATATGCATAGGTCGTGTTGGCGGACAGGGCACCAATTTCCTTCCTTGTCCTATCATGATGGATCATACGCAAATGGCAGAGCTTAAATGGCTGCCCGGGCAGATTGGTAACCAAATTCAGGCCCCCGTTTTCCAAAAGCGTTGTTAGACGCATCGCCCAGAACCACCCCGTATGTCCAAGCAAGGCTCCGCTCCAGCGTTTCGCCATTGGCGGCAGTGGCAGCATCTATCAACGAGGCTTCTATTCCCCAAATAGCCAACTCGAGCTCGACAGGTCAGCAAAGACCAGAGTCCTCCCAGTCGATTTTGACATGGCAGATGAAGGCTGCAGCCGATTCCTGATAAGTGTTTTTTCTTTTCCAGCATATCCACAGTTAAAAGGTAAGTTTGCGGCTGAAGATACGCCACCCGAAGGGCGAACTCGCTTGACGACCCAGTCGCTCCTTCCACAGGAGACGAACGCGCGAGAGATCCAGCGTTCCGTCAATTGGGGAAACTAGCAGTAGCGTTGGCAAGGCCGCCAGGGCTCAAGTGAAACCAAAAGGCGACTACTGATGCTGGAAAATGGCCGCCTTCTGATAGCTTCGTCCTTCCTCGAATCACCATCAGTATTTACCCGAATCCCGGCTTTTAGCTGACTCTGGTTGAAGCTACAGCCTTCTATTCCGCAGTCCAAGGCAAATTTGCAATCATGGCACTCAAAAACAATAGCCACGGCCGGAAGAATACGACGGGCGTTGGGCGAGGATATGCTGATAAGGCTGAAGAGGACCGGGTAATCGAATTACACGATGACATAAGCCATGGATACAGGGGCTATGGCTGGTCCGAGCGCGGCAGTGCCAAGCCGCTAGCTACCTGGGTGGCGGCTCCACCAGACTATCTGGTCGGTGGGACAGCTCTCCACCCAACTCCCGTGGAACTATTGCTTCCATCTGACCCTTTGAACGCGATGGAGGGAGCCCTGAGAACACTCCCCCTCCTATCAATGCGACCACCATCCCACCCAAGGACGCCCTATTTGGCCATACTGACACCTGGCGCTGAGCCCGGGCCTATTTTTGTTCGACTACTCGGTTGTCCTCGTACTCGCTGTCGTTTCTCCATATCTACCAGCTCCTTTCTTTTTCTAAAGGGACAAAGGATTCTCCAACCCAGCGGTGTCTGGTATATAAATTGATCGATTCCTGACCTATTGTGAATCTTTTTCTTACTCCATTCCGCATTATTCCCATCTTCTTTGTCTTTATATACCCGGAAGCACGCAGCCACCACCATGGGCCCAAGGCATATGGAAACTATGAAGCGAACAAACGCCGCAGGCGATCGCACGCTAAATCCCCTCGTCCCGGGAATTTACGTGCCTACGATTTGTTTCTTTGATCCAACCACGGAAGACCTTGATCTCTCAACCGTTGCCAAACATGCGGTGAGGCTTGCACAAGCCGGGGTTACTGGACTCACTGTCCACGGCTCCAACGGCGAAGCCGTACACTTATCCGACGACGAACGGAGTGACGTTATTCGGACGACGAGAAAAGCATTAAACGACGCAGGCTTTTTATCGATGCCCCTGATGGCCGGATGCAGCGCAAGCTCGACGAGAGAGACCATCAAACGATGCCAGGAGGCCTACAGAGCCGGTGCCGATTGCGCTTTGGTGCTAACGGCGTCTTACTATCATACCTTATTCACTTCAGATTCGGTGGTCGAATATTTCCAAGACGTGGCGGACGCCTCGCCAATCCCCATTGTCATCTACAATTACCCACCTGTTGCCGGCGGGCTCGACCTAGACTCTGATACTCTGATCACCCTGAGCAAGCATCCCAATATTGCCGGCTGCAAGTTTACTTGCGGAAACACAGGGAAACTAAACCGAGTTGTCGCGGCACAGCACCAAGGCGCATCTGGCTCTTCAGACAGATCGTCCGCTCCTAGCTTCTTATGCTTTGGCGGATCTGGCGATTTCACGCTTCAAACTTTGATCGGTGGTGGTGATGGTATTATTGGCGGTATCGCCAACCTAGCACCCGCAACCTGTGTTCGAGTTGAACAGCTCTTCCGTCAGGGGAAGATGGCGGAGGCACAGAGGACCCAGGAGATCCTGGCAAGAGGGGACTGGGCTGCTATTCAGAGCGGTGTTGTTGGCCTCAAATCTGCAATGATGGCCCATTGTGGCTATGGCGGTTACGCCAGAAAACCACTTCCACGACCAACAGACGATGAACAGAGGATGTATGCGGAACAGTTCCAGGAGCTGGTTGACTTTGAGAACTCTTTGTAAAGTTAACCACTAGGCGATTTTGTTTGTGGATTTACCTCTAGCCTTGGTATCCATTGGCGGTCAATGGCTCTTCTGTTTGGTGGAAATGGATGGACTTGGCTCCCGGGGTACAGATCAAGGGTGATATAATTAGTTGTAGTCGAGTTCTTGTGAACGAGTATATCCAATAATGAAATGTTACGAACGAATCTCATATCCTATCGAATCCCAAAAAGCATCCGAGAATGAAGACCAGACGCCTCGTTCAGCCATGTAGCCATGCAAGGACCAATTATCACGAGAATAACAATAGGTGTTTGTCAATGAGAAACGGGATGAGCCCCTGGGAGCATGGCAATAATGATGAGTCCATTGAAATACTAACCGCTACTATACAACTCGGATGCAGCCCAGAGACCCAACCGGCCATGATTGCTTCTGGCTGGCTCTTAATCCTCCGTGACGGTCAAAGCTCCTGGGACCGGGGGGGAGGCGTCCCCCACGCCGCTCGATCCACGCGAGCCCTGCCCCACTCACAGCTGTCAGTCCGAGGAAAGGAAAGGTGGCATCGTCTGTGATCAGGGCATCCCATCTCGGTCGATTCTCGCACCCCATTCTTCCACATTCCAAGGGAAAGAAAAAAAGGCGGTGATCCGGCTTGCATGGGAGTGCTAAGCGAGAAATTGTCCGAATGACTCGAAGCCGTTCATGTTTTACTCGTATAAGTTTTTGATAGTTTCGTGCATGCATATAGTGGCTCTTGAATTTTCATACGGCCCACGCGGAGCACTCCCCGTCGACTTTTTCTGTCGAGCTGCCTCAGCACCCCCGTTTCCCCATGAACATATGAAGTGCCAGAAGCAAAGCAACTCGGATTGCTCGGCTCTCCCGGTCCGGGCGGCCGTGCGGAGTGGGGGTGGCTTCAATAGGCTGTGGGGGTTTGCTCTCCAGGCACTAAGTTGAATGCGGTTTAGTCAATTATGACCGCGGTATTGTATTGTCACGGCCCGGGTGAATAATAATGCGGCGGGGAATCCCGAATGTGGGGAAGCTTGATGTTCTCCGAGAACAACGTCGCACGTCAGGTGTCGACTGCCTGCAATAACCGCAAGAGAGGGACCGTCACCTTCATCGTATCATGTCGCGACAGTTGAGAGGCACACGACCGGATCGCTCAGAGATTACACTCGCTATTCCTTGTCAAGCCAAGTCAAGGATTCAACTCCAGAATACTTATCCGCCAGGGCGCCCATAGCCTTGGCCAGCTTGGTTTTCACCGCTTGCTCGGATCGTTTCTTCTTCCTCGCTGCGATGCCGGAACCTCCGTATCCCCTCCACGAATCTATCCGTGACCTGGTTCACCCCGAGTACGCGGCATTTTACAATGAGCATATCATCAATAAACAACAGGTTCACTACCAGCCCCTTGCAGCGTCCCGCACCTCCGGGATCTTGATTCCTGGCGCTGGTCCAATGATCCCTGTTGGGAAAACGCAAGACTTCTCGATCAAGCGGCAGGAATCAGAAGGTCCAGACGTGAAAGTACGGTGCTTTACTCCTGCCGCGGAGAAGGAGCCTGCGGGAGGATGGCCTGTCCTGCTGTATTACCACGGTGGGGGGTGGGTATTGGGAAACATCGACACGGAGAATGTCGTGTGCTCAAATATATGTGCAAGGGCGAATTGCGTTGTGGTTACCACAGATTATAGGTGGGTTGGATGGCCTTGGTCTGCGTCGAACAAGTGCTGTTGCCGACCGTTTCCTTCTTAGACTAGCGCCCGAGAACCCTTTTCCTGCCGCTGTCCAGGATTCCTGGGAGACATTTCTCTGGGTTCACGGAGAAGGTCGTACGCTCTTGAACCTTGACGTTCACCGTGTTGGCGTTGGCGGCTCTTCTGCTGGTGGTAATCTTGCAGCGATCATGGCTCATCGCAGTGTCGCACGAAGTTTTCCACCCCTCAGAATCCAACTTCTCCATGTCCCGGTTATGGATAATACCGCAAATGTGTCCAACAACCGCTCGTACAGAGACTATGAGCACACTCCTGCCCTTCCTGCAGCTAAGATGCTCTGGTTTCGACACCATTACCTTCCAAATGAATCGGACAGATCCAATCCCGAGGCTAGTCCGCTCTTTTATCCGGACAGTGCTGCCACCTGGAACGGATTGCCACACGCGATTGTGGTTGTGGGTGAGTTGGACGTGTTGCGGGAAGAGGGAGAGCAATATGCTGCAAAGTTGAAGAAGAACGGTGTGAGTACGGACCTGCATGTGATGCAAGGTCAGCCACACCCTTTCCTTGCGATGGATGGAGTCCTAGAGGCAGGAAGGCAAGCCATAACATATATGGTGGAGGGCTGCAAAACACGGTTCTATTAATGAGATCAATGGACCGGAAATTTTTGTTTCTGATCTCATTGTCACATATCTACCAAATGCTCTGCTGAAGAGTACACAGAATTTTATCATCTTGAGATCGGCTCGTTTTTGAGATCAGTCCTTCAACTTGCTTGTCAATATTGACGCCAATAACCCACGCTCAAATTGCTGTTGACTTTAGAATATGACAGTCAGCAACCCAACTTTGGGTACGACCCTGTTGTCAACTCCACGAGAGTTCAGAGAGTCCACCATCTGAATGTGTTTATGCGACTATTCCCATGTCTCGAAGACGACCATACCCATTGCTACGTGTGATCGATGGCTTTTATACGGTAACTCCAAACAATGAATGTCGGAGTTGCTGATCTCAAAGATGATCTAGGCCGGATGCAACGTCGTCCAAATCGTCGGGAGCCGTATCCGAATTTTTCGACCAATCGTGCAAAGCTCCTCGAAAGTAGCATCACAGGCTTGACATTGGCGATCGAGGAGGGTTTGTTGCCAAGAAGATTTGCGATTTTGCAACTCTGAGTAACTCACAACTAATCCAGCACATGCAAGCGGCCGACTTTCAAACTTTGCATCTTGACTGAATGGTTGGGAGAGATGGTCTTTGCTCTGCAGTCAGCGTGTCAGGTTGGCAAGCTGTCAAGGCTCCTTTCCGCCTTTTATCTAGCCAACCGCCGAAACTGATGCTGGCCGAGCGCAGAGAGTACACGAGCACGCTATTCGAGCATTTGATGATCATCCGTATTGCTCCTGTGATCCAGTTGCTAACTAACTAGCTGATTAGTCTCACCTTCCAAGAGCTAGTTACCAGACGCCAATCCATTCCTCCCTGCTCATATTTTCAGGCGCAGATCGTGGGCAAATATAACTGTTTCTCATTCCATCTTTCTCTCATCGTGCAGACAAAATGAAGACTTTTCCTCTAATTTCTGCCAGGTTTTGATCCGCACGAAGTCCATATCCCAGCATGGAACACACGAAACATGTTATACACAATGATGATATCTCTAGGCTTGAGATTCCGCGCGATGAGGCCAAATGTCAAGGCACGAGTTGCATCAGCAGTGCTAGTGGTTTGAAAGATGACTCCGCACGAGTTTTAGACCACCGAGCTGAACGGGCTCTCTGTTTCAAACTTGATATACGGCTACTTCCTATACTCGCTGTCATGTGTAAGTTGAAATCATTGCTCCCTCCGTGTTTAAAGTTAATCCAATCTAGATCTCTTTAATGCTCTAGACAAGGGTAACATTGGGAACGCACAAACCGCCGGGTTAAGCACGGGTATGCCAAACCTATCCTCCGCAAGTGTTAATGAAACATTCTCACGAGAGACACTAGATCTAAATTTTAAACCGGGTCAATATAATTTTCTTCTGTCGATTTTCTTCGTCCCGTATGTCATTTTCGCACCTCCCATTGCCTTTATTGGCAAGCGTTACGGTCCTGCTCGAATTCTACCTGTCCTGATGCTCGCATTCGGTTCGTTGACTCTCCTCTCCGCCGCCACCCATGATTTTGGTGGTCTATTCGCACTTCGTTGGTTATTGGGAATGGCCGAAGCGGCATTTTTCCCTCTTGTTATCTACTATCTCACTACCTTTTACCGACGTGGTGAATTGGCTCGCCGCCTAGCCGTCTTCTATGCAGCGTCCAACATCGCCAACGCTTTTTCCGGGCTCCTTGCCTTTGGTGTATTTCAAATCAACGGCGGGGCACTGAAACAATGGAGATATCTTTTTCTGCTTGAGGGTGCTTGCACCGTGCTTTTTGCAGCTTTCGCATGGTGGTATCTGCCTCGATCTCCTGCTGAAACCAGGTTTTTCAATGAGGAGGAAAAAGCACTCGCCTACCGCCGCATCGAGGTCGACTCCAGCTCGGCCATTAATGAGAAAATCAAGTTCCGTGACTCTTTTAAAATATTTAGGCAGCCTACTTCTTTTGTTTTCTTGGCGATAGAAATTTGTCTTGGTGTTCCGATTCAGTCTGTTGCGCTTTTCTTGCCTCAAATTGTTCAGCGTCTCGGGCGTGGCACTGTCACAACTAACCTTTACACAGTTGCTCCAAATTGTACGGGGGCTGTTGTTCTCTTAATTCTAGCTTTTTGTTCAGACGCTTGCCGCCTACGATCGCCTTTTATCGCGCTTGGCTTTCTTCTAAGTTTCACAGGTTTTATGATCTATGCTGCCATTGACGATGTCAAGGCCCAGTTCAAACTTGCCTACTACGCTTGTTTTATGATGACTTGGGGTACTTCGGCACCTTCAGTCTTACTTAGCACCTGGTATAATAACAACATTGCCCACGAAAATCGTCGCATTCTTTTGACATCTATTGGTGTCCCACTTGCCAACCTCATGGGCCTCGTCAGCAGCAACATATTCCGTGAGAAGGATGAGCCCAAGTATAAGCCCGCTTTGGTCATTACTGGGGTGTTTGGTGCGACCGGCGCGGTGCTGTCAACCGGCCTCGGGCTCTACATGGCCTGGGACAATTACCGCCGGAACACGGAGCAGGGAGTTAAAACAGATGCCCGTGATATTCCCACAAGACGTCTCCGAGATGGCCCCGACTCTCCAGAATTCAGGTGGTTTCTGTAATCTTGATTTACAGGTTTTCGTACTTGACTTTCTTATAGCCATAAACAGCAAACGCCTTGCTATTTCAAGATCACAAAATATCTATATAAGTTTGGCTAAGCCCCTATTTCTCTGATATAGAGCTAGTTGCGCCTTCCTCATATTGTATATCTTTCTATTTCCACATTAGAAAGACATGAATTCTCAATTGCAGTTTTTATTTTAGTATAATGCTAGTCTAATCACGGCTATATATCTTCTGATATCTTTCTATATTTAAATTAGAAGGAGGGGAGTGAGACGGAATACATAAGAAGTAGGGAGTATCTTTGAGGAACTCGCTCGCGCTAAACTTTCCAAAAGTCAAGTCCAAACCGTTTTAGCTACCACCGGGTACTTATCCCAGCCTAATCCAAACCCATACATTGTGGCGCCCCGGAAACATGTTTACCTAGTCCTGACAATCGGTCCATCGAGCTTGATACCCTTCATCAACCAAGGGTCTAATACTAACTCTTCACAGTTTGGTCTCTCTTCTGGAACCCAGCAAAGCATTCGCCGGAAGTATTGCAGGAACCCCTTTTTATCTTCCTCGTCTCCGATGAGGTTAGCTCCGAGTTTTTCCAGGCTGGTGTCAGGAATTGGCACAACTCCTCTCCATTTTCCTGCCAAGAAAAGGTCATATCAGCTCCAAACTCCTGCTTTTGATTTATAGTCTCCAATTTTAGTCTTGACTTACCGTTCTCATCCCACAATGCACGGCTCATATGCGACCGTTGGGTAAACTCCAGGGGAGGATTTCCCATAAGTGCAACCATCTCGGCCATGTGCACTCTGTCGTCTTGATATGTACCACAGGGGCTTCGACCTTTGAACAGTGGTTCTCCCATGAGGAGGTGCCAGACCTGCAATTCCTTAGAGGAGAAAAGAAAAAGTAAAAAGAGGGACAAGTTCTCACCACCATGGCAACATTCCAAATATCAATTTGACGATCCCATTTCATATGAAGAATAACTTCTGGCGCCTTGTAGACATCTGGCATGACATCTTCTCCAGGAGTTCCAGCCTCCTCAAAGGTCCGAGCCGCCCCAAAATCACAGATTAATGGCAGCCCATTGCATAGATTTAATGGCCTTGTTGTATAGATATTACGATTGTCATCAACGACTTTCCGTGGTACTGGATGGGAGATTTGTGCCTCTTCAAAAGCTGGAAATATCTCAGGCCTGCTCACACTAAGGATCAAATTGGTGGTTTGTAAATCTGTAAATGATGCGACCATATTAGCTAGTCCCCTCAGAATACATGGCAGTTGTCATAGTTACCCGTATGGATAATGCCAGCTATTACATGTAAAAAATCCAAACCAACGAGAATTTGACGAAGCGAGGGCCGTATGATGTCAAGATTCAATTTTCTTTCCGGATAGTAATCTCAAATCTGACTCAGATTCAGTCCAAGAGGCTCGTGGACTAGGCATAAGTGATCACCATGGGGGCCTTTGACCTGAAAGGACCCAAGGAGTGTGCGGATGCATGATGTTCTTCCTGGATGGTCTGTTTGGGAGATAGCTTCCTCGATGCGCTTGTACATGTTTAATTCACGACCTCTCTCTGCTCCAGTTACATAGAGCTTGAGTGTGGCGTATGCATCTGTCCTGGGAACAGATCAGAACTTGCCCAACACTCACAAAGTGGACACGTATTGAAGACGGGGGATAAGGCTTGCTGCTGCACATTGACACTTACTGGAGATCACGGGCCAACCATACGGTTGAAGTTGTCCCAAATCCCAATTTCCCAAGAATCTGGTATCTTTCACCCAGCACCTCTCCCAAGCGAACAGGATAGTATTTCTCGGGATAGTAGGCGGGAAGTCGCTCCTCGTCTATGAGCTTATCCTTCTCAATCAATTCAAAGCCAGAGGATGGGAAAATCCGCAGTGCCCGGGAGGAGGACATTCTGTGTCAAAGGAAAAAGCAAACATTCCTGGCGTGGCAGCCAACACGCTGGATTCTGCAATTTGCAAAAGTGAGAAAGAACTTGCTCAAGGCTAAAGGCATTAATACTATGCAAAGAAGGAAGCTCGATAGGAACAAAAGCGCTAGCTAGGGAGGATGATGTTGTTCATTCCTCTCAAATGCAGCAGCATTTTTTCATAAAGTGATAGAGATGGCTTTTTGCCAGACTCCAATCAGGTGGCATGAATATTCCCTCTGCAATGTGGACGTCAAACATGCAGGGTGTCTGCAACACAAAAGATCAAGAAGGATTGTAATCATTAGAGTCTATAAAATCAAGCATCTGAGCTATACTACTCAACTTCTGAAGCCAAATTTCAGAAGATTGATTCATGTTGAGACTTGAGAGGTCATCATTCATAAAAAACCCATCCCAACAATGAAGCAGTAACTAATTCTCCCAGGCCCAATTTTAGTAAGATTCAAGCAAGGAAAAACAAAAGGAACATTTGAGAAAACCCGATAAAGCCCATTTAAAAAAAAAAAAAAAAAAAAAAAAAAAACCAGGGACCCGAATCCGAGAGCAATATCCTGAATCACAAAGCAAATGGCAGGCAATTCAAAGCAAGAAAGACAGAAAAACATGCAGTCATATCAGTCGTCAATCATAAATTGCTAACTCATCAGAAACATTCTTCAGGCCACTCGAATTCACCCCTTCTGGGACTGTCGCCGAGCTTTCCCGGTAAAGGTGGGACCCCATTCTCTCCTGGCGTTGCCGTAAATGCTTGCGATGGCTTTCTCCTGAGACGCGACGAGTTACCACGGTCCCCCCGACTTGTCGCAGGAATGCTAACATGCGAAATGCTTTCGGTATGTGTATACGCAGGAAAGGGCGTCAGTCTTTGCGTTTTAGCCTTTCGGTGAGGTTGATGGCGTGTGGGTGGACTGCCTAGAGGTGTACTCAACTTGTTCCTCTTCACACCGGTAGAAACCTCGTCCTCGTCCGGACTTTCTGTATCTTGTGAGTAAACGTAATCGGAGAAGGAGGACGTTGACATTTTCCGTCCTCTAGGATTCGCTGCCCGGCTATTGATCGTTGCAGGACATTTTCGTAGAGTCCGTCGTGGATTCAAAGGTACTGAGGCCCTACCACTCTGGCATTGCGTCGTATACATAGCCTGGGCTTGATCATCTTCTCGGGGTGGTTTCGCCTGGTCCTGGAGAAGTCGCTCGGAGGGTAAAGAAGGTAGCCTCGAGGGAGCAAACGCCCTTTTATTTCGCACCGGGGAAACGCGCGGTGAGGTAAAGTGGAATTCACGGTCGGAAGATAGGGCACGAAGCTCTCTTTGTGCCTTCTCCCACTCCTCTTCTAGCTTGCTCACTTTTCTCGTCAGGCGTTCTCTCAATTTCTCGGTCTTCAACAGATCTTTCATTGAGGATTGTTTAGGTAGTCGTTTAGAAACAGAGTCGACCGACGCTTGCTTCTTGCTCGGGGAAATGGACGCGAACGACCTAGTGGGTCGAATGGTGGAAGTTGTAAGCAACCCAAATTCTGCGGGAGGAGGGGGAAGGTCCTTGTTCACATTAGAAATCCGCATCATTCCCTCTCCGTCGTTACCAAACTTGACGGGGGAAGCCGTTCCCGCTCGACCGGTGTAAACTAGCTTGTTAGTCCCAGGATACCCAGCCGCCTTGAGGTCCGCGTACGCCTTTTCGGCTCTCAGCTTTCTGTCCACTGACACTTCCCGAGATGATGATTTGCTTGCATCTTGTGGTCCCCTCCATATTTCGGAAACGTTGTGCAACACACCAGAGAAGTTGAAAGCTGAAGCGAACTTTTTCCCAAACCGCACGAATCCCGGCTCCCTTGCATAGGCTGGCTCGGTATGGACCGTAGGCGATGGCAAATGAGACGCAGTCTGTGCATGTAGCTGATAAAAGCTCCTATGAGGAGACTTCCTCAAGTATGCGTCGTTTAGCGCTTCTTCCGACAGATAGGATGGTAAATTTTCTTCATTTTCGCCTGTAAATTCGGGTGGTGGCTGGACACTGGCTCGATCTCGCATGCTGCCCTCTCGGAATCGCGATCGGCGTCCCGGTGAGATAGCAGAGGGCCAGCGTGTGCGGCTTGCGCTCTGGCCCCTTTTCGACCTTAGTGAAGGCTGTACGTTATTGCTAACCGCCTGGTTTTCGATCAGTACCGAATTATTATTAGATAGAGGCCAGTCGTTGGACTTGAGACGTTTGGGCGGGGTCTCTTTATCAGGCACAGGTGTGCAGTCCGTGTCTTCAAAGTACGAATCCTCGTGAGAGATTTCTGAGTGGGAAACGCATGATAAATCGTCATCTTCTGGGATGAATAATTTGCGTTTGGATGAGCTCCTGGGGAGATCACCACCTTCTTCACCAATTGATTGGCGGAGAGATTTTTTTAGTTGTCGAGAAGCACATTTATCCCAGGCAGCATCGGGTTGGCGGTTCGCACCCTGTATGAATGGGTTAGTATACAGAATGCGAGCAATCGCCTGTTTGTGCTGGTATGTGAGATATAAGACAGAGGTGGAACTTCGAGCAAGCAAGCAGGCAACGGAATAGATAACGTATTGATAACAAGGCACATAACTATTCGAAGACTTGTTGTCGAACAAGTGGAGGATGATATCTCAAGACAGGCATATGTCGCTGTGTGGGGTAAATACGGGCACTTACATCAAGTTTCCGGCCTCTTGCCATGGTTTCCAACGCCTAATAGATCAAAACTGCAAGAATCAAAGACGTTGTTGCAGGATCAGTGGGGGAGTTCAGGTTGGCTATCCTTCAACTCGATTGCGGTTGAGGAGCAGAAAGGATCCAGGCGGCCAGTAAGAAAACAAAGAAAAAACAAAAGCAACGACGGACAAAGAGAAAGCTTTTCGAAGCGAAAAAGAAACAAAACTCCAAGCGATGAGAGATCCGCCGACGTAGCGCCTCGCGGGGTGGGAATGTTTGTTTTGCTGTTGTTGTTGTTGCGGACTTGACCAGCTTCAACGAGCAAACAAAGACGCTAGCTAGACGTGCATGGAGGACAGTGTGCTCGAGACCACTAGCTATGCAGTCGAAGCCAGAGCACCGTCAGCCCTACAGATGCAGGCGAGCAGAAGAAAGAAGATCACCTTTCCAAAGGCGTCTGGGCGATGCAGAAGAAGTGAAGTCGAGAATCAACCAAAGAGTCGTGTGGCTCGGTGGTTGCCGGGTCACCAGGCGGGAGATCGCCGGGGTCAACACAACATTGACAAGGCTATTATATCATTGATCACAGCAATATAACAGCTTAATGATATCAGTTGTTCAATTGAAAATTGCATACAGTATCTACCAGACAGTCAAAGAAATTCAACACAGAAAACAGCAGCATACATACACACACATCTGGCCAATCTGAATACGGTGGATCAAGAGCATAACCAGACGCCAGTCCCAGGGAATATTAACCAACAAGGGGAAAGAAAAAAGGAAATTGATATCAATGGATGCCCGGCATACTGAACCACCTCTTGGGGGACAAGGCAGAGAGAAGAAGAAGCTCCCGCCACCGTGTTCAAAGACAAGACTCTGTCCTCCGGATCAACTGAAAAACGTAGCCGCCCATCCCGCCAGATATTTTGTTCAGCCCTCTGCTCTTCAACCCTTTTCGGTTCACTAAAATGCCCTGAATATATACTTTCGCACTCGGCTCGTCGGATTGCAAGCAAAGAGTATGTCTCGCAACAAAAACAACAATTAGATCACTTCAAAAAGGAAACATGCTTTGAACCCGGCGCGCACAACCCGCGATCAACTTCGCAAAGCGGCCAGTCGTCACCCCCTTGGTCCACGGCTCATATGTACTCCGACGCAAAAGCTAACTGTGTCCTCCTTTATTCCAAGGATAGGCTGCCACCGCTCTGATATAAATAGCGGAGATAATCGAAAGAAGAGTGAAAAAGGAAATAAGTGGCTACCAAATGTGAGATAGGAGGGGAAGGGAAATAGTAAGCACAAAGAAAAATAACGAATGAAAGATGTATCTTTAAAGATCGACAAGGCCGCTGTTCACGGGCCAGAAGGGTTCCTTTTCCTCTTTTCTCTCTCCCTCTCCCTCTTTCTTCTCTGCAAAACTGAGTCCACACATGTACAGTCAGGAAATATAAACTCTGAAGGAACGGCGGGTGGTCCATGTTCACATGTTTCTGGCATAAACTTTTGGGTGTGAGGAAACTAGGAACTGGATGCCGGCGAAAATCCAAAATAAGAGCACTTAAGCATTCATGCCAGTTCTCCTTTGAACTTGTCTTCCATCGGCTCGCAAATATGTCATCGTACCATCGGAGCCCAGGTCGACGCTTGCGGGTCCCTCGACTTCCGCTAGGATGTCGGGCCGTGCACCGTCATACAAACGACGACTAAGATGACCAGAGCCAAACGTATCACCGTGGGACCGTTTGCCGGACGACATTGATTCCTTGTAATCCCACTGTCTGCGTGTAGAATCATAGGTTGCTGGGGTGGTCGGTGTGGAAGGGACTGGCGGGGGCTCAGAGGCAATGATCGCCAGAGGCGGGACAGCATATTGAGATTTGCTAACAGGCGCCTTGTGGAGAGGAGACGGTGGAGGCATCTGTGAGGGCTGAGGATATCCCTTAAGCTCAGCCGGGGAGTCGTGGGTACGGGGGTTGTAGTTGGGCAAAAAGTGTGTTGAGATTGGCGGTAAGCTGGGTCTTCCGAGGTCTGGTCTTGAAGACTCAACCTTTAGAGGATATTTCTGCGGCTGCGAATCCAGAGCTGGCCCGGAAGAGGCCTCCCTGCTGTGCGAATATCCAGGACGCGGCGACGGGTACATGGTAGGTTGCGGGGTGGCCGGCTGCATACTCACCGGCGGAGCACTGTACTGAACCTGAGGAGCACCAAATGTCAGATGGGACTGAGCCATTGGCGCGGGGCTTGGGCCCGGAGGAGGCGGAATCGCCACAGGTTGCTGATAAGGTGCTGGAGGATAGGCATAGTCTTGCACGGATGGGGCCCGCCGAGGCGTGGGACAATAGACATAGGGGTGGTCAACCGAGGCGTTGCTTGTCGAGCGCGGTCGCTCAGTCGGCGTTCCCGGATAGTTGTCGGGGGTCATGTGTCGGTCATCGTAGCCGCCGTTGAAATCCTTATTTCCCTTTTGCTCGCGGCGTCTCATCCGGACATCACGGCGAATACGCACGCGGCAGCCCTGTTCTGCGACGGTGCGACTGAGCATCGTGCTTTCAGCCAAGCCGGGGAACTTCTTGGCACTATAAACGGTAAACGGCGTCGTCTTCACGTCGAGACGGAAAAAGATGTATTCATCGGGCTCGCGAGGTTCACCGATTTTGTTCAGCGTGGGCAGAACCGGTCGTGGGATGCCACGATCTTTATCCTCGTCTTTCGGGTCCTTGACTTCTTCATACAAACTGAAATTCAACCGGTAATACCCTTCGTGACGAACAGACAGGTCTGGGAAGATGAAATAGCCTGCCTGCACGGGTCGATCCAAGTATGCCACACCGGCGACCGGTACACCAGTCAGGACGGGCGGCGTGGCAGCGCTTTGGCTTTGTCCTCGTCCGTGGGCAATGGGGCGGGCCCATTCTAACGTGGTGAAGAGGAAGAAGTTGGCGTTGTAGGCGAATGTGATGTCGGTCTTGTTCATATCATTCTGGTCCGACTCGTAAACGCGTAATTCAACCACCGGGGGCGGGTCGACAGGGCGACGGTCAGCGGATGCTAGAGGTTCGTGTTAGCCTCCACGCCATGCGAAGCCATCATGGTAATAATAGGGCCTCACCCTTGGCCCCAGCACCGCATGCTCTTGCCCGTTCAGGCTGCTGGATGACCTTGAGGGTGTAGGTGAGTTTCTTCCCTTCCCTCGTCGTGCGGGAGAACGAGCTCTCGGTCTCGTTCTCCGGGTTAAGAATGGATTCTTTCGACGTCATGGCGATGGATATATTTTCTTCAGCTGGATGTAGTTAGGAGTCCTGTGTTCTTGTGTCAGTCTAGGTATGAAGCAGGACCTTGACCACGGGACTCGACCAGTGGATGTATCGATGTACATACGTACCATAGGCAGGAGGAAGATTTGAATAAAACTGATGTTTTCTTTCCCAGTGAGCTCGACTGCGCGCGCTGGCTGTTCGACAATTGTGTTCGGCGCTTGGGTGAAACACTGGGGGTCGAAGGCTTTCGAGAATCGAGACAAATCTCCACTCAGCACGAATCGATCGATATCAGCTCAGAATGATTTCGAAATTTCGGCTTCGAAATCAAGCAGACGGCCCTCTCCTGCGTGTTGTTGTCGGATCGCAGATGAAGCCCAAGGGGGGAGGATTGAAGTTGTGAAGCGGTTTGGCAGAGTTGAGAGCACACTTAGCTTGTGCAACGGTTCGTCGAAAAGTGGGAATAATCAAAAAAGGGCCCCAGACTCCAGTGCCGGGGCGTGGGACTGGGATTCATCCTCGACGGGTCAGGCGAAGGGAGTCCAACTCAATTCTTGATTAATATTCAGCACGCCCAACTCGTTTCTCAGTGGCTGGCGGCGCAAAAATGAGCCAGGGAGAGTGGAATTACGACCCAGCAGCACCCTCACCACCCCTGCTTAGCGGGCTGCACACGGCGCCAGGGAGCAGAGTGATAGGCCCGTCCTGCAGATTCCGTGATGCACGCGAGTGTCCACGGCCTCGTCCACCCGTAATTGCGGTCATGGGCCTGCACTCCTGCCCTCGCTCAAAGCAGCGCATCTTCCGGCAACCTGGTTCATCAGCACACTGACTCCTCCCTCGGTTTGGGAACGAATCACCGGGCGCCGCAACCCGCCACGCATTGCTCAAGAGCAGGAAAAGGGCTTTCTGCATGACAAATACCGGCGTGATGGACTTGGATGAGTTCTCGCGAGTCTGAATTGGGTCGCTCGCCGGCGCGAACTCTCTCCCCTTGCTCGGTGGTGGCGGTTCCGTGTGTTCACCATGTCAATAGCAGACTGCAGTCGATACAGCACCCGTACCGCCGTCACACTTGCACCCTGCAGCCAGCGCAACCAGCGCCAGCTCTAGCGGCCTTGGCGGTTCCATTGCAGCCATGCCAAGAACCCGCCAGGCCGTTCCAAGAGCACGCGAAACAGAACCCTGCCCTTCTATTGGCTGGGGTTGATGAGCTAAACCCACTGGCTGGGATTTAGGTTTGGCCCCAGCAACCTTCTTCTCCAGGCCGGGTAACAAACGGTATCGACTCTGCAAAGGGGATTTCAGTCTGTCTCTTCCATTAATTCAGGCCATCAAGTGCCATCAGGCGCTTCAGATAATACTGCACAATGCACTTCTTCCCACAAATCTGCCCAAGAGTCATCCGACAAACCGGATGGCAGCTCCAACAAACACAGATTCTCCAGAATGATCCAACCCATTTCCGGCAACTTTGGATCTTCCCCAGGTTTCAACCAACAATGCAGAAAGTCTCTATGAATAGGCATCCCAAACTTCCTGTCGCTCTTGGTCCAGCCACAACTCAGAGGCCACTGACATCAGTCCTCCCTTATTCACCATCACAAAAAGTCTCTTCCGAATCATCATGAGAAAATGCTCTCCTCTCGTCCTGAGGCTCAAACCTCGCTTTGCCTTCCAATCCATATCCATATTGGCAAAAGCAACAAGAGTTTCCTTTATTCTCACAGACTTATCCTTCCCAGCGCGTCCTCCAGGATCTCCACGGACTGTTGACTTATGAAACAATTCCATTTTCCTGTCAAACATTGTGGTACCGGTCCGCACAGAGTACGCTGTCACCGCTTGGACATGCAATAAACAACAGGTTCCCGTTGAGACAATGTCAATTGTTGTACAAGTCGCCTTGTTGGGTTCCAGCTTCCTCTGAAGAAGCAGCCAGAAACCGCCCCCGAACCCCCTTCTTGAGATCAGACCCCAATATCTCAACCTTTCTTATTAAGCACTGGTTTTGAATAACAAGTGCGGTACAAGACAGATTCTGTATCACGATGGAGCTTCTCGAGCTGAAGTTGTTGATTATCATCAGTCCCTGCTTCTTGTAGAATTTTGAAATCCAGCCTGGCATTGGTGCCATCCACTCAATAACACTGTTGATGCAGGGTCCTTTTGCATTGTACTACAACTTCCATCTTGTTTTCTTTTCTTTTCTTTTCATCTTTTATTGCGCGTATGGAAGATGAAATCTGAAAAGTCATAATCCCCCATTGCAAACACTCTCAGTGGCACTTGTCCTTTTGCTATAAAGGTTTAGTGCTAATGGCATTGCACTGAAGTGTGATTCGCCCCCAGAATTCTAAATGTTTCCCTAGATTTCACCTAGAATTGAATTGCCTCCATTTGAACTCTCAAGATAACCCTAGCTTGAAGTTCTCTGAACATGAGCAGCCGGAGACCTACTCCATAAGATACTTGCAGTTTTTGCAGTTTTTGCATTTCTCGGTCTCAAATGATAGAATACTATTCCGCACACGGCTACGGAATACATTGGGCTCACCTCCAGGTATTCAGCATGGCGGTTCATCCTCCCTATCCTCTTTGTTTAAGCTCAAAAGAATGCTACCCAACTAGATCTTGAGTAGTATCTTCCTATCAATTTTTCTAGTCAATCACCTTCCACCACCTCCTTTCTTCTGTGTTTTGTCAACCACATCAATCCACTGCGGTTTGATCCCTCTATCACCAAGGACTTTCTCCACTGTTCGGCGATGGTCACCCTGAACCAGTACCTCCATTAACCCTTTAACTGCTCCAACTGCTTGACTCACGCTTGTGCTACTTGCACACTTCTTTTGCAGCTCATCACCCAGCACCTGAGGAGATACGCCAAATGTCTCCAGCCCCGTCAGCCGCGTTACAACCTTTGAGCCAGTTCGGCGCTCAATCAGCACGGACGCTTTAGGAAGAGCCCCGGCCTTGGGTTTTACATCCCTCAGAATCTGACCCGGCTTCAGGATTGCGTGATATGGTGCGCAAAGGGATGGGTCGTCAAGCAGTCTCTTGAGCAATGCGTCCCGCATCACTGTGCCACGTGTCAAAATGGCCAGGTCGGCTTGGGAGTTGGAAGACAGGATTTTGTTGCTGATGAATGGGTTTAGGTGGATAATGCGGGGATTCGAAGGAGAAATAATGGATGGCTGCTGCGATGAGAGGTAGTCGTTTAGGCGTTTTGACACATCAGACGCCGAATAGTAATTGTTGATATCGGTGTTTGCAAGAGGCGGGAACAAGTCTGGCGTAAGTTTGCCGCTTGGCCGGTAAATGGTCTTGACATTGAAAGACTCCCCTAGCTGTGCATTTGCGGGTGCTTTTGAGGACGGTTTGCTCTCTGATCCAGCCTTTCGCGGAAGCTTGTATGGTTCAAACATATCTACCCTTCTGTCATTAAAATCAACATCCAGGATTATCGTTTCTCCTCCGCTTCGATCTTTTGACTTGACCAATCTCTCCTTGTCAAGATACTTGACGAATTTCTTGACATTCTTCCATGAGGTCTTTTTAATTTGATAAAACTGAGCTTGCTGTGGGGTATATACCGGTAAAAACGGGGTTATCAGGTTAGAAATCACAAACGACGGCTGAATAGGAAAAGACAGCCCGTGATTCTGTTCACTCGGGTTCTTCTCCTTCTGTTGGTGAATCGCATACAGAAACGCCCTGAAGAACGCCTCGTCAATCTCTGTGGAAAATATTAGCCTTGGTCGCTACTCGATAATCCCTTTGAACAATCATTAGTGGCCTCTTACCTTTGGTTGTCGGCTCCTTTTGTGGCTCTTCCGGTGCATCTGTCTCTTCAACGTTCAATGCGGCATCGTCACTCGCTTCACCCTGGCCAATCTCATCCTCGCCGTTATCTTCCAATTTCAACTCATTCACAGCTTGGTCCAAATCCCCAGGGGTACTGAGCCAACCGCTGAGGCTCTCCGGTGCAGATTGACCGGGACTCCCCGTTGAGCTCCAGCTCCATAATTCATCCCCGTGCCATTGTATACCCTTAACAGCATGACCTTTTAGTCCCTGTACCTGACCAAGGCTAGAAACGTCAACTTCGCATACACCCACAAACGTTGGCACGCTTGGCTTCGCTATATCGGCCACCGCAACGACTGCATTTTTAGTCGCCCCTTCAGGAAATGGCGGTCCGTTTGTTAAACCTGGTATCATGAGGTCGGCACCGTTATACAGCTTATCCATCACCAGAGATTGTGTATGTAGCAACGGAATGAGCCTGGGATTGCTCCATAGCGTATAAACCGTGGGGTAGATGCGGCCATCGGTGCCAGGGCCCTGTTCGAGTCTAACCCACAAAACTCTTTCCTCTCCTTCAGGATGTGTTCCTACATAGATTGTTCCTTGAACTGGCTGAAGATCTGGGCCCACCGTTGTAGTAAAACGTCCCGATTGGGTGTTCTCTGGGAGGAGGGCATTGCGGATGGTTGCGGTGGTCGGGGTTGTTTGTGTCGTCGAATCTCCGTTTTCGGTTGTTAAGCAGGGAGCCTCAGGGAGCTGTAACTTATACTGCTGTATAATCTGATCGGCAATCTTACGTCGGTCCGATGAGCGGAGAGGAGCGAGTGTTTTAATCTGTGAGCATCTGTTCAGTAATAAATCACCTTAACTGTAGTGGCGGCCCGCGGGGTGGGGCGCTCACTGCTGGCTTTTTCTTGAACATATTGAAGAATAGCTCCGTCCAGGAGCGGCGGTCCAAAATTTAAGGAGTTCGAGGGAACAAGCGGTGTTTGTCTGTCGAGCTCAAGCTCCCAGCGACATTTGTTCACAGCTGCGGGGGTTCCCAGTGACTCGCATTTGAGATTATCCCAATGCGGGGCAACAAAACCCAGAATTTCATATCGCCAGCAAATACAGATATATATCGAACGTGAGAGGGATTATCAAAGATTTAGGCCGTTGCTAACATTGTTTGATCTTTTTTCCTACTCAAATGTCTAAGTGTGCCGTTTCACCAAGCCCATCGGGAGCGTGTTAGCTCCCCTGGCGGGAGATGTTTCCTACCGCAGAGATACAAAGCTGTGATTCGAAATGCATGGTATAGCTAGTTACTCTTGAACAGGAAGACAGAACGACTGATGAAGCATGGGGAGCGCGCGGAAAGAACAACCTCTCAATGGGGAAGAAGGATCTGATCGTAGTCTTGATGAATTGTGTTCAGTGCTCTGCTGTCCTCGTTCGCTATAGAGACATGAAGGGCCTCGGTGGTTTGCAAGTCACGTCGCCCTATTCTAGCGGGCTTGTATGTTAGCATTTATCGTTTACAAATGCATCCTTTACGGATTATCACTCTTTTGACCGGGCCCTATATTCTCTTAGCCGGCGCGGTTCCTCTGACGAAGCCAAAAGTCTCTAGGCCATCCTGCCGGAAATCTAAACCTATCTTAGAGGCGGAGCAGTTGTATTTTGATGACCCTGCAGGATATCAAGGCCCTTTTTGGAATCTTGCGGCGATCAACGACGCGAGTTCGGGAGGGACACCCGCTTATAATCCGGACTTGTTGCGCTGGCATTCCGCTTCTTCACCTGCGCAGACCGGACTGCATGGGAGTGATTCTGCCTACCGCCCTCCGGAGTATCATAGCGGCACCGATCGGGACCAAATTTTGAGCTTGAGAACCTACCCATGGAACACCATCGGTCGCGTATCCTTCAAACGCTTCAAAGGCGACAAAGGCGGTTGGTGCACAGGAACCCTGGTGGGAAAGGACCTTGTACTTACAGCGAGTCACTGCTTTCCGTGGGGATATAGCGATGGTAGTTGGATGCAGTTCGCGCCGGGGTTTGGAAACGCGACCGAGCCTTTCGGCGCGTCTTTCATTTCACGCTGTCGCGGTGTGAAGAATACGTTTAACGTGACCGGGATCGATTATGTCGTTTGTCACCTGTGCCAACCGCTTGGAGAGAAGCTCGGCTGGATGGGGACGCGATGGTGGAACGATGAATCGGTTTATATGAGTCGATCGTGGTCCAGCAGCGGTTATCCGATAGATTCTTTTCATGGCCAAGCGCAGATGTTTATTCCTAGTATTAACCTTTTTGAGATCGAATATCATGGAGACCTTGGTGTGGAGCTCGAATCCCACACATTCGCATCAGCCGGTTGGTCGGGAGGGCCAATGTGGGGCTATATTGACGGGCAGGCTACCATCGTGGGCGTATGCAGCGGAGCAGAGAAGGATTGCAGTGAGCGGGTTGGAGGTTGTCTCATCACCGACACGGAAGACTATCATGACGTTTCTGCGGGAGGGAAGCTCATGACCGATCTTGTGCTCTATGCGATGACCCACTGGGGACCTGCTTAATGCCGGAGGGTATCTCGACGTCAGGTCATATCCCATTCAAACCAAAACGGCCCTTCTCAGGATCATTGCAGGCATGAAGTGGTTTCTGGACAGATCAGTCGCTAGATAGAGCAACCCAGGGGAAAAACGTGTATCAATTCTCAAACATTCAACAAAAACAATATCATACTTCAAAATGAGAAATCCAGTAAAAGGAAGTAAGCTCCCGTCTTAGAGGCAGAATATTTCATCAATTCTTTTTAGGGATAAAAGACCATAATCGTAAAATCAAATGAGAACGTGAAACAGGTGATACTTGGGGGTGTGAGCCCCAAAGCCCGGTAATTATCTAGCACAGCGTGCTTTTCAAGTCTAAAAGAATCGAGGAATCGAGCACTTCTAGCGACCATCAAATCAAGCACTTGACTAATCTGTGCGTATATAAATTTTCATGTTGTGCAGAAGGAGGTTTGCAGATTTCGAGCTGTCTCTTTTCCAATCAACGGGGATGTCGGAAGACTGAGCAAAAGAGCTTCGTGAATGTAGATAAAAACGGATACTCCGGTGTGCATACTTTGAGACTCTCGGCTCTTCCGTAAAGACAGGTAGTTGTCGGGGGAGACATGCGTCAGTAGTCGGGAGTAAGGGATGTATGCTCCATGGATGCGATGTTCGTATAGTTAACTAACAAGAAAAGGCCACAGAGCGAGATATAACTAACTATTTAGTTATTCATAGAGGGTCACAGAAGCTTTCATAAATTCATCACTCCATATCAATCCTCTTGCAAATACTGATAGCAAATGTTTCCCTGGACACGTTGACTTGGAGACTAAAAGGCTGGACTCGCGAAGCCTGGAGGCGCAGCGGTGATTCCCATTCGGGTTAGCGTCGTTTGCGTTGAATTCAGGCCTCCCATTTCCCAGTAACACGCTTGAATGACACGATTTATTTTGACTGAGCCGCCTGCTGCCCTTTCCGCCCTGCCACGACCATCGTTCCTTGGAGCCTCGATAGATCCCGCATGTCCGAGTCTCCCTGATTACTAGTGGCATCGCTGACGCTTTTTACCACCGCGGCCTGGGCCGCAGCGTGGGCTCCAAGACTCGATCCCCGACAATCCGAAATATCGAAATAAACCTCAATTCTCTTCGATTCATCTTTGTCTCGCTTGCGTCGTGGCTGCTGGTCAGAAAGAGGATACCGTTGATTACGTTTTCCCCTCCGGTTTTATCGAATTTGCCTGTTCGTCTTGGTCGATAGCTCTCTTGAACCCGGCTTCAACCTCCACCGACTTTATACCGCGACGGTTGTGCTTTATTCTCAACTCCATTCATCCAGCCCAGCTGGTTAGAAAAGGTCATGCGACCGCCAGACCGCCCTACTTCGAGTTACGAGCCATTTATCGTTGACAGTGACATGGGCAATCCGGACGATGACGATGTCCGCTGTTTCGACCCTTCGGTTTTGGAAGCCTCGGCCTCCCATGATAGCCATGATTTCGAGGACCTCTTCCTTCGCCCATCCAGCGCTGCGCAGATGTCTGACGCCCTGTCGTGCTTCTCCGATTTAACATCGAAGGGGTCTGTGAACGTACCTCCAGCTGTCACTCAAGCCACATTGTCACCGCCCAATACTCGATCAGAATCCCCCGAAGATTCGAGTAATGGATCGCTAGCAAATTCGCCTATCGGGCATGCGCGGAATACTTCTTTACTGTCAAACCCTTCGGAGGCTTTCAGTCCTGGGAGCATCGGGACGGACCAGTTTCTGCCGTCCACCTGGCCAAACTCTCAGGACTTCACAGTTGCCAATGGAAGCTTTGGCACACAATGTGGTGGCTCCCTATCGGTCAAACAAGAATATATTACAGAGTCGGATATTGAGATGAGCAATAAAGCGATGGATTCTGCGTTTGACTTTGAAAGTGCTGCTAGCAGTCCTAGCCCTTTAGCAGCTGGTGCCTCCGCAGAGAAAAGGAAACCTGAACAACCAAAAGAAGCGCTTCCTCCAACCCCAACTGAAATATCAAACGATCGAAATGCATCCGTAAGCTAGTATCTATCTCTCGCCTTCAAACCAATTGTGCTAACGTGTTGTAGCTTCCTGCACAGGGTTCATCTCCGTTCGCTTTTCACCGACCTAATGACCCTTATGCCACCTTCCCTAGGCCTATAGATAGCTTCAAATACTGGAATGGCGTCTCTTCTCCATCCGAATTAGAGGGAGCACTCGGAAGTATCAGCATGAATGGCCCTTCACCATTGCATACTACCTTATCGCCAAGTCTCAATTTCAAATCGTACGCATCTCCTTTCGAGGCCTCCGGTTATCATCCGTCGCTAGTCTTCCCCATGAGCGATGCAAATGCCATGTTTCACCCGGCCTTTGGTTTTGAAGGCTATGTCCGCCCACGCCTCATCGTTCATCCAACTGCACTGAAGTCCCGGGTCGAAACGCAGATACCCATCAAACTGACCATGTATCCTATGCCCCCTGGAGTAAAACGATTACGACTTCCCACATACACAATATCAAAACCGAAATTTTTTGCCAAACCTGATATGCCACCCTCTCCTGATATTTTTGAGTTGTATGTTAGCGTTGTCTGCACGAGTGCCATGCAAGATAAGAAGAAGCAGGAAAAAGCATTTGCTAGAGCACGTGGTGAAAAAATACCTGTCCAGTCACCCGGAAAGGAGGACGACGCAGAAGACCACCAGGATGAAGATGAGAGCCCACTAAAAGGTGGTGAAGTGAAAATTTGCGCAGGTTGCATCCAGCGAGAGCGGAAGAGGGCCTCGCGGAAGAAGCAGAGGAAACCGGAGGAAGATGAATTGTTTCAGAAGGATGAGGACAAACGAGTAATCGTGTTTAATACAACTGAAATGAAAGATTGGGTTGATCCTCCAAGGATAACTTCGTCTAGCGGCGCCGAGGCGTCGACTCCTCCGCCTCCTCTTGGGTCGATGCAAGTCGAGCTACCAATGCGAATCGCTTGTTATTGTCGGCATCAGGGAGAAAAAATGGGATTTCAGTAAGTTGCATCCCCTAGAGGGTCTAAACATTACTAACACCGAAGCTAGGGTAATTTTTACCATCAAGGATTATCTGGGTAAAGTCATTGCTCAAGAAATGACTAACTCTATAATGATCACTGATGACCACAAAACCCATACGCCATCAAACCAGGCATTACCAAATTCTGCTCCCACAGACAGTCAATCCTCAAATGGGAAGGCGAGCGGGCCTGTTGATATGGGAAAACAGTTTATTCACCAAGCACCATTTAAATTATCTCATTCTGCCACAGATTTGCAAGCTCTACGCAATCAGCAGTACCCTCTGACTCCTGGGCCATTTAACCCTTCACAAGGCCTAGTTACTAACGGTGCTGTCGCTACTCGTGGTCTTTTGAGACAAGCCCCCTCGAGGGATTTGCCAGGTCCCTTGGCGAAGCGCAGGAAGCAAAATGGTACCGGGAAAATCCCCAGTGGACTCACTATGACTAAAGTGGATGGTTCTTCGAATGCAACGCCTCAGAAATCCAAGCTGGGTGCTTCCGGGTCGTCTTCGCAGGCCAATGCGCCTTCTATGGTAACCCAGTTTGGAAATGGTCCGCCAACGCCGAATGCTTCGGATTCAGCGTTCTTTAGTCCCCGGGATAGACCTCAGAGTGTTGAAAACATCGCTCAGCAGTCGCTTATCTCTGCTCCTAGCTCAGCCCAACCAAGTCGCCCAGGAACTCCTGGCAGCTCCTCTCGTGCGGGACCACTCGAGCAAGCCGTTAGCAGCGTCCCGAACCCTTCTCTACAAGCACAGATGTGGAGTATACCGCCTCAAGCACCTCATCAGATTCCCCCGATGATTCACAAGCTTGTTCCTGCAGAAGGTTCTACCACTGGAGGTAGCGAGGTTACTTTGTTAGGTAGTGGGTTTTTCCCCGGTATGGAGGTTGTTTTCGGAGATACTTTAGCGACAACCACGACTTTCTGGGGAGACAAATGTTTGAATTGTCTCACACCACCCGCTTTGCAACCTGGAACTGTTCCCGTGGTCTTTAAACATGAACATCCACGCTTTGGCCAGGTTCAACAGGCGCCTACAATTATGCCAAAGCAGCAAACTTTCTTCCGTTACATTGATGATCGAGAATTGCAAATGTACCGCGTCGCTTTGGGTATCCTTGGCCAGAAGCTTAGGAACCCTGCAGATGCATATCACACTGCGCAGCAAATTATGGGAGGTGACCCCAACGCCTTATGGAATATTCAAAATGGCTTCCAAGGGGGACAGCAAAGAGGCAACGGTAGCACCTCGCAGAACGGCAGCATGGCTGAGCTAGACGCGAAAATGCTTGTTTACCTCGAATTCATGGACCTTGACGATACACCAGGTGCACCCAAATTTAATTTGCGGTCTCCAGCTGGGCAGACGCTTTTGCATCTTGCATCGTCTTTAGGCTTGACTCGCTTTGTTGCTGGGCTCCTTGCGAGGGGTGCTAGCCCTGATGTGCAAGACAACAACGGCAACACCCCCCTACACCTGGCGGCAATCAGTGGACATACCCATATCGTCCATCGTTTGCGACTTTCTGGCGCCAATGTTGCAGCACGAAATCTCCGAGACTTTACGCCAGCCGACCTTGCGTCTTCGTTAGAGGTCCACCAGGCTGTGCTTATTCCTTCACAACACTACCGGTCTAGAAGTGTCGGATCAGCCCCATCGTTGCGCCGGCGTTTAAGCTCTGGTTCTCTCAGTGAGTTCTGGGATTCATCATCCTCTGGAGAATCTGCCGAAGTCGTGGGGGATCCATCAGGAGCCTCGGACGCGGAATCTTCTGAAGAGAATACGGATGGTAGAGATACTGCGGTTTACCCATCAACCTCAAGTCGCCCAAGCGCACTTCCTCAGAGCCCGCCGAGATATTTCTTGACTGGATCTCGCGACAGTACTCTTCAGCCTCCAGATGGCCTACCCGCTGTAGAACGCGAATCGAATGCAGAGGCCGGAAGGGGGTTTTCGCCTCCCGCTGCTTTGATCGCTTGGCGCAATCAACTGGCTGCCCAAATAAACCACTTTCACCAGAATGTTAATCGAGCATTTCCCAATTTGCCCGCGTTACCGCCAATGCCCACTATACCTGATTATCAAACGCATCCGATGATACAGCGGATCAGCTCTCTTGTTCCACACCGACCGACAACTTCCTGGTCCACGAATATCATGAAAGATAGCTGGGATCGATTGACGGGCAATTCATCCCCACCTGCATATGAAGAATTGTACCCAGCCAAAAAAGCGGATGAAGGCCAAGAAACCAAGAAATCATCGGTGGTGGAAGCTGCGCTTGACGCTGCGGTGGATCAACATTTCGAGGCTCAATCGAAACCTTCGTCTTCGTCTACAACTGTAGATCTCAAGGAAGACCTTGGCGACGTGCGTATTGGGCGCAAAACCATATCACGACAGCAACAGGAGCAACTTCGAAAGGCTCATGCCCTGAAAATGAAACGCATTCGCAGTGACCGGAATCTATTCTTCATCTGGGTGAGTGATTGACCGAACCCCCGTCTCCATGCTAAAATCGATGCTAATAAAGCTATAGATCCCTCTTTTCATTATTATCATGTTTGCCATGCTGCAAAACATTTTCCCGAGTTTCTGGCAAAGCACTTTGCAGGGCTTTCAGTTCCTCAAATCCCGCTACGTTTCGGGGCATGTGGAAGCTATCCCTTTTTAATCGTATTTCCTGGTTCTATTCGACCTTTGATACCGGATGCTCGTTCAAAGCGTAAATCTTCTTTTGTCTTGGGGTCGAACAAGGCCTTTTGTTGTGAATTGGTATGTTTTGGGCCTATGTAACGACTAATATGATGTTCTCAAGTTCAAGTGATTAAAAGATTTTTAAATGCTATCGCGACAGAGGCCTTGTATTTTCGCTTTCGATTCCCTTTCAGCTTTTTTTTCCACCTTTGATAGAACCCAAGCGTATTTATCTTTACTGTAACTAGCCAAATAATTGCAAAAGACCTTGATGTTTGGTCATAATGCCAAGAAGCAGTCGGTTGACTTTCAAACCAAAGTATCAAACTATCGGTCACCACGCCATGTCGCGTGGAGCTTCAGTATATATGGTCCAGCGCATTCAGTTTTAATCGCCGAGGAATGGGAGTTTCTACTATGGTCACTATAGATCTCTGTTTTCCCGGTTGTCATGGACGTCACCCCTCGCCCGAATTCCAGCAACGTAACTGGTTTGTTCCGTGATTCCCTCCAAGTCACTGACAAAAGCTCACTTATATGTGATAGTTGAATACACGGACCCTTCCGGCCTCTTCCCTTCGATACAGCCTCTATTACTGGACGCTCGACAGCTACGGAATCTCCATTGGAAGCCCCCCACCCGGCCGCTTCGCTCCATCGGATGCCTTCAAATTGACTTTGTCCCTGCCGAGAGTGCAGAGGAGCGGAAGCGACTGAGCGACGGCTCCGGCGGTGTAGTCACTCACCGTAGACACCAAATACCAGGTCTACGCCGAACGCCTTATTTGAAGCTTTACCTCTTACGCTGCGATGATAATGAAACCTACAAAACAACGTCGAGGAAGCTGGTGCGGGAGTGGGTCAAAGCCAATGGAAGCGGCTCTGCTGGCTCCCAAGATAACCACGATGCTTGTGAATACTTGATAATACACGTCGTCGACGCCAATGCGCAAAGCGTCGAACCCCCAGAGAAAACAGGGCCTATGGCGAAATGGCCTGGACGCGGATCTACTTCAATCCTTGAGAAGCTCAGGGCAGATTTCAATGGATCATCAAAAAATGCACTTGATCGTGTTGTTCAATTGAAACTTCCCAAACATGAGGCAAAACAACGACCGGTGGAGGCCTCTGAGCAGCTACAAGACCTTATTGCGAAGCTGAAGTCCAGCATCTTGACGTCTTTTGATCTCCGTGTCGCGCAATATGAGGACGACATTCGAGAAAAAGATTCGCAACGGAGTCTTCCTGGTTGGAATTTCTGTACCTTTTTTATACTTAAAGAAGGACTGGCTTTAGGATTCGAAAACGTTGGTTTATATGAAGATGCGCTGATCGGCTATGATGAACTTTCGGCTGGGCTAGACGCCGCTCTTAGAGATCAATTGTCTGGCGCAGGAGATCAGCATGGAGGGACGCTTCTTTCGCATAGTGAGGAGATGAAATCTTGCGCTAAGGCTGCTCTTTCATCGGCAGCCGCAATTCCTGGTAATGCGAATGCAAGTGGCGACGAAGATCCAACATCAGATGAAACATCGTCAGAAGACAGTCTATTTGCGGAGCCAATCGAGTTGGACCCGGCAAAATACCCCTTTAATCCAAACAAGAAGCCCTATCGTGATATGATTGTGGCTAACAACATTTCCGTTTTCGATTTTCGCACCTACATATTTTCGAGACAGATGCAGCTGCTGTTGAAAGCTGCTCAAGCTCAACCATTGGGAAAAAAGAGTGGCCAGGCTAATCAAAACATCAAATCGAAGGAGACCCATAATTTGATTTTCATTGCCGAAATATGCGACCGCGCAAGCGAGTTCATTACGCTTGCCTCGCGGATATTACGCAAGGATTTGGAGAGCGGGATATCACAACTTGAACACAAACATAACGGTGCCGTTATAGCAAAAGTGATTGATAATCTCGTATACTCATGGTCGTACGCTGCTGTGTCCCAGGTGCTTATCCAAACCTCCATCGGCTCCCTAGAGCTTCCACATGTGTCTCTTAAAACCAGCAAGGACCTAATAGATGCATCAATACTTGCTCCAGTCACCATGAGCTCAGGCTCTAGTGTGCCTCAGCGGTCGAGCTCTCTAGTCACCAGCCCTACCAGTCACGGCGCGACGACGACTCCTGATTCACCTTCAGTGGGCTTAACCGCCAACCCTGCGAGACGGCCGTTGACCGCTTTGATACCGGACGGTCCTGCAATAAAAAGAGTTGGGGCAGTCGAACTGGCATCGGCAAGGGGTGACTTGTATATCCTTGCAAGACGTGTCCTAGAAGCTTCGGGCTGTGAGCGGCGATGCGGGCAACGATGGCAAGATCTATCGCTTCTGTTTAATGAGGACGACCCTTCTGGAGCTGCGGCTTTTACTGAGGTTTCCCTAGATGGCAATGATAACGCTTCAGACAACGGCTCGATTCCAGATCAAGAATCCCTGAGTCTTTTAGCGGGTGTTGAAGCGCCGATATTGGAGGCAGCCGTGAAATCGCCATCCCATTTTAATTCCTGTTACGAAAAGCTTACTGATGATATGTTCCGTCATTATGTTGGCGCGAATAGAATCAAATCAGCCGAGGCTGCTATGGCTGATATGGCCATTTTAAAGTACCAGCAGGAAGATTACGGAACGGCCGCCTCTTATTTCGATCACCTTGCTACCTTCTATGGTAATAACAACTGGGAAATTTTAGAAGGGGCGATGCTAGAAATGCATGCGCGTTGCTTAAAGAAATTGGGCCGGAAAGAAGATTTTGTACGCATATCGTTCAAGCTGCTGGGAAAATATACCAGGGCGATTCATGCCAGATCGACTCCGGGAAATCGAGAAAGTTTCAACTTGCGTTCGGATTCTAAGGCGACGGAATATATCAGTGAACTTTTCGATACCTCTCAGGCTCTCCCAAAAGATTTTATCGTGCCTTTAGGAGAGTTCTTTACCACTCCTACAATAAATCCACGGATCATTCACTTCGATGACAGAGATGGTTTTCAACTACAGATGACGTTGAGATCACTTATAGGAGATATCAGAGTTGACCGCGTCAAAATGCGACTACTTGACACATCCGACATCCAAACCAATGAATTGTGGCTGGAAACACCGAGTCAGCTTGACGTAAAAGGGTCAGCCACCGAGGCACTCCTTGGTTCCTCAGTAAGTTGTGCATCCGTAATGATGTTTGCCACAAAGGGAGACGGCTCTAATAAGGACTTCTAGACTACCGTTCAAAGTAAATATGCGGTTGACCGTATTGAAATCTACGTGGGGAATATTATCTTCGCACATACCTTCAGGGTCGATAGCTCATTGTCTCCAACGTACAAAGGCCTTTCTAACGTAGAGTCTCCCGAAGGGGATTCAGAAGTGTTTGTCTTTTGTTATCCGCGAACGGCGGGAGTCGAGGCCAAAATCTCTCACTCGCGTATCATTGATCTGAGTGGTCGGAGATCTATAGAAATTCAACTGGGCAGCGGGTCCAATGAGATCAGCAATGGTCTTGTTCGGCTGAAGCCTGCAACGGCTGGGCTTAGGCTCCTTGTTGCGGAAATAAAAGTTACAGACGGCTCCATACAGCTTTGCGAAGCTGCCAGCTCCAGTCAGATTGAAATTTCCAAGTTCGGGCCTGCTGCTGCTGCTACGCTGAGCATACCTTATACGCTAGAGGGAAACCAATCTACGTTGGGTTATACGCCTTGAAGTTGAATACGAAACCCGCTAAAGGAAAATTTTTATATCTGATGGCGAAGTCTGTCCTGACGACTTTACCAGTGAGCGTGAATGTTCAAGACGTGTTTAAAATCGACAATCTCTTCTCCAGGTTTACTATAAGCCCGGCAATGATGATACCCGTGAGGATATTTGGCTGCCAAATGCCTGGTTCCCGGACTTTTTCTGTCCAGTCTAGCATGCTAGAAGGAGAGATATTTGATGTATTCCCGAAGCAACCGGCATCATTAGTCTATAAAATCGCACCTATCGAAAACAACACAACGGCATCAGAGTCTGGCTCACGGTCGCTTCGGTTGACGGTAGATTTTACATGTCTGAACGAGGAATGTCTTGCGGTCCTCGAGCAGCAGTTCATAATGGATTTACAGAACAGTCCGTTTCCGCAACTCCGCTGCCTCCTCCTTCCCCATCTCTTGGCGGCATTCGGGTCCCAGTGGACTGCGAACGCTCTGGAAAAGATAGGTCTGCTTCGGGAAATCGATGTATTGTCCTATGAACGTATCCAGTGGCAGACAGTTACTCGAACACTTGGCCAGGGACTGGAAGGAGAAGTCACGAAATGGCTAGCAGCCTGGCATCAGGTGAGAATATACACCCCCCTTCAAGTACCCAGAACTAACATGCAGCTGCAGGAACATCATATCTTGCGGCTTCAGGAGAAGCCACCGACGAGCGTCCTCCGGCGCGTTATAATACCAGTAGACATACCGGAAATCCAAGTAGTCCATAGAGCAGAGCTGATCTTGCACAACGTCTCTTCTACGCAGCCTCACTGTGGAGTGGGAGAAGCGCTCTCCGCCGAACTAGTCCTCCACCACACGCGCCAGTGGTGCCCAAAAGCCACGCGAGAGGCCCAGCCAAGCTTGGAGTTCATGTACGAAATCATCACCAACCCGGATACGTGGCTTGTGGGCGGCCGGCGACGCGGGAACTTTAGCGCAGAGGAGGGAGAACAGCGAAGATTCTCGCTGATGCTGATCCCCCAAGTGCCCGGGCATCTCCTTCTTCCCAGCGTGGAGGTGAAGAGCTTTGTCTCCCAGGAGCATCCGCCCGAAGCCCAGCATGCCCTGCAACGACGGCCAATCTCGTCTGAAGTCGAGTACTGCAATCATGGCGAGACGGTCCTTGTGACTCCGAATTTGAGAATGACCACTGTTAGCTTAGACATGGATGGGACCTCGGGGAGCGGCGCTTGGTTGATAGATTCTGAACGGCGAGTCGTTCCGGCCAGTTGATGAACGATCACAAGAAATGAAGAGCATAACCACTATTACATAAGCAGTATAGTGCAAACAGGGCAAACACGCAGCCCAACAAACGGGGCTTGGCATCCCCAACGTCTTTTCGGCGGGTGGATCCCGATCGGGCTTAGCGCCGGGCAGTTGCTCTCAACCGCCTTTTCTGGAAGCAACAACTTGGCCTTCACATGCCGTGTAGGGAGCACATACAGAGAGACTGGTTGCTGCACGCAAATCCGAGGAAGCAGCCGTCAGGCCAGACTGCAGTCGCCAGGCAGAATACCTGCTTTCTCTGCGCCCGGCCCAGAGGAGCGAACGAATGAGTCGCCCTCGCCTGCGATTCTTCACAATCCATGATCTCCCGAGGCACGATTCGTTCAACGCGCGCCAATCAACACCCCGTTCCAGGCGGGAGATCATGCAACGCACGATGACTCTCGTTTATCAACCCGGATATCGCGGTCTGAGACTGTAATTGAATACTAATACCAGCCAATCAAGGAGGCGGTGAAAGACATCTCGCCAGGCACGTTCTCCAGCTTCTTCTCGCCAGGGAATCTCGGCTTGTTGTCATACATATGAGACCACTCGTGCGCGGAAAATTCGACTATCAAACAAAGCCCAGCGTTGCTAACCCAGTGGGGCGAAGAAGTGCCACGGCGACGGCAAAACTCCGCATTGCTGTGCCTTGGAAACCACATTCCATCAAACTGCGTTTTTTTTTTTTTTTGACCTGCTGGCTCTTCAATGGTAGAAAAGGCAAAAAAAAGTCAAACTGGACTGTTCCTGAAATCCCCATACTGGTGTATTGAGAGTGTATTGTAACGGGGTTTCGGTACTGTGCGACCAGCAAGCGCATTGAAAATTGTAGTTTGCAGACGTTGATAGCGATCGGCGAAGGAAAAGATGGAATTCTTCATCTGCTTGCCTGAGATCAAACAATTGTGAAAGCAACCAACCTCATCATTTGAGCATCATCCACTGTCCTCGCCCAATGGATAGAATCGACCTTGTCAGCTGGAACCTGTCATGCGATCTTCGTGTTCTCTCCGCAAATCGTTCGCCGTCAACAGCATAATCGGATTGTGGCAGAGCTGAGCAATCTTTACATACGCGGCGTAATACCGTGTCAATACAGGCACAGGGGAAAGCTTGGCATTGGGGGAAAAGTTCACGGGCTTTCAAGGGGAGCGGCAAATGGAGACGAAAATAAAAAGTCGCCAGGAAGGATTCTGTCTTCATCCTGTCTCGTCCCTCTCTCTGCTGCACGCCTCTCGTCTTCCCTCCCTTGGTCGACCGCCGCAGTTCTTCTCTCTTTCTCTTTCGCTTTCTTTTTGGCTTGTCGTCTCTCGCGTCGCTATCCTAGGCACCTCAATTGAGGTATCCGCCCGTTTGGATCTCTCTCCCTCCCTGGTAAGTGCCTCAATAACACAAGGCCTTTTTGAATTGCTCCCTCCAACGTCGAACTGCTGAGTCTAATGGCGTAATCTTCCAGCCCAGTGACTTGTACTTCTGGCATTCGGCTCGTTGATTTTGATCTTCGTGGAGAATCCTTTTGGACCTCTCGTTTCAGGGTACCCGCGAGTGAACGCTGTCGAGGACACCCCCCCTAAACGCAATTGTCGAGTGAAATCGCGAAACAATCTGCCGATCATGTCGTCGACCGCAATCCCCAAGCGCATGGCGTTGCATCGCCAGCTTACTGAAAACTCCTCCGTCACAAGTTCCGTGAACGTCTCGCCCATGGAAAGCCCACGGCATTCTCCTTCCACGACATCGCTCTCCTCGCTAGCTTCCGAGGCGCTGGCTGAAGGCCCCGGAAAGCTAGTAGACACCTATGGAAATACCTTTGAACTCCCAGATTTCACCATTAAGCAGATTCGAGACGCCATTCCGGCACATTGCTTTGAGCGAAATGGACTCCGTGGCCTAAGCTATGTCTTCCGAGACTTGCTGTGCCTGGGAACCACCTTTTATATCTTCCACACCTATGTGACCGCTGAAAATATTCCTTCCACACCTGTTCGTGCTGGATTGTGGGCTTTGTACACCTTCGTCCAGGGCCTTTTTGGCACAGGTATCTGGGTTCTGGCACACGAATGTGGCCATCAATCCTTTTCTCCCTCCAAAGTCTTCAATGATACGGTTGGATGGATTCTCCACTCTGCGTTGCTTGTTCCCTATTTCTCATGGAAGATTTCGCACGGAAAGCATCACAAGGCAACCGGTAATATGGAACGCGACATGGTGTTCGTGCCCAAGTTGAGAGAACAATATGCCTCGCGCATCGGACATTTGGTCCACCAACTCAACGAGATCATGGAAGAGACACCTATCCAGGCCGCAACCAATCTCATTCTTCAGCAATTGTTCGGATGGCCCATGTATCTGATTTCCAACGTCACTGGGCACAACAACCATGAGAGCCAACGCGAAGGTCGTGGCAAGGGCAAGAAGAACGGCATGTTTGGCGGAGTCAACCACTTCAACCCTTCGAGTCCATTGTATGAAGCGAAAGATGCGAAACTCATCGTCCTCAGTGACATTGGTCTATTGATCACTGGCTCCGTTTTGTACGTCCTTGGCAACAAATTCGGCTGGACCAACATGTTGGTTTGGTACTTCATTCCTTACCTATGGGTTAATCACTGGCTCGGTATGTTTCAACCTGGTTATCTCATTGCATGCATACCTGACTAACGATAACCAACCTAGTTGCCATCACTTACCTGCAACACACTGACCCTAGTCTGCCTCACTATCACTCTTCAGTATGGAACTTCGCTAGAGGCGCGGCAGCCACCATTGATCGGGAATTTGGCTTCATTGGCCGTCAGCTTTTCCATGGTATCATCGAGACTCACGTCCTCCATCATTATGTGAGCACGATTCCATTCTACAACGCAGACGAAGCAACCGAGGCGATCAAGGGTGTCATGGGCAAGCACTATCGTTCCGATACCAAGGATGGCAGCATCGGCTTCATCAAATCTCTGTGGCGCAGCATGAGAATGTGCCAGTGGGTTGAGCCCTCTGAAGGTGCTCAGGGTGAGGGTAAAGGCGTCCTCTTCTTCCGAAATCGCAATGGCTTCGGGACCCGCCCACTCGTCGTGGAACCGGCCGACGGAAAGGCCAACTAAACGAATCAGTTCTTTTCTTTCGAAGAAAAAGTCGACCTATATTAAACGATGCTAAATGGGGGCATACTTACCCCGTAATCAACATCCGCACAAAAAAGGAAGAGTTCGGTGTTCTGTACTGTCGAGTTGAGTTCCGGTTCCAGGGCGTTGGGTGTACGCATATTCTCATTAGGGCGGGAAGTTTTATGTCCTCATATCCTTGAGTTGCATGTATGCATTGCTTGCTGGGGCGTACTCCGGCAGGACCATGTCGAGAGAAGCATTCCCGTCACTGCAAACGATATCATCGACCTGTGGGTTTTTTGGTTTTTGACCTGTTCTAGAGGCAACGGGTCAGTGTTAGTTGCCAGTCAAAGCCCTGTCCAGCATGGCCATTTTACCTGCTATTTCCCTAAATCTTTTATCTGCCTCGTTGGCTGGCACTCCCCAACAGCTGTTCCGGGGAGCTTCATCTCCACAAATGTCACGACGGACAATGAATCTGTGTCAATAGACCAATAGATACCTTGAATAGACGATTATCTCATCTTTCAATTCATCTTGAATAGAATCAATCAAACTCCCGAGTTAAATAGGAATAAAAACGGGACGTAACAAATCTAGCGATGAATCACAAGGCTGTGTGTATCCCACATATCAAGAATCGGGGGAATGGCTTGCATGAAGTAGCCGGCTCCCTCCGGCACAGCCGGCTGGTGTTCTCTACATGTACCCCAGGGACCCAAAAAGCTGGAGCGATGAAGATAAATAGCCAAAAGCACGCAGATTCCGTGCTTGTGGAAAGGATTCTCGGATCCTTTTTGAATTCACGCATTCCAGGGTCCCAAGACCCCCCAAGACGGGCACAGCCTTGAAGCCAAGGTCTCAGGCAGGAATGCGGGGGATGAAAGGCTGAGTTGATCAGGGATTGGCCTGTGGGAGGGTTGAACGAAACCAACCAGAGAACTGAACTTGGAGATCAAGGAGATCATGGTTAGCGTTTTGACCAATGGCAAGCTATCTGATGTTACAAATGATGATGGTGAGATATTCATATATATATACGGGGGGAGGAATCAAAATATTAATAAATCATTTTACGACGGTCTAGTAGATGGCTTTAATGGTATACAAAAAACGCCAACATTTCCGCGGAGAGCCCGTTAGTCAAGGTATCCCCCGGATTCCGCCAGGTAAGATCTCGAATTCCGCTTCCTCCACGGGAAGGTTGAAGGGCATTCCGTTGCTAGGATTCAGCGATGGCGCTTCTTGATCATCTTCTAATGCTGCATGAGGACGTCCAGACGTCCAAGGCGAGAACACGACCTGCATTGTTCGCCTCCTGCGAGATGACTGGCTTGGAAGCATAGTCTCACTCGTCAAATGGCTCGGAGGTTGAGTTTCTGGGTTGGAGTTGTGATCATCGGCCCGATGCTCAATTCCCCGTTTCTCTTCGACTTCGGGTTCACAAGGCTGGTCGTTCCTCTCCGCAGTGAGAATATGATGACCTTGAACATTCTCTTTGGAACAGCCTTGTATTACGCCCCCTTCGACTTGCTGGAGATTCGACAGCTCTGCGGACGCATTCACAACAATTTCTGGGCCGAGGCCGACAATGTCGATATTGGGAAACTCGTGTACCTTAAGTATCACCCGACAGCCAAGTTGGTTTGTCCAAACGAGTCCTAGGGCGGGGGTTTTGCACGCTTCTAGCTCGTATGGATCACCCCAGCCAGTGTAGAAGGGCTGCTGGTAAGCATAGCTCAACAATGAACTGAGACTACGGATGTTGAGCCGTGAAGGTTCCGCGCGCGAACCGGTGTCATTCTCTGGCGTTAACGGCGTGGGATCCTGTGTGGGAGTTGCCTGACTTTGAAGCTGTCGTTGCAGCAGGTGGGGAGCAGATGATTGGCATGTCGAGGAAGAAGGTAAATGCTGGGAGGAATCAAGGTACTGCTGGGTTGAGGGTGTTTCCTCTAAACGACTGAGCAAATAGTCCGGTTCCTCTGCCCAAAGCGGCCCATCCAGTTGATTGAGCCGATCGGAGACCTGGTTGGACACCACAATCGCGATATTATGCCTGACAGCTAGATTTCGCAGTAGTTGTCCCAGCTTTTTGAACTGCCACGCGCGATCCAGCAACCCAGAGAAATTATTGGTGGTTGTCTCTACGCGATAGTTGGCTGTGATGGAATCGATAACCACAAGGCCAATATCGTACTTCGATATCGCAAAGGGAAGATGGTGGTTGAGTATGTGATCTTGGGTTTCAAGGTCGACGGTAGTTATTCCCAAAACATTATCCAAAGAAGGCCGTTCGACGTCCGTAGGGAGTGAGGACAAACGAGGATGCTCGTCAAGGATTTGAGACAGTCTATTCGTAGCGAGGCCTGCCTCTGTTGAGACGTACAAGGCCCTTTTGCAGAGGCCATATGGAGGCGGGAGCTGAACGGAGAGGAGAAGATGGAGAAGCAGCTGTGTCTTCCCGCTGCCACTATAGGCCATTGACTCCCTGGTCAGTAACCAAATACCCAAGTTCGAATGCTGTAGAGCCGATGAAAACACACCTTTCTCCCGCTATTTCCGTCACGTAGCTGGTGGATATGCCTCCCGAAAGGGCATCATCGAGGACAGGATCCAACGTGCTGATGAAGGACAGGCTGGGTGGCTGGAGAAGTCTGGGAGCATCTTCGCTGCCAGACACATGCTGGGCCTGTGCGGCTACACTTTCATTCTCCTCTTCAGAGGCCTGGTATGCCTGCAGCCCAAGGTCCTGGTGGAGCGCCTCCAGCACATGGCTTGTCAACCGTCGAACGTCGGCAACTGGGATCCGCGTGCGCTTCGCGATTTCGAGCGTGTCAAGCAGCAACAGCTCCTTTACCGAGATTCCCGCCTTTTCAAAGTCCGGTAGAATGCGGGCATAGGGTTCAATTGGAAAGTCAGGGACGGTGGTCAGCAAGTCCATATGTGACACGCAACTTGCATGTTGGTGTTGCAGCGAGGATTGAACTGATTTATATTTCACTCTGCGTTTGAATCTTCAGCCAAACCCATTTTCACCAGAGATGGAGACCGGAAACTACACACAGCTAACTAGTTACTACGCTTTGAGGTGCATCGCGGCATCAACCGAAAAGGAGAATTCCATTCCACCTTGCGATGAAGGCCACGATGGGAGAACCGATGCGCCATTCGGAACGGCTTCAATAAACCCTTGCTGTTGGCCACATCCAGAGCCAGAATCAAATCTGCCACCAAGCGTTGGCTCGATGCCCTCAGAGTTACATCCAAGAGGCGGAATGGCCCTAGCTGTCCCTGGGCAGACTGTCTGCCAGGATCCCATATGCCCTGTACGGAGTACACAGTTGCGAAGAACCTTGCCGTCTGCATCGCGGCTTGCCAATCACCATCGGTCAACGGCGGATGCTTTGCCTCTAGGGCGTGGACTTGCCTTTCCGGCTCAGGCCTCGCAGTCTCCTCCTCGCTGATCGTGGCCTTTCGATGCTTCTACCTTTAACCGCCGCAGATGCACGGCAATCTATCCGCAAGTACGGAGGATAAGCGGGGTATTTTGACCTGATCCTTGCATCGCCGTGGTCTTTAAACGCAACTCGTCGATGGGGGTTAAATATCCGGTGGGCTGCCCACAACGCCTCCGACTCAACTCTATCATTCTCCATATTTGAGCAGCTTCGTCCCAAGGAAAGGCGTGAACCAGTTGGAATCAAGCCTAGGAACGCCTGCGTTCTCCTACATTACCCCAAAGTCGACAGGATTCCGCTACGCATCATGGCCCAACCTCATCCCCTGGATCAATTGCGGGCAGAAGAGATCCTTCACGCCCGGGAAGCCGTACTTCACGCTTGGCCCAAAGCACTGATCCAGTTTCGCTCTATATTCCTCGAAGAGCCTACCAAATCGTCTTTGTTACCGTTCCTCGAGGCAGAACATGCCGGCTCGTTGAGCAAAGATACCCCACGGCCACCCAGGCTGGCCCGCGTGCAGTATGATGTGATCCAAGATGGCAAGTTTTGTGGATACACGGAATCTGTCATGGATATTGATTCGAAAAAGGAGGTTAAGCGAGAAGCATTTGACACCTCATGCCAGCCCTATCTGACAATGTTAGTTCCCCGTGGGTTTAGGGAGATATACATCTGCTAATAAAAGATTTTACCTACATTTAGGGAGGAAATGAAGCAGTTTTTTGACCACTGTCTCCCATCTCCACTGTTTCAGGAGGCTATATCCCAGTTCAAATTGCCAGAGGGTTACGAAGTGGAACTGGAGCCGTGGCCTTATGGCTACTCGGACCCGGGAGAAGCCCCTCCTCGTTATATTCAAGGATTGTGTTTTGCCAAAGACAAACGCAATGGGAATATGGATTCCAATCATTACTCCCATCCGATACCGATGTTTGCCGTGTGCGACGTTTATAAGAGGGAGATTGTCAAAATAGAAAAGCTAGCTACTGGCGGAACTGCCGATGGCTTAGCGTACGATACGCATCAAGCCAACGCTGTTGACCATTGCCGCCCTGCAGAATACGTCCCAGAGCTTGCAGACGTGGAATATCGGACTGATATCAAGCCATTAAACATCATCCAGCCGGAAGGACCGTCCTTCAAAGTGAGCAACGAGAGTTTAGTTGAATGGCAGAAATGGAGGTTCCGTGTGGGATTCAATCCTCGAGAAGGTGTCACGCTCCATGACGTCCATTATGATGGCCGCAGCGTTTTCTTTCGTCTAGCCTTGTCCGAAATGACTGTCCCCTACGGCGACCCTCGCCCACCTTTCCACCGAAAACAAGCCTTTGATTTTGGAGACGGCGGTGCTGGTCGCTCTGCTAACAACCTATCCCTGGGATGCGATTGTTTGGGTGCTATCAAATACCTGAGTACCTTCAATACCGACTTCTCTGGGCAACCGATATCAGCCCCCAACGTTGTATGTATCCACGAACAAGATAACGGTATAGGTTGGAAGCACACGAACTTTCGGACCGACCGGCCAGTTGTGACAAGGTACCGAGAGCTGATCATTCAGTACATTATTACACTTGGCAACTATGAATACGTCTTTGCCTATAAGTTTGACCAAGCTGGAGCGATCAGCCTTGAGGTACGACCAACTGGTGTAATCTCGGTTGTAAACATCGACCCAGGGAAGACTTCTCCATGGGGAAATGTTGTTTCGCCTGGTGTGCTCGGCCAAAATCATCAGCACCTGTTCTGCCTACGTGTTGATCCCGCCATCGACGGTCACAAAAACACTATCTTCCGTGAAGAATCACTACCCATGGCCATGGATCCTGCGACCAATCCTTACGGCAACGCTTATAAGGTTGTGACTGAGCCAGTTGAGGTTTGCAGCGCATTCAATGCTTCTCCATTCACCAATCTGGTTGTCAAGTTATCAAACACTAATGTTCGAAACCCCATATCCGGCAAACCGGTATCCTACAAATTTACGCCGCCTGCCACCCAACTTCTCCTAGCAGACCCTCAGTCAATCATGGCTCGTCGAGCCAAATTTACCAGGCATCATGTTTGGGTTACTTCCTACAGAGACGGCGAATTATACGCTGCAGGGGACTTTACTAACCAGTCTAACGAAGAACGAGGCGGACTTGCGGACGCGGCCGCTCGTAATGACAGCACGGTCGATTCTGATGTCGTGCTATGGTCTGTCTTTGGTTTCACCCATAATCCACGCGTGGAAGACTGGCCAGTCATGCCCGTGGAGAAAATCGAGCTGCAGTTCCGCCCGTCTGACTTCTTTGATCGCAACCCTGCGTTGGATGTCCCGGCGGTCAAGAACACAACCAGTGTGTTGGTTGGTGATAACTCTTGCTGCCAATCTAATTGAAGGTGGAACGAACAAATATGGAATGGTCATGACAGGCATGCTAAAAAGTTGCATGTCGTTATTTCAACAACTTAAGATAGTCGTTTGTAGAAAATGGATGTATATTTCATACTGTGATTGACGAGTCTACTTCATTCCCATTGATCCAATACGTTATATGGGATCCTTTACATGAAACATATTCAGTGAGTACCCGGATCGGATAGTTAACCCACAATCCATAGGAATTCATCGGCCGTCATGTCTAACTACTTGGGATAATCCCATAGCCGAAAAAGCACCCGGTTCCACCCATCCACGACAATAACATATATCAACCCCCAACAACCATTACGTCCCGCCTCCATTACACACGGAATAGTAGTTTTTATCACATCAAGGCAGATATCAAAAGCCAAAATGCCCATCTTCCACATCGGTCGGTCCTCCCAAGTAACGAAGCGCTCAGACCAGAGCAATAGTTGACCCATTTCCTCCCCCAGTTCTGTTTCGCCTCAAGCCGGGCGTCACCCCAACCCAACTAAGCCAATGGTCGCAGCTATGCAAGGCAATGGTTGGGCAAGTACCAGGTTAGCTTCTTCAACGCTTCAATCCCTCCCGCCCTGGCATTTTCCACTAACAAGGGAGGCGTGGGCCGGGATCGCACGCAATCGCAGGCCTTCGCGAAATACACGTCAATCCGCCTCTTGCCATGACAGCTGCCCGTGCAAAGGGGTATAATATGGGCCTTTTAGCGATCTTGGAGAAAAGCGAGGATGTTGCGGTTTATGCGGGGCATCCGGCTCACCTCCCGTAGGTTTCAATTCCCTGATGGGTTGGATACGGGTTAAACTAATTGATTTCTGCGATCAGGGTGCAACAGATGCGTGAAGAGCTGTGTGAAGACGCTCTGGCTTACGATATGGAGTTTTGACGGACAAGAGGTGAAAATATGGAATGCACTACCTTTGACTAGCAAGTTAGAAAGCGTGCTGGAGAAAAAAGTAGATTCGAACACAGCGTAGGCTAGCATTAGCGACATATCAACCAAATGCGATCAAAGAACATTATATACAGGCGCTCGTATTAAAGATTACTACCCTAGGATTCAATAGCAAACTTATTCTTTTGCTGCATCATCCGCAAATACCTTTTAGCAGTCCATTCCCGGAAGCTTTTGCCCTTCCACACCATGAAGAGGAAGGAAAGGTTTGTAACCAAACACAACATCGCCATGATGATGGTTGTATTCTGCATGCCATTATGCTCCAGCCAGGGCCTTGGAGGTTGCAAACGTTAGCTACCAGCGCCACACAGCTAGAGTTGGGGTAGCAACTTACTCGATTGCAAAGGTAAACCCTGTACCAATAAGATTTCGGATAAAGAGCATCAGAACCAAGGCTTCTGATGCAACGCGGGGATAACAGTCGACGGCATAAGTGAGTGCAATGGCCGCACCACTTCCAATACCAAAAGCAATAAATACCATTCCGAACCCGGCGGGAAGAATCCAATGAACCCCGTAGAGTGATCCCAAGCCATACATCAGAAGGCCTCCCGTATTGATGATAGCAGGTATAAGCATAGTCCAGAGACGAAACTCGGGCTCCATGATCCCTCTGTTACGTCGAGAAAGGCGGAGAGTACACCAATCAGAGACATAGCCTCCCCAAAGCATACCGATGATACTGCCGATGAATGCTGCAAAGTTTGTATTGCCCACGTTGGCCATACTGAAATTGTAGGGGGGTGCGTTGAAAGTAGCAGACTGTGTCACCGTGATAAGCGAAAGCCACATAATTTGGACGCCGTAAACGATGCCACCCCACATGACGGCGGGATAAGTGACCAGAAAGAATGGGCTGATGGCCACCAGCCAGAGAGGGCGAGGATCACCGCTGCTGCTAGTATGCAACGCCATTCTCTGCCAATATGTTTTTGAAGGGGGTGGAGGCGTTTCTGACTCGGTAGTACGAAGCGATGACTCCCTTCCTTTCTCAGCAACTTGAAGTTTGTCTTCGAGGACGGTTTCCGTAGACATCTCTGCTGCAGTTGGTGGCCTCCGAAATACAGACTCCTCCATCGTAAACGCTTGCAACACCAGGAGGATGCCGAAGAAAATGACAAGCCACCAAAAACACCATCGCCAACCCTGAGAATCGGCAATGTATCCGGCTGCCACAGGGCCAAGATATGATCCCGCGTATAATGTAAAGACGTATAAGCTTAGCCGAGTACCTTTTTCATGGGCAAAAAAGATATCCGTAGTTGTGACCTGAACGAGGGAGTCCACTGGGGCGGCACCAAATCCGGTAAGGATACTGACGCCAAAATACATTTCCACGGTCGTTTGGAAAGCTCCAAGAACACAGCCGACAAGATTAAGCAGAGTCCCTGCAATGTACACTGGCCGTCGACCAATTTTCATTGCGATGGGCTGCAGAAACACGCAGCCAAGTCCCAGAAATAGAAAGCATAGTGCCGCTGATATGTTGAGTTGGGTAAAGTTCGTTCGTAGATCAATCGTAAACTGGGTCTGATAGAAAGAAATATTGACGGTGTTAGTTATCTGACAAGGCGGAAACTGGCTTCGTTAAAGGCAAGGAGGGACGTACCCAAACAGGTCCGATCCAATTGACAGAAACTGCAGCAATAAAGCCCCAAATCCATAGCAGCCAAAAATGATATTCCTTTCGCAATTTTCCCCAATTCAGTGGGTCATTCGGATCGTTTGTAGGTTGCGGAACCAGAATAATGTCTTTTTGGCCGCCTTTCTCGTGCTTGACATTCATAGTCCCATCCACTGCCCACAACCTCGATATTCATTAGCAGATGACAACAAAGAAATACCATGCCTAAGCAGAGGCAAATTTTGCTTGAGGCACTCACGGTCAACTATGTGAACAGTCCCCGGGACCATTTTGATCCCCTCAACTGTAGGAAACTCCATTTTGACGGTTCACGTTCCGTGTCACTGTTGCGAGTCACTGTTGCGAGTCACTGGAAGAGTAGCGGAAAGCTGGAGGTGGATCTCCCATGGCTTTATATGTAGATATTTGCCATGGGGGTTAGAAGTGCTGTTTCCTATCTCATATTTCGCAGCTAGCAGATTGCTGAAGCTAGGTATCCATTTACCTCCAGGAAATACACTCCCCAGAGTCCAGAGCTGATCGGTTTGCGGGGAAGACAAGAGAAAGCTCTGGTGGTCGACGCCTGGTTCAGGGCAACCATCCCCTGATAGGGAAGTCCATGCTGCCCCACACGGGTAAGGTTAAAATGATTAGACTTTGATAGCAACCGAAGTCATTGGAAACAGCAATTGGTCGAGATGACCGATCGCCGAGGCTCAACTTGCGTTCCAACTCTTCAGAAGATGAAAAAGTATCAGGCTCTTGACTTGTGGACGGATTATCATTGGAGCTGGGCCAACGGGTGTTTGAATAATGGACTGCAAAAATGCTCGATTAGGGAAATAAAACGAGATCATAGCGCATGCTACCATGGCTACGGAAAGGTTTGCACAAGTTCATGTTGCTTGTCCAGTGCTGAAGTTGTGCATCCTCGTCCCACTTTGAGAAGAAGGTACGTGAAACATGGAAGACCAGGGAACAGGATATATATGTACATATGGAGCTGATTGGTAGCAAGTGTATCCCAAAGGTATAACGTGGGCGAGCAATTTTCAGCCAGGCGGGTTGATTGGAAATCGAGGTGGTCGTTCTGTGTATCATCAGACAAACCTCTGTTGTCCAGTCGCAATGTAATACAGGAGTTGCACCACACGCATTATAGAGGTGTTGCGGGGGGCGTTAGCGGTGCCATATCATTTGATCCAAAACCTGGGGACAAACTCCAGGAGTCCAGGGCAGACTGACACCGATTGGTGAAGCTTGCTCTTGCAAGCAACTTTGGCATACAAAGGCCGGGCCTCAACATATGGACTGTGGAAACGGGAGGGATTAGTGACTTTAGACGCCAACCAGCGAGGTTCTGGGAAAGAGATTTGGCCACGAAATCCTGTCATCAACTCCCTCTGTCCGACGGGCTTGTGGCCCACTATCAAAACTTGGGTCAAGGCTCCCAACTTCCCAAGTCCGGTTGAGAGATCTGCCCTTTTTTTCTCCGGCTTCTGACGCATCCGGCCTTGAGTAACTTGACATCGAGGGAATATGCACATTTGCAGTCGGGATCTGCAGATTACTACTGAATGGGAGAGCTCAAGGCAATAGGAACGCTGCAAGTCGGCAGCAAAGAATGGAGAGACGTTGGTTTTCTTCCGGGTAATCACGTGAACCGTTGTTATTTAAGGTTTGGCGCTAGCTGTATTATCTAAGCCGGAATATTACCGTAACCGAGACATGGAGACGGGGCTTCCCCACACGGACCCCAACTTCCCCGCACCTGGTGAGAATCGGCATCGCGATCAGCTCGCAATGCCGCTGTAGAAGCTCTCTGCGTCCATCTTCAATATTCAATGTTTCTGGCAATATCTCTTTATTCCTGGACGACGGTGTAGTAGAGCTATATGCATTACGACCGTGCAGTGTGACGCTTGGGTCAACGACATCTCCCAATTGGCTCCCAGTGCAAGCGTTGATTGTATGGCGTCGTGGCATTCTATGTGGATAGACCTGTTATGTCGGCGCCGACCGGTGTTTTGATATTCGGTTGAAGCAAATGGACCTTTGACTTGACATAAAAGTAACAACTACTACTCTTTTCTACTCATAGTATCAAGGTCTTTAGAACACAGCCCTTTGGTTACTTACTTTAAACAGTATCCGAACGACCAAATAATTGATCAATATGGATAAAAGAGCCTCAGTTCCGGTCACGTTGCCCAAGAACAATCCGACCATTGCCTACTGGCAAGACCCCCCGGATGAAATAGCGGACCTCCGTTCTACTCCGCAGCTCCCAAAGACAGCTGATCTTGTTATCATCGGATCTGGGATTACTGGTGCAAGTATTGCGTATAATGTCCTTTCTAGAGCGCCAAACACGAAGGTGGTGATGCTGGAAGCAAGGCAGGCATGCAGTGGTGCAACAGGCAGAAATGGTAAGGTCTTGGTCAAGGTCGGCGAGCTCTAGGATACACCGCTAATGTTTCGGTTTCAATCTCTAGGTGGGCATACTAAGGCGGCTTCGTATACGACCTTTCCCATCAACGTGGAAAGTGTAGGTCTCGAAGACGCTATCAAAATCGCTAAACTGGAATATAATACCATCAAGCAAATCCATGCTTTTGCCAGAGAACACAGTATTCCTTGTGACAATCGGGAACTTGAAACCGTGGATATAGTCTACGATCAAGCGATATGGGACGAATCGGTTAGGGCGATTGAACTTATGAAGAAGACTATGCCTGGTGATCCAGCAAGTCGATATACACTGTGGAGCAGCACGGATGCCGAAGAAAAGTTCTTGTGTCCTGGGGCTGTGGGAGCCATTACCTATGAAGCTGGGAGTCTCAGCGCCTATAAATTTGTTGTTGGACTCTTAAAGCTGTGCCTTTCAAAGGGGCTGAACCTTCAAACGAATACCCCGATGACCCGATTTTCCCGACATGGCAAAGACTATTGGGCTCTCGAGACAGAACGAGGGACTGTATATGCCCACAAAATCGTGTTAGCCACGAATGGGTACACCGCAGCTATCTGTCCTGAACTTCAAGAGGTAATTGTCCCCCTTCGTGGACAGGTAACCGCCCATCGACCCGGAACAAACATGCCAAAAGCCGGGCTAAACAGATCTTACTCGTTCATCTACGGAAAGGGCTTTGAGTATATGATTCCACGCCCACCGGGCTCCAAATACGAGGGTGATATTGTCATTGGGGGCGGTTTGGCAATCGCCAAAGAGGACGGGCTGTATCAGTACGGCACAGTTGACGATACCACTACCGACCCAGACATCCTTGAGTACCTCACTGCGACCACGCAGCGATATTTTGGGAAGAACTGGGGTCAAGACCATCCCGCTGGTCGAATCAGGAAGCATTGGTCAGGAATCATGGGATTCACTGCAGATGGGCACCCACTGGTTGGAGAGATACCGGGAGAACCTGGTCTATATATTTCCGCCGCTTTCCAAGGCCATGGTACGTTCTGAGCCGATTCTCTTTTTTAGCCACGTACTTGCTGATTTATTTTTGAATTTTAGGGATGGTCCTTTGCTTCCTTTGCGCCCAGGCACTGACGAGCATGCTCTTCGGGGACGACGAGAAAGCCCTATTCGCGTGGTTTCCAAGGTCGTTTAAAGCGACTGCGGAACGACTGAAGCGCAAATTCACAAAACGGATAACCCGTTTTGAACCGGATATGAAAACCAAAAGTCGGCTATAATTCTCGGCCTTTCGAGTTGACAATATGAGTCGATAGAGAGTTTGTGGCGTGGCCTTTTTATAAATTTATAGTCAGTGTTCTGTAATGGCAATCAGACGGTATACATTATAACCTCCTATGGCATTTACCTGGGGTAGATGTTGGTACAGGCCATCTTTGGCCAAAATGAAAAACGTCTTGTACACAAATATGCTACATGATTGCACATGATAAAATCTGATGGCAAATAACAGTTGCCACAGAGCAGCCATAAAATTGAGAGATCCCAGTGATTCACCTGAACCGATTTGCGCCGAGATGTGATGATCAAGCCCATTGGCAACCTAATTCCATCCTGCCTCTGTTTGCTTTTATCAGTTGTTGTTTGCGTGCCCCTTTTTTGTGTGTGGACAGTCTCAACCTTCTTTGGCGTCCACCTTCTTTGCAGGTCTATCACCATTCTCAGCGTTGCCACATGCAGCGTTGTTTCCATTTGAGTGGGAATCATCTTCCCGAGCACGCTTTTGTCCAGCAGTGGCAGCGGCATCTGTTGATTTAGGAGCATCTTTCGAAACTTGAATAACGGGAACACCGCTAATAAAAAGGAGATCAGATTAGCTTTGAAACAAGGAGGAAGCCAAACGACGTGAAAACGATAAGAAACATACCGGGAATCCTTCAGAACTTCACTGTGGCCCCCGTCTCTATCTCGATTTCCACGACCTCGTTGGCCGCCTCGACCTCTATTGAATCCCCGCTTCTGATCATCCTTGCGATCTTTCCAGTCGCGGCCATTCCCACGACCACGTCCTCTAAAATTTCCACGGCCTTTATTCGGTTTGACACGCCCAGCTTCAATCTCTTTCACTTTCTCCTCGCAATATTCCTTTTTGCTCTTGATGAGCAACTCAATGGTTCCTTTCCACTTTGGCTTCGGCTCAAGGGCCAAGAATTTCTTCTGGGTATCTTCGCTGTCGAATTCCACAAATACGCTTCCCTTGAATATCTTTTCGTTGGTACGACGAAGGCGTACAGCGTTGGTTGGTCCATATGGCGCAAAAAAGGCTTCAATGTCAAATTGGGTGCTTGGTTCTTCCTTCCCAAAGCCTTTGGCGTAGATGCTACGGTGCATCGCTTTGTCTTCAAAGACTTTGGTGACCGACCAGGATGCATCTTCTGTTACAGACTCTGGAAGCGGTACCTTACGTCGAATACAGGTATTGTCATTAGTGAGTTCGATGGTGTCCGATGTTTTCAGAGCTTCAACAATAGCGCTGAAAGGTTGGAAACGTCGCATGCGCTTGAATGAATGAAGCAAAGACAGTTCAACGGGTCGATTTTCGCTTCCACCAACTTTGGAGAGTAAAAACTTGTCCATAGGAAGGTTGGAGTCGGAGAAGTAGAATTCGACCTAGTCAAGTTACGATTAGAGATGCGTTTTTGACAAAGTTTTCTTTGCTTTGCAAAACTGACCTGTTTGCGAATCTGTTCAGGATCACTGGTTTCCTCCAGAGTTGTCACATCAGATTTGATGTTTTCGCGATAATTAACACGTTTCTTTTCTCGAGAACCTTGGTCGCCTTTCTCTTGCTTGGATTTTGAATCTGGAGCCGACCCCTGGCCTAACTTATTCGCAGCAGCAATGATTCTGGCTTCTTCTTCGGCTTCCGCATCAGCCTGTGCGCCGTTTGCTGGTGACTCTTTTTTCTCTGACTCAGTTGAAGCTGGGGCTTCCGTCTCTTGGTGACCCTGATTACCCGCTTCCTCGGCCTTTAACTCTGCAAGGACGTTACCGACATCCTTCTCCGCCGCCGCGTTTGGGTTTGCGCCCACGTCGGCGGGTTTCTGTGTCTCCGACATTCAAGCGGCGCTGGGGATTATGTGCGGGGACGAGGCGAGGGGCTAATGGGATAGACCGTGTGAAATCAAGGGGCCCAAGGGTATCTCTGGGATAATCACGTCGAGTTCGATATATTGCGGGTGATTATCTGAGTGACATATTGTTAGTATGGGCAATATCCAGACGGGCAGTATGGGGGCGTCCTTCGCGCCATTCACAGAGGCGCCGAGCGAGCAAGAGTCACTTTCGGTCCAATGTGCGCCACAGATGTAGGGGATAATGAGAGCAGACGCATAGATTGGATACAATACCTAGACAAGAGTTCCATGAATGATGCAGTACAGTATCACTGTAGAGATAGTGAGTCTATGTGAGGGGAAATTTTAAGAGGAGCTCTCAGAGAATAATTTTGTGGTGGTGCTCTGTGTAATTTATGACATATTTTACGCCAAGGCCTAACCTATCTGGTGTGATTCTTACATCAAATTACATATGTATTTTACTGTTGATGAGGCAAGTCGCTATTATTGATCCGTTCAATTTGACAGCTTCAATCTAACTCATGGGGGCAATGGCTGAGTAGCCAAAAGATAACAAACTGCATAGACATGCCTGATATCAAAACTCAGCACAAAGAGAGTCACCAGTGTTTTAGTCTTCAGTCTTCTTGGGAGTGGAGGTAACTAACCATTGAGCAAATCCTGGGCTGAGCCGATAGATCTTTCACATCTTGGAGGGCCAAGGAGATACCTTCATCGCTTGTTTCCTCTCTTGAGTCATGCGAATTTGGAAGCAGATCTGATGGCATCCTTGTTTCCATCCCAAAAATAGAACGATCCGAGAAGTGGGACAGGTTATTAGCGGGTTGAGAATGTCGTTAACTAGCTATATTTCCAATGCAGCGTTGTTAAATGCCAGTGCGAAAAAGCAGCTGCCAGAGCAAGCGGCGTGGAAGTAGGACTCATTCTGGTCTTGGTATATTGGCGAGCCACCCCCATCAAGGGGCGCCATTTCATGCAAGTTGTGAGACATCCCTCCATCTGTGCCACCACATGTCGATTCGCTGTGGAAGAAGGCAAACAGAACTGCTTCAGTTCCTAGAGATTGACAGCGAGCTCTTCTCGACCTGATTTGCCAGCACCGCGAGATCGATCACTACGACCCTGAAGGTTGCCCTGGCGTGCCCGCTCTGTTGGCGAATCACGAAGCAACTAATTGGAAGGCCTCAAAGATCTGATGCAGCTGGACAACACAAAGGACCCCACGGTCCCAAAAACGGGACATGGAAGACACTCCGGAAGACGAAGAGGAAGGACAGCAAGCCTCGCGGGATCCGCTTTCGTGAGGGATTCTCCATCAAGGCCTCTAATACAGCGGCAGCTCGGTGAAACGTTCCCATCATCCTCTATCCTGGCACATAACAAGTCGTAATTCCTCGTTCTTGGACTTTTTTTTTTGCGAGGGAACTGCCTTTTTGCTCCTTTTCTCTCTCCAACTATCTCCTTTTTGGGGATAACCTCCGGTTATCCTTTCTTGTCATCTCCCAGAGGTCGATAAAAGCTCAAAAAGAAAAGCCCACATATAAACAGTTTGCAGATTGACTTCCTTCACTGAGGCATGGCGATTGTTTTCGCGGAAATTGCAGTCTAGACATATTTCCTGGTTGCTGTTGCCTGCAGTTAGAGAACTCATTGCAGGTCAATAGAACATCATTGCTTGTCTGATAACACCGACAGTCCAGCAGTTAAGAGGCCTTCCTCCCACAAATCCTTAATGCTGTTATAGGATTATTCAAATTTTATTTGGTATCTTGTTGCTGGCGCGATCTGTTCCAGGTGTCATCGTCCACTAGCTCACGCCTGCACAGCTATTTACCTCTTGCCTTAGCAACCACTCACGCGCAACCCATTCTTCAGCTATGGACCAGCTTTGCAGATTAATTCTCTGATATTTGGTGACAACTGCTGCAATAAAATGACAAAGGATCTGTTACTGCCTTCCTTGATTGACAGTGAACCTTGGTCTTCGCCGTTGTACGCGATTCTCCCACCACAACTTGACTACACTGTTCTCCGAGACTCAAGCCTCGTCGCAAGGCTCTCTCTTCCTTTTTAAGGCTACACCAGGCTCCACAGCGCGAGGAAGATCATTATGGGACTACTAAGTAAGGCGGCGGCCTACCACCCGTCGACGGAATTCCGCACTCAAGATGTAAGTCAAGCAGGCCATTTTGCCGCATTGTGGTACCAAGCTTACTGTTTCTAGAAAATATATATCGGGGTCATAGGCCCTGTCATGTGCGCCGCTGTGCTAGAATGGTTTCTTTGGATTGCCGCCTTTATCTATTGCTTATACAAGGTATACGTCAAAGCGGATCACTGGAGTGTAAAGTTGATGGCTGTTGTAATGGCAGTTGCGTTTACCGCCCTCCGGTATGTCAAGGCGTTGCTATCTATACTCGCTAAAGCTGACATTCAACCTCACAGCGGTATCTTTCTTCCAGTCATGCTTGTTACACTCCCTCTTCCATATACGATTACACGACACTTCCCGCCACGTCTCGTTTCGTTTTTACAATGGTTCGCATTTTGGACATTCGCCGTTCTTCTCATCATTCCATGGCTTTTCTGCGTGTATAGGCTGGTGACAAATTCACTAGGGCGGAAGAAGCGTATAAAGGAAGTTCTCGACGTTCGAACGGCCCCAAAGACTGTCATTGTGATGCCGGTCTACAAAGAGGAACCCCCAGTATTGATAAAGGCAATCAATTCTGTGGTTGAGTGTGATTACCCCGTTGAGTGTATCCACGTTTTTCTTTCGTTCGATGGCGACCAGGTGGACGAACTTTACCTCAAGGTTGTGGAACATCTAGGAGTTCCGATAAACTTGAAGACGTATCCACAGAGCATTGACGTGACCTACAAAGGCTCTAGGATAACAATCTCCCGGTTTAAGCATGGTGGAAAAAGACACTGTCAAAAACAAACCTTCCGACTCGTCGACAAAGTATACGAGAACTATCTCCGACGAAACGACAATTTATTCGTTCTGTTCATTGATTCGGACTGCATCCTTGATCGGTACTGTCTACAGAATTTCATGTATGATATGGAGTTGAAACCTGGAAGCAAGCGTAACATGCTGGCTATGACTGGTGTCATCACGTCGACAACGGAGAAAACGTCCTTGATCACTTTGCTGCAAGACATGGAATACATACACGGACAATTATTTGAACGATCCGTCGAGTCGGGTTGTGGTGCAGTAACATGTCTTCCAGGCGCACTCACGATTTTACGCTTCTCCGCCTTTCGGAAAATGGCGAAATATTACTTTGCGGACAAAGCGAGTCAATGCACGGATATCTTTGACTTTGGCAAATGCCACCTCGGTGAGGACCGCTGGCTCACGCATTTGTTTATGATAGGGGCAAGGGAGCGGTACCAAATCCAAATGTGCACCAGTGCGTTTTGCAAGACTGAGGCCGTCCAGACATTTAGCAGTCTCCTCAAGCAACGGAGGCGTTGGTTTTTGGGATTCATCACTAATGAAGTCTGCATGCTTACCGATGCTCGACTTTGGTTTCGCTACCCGATTCTCTGCCTCATTCGGTTTATGCAAAACACCATAAGAACCACAGCATTGCTGTTTTTTATCATGATAATATCTATTATGACGACGTCGAACCGGGTTGAGAATCTGCCGGTGGGATTCATCGCGGTCTCTCTTGGGCTGAATTACATGCTCATGTTTTATTTCGGGCTTCGACTACGGCGGTTTAAAGCTTGGCTGTACCCGATGATGTTCCTCCTGAACCCGTTTTTCAACTGGCTTTATATGGTTTACGGCATTTTTACGGCAGGGAGGCGGACTTGGGGCGGGCCACGGGCTGACGCCGCAGAGGCGGATTCAAACACGACGCCCGCCCAAGCCGCAGAGCTGGCAGAAGAGCAGGGCGATGAACTCAATGTGAAGGTCGAGACATTTACCGCCGTCCCCAAACCTCAAGAGAGTGTCCCCGTGCATCCGTCTCACGGGATTGAGGGTCGCTTTGCTCCGCCAGAATTGAATTCGGACGGGTACTACAACAACGGGAACATATCAGGACTTTCACTCCCTACGCACGTTCGCCACAATCCGATTCTGCCGCATATTCCCTTGCACCCACGAGATTCGTTTCTTTCGGAATTCACAAACGGATCAGGGAATTCTATCTGCTGGCCGCGGAGGGTCGAAAGTATCATTGCGGATGAGGAGGTGGACCAGGAGGAAGTCTACATTACTACCGAAGACCAGCAGAAGATGCAGCTCGCGCGACAAGCTCGATCGTCCAACGCGGCAGTCGATGGTGTGCCTTTTGATTCCGTGTCAGATCAAGAGAAAGACTCCATCTCGCGGGCTCTAGGACCGTATACTCCGGATAGGCGGTCCAATGTACACGAGCGTCAGTCCCAAAGCGGTGCTTATGACCGCCTGTCGTTTGACCGGGCCAGACGACCCCGCGTTGGACAAAGTCCGCTACGAACAAGCAGCGCGGCTGAGCCAGAGGACGAAGAGAGCGGAATTGGGCGTGCCATAACGACACCCGATGTTGCTCGAACGAGAGACTCATCTGCTCCTGAAGGGGAATCCGGTAGGAGGGAGCGACGACGACTGAGCAAGACCCCACGGGAGCCACAGGATATGGTTTGAGATGAAACGTGTAGATAGCAGTGATTCCCTGGTTTCTTTTGTTTTGGCCCTATCATTTTTCCCCCGACAGGGACTGGGTGCTTGGGAAGACTGAGCATTGGATCGCGGGATCAGGAGTTTGGGCGGCGGTTTGCGGCACTAGGTATGGGAGTTTAACAAAACGGCATGGGTGACGATGTGACGAAGTAGATGGTCCAGTATAACAATCAGACTTGAAGTTGCCGCTCTTCCTCGTAGAACCAACGCGCGCATGCTCGACGGTGGAAAGCCATCGAAAGCCCGTCGAGGCGCCAGAATGTTCGATGTGGCGCCAAGACAAAATCAGAAGCAAAAGAGGGAAAAAGTTAAAAGAAGACAAGTGACGACACGCCAGTATAACCACTGGATATCGTCTGTGCAACAGCTAGAAGAGAGAGCGAGAAGCAAATCAACCCTGTCCAAGTGAGTGCGCCTGTTTCACCTGCTGCCGTTGTTGGTTGTTTGCCTTGCGAAATCATTGCCATCCCCCTCCTTGCGGCCCGATCGTGTCAGAAGCGGGCGCTTCCCAAGTCGCAGCGGTTGGCCCCATTGGCTTCTGAGCCTTCTGCGCCGCAGCCCAGATTGCCCTGCACCGTAGCGCCGCTTCAAGAGAAGGAGAGAGCGAAAAGACATATTAAAACGACGGGGCTGCTTGTCTCTTCCTTCGTCTTGTTCCCTCATCCTCACTTCTCCCTCCAGACCCACGTTCAGCTTAAAAAGGACCTTATCAAGCTTTTTTTTTTTTTTTTTGGGCGAATTTCAACCCACGCAACCACCACTTCTTCTGAAGAACTTTTGTATGAAATCCACCACAAATCCACGCTGCTCTTGCAATTATATTTGAAAGTCTCTGCTTTGCTCTATTTTCAATACTAACTCGAGTTATTTGCTAGATTCTATAGCATCTCACAAAGGCTTGTTGCCTAGCGATCACTTTTTCGAATTTCGTCGTTCAAGAACCCCACCTTTGTCTCTTGCGCAGCCGAACATAACATTTGGAAACCAGTTTCCCCCCAGCCACCATGAGTGTCGTTGGCATAGATTTCGGCTCGATGAGCACCAAGATTGGTGTTGCGAGGAATAAGGGCATTGATATCGTGGGTACTCCCCCTGTTTGCTTCGCTTCAGTCCCCCCCGCCATCCCCCCCAGCTGTCGGACCTGTGTTGCCTGGGCCTTGTCTTTTGCATCCCTGCTGTTGAGCTCTGCGCTTAGCTTTAACCCGGTGTCTATGTCTACTGCTGGGGGGTCCATGGCGGTTTTCTGTGGTTTTTCTTTTGGATTCACGTTGGAGTTTTGCCGTTCTTCTCTCACTGACCAAGGACTCTCCATGAGGGGCGATTTAGATCACAAACGAAGTTTCCAATCGATCCACTCCGTAAGTTCCTACCTGGTCTACTCTGTCTCTTCCGGATTCGCTGACGGATGTCTCAATCTCGTAGATCGTTAGTGGCATTTGGCCCCAAAAACAGATTCCTCGGTGAAGCCGCTAAGACCCAAGAAATTTCCAACTTGAAAAACACCGTCGGTTCATTGAAGCTCCTTGCCGGTCGATCGTTCAAAGATCCCGATGTGCAGCTGGAACAAGAATATAACGCCGCGAAATTGGTGGATGTCAATGGCGAGGCTGGTGTTGAGGTCTCCTATCTTGGCAAAAAGGAGCAGTTCACGGCCACCCAGCTTATTGCGATGTACCTGAGCAAAATCAAGAGTACTGCATCCAGCGAACTAAGACTCCCGGTTTCCGACACCGTTATCAGTGTTCCTCCCTGGTTCACCGATTCTCAGCGAAGGAGCCTCTTGGATGCTGCCGAGATTGCTGGGCTAAAATGCCTTCGTTTGATTAACGATACTACCGCCATTGCTCTCGGATACGGCATCACCAAACTTGATCTCCCCGGCCCTGAAGAGAAACCAAGACGCGTGGCTTTCGTGGATATCGGTCACTGCAATTACTCCTGCGCTATTGTTGAATTCCGCAAAGGAGAACTGAACGTCAAATCAGTCGCATATGACCGTCACTTTGGAGGTCGATATTTCGACAAAGCTCTTGTTGAACACTTTGCCAAAGAGTTCAAGGAGAAATTCAAGATCGACATCAAGACCAATCCAAAGGCGATGGCGCGAACCCTGACTGCCGCCGAGAAACTGAAGAAGATTCTCTCTGCCAATGTCTCTGCGCCACTAAGCATCGAATCACTGATGGATGACGTTGATGTCCGGTCGTTTGTGAAACGCGAGGAGATGGAGGATATGGTCTCTTCTCTTCTCGAACGTGTAAATACTCCTTTGGAGCAAGCGCTGGCCGATGCCAAGCTTAAGCCTGAAGATATTGACAGCATTGAAATGGTTGGCGGCTGCACACGGGTCCCCATTATCAAGGAGAAGATCAGTGCATTCTTCGGAAAGCCTCTTTCTTTCACCCTGAACCAGGACGAAGCCGTCGCACGCGGCTGTGCTTTCAGCTGTGCCATCTTGTCTCCTGTGTTCCGTGTCCGTGACTTTTCCGTACATGACATCGTCAACTACCCTATTGAATTTATCTGGGAAAAGTCTCCAGATATTCCTGACGAAGCAACCGCGTTGACCGTTTTCAACAAGGGCAATGTCATGCCATCCACTAAGATTCTGACCTTTTACCGCAAACAACCATTTGATCTCGAAGCCCGTTATGCGAAGCCAGAATCGATCCCTGGAAAGCCCAACCCCTGGATTGGCCGATTCTCCGTCAAGAACGTCGTTGCAGAACCAAACGACGAGTTCATGGTTTGTAAACTCAAGGCAAGACTCAACTTGCACGGCGTGCTCAATATTGAATCCGGTTATTACGTTGAAGATGTCGAGGTTGAAGAGCCCATCCCGGAGGAAAAGAAGGAAGGCGATGTAAGTATACAACTTTGAGTTGTGATCCCCTTGCTGACTTGTTATTTTTTCGCATGATTCAAAGACGAAAGTTTTTTCTAACCTGAAGAAACTCTTTAAACAGGCCACGGACGGTGATGCTGCCAACGGCGAAGCCGAGAAACCAAAGACACGCAAAGTCAAGAAGCAAGTTCGCAAGGGCGATCTCCCCGTGGTCAGCGGCACCGCTTCGCTTGACAAGACTAAGCTGGATGAATACACCGAAAAGGAGAATAACATGTTCATGGAAGATAAGCTCGTCGCAGATACCGAGGACAAGAAGAATGAGCTTGAGTCCTTCATCTATGAGATGAGAGACAAGATCGACGGTGTTTACGCTGAATACTCCAGCGAGGAGGAGAAAGAGAAAGTTAAAGCCAAACTCGACCAAACAGAGGTACGTTTTTAGAGCAATCTGTTGTCGCTTGGAGCACGCAGCATATACTAATGATTTTTTAGGATTGGCTGTATGATGAAGGCGAAGATACCACCAAAGCGGTTTACATCGCCAAGATGGACGAGATTCGCTTCCTCGCCGGGCCCATCATCCAGCGTCACCTTGACAAACTTGAGGCGGAGCGTCAAGCTCAGGAAGAGGTTCTCGCGAAGAAGAGAGCCGAGGAAGAAGCAAAGAGGAAAGCAGAGGAGGAAGCCAAGAAGAAGGAAGCTGCTGATACTGAAATGAAGGACGCCGACGCGGAGCCAAAGGCTAGCAATAATGATGTTGAGATGGAAGAAGTCGAGTAGAGCCCTCAGAAGAGTGATTCATGATGATTAATAATTGCCGATTCGCAGTTTTTGAAGCCCCTCTGTGTGCATGATGAAAGCTCAAAAAAGTACAGTTTTACCAGCTAGAAGCCCATTTGATACTTGGAAGATTGGCCGCCGGGGTTCTCCAGTTTTATGATCAGGTTGTTTTAGACATGAATTAGAGCAATGGACGATCCAGCAGTTAGTTTGTTTGACAGCATTACTATTTCGCGCCTTTTGTAGTCATCATCGTCTTTGTCTTCTGCAGCATCATTCTGGCAATGCATTTTGCTGCGGGTGAAGCCTTGTCTCCAACGGGGAGATGCCTCGGCATCCAGCAACCCCATCATCCGCAAACCAACAAAGTCGGGAATCGGCTCGGCTGGCCAATTCGATGCGCGCGTACAAAAAGCCGAGTCTGTCGCTCGCGAGCGTTTCTTTCTTTTTATTAATCCGTTCTCACACATCTTCCTCTCTTTTTGTCGGACTTGTCCTCTTCTCTCATTCAAAGTAATTATTCGTTGGAAACCGTGAGTTGCCCCCGTTCCCATTCCAGGTGCCCTCAGCGCAACGATTGGTGGTTACGGAAGGCTGACGGTGATAAGCAGGGTAGATTTTATTTTATTTTAATTCAGCGACATGGCTCTTGAGAGATTAAACGCTGTTCTTCAGCAGCTGAAGCCCAGTACGGGTGGCAGTAGCGTTGTCAGCAAGCTGTAAGTACCACTTGGGGGGAATGCTTCGAGAACTCCAGAGCAACCTAGCTCTATGGATCAAAAGTCCTACTTCCAGCTGCTAACGTGGAAATGTTTATAGTTGCGAGAAGAACCCCGACGATGTTGTCATTACCGTCGCTGCTCGAACTGCCATGACAAAGGGCTTCAAGGGTGGATTCAAGGATACTGATCTCGATATGCTGGTCTATAATCTTATCAAGGAGGTGCTAGATCGCTCGAAAATCGATCCTAGCTTGATTGAGGATGTCTGCTTGGGAAATGTAAGGCAGAACATCTTGCCTTGTTAATCGACCGTACTGATCCCCTGCCCTTTTTATCATTCAGGCTCTTAACGGCAAAGCATCATACATTGCCCGTACCGCGGCTCTCGCGGCTGGCATCCCCCACACGGCCGGTGCTGCTGCTGTCAGCCGATTCTGTTCTTCCGGCCTAAAGGCCATCCAAGACGTGGCCTACCAGATCTCTCAAGGCTCTATCGAAGTCGGTATCGCCCTCGGCGGCGAGTCCATGTCTCGTTCGCCCGACCGAGGATTCGAGCCTGCTGAGAACGAGATCATGAAGAACCAGGAAGCTCAAGACTGCACGCAGCCCATGGGCCAAACATCCGAGAACGTCGGTGATGATTTCAACATTACCCGTGAAATGCAGGATCGTTACTCTGTGGAGTCTTTTAGAAGGGCGGAGGTTGCGCAAAAGTCGGGCTGGTTCGATGATGAGATTGTGCCGATCAAAACAACGATCAAGGACCCAAAGACTGGCCAGGTGAAGGAAGTTGTCATCTCTCGGGACGAGGGCCCTCGATACGGCACTACTTTCGAAGGCTTGAGCAAGATCCGCCCTGCCTTCCCGCAGTTCGGAAACAAGACCACTGGTGGCAACGCCAGTCAAATCAGTGACGGAGGTGAGTGTAGTCATCATTCTTTGAACAATCCCTGGGCATGAACTCACAGCTGCCAGTCGCTGCGGTGCTCCTCATGAAGCGCTCCAAGGCCATCGAACTGGGCCAACCCATCCTGGCCAAATTCGTCGGAGCCACCGTTGCTGGTGTGCCCCCAAGAGTCATGGGTATCGGCCCGACCGCCGCCATCCCCAAGCTGCTCTCGCAATTCAACCTGCGCAAGGAGGATATCGATATCTTCGAGATCAACGAGGCCTTTGCCTCCATGGCAGTCTACTGCGTGAACAATCTTGGTCTTGACCACGCCAAGGTAAATCCTCGCGGTGGCGCTATTGCCTTGGGCCATCCGCTTGGATGCACCGGCGCGAGACAGGTGGTTACCATTCTAAGCGAGGCCAAGAGAACAAAGGCAAAGGTGCTTGTGACCAGTATGTGTATCGGAACAGGTCAGGGTATGGCTGGTCTGCTCATCAATGAGCAAAATTAAAGGAGATTAACCGCGATGTTGATGATATAAAATTGCTGATTGACTTGATCTGTTCTCGTTGAATGAAATTTCATTTGAACAATGCCTTACGAAGCTATATACACCAGATTTACATAAATGCCATGGTATCATATGCTCACAGATGGTTTACTCTTGCGTGCTATTATTTCCGTCTTCTGCACTTTTCTCTTTAAATCTGGTAGCGCGGGATTCCGCTGCTCTCGCCAAGATCTCCCGCCGAGTCAGCCCCGTCCCCGCTCCTCCGCCCAGCACAAATTCCCCGCCAGTCCAGCCCCCATGATCCATCACCTCGCCACCACTTTTCATCTCCTCCCAATCCGCCGGATTGTAAAACTCCTCTTCCGTTAGCCGCTTTCCACCTTTACCCCAGTAGTCTGCACTCTCCACCTCCTTTTCAATCTGCGCCGTCAAATTCCAAAAGTCACGATCATGCTCACTGTGCACGCAATGCGCCAGTTCATGGCAGAGCGTTTTGCGAATAGTTCGATAGTCTCTGTATCCGTCGTACGCATCCGTGCGCAGTCGCAATTCTATAGCCTCTCCTTTGTTTCGGTTTAGTCCCAGAGTCCGAGATGAGAGGGTTGTGTGCTCGATGGGGTTCATTTCTGTCAGGAGGGGGACCGAGAATCTATGTTTGGCCATTGCGGAACGGATTCCTGGGTCATCGCGGAGGCGGGCAAGGTATGCGAGGCTGCGGTCAGGGTTAGGGAGGTAGGGTAGCGGAAGGAGTCTGTGGAATGTGTATTGCGAGGAGGAATGGGCTTGAGTGCGCCGGGTGGACAGGGGTGTTGCGGGTTTGACGGGTGAGCTGTGGCGCTGGTGTGGTTGCCGTTCCTTCTCAGAGACGGGTTTGTTAAGGGAGGTTAACTCTGAACTTGTGCTTCCAAGTAGGGCTATTTTGAATCGGGGAGAAGATAAGGCGAGAGAAGAGAGTGGGGTGGGAGGGAATGGAGGCTTGAGAAGTCCGGGCTTTGGAGAGATCAAGAGTTTCTGGTTCTCTGGGGGTATGTCAAAGATCTGAGTTATCAGACTCGAGAGATCCTGCAGTGTTGATGATGATGTGAGAGAGAGAGTCCGAGCCTCACCACGATGGTGTATTGGGAGAGATATTGTTTCGTCCGGTGACATGTCGTGGTCCGCTTGAGGAGGCATGGTAGAATCGTCCATGGTTCGAGCGGAAACCAAAAGAACGGGTTCAGCGGCTATCAATAACTAGATAATGGCCCGTTTTACGGAGTATCTGAGTGCCGAAGCTGCTGGAACCGTGGAGAATATTCGCCGGATCAGCTAATCAGGCCCAACTCTTCGGAATCAATCTGACAAACCCTGATTCACCCTGTCATCCATTTGGCGGCCCCGGTATCCTTCGAGCTGAAAGAGCCCATTTTATATCACCAACCGGCAACCCGAGAACGGGCTCCCTGCTTAGTCATCCGGCCGTTCCAGCCTGGCGAAGACGAGATCAATCGCGATGCCGTCGACTACAGGCATCTCTCGGAATAGCATCAAATGGTGCATCTAACATCACTTTTCTCAGGCGACGAGCGGCATCTTAGTCAGTTTTGTAACCCCTTTGAATGTGGAAGAAGGACGTGTGTGATCGGACTTGGAACAGCGCTGCGGATAATCGCCCTCAGGATGAGAAGGGTCTGCAGCTGGCCTTTTCTTCGAAATACGATCTTCTCTTGTCAGTGCATTTCAACTTCACATTTCTGCCAAGCGATTCCCAGCTTGAGGAGAGCTCGAGTTCTTGAAGCCACGGCACTTGACAGGGGTTTTGATCCATGAAGGTTCATCGGGACTCCTTTTTGAGGTCCCGAAGCTGGACCGTGAGCTGCAAAGCCGCTTTTGATATGGTCTTAAATGGTGGCAGGGGTTCCCAGTAGTTACTTAAGTGTGACTCGCGAAGCAACTGAACTCCTGAATGTCCATTTCGACGCCTTGTGATTAAAGGCACAACTCTGAGGAACTGTTTCCGACGATGCCGGGAGAGCATTTTTGAGCACGGACATATCATGCTCAGATCAACCCGATTGAGGCTAAAGCCCATCTGAAGTCCATCATTTGGTGACATCAATGTTGGACCGTTGCAGGTTCAAGTCGTATCTACAAAGAGCGACGGTGCGAATCCTTCATCAACTGACAGGGATCGACCGGTTGGAACCGCCTTGACCCAATCCTATTCTTGCTATTTTAGTTAGTGACCGGGCATGTTCTTCCGAATTCCCGGTGGGACTCGTGTTTTGGAAGGATTGCCATGCTGCTGAAGATGAGCAATTGAAAGCAATTGACACTGGCCAGTGACACCCCTCCCCCGCACCGATAGATGCATACGGAATATTATTGTGAGCTTCTATCAGGATATCTAGGTTTTGGACGGGCTTACTATTTTGGGGAGAATATGAAGAAAGAATACAGCTCCCTCGACCTCCTACGACAAGAAAAGCACATTGAAAGCGGCCTGGAGCAACGCAATTGGATATCCTTGAAGGAGTGTATTAATTCTCTATTTTAAAAATTATTCTATCTACAGTAAGCCGATACAGACATAGTAGCCAGCCCAGAGCGAAGAACAGGTGTTCCCGACAGCTGGATTCCAGGCATAGAAATTGGACAGGGAGATTTTAGCCTTCTGGGCAATGTCGTAGCAATTATCACCACTGACCACCCGATGGAAAGTGTCACACCTGTTGATCATGCCGGCTTGAGTGGGCGTGGGCGTCGCGACGCCATTGCCAGGCTTGGTGGTGGTGGTGGTGCGCATGGTCGTCGGAGTACCGCCGATGACGCCCACGCAGACGTAGTAGCCCGACCACAGCGATGAACAGGTATTTCCCACAGAGGGATTCCATGTATAAAAGCTGTCGAGCGGAACACCCGCGTTCTTGGCGATATCATAGCAGTTGTCTCCGCTTACCACCAGATGGAATTTATTGCAGTTTGGCGTCATGTTGGCTTGAGTCGGGGTCGGGGTCGCGATGCCATTTCCAGGCTTCGTCGTCGTGCTTGGCGGCATGGTGGTAGGTGAGCTTCCAATGATCCCAGTGCAGACGTAGTAGCCCAGCCAGAGACTCGAACAGGTGTTTCCAACTGCAGGGTTCCAGGCGTAAAAGTCTTGCAAGGCGATGCCAGCAGCCCGAGAAATGGCATCACAATCATCCCCATCAGCCACCAAATGGAAAGAATTGCAGTTAGAATTCATACCCGGCTGAATGGGCGTTGGCGTCTCGATGCCATTCCCAGGGCTAGTCGTGGTTGATGGCGGGGTGGGCGTGGCTCCAATAACCCCGGTGCAAACGTAGTAGCCGAGCCAGAGGGTCGTGCAAGTGTTTCCAACCGCTGGGTTCCAGGAGTAGAAATCCGAGAGTGATACACCGGCTGCCGCTGCAATGGTATCGCAGCTATCGCCGTCAGAAACCAGGTGGAATGAATTGCAGTTCGTTACCATATCGGGTTGATATGGCGTTGGGGTGGCGATGCCATTTCCCGGAGAAGTGGTGGTCGGCACGGGCGCTGTAGTTTCTGGCGGCGCCGCTGTCGTGGCATCTGTGGTAGGAGCTTCAGCCGACGAGGACGTCCTGCCACTGAAATTGATCTCGACGCAGTAGTCGTAGCCCTGTAGGAGCGTGCATGTGGTGCTGATTTGTGTGACAATGGGGTTCTAACGAGTGTCAGAAGCTGCAAGAACTCCCAGGTTAAGAAGAAGAACAAGGATACTTACCCACGACGTAAATTGAGCCGCAGTGATCCCAAACGCGGATTGAACCTTTGCACAGGTAAGACCCGCGCTATACACAACCCATTTGCTGCATTGCTGCGTGGTGCCAGGTGCAGCTCTCCCAGGCGGATCGACCAAGTAGCCAGCTGCCAGAGGCGCTGCTAGGGAAGCAACAGCAAGCTGAGAAAACTTCATGGCTCGAACTTGGCTGGAGGAAGAACGCTGCTCTCTTGGAACGGACAGAGAGCTCTTCTGTAGAGGGACCGCATGGGTTTATATATCTGCATTTTCCCCTTCCGTCCTGTTCCTCATGCAAAGAGATCTCACCCTCTTGCCATCTTATGGTTACATTGCCGATTTGATGACCCATGCCAGAAGTTGTTACTTCAGCCGCAACTTCACACAGAGTGCCATCTCATCAACAGCTTGGCCTCGGTGGACTGACTGTGGAAAGCCGGGCTCATCCGAATCCTGCACGGGAAAGGAACATGGGTGGGAATCGGATTGGGAGACAAACAAGTTGAATGAGGTTTGCTGCCTGGTTTCTTGCAGCATCAAAACTGTTGGTGGCGGAAGTCAAAAGCGATCAAGTCAAGATGCAGTGCAATTGCACGACTGGGGTATCCTTGACTTGGACTTTGGCACCTCAAGCCGGGTGCCTGGGTGAAGGGAGGGATTCTGCCGGGGTTGATGCTGGAAAATCGGAGCTCAAAAAAAGGATCCGGAAAAATTGTTGATCACAGGACGCACGGCCGTGCTGGCAGTTCGTAACTAACTTGATGGAAGCGAAACCAACACTTGGAGTGCTGGCTAGCAAGCAGAAACTGCTTGCTACAATCGGCCCATGGCATTGCGGACGGGATAGTCTCTGCAACCTCACATGGGTCCGGGTGATATGGATAACTAATGACCGTTTGGCTGCAGCACGGCAGTGAGATGGTCCAGCTCACTGAGGTATCACCCGCAATCATGAGTCACCCAGTTGTGCTGTTTCTATCCATGAACTTATGTCAAAATGATATTAACTAATGTCGCGGAATAAAGATTTGCCATCCTGCAAGGGCTCTATGAAGCTTCCTTCACTCCATGAGAGCCCGATATTATCCTCAACAACAAGACACTAGGAAATCTAGCGAGATATTACTTAAGAACAGTTTGTGGGTGTCAAGAAACCCGACTTTCTCCCCTAATAGCTACCAGCCATACGCAGATTGGCGAAATACACAACGATTCACAAGATATAGCCACATTCAGGAACTACATAGGAACAGGTTCCGGTCGGAAATCGCCAATACTGTAGCTGCTCCTAGGAGACGATGTTTGCTATCGGCGACTGGTAGTCCCAATGAAGAATTCATGCCCATAAGCTGCCTGTGGAACTTTTCAAAATCCCGGCCATCGACGTGAGGTCGATGCGCCTGAATTACAGCCCTGTTGGCTTTCTAGGTCTCCCAGCCATAGCTTGTTGAAACATGGCCTCGTGGAAAGTTTCCAAAATATATTGGCGGATGTGCGGCAGCCGATGCTCGTCGACGGACGCTTTACCAGCCAATGGCCTTCTCAAAGAATAGCTTACTAGGCTGAGCAATACTGGCTCATGGCACAAGAAAAGATACTAGTCACACAGAGCGTGAGTTGAGTTGCTATTTTAACTGATGGGCCGCCAGGATTCCTGGAACCTCCACCGGGCCTGGCCCCGTGTCCGTAATTCACGTTCGATCTTCTTCATCGTCTCCTTGTTGGACACCCATTCCTTCAAATGGGTATCCCAGTTGTGGCTGCCAAGTGGTCAGTGGCACAGAACCTGCAGGCGTTGGCGCACTAGCGTCACTCACTTCTCATACTCCGTCACAACCAACGCTTTATGTCCATACTCCTCAATCAAAATTTCGTCATACTTGAATGGGATCTTGACAGGAACGCCTTCAAAGGTGCTCTCTCTCATTGGATAGAGATCCGTGATATTATAATCATGAAAGTTCTTGCAGGATAGCACTCCACGGTTCTGGACGGGGTCCAACTCACTGAGGCCAGTGATGTCGATATAGAGCCCGTTTCGAACGTCGATCCACCGGGCATCGATTATGTTTTGCCCGTCACCATGTACTCGCTCTTTCGACCATGGATTGACGTCTAAAAGGTATTTCCGTTTCGTTTTCTTATCTGGGCTCCTATAGGTATAGATCGTCCGATTCAGGCGTTCACCCATATATGCGAGGGTGGCTCCGGTGACTTGCGTATCTACATCCCAATCCCAGGGCAGGATCTCAGCTGGCTGTCAGTCTCGACCTCTTCAGAAGTTCAGTACGTAACCAGCAGTAGCATCACTCACCCTCCCGTTCCACCACCAGCCTAACAGGGTTCCATGAGCAATCCAGGTATCCAATCCCCTTTCTCTGAAGAACTTCAAATACGCAGCCACCATATGGGTCAAAGTATCCGTCCGCTGTTCATAGGTCACCACTCCTTTAAAATACCTTAGGTCATAGTGACCAAGAATGTCGTCCCGCCCAGGCTCGTGAAAATATTTGTTCGCTTCAGGGTCCAACGCATTTCGCAGCCCTAGAACCAAGCTTGGAAGCGCAGTGGCTGTTTGACAGATAGAAATGAGGACTAAGAGCCATCTATACCTCATGACGGCCTTTTGGATTCGCGACTCAGCTGGCCGCGGTGAGATTCGGGTCCCCGGCGAACATGAGCCACGAAGAGAGCAGAATACAGGATCTCTGGCTCAGTCAGGCCACAAAGGCCGCTGCTGGCGATGGGTGCGATCTGAAACAGGCTTTTCGACCGTTTGAATGCACAGTAAAACAGGTCACGCGACACTGAAAGGGTAGAGGCTGAGGTTGCGTTGCAATAAAGAGACATCTGATATCAAATGCCGTTGTACCCTTGGGGCGGAGCGCAAAAGGGATGCTTTTTGAACATGAGCACAGCCAAACTCCCAAACAGCTGCCAATAGCTCCAAGGTCGATTTTGAATTCACAGGTCAATAAAAATGTACTAGCCTTTTCAACAACTCAAGGAGGAGTGGAGAGCAGCTTCGGGATCGGCAGCATGATTGGATGATGCCTACTCGGACCAGCATCCGCCAAGCGCCGGCTTCTCATTCTCTTGCTTTGGATTCCGAGAGATCCGCTGGGGCACTGTGGCTGCTGAGACTTTTTTGGGCTGAATCTGTGGTTCAAACTGCGTTCCGATGCTGATGGAGCTTGGGCAGCTCACCGGATGTGGCGCACGAACGTATCTCCACTCTGAAAGACCTCATACTCGAGTTCGAGCCGTCTCCTTCTTCGAAGACTTGGACGGTGATGAGACAAGACAGAGTCAAAAGCTAATAATCAGGATGAAATGTGCCATCATCGACGCCAACCCGTAGTTAGCTAGTTACTAAGCCGAGCTGCCCAGTGCCCATGAAACCGGCTGCTCAAAGCCGAGACAAAAAAAACGTTCGCTTTCATTACTCCGTACGGAGTAGCTACTTTTATTAGTTATTACTTGTTAGCAAGTATCAACAGGGTGCGCAAAATCGACCTAGAACCGGCCTAGTCAAAAAATCGACAGAGATCAATATTTCAACCGCCACTCAGACTTTTGGTGCGGCTCTGAAAGTGATTGCTATGGTCAGTCATTGGCATCCAGGACTTTATTAATTGAAAAGGCCCTCTGTACGGTACATGTGAACTGGGAATTGCCGGCAAAAGAAGGCATATAAACTAACAGACTCCTTAAAACGAGCGATTGCTGGGTGCGACACAGGGTGTCGGTGGAGCACCCAAAAAAAGAAGCAAAATGAGTAACTAGCGCAACCTCTTAGAAGGGTGTAAATCCAACCAGACATATGTCATGACCGGATCAAATGTAGCTCTGGGCTATTGTTGCGATCCGTCATTGCTGCTGATGACACTGCCAACTTCAGACCAGCTGACTGGAGTGTACATATCTCCCCGATCTCGGCCTAAATCGCTTAGCGTGCCATCTGACGTGAAATCAAATGTCTCGTTTTGGATATGGCTGAGGCTGGATGCTATCGATGGCGCAGAGGATACATCCTGGGCCCAAACGTTTTCTGCTGAGTTGGAATGGGATTGGCCGGCTGCATTCCCATGTAGATGGTCAGGGTGTGCGAAGTAAAAGCCCTCTTCTGCATGGCTCGAGGCTGGTTGCAACTGCTCGTCCTGTAAAACCTCTGGCTGGCTGTGCAAGGAAAAAGATAATTCCGATTCGGGAAATTCCGACGTTGGTGTCAAATCAACCAAAGACTCTGATGGATGATTGGAAGATATCTCTGAAGCTGGTATAAGGAGTCTAGTTCTGCCTATGTCTTGAAATAGATCACGGTGCTGTTCAGTGTTAATTTGTGGGTTGACATTGGGAATCGAAGGGGGGAAATCGGGATTTCTATTAACAAGTCGATTGGTAGCTTCACTTTCCGCTATCTCAACCCCGGTGGACTTGGATTTAACCTCATTGGTTTCGTCTGTCTCTGTAGGTGCCTTTAGTCGTCCCTCACTGTCGATAAGCGTGTCGAAACTGCTGTTGATGAGGTTGTCTCTCTGACGTTTGTGGGATTGCAGTACTTCGCGACGACGCTGTATTTCTTCTCTAGCTTTCCGTCTTCTAAGCTCAGCTTCCTCTCCTAGTTCCTCTGTCATAGAAATATCTTCCCTCTCGCGGGTGCGACGGGAGTTGAGCTCATCTCCCCAGTTGTTTAGGGTTAGTGCTATTTTTCGGCGTGAGGATTGGAGCCATTCTTGGATCTGGGGGCTCTCGTAGACGGCAATACCCGCAGCAACCAGAACAGAGATTGTGATCACAATACCTGAGAATCGAAACAAAAGGAGTCAGCTTGAGGTCGCGGGCAACGAAGGACGCGCGTCGCTTCAACGGCTCTCTGTGCTGGGGAAAAGGTGAGGGGTTCCAGAAGCGGGGGTGGAGCTGGGCAACCGACCTTTGGCTAACGGTGCAGGCATTTTGTATTGTTGTAAAGGACTCACGGCATACTCGGTCTTTGCCCTGGAGAAGTGAGAGGGAAGAATGAGGGTACCAGGGGGGCAAAAGCACGAGAAAAGCTGGCGGCGCAACTATCTTGCTGCCTTGATGCCCTTCTTATCTTATCAGCCAGGCATATGCTGACTAAGCCAATTGTTGGAGATCCGAATATCAAGAGCATCAGCCATTGATCTAACTCGACCTGCAAGGTGTTGAACGTGCCGTGAACCGTGGCTCCTCAGCTTCCAAAAACGACCTGTTGGAAATGTCGCGCCCTCCCCTTCCCGCCCACAGAAACCTTTCTTTGACCGAAGAGCTAGAGCGATTGGAGCAGCAGATCACCTTGACGTTACAGGGTAAAGAAACACCAATATTCTAGATCTTGGAGTATTCGGGTTCAATGCTAATGAACAAGTTTATAGAGATTGACCACAATTTTAGTAGAGCCCACCGAATCGTCACCTCGAACATACTGCCGGTTGTAGAGCAATACGCAGAGCAATCCCGAGATGTGTGGGAGGCATCAAAGGTAGAGAGCCGAGGACCACTTTGTTGACAAGCGCTGACGAGCTTCTTCTTCAGTTCTGGAAGCAATTTTTTGAGTCCAGTGCTAACGTCTCCCTATCTGGGTACGAGGAGCAACCCCAAGATGAAAGTGGTCAGGAGATCACCGTAACCGAAGATTCAGTCGATCTCACCCAAGATTCACTACAAGAAGAGTCAGCATCCTATGATGCGACTAGTTCAGATAATCCGGATACTGATCATCGGGGTGACGCACCGGATATGTCGTCCTTGTCTATTTCCGATTCTCACAGCACTCCCAAAGCTTCAAATTACACTAGGTCCCACGAGCAAAGCTCTCTTGACTACAGTTTAACGTCGGACGGGCTTGACGAGGGGATATCATCGATTGATACGCCTTCTCAGATAAATAGGGTGGCTCCATTTACGCCTGGAAGAGGCACGACTGGATATTCCCGACCTTTTCCCACGACGCCAGGCTCTGCAGTCTTTCCTCCTCCAACCTCCTTAAAATCAAACACCAGAACCGAAAAACAAGCAGACCCTGTTCTTCACCGTGTGCTCGACAAGACATATCGGGTCCAAGCAACTCCCTCCGGAGGTTCCCGTACGGTGCTGAAAGCACATCACGGAACCGTAACCCCGAAACTGCGCTACAATATAGAATCTTCGCCTCCCTCCAGCCCAGAACTGGAAGTTCCTAAACTACACTCTGAAATCTTTTCCTCCCCAGTCGCCCCAGACTCAGCCAAACGCCCCCGTAGACCAAGTAAACCCCACAGCGTGAAACCAGGCATTAGCGTTCTGACCCCCGCCAAACCGAAGCCTCATCGTCAAAGTCTCTGGGACAGTGACGAGGATATAGATCACGACGATGTCGACCCTACCTCTTACTTTGGACGCAGTCCGCCAAAAACAATGCAATTCCACATTCCGCAGAGTAAACTGCTCAAAACGCCCGGTGTGTCTCCATCATGTTTTCTGCATGAATCCTTTTTCCCGTCTTTGTTTCATGTAAGGTCCCAGGGCTAATCTTTTCTCTAGCCAAGGAGGCATCGAAGCGTATAGTGTCGGATCTTTTACACACAGCTGGCGCTGACACAACGGAGGAATTCGATAAGCTCGAATACAGCCCTACTCTTGTTCGTCGCATGGAGGGACTCGAAGATGACACGTTTTAAAATCATCGCTCTCTCCTGGCTAAACAAGATTCTGATATAAAGATATTCAAAGATAATAGACCAAAAAAAAAAAAAAAAAACAGTGTCCATCTACCTATTTTTCAATCTTGAAACTCAAAACCATCTATGACATCCCTAGTCCAGAGTTCCCTCCCCGACGCCCTCTACGCTCTCGTTGGTCAAGTGTTATGAAAGCTCGTGCAGCGCACTCCATGCATGTCTTAGTTTACACGGAGCAGGCCGTGCCGCTGGTTTGGACGCATTGAACCTCCCTTCGATCCCCCCAAAGCAAAAGAGGTCGGTGGGCGTTTTGTAGACATATGACTTGCAGTTTGTTAGAATTTTTTAGCTCAGTAGAGAAAGTAAATGTTAGAAGCAACTCCATTGCGACTGCTAACGCAACATAGCGCAGACACACAGACATAGACAGACACACACACACACACACACACACATACATACATACAATAGCTTGCTCGCCTATGAACAACACTGGCTCTTGAAAGCTGAAAGATAATTTCTAAAACGTACTCCACACATAAAACAAAGCGTAACCGCCACTCAAGACATGGTTGGGGAAGAGATATCACTTGCAGGTATGTATACTACCAGCCGATAGCTCACGTTAAAACCGCATTTCATAACTTCACTCAAGACAAAAATAAGTTTCGACAAGTTGCAAAGAAAACAAAAAAATAAATAATAAAAAACAGAGGGTATCTGACCAGCAGCGCTATGTTCCGCTTTCCCTGCAGGTTATCAATAAGGACAATAAGAAATGACATAGCAAAATTGCTTCAACCAGAAGAAACGGTATAAAGAAAGAGAAGAACAATATACTCTAAGGACAGGGTGCCAAGTGCTTGAGTGCCGTATAAATATTTAAAGGCGAGATAATTCACCAATTGGCCTTGACAGCCTACTCCGACATGCCCATGAATATCTCTTGACAGTTATCGACCAGGAACTGAAGTGTTTCGTTCTTCTTCTGAACGTCGGACATCTCACGACTCAAGCTCTCCGGGCGCATGATGGTGGGCGCGAAAACGACTGCCACGTTTAAGCTGGTCATCAGGTTTTCCCGTTCTCGATCCACAACCCGCTTTAGATGGAAGACGAGGAACTCTAGTACGTCTCTGTGGACTCGGGGCAATTCCTGGAGAGCGTGCTGCATGATATCAATTCGCGAGGATACTGGCTGGACGTTGTTGGCATCAAGGAGCAAGTCGTACACAGCATACGTGATAAGAGGCGTAGGAAGTAGTCGGAAGTACTGCTTCAAGGCAGAAGTGACAGAATGAATGTCAAGGTCTGGGTCGGAGATGTCGAAATCACGACTGCGTTCGAAACCGTCGCGGACCATTTGGACTTGTGAACTGCCACCCGACTTGCGATAAATGCCCTCGACGTCCATGCCTGTACAATGTAATCAGTACACGCAAAAGGGGACTTTGAAGCAGGGATTGCGTACCTCGTAATTCAACCTCCTCAATGCAACGAGTGACGATACTCGGGATAACACCTTTCTCAACCTCCAATCTCTGCTCCAAATCGGAACCAAATAGTCCTGAATGATGATTAGCCCCTGACAATCCAACAAGAAGCGAAAAAGGAATTCAAACTTACCAACAGAAACTTCATTAACAACAGCGGTGCTACCATTGGATGGAGCTTTCCAAGTGGAGGGTTTATTTTTCTGATTGCCAAAAAATCCGAAGCCCTGACGCGACGGATCTTGAGTCTGAGAGCGTTGAGGCCCGGGAGTGTTGTCGTTTGTTGAAGCGATGTTTCCATAAGGCGATGTTTCTGTGAACTGGCTGCCGCCCTCCCGCTGGGATTTGCCTTCGCCGTACAAGAATGCGCCTTTCAAGCCTTTAGTGACACCCTTTGCCACGTTCTGTCCACCTTTCTTCCAATTAAATTTCTTCGGCTGGCCTTTTCGAATACTAACTACTTGCGGGCCTTGGATCACGGTAACCGGCTCGGCTTCTTCAGGCTGTACTACCCCTGGAGAGGGCTCATTTCCCGCCAACCGGAAATCGCGTTCAACGGAAGCCGTAGATTTATCCTTATGGTGATAAATTCCTAACCCATTAGGTGCTTGACGCCCACCATCGCTCGCATTGGAGTTAGCCTTGTAAAGCTCTTGGATTTGATGTACAATCTGATTATTAAGTTCCGCCAATTGAGCATTTTTCAACGACAATTGTTCAAATTCCTGAAAGCTCTTGTCTTTCAGGCGTCCAAGGCTTCCCAGTTCTTCGACCAGATCGTTCCGTTTCTGTATCAACTCTTCGATCTGAGGAGTGAATGACTCTTTCAAACGCTGGAGTGCTTCGGCTAGATCACGCAGCACTGCGTTGCTCATCCTTCCTATATTTAGAGGAGCATTGCTCTGTTTCTCTGTTGCAATATGCTCTCTCAGTACTTCGAGTTCGCGTAATACTATCTCTTTCTGTGCATCCAAAAAGACCATTGTGGACCGCTTTTCGCGTAGTTCAGTATTGACTTCTTTGATGCTCTGAGTAGCATTAAGAGCCGCTTCTAATTCCGCTATCTTCTGATCCTTCTCAATTATCTTCTGGCGCTCTCTTCGAAGCTCGTTTTTAAACCAATTTAGCTCATCACGGGCCTCCGGGGAGGTGGCACTAGGACTGCTAATATCGTGAGTGAAGGTATTTCCACTTGCGGGAGATTTAGGCCATTTCAGTTCTTTGGAGAGACGAGAACCCTTTTCACTGAAGCTCCTGCCATGCCGAACGGAGTTTGAGACACGACGGAGGAAGGACTCGTGGTTTTGGCTTTCGTCGCCAAGGATCCGGGCCATGTCTTCTTCCAGAGAGAAGTCACCTCCAGCACTACAGCGAGGCAAGGACGGGGAAGACTCCGCGCGATTAGATGCCGATTGCCGGGCACCCAAAGGCTCACTCCGTTCCTGATTGTAGCGCCGGTCTAGAAGTTGAGGCGTGGTATTTTGATCTTTCAATGCCGTACTACCAGAGGTGTGGGGGCGTGGTGAAGGAACAGGTGTTGAATCATCAATAGCCCGTTTATTGTCAACAGTGGTGGTCGTTTTATTGTTACCTTTGGCTCCAATACCGGTGGCTGAGTTTTGTTTAACGTGCATCTGACTCTGGTTATCTCTGATGTCGACGTCCTTCCGAGAGATAGTGTGGTGGAGCTTGCTCTCGAGAGAATCGCCGCGTTTAGGTGGATACTGCATCTGAGCTGGAGATATGGGATTTGCAGGGCGTGAATGCTCGGTGGATTTCCTTTCCTTGCGTTTCGAGTCTGTGCTATCAGAATCCTTTGTGGTAGATTGATAGCTAGATCTTTGTTCGTAGGGCGATTCATTGCTGGTGCGCGGAGTGCTGGGCCCACTGGATTTCTTTGACTTGGGAGCTTCACTAAGTTGGAACTTCTCCGGTTCAGTATGAGAATGAGTGCTCTCCCGGCCATGTTTTGTCAGCGAACGAACATTGGAAACGGATGATTCAGCCGAGTCGGAAACACCATTCTGTTGTTTATAACCGGATTCGCTGCCTTCAGGGCGCCTTTCTTGATATGCGGTTTGCTGACGTTCTGGAGAAGAGGCGGAGGTCCTGGATTTAAGAGGTGGCCGCTGTTCGTATGGGGATTCTATTGATGAGCCAGTAGATGTGTTCCGACCAAAATAATCACGAGATCTCTCGTCGATGGATTTTGCGGCATCCGGAGAGGTGATTTGAGACGAGGGGTGTTCTGACGGCGTAGGGTCAAAAGCAACGGGGATAAGGAACTCTTCGCCAGCGGACTCATCTGACTTATGTGAGATTATAGAATGACGTTTGCCGTTATAGGTACTGGCGGGTAGGATCAGATTGTCTAGAAGAGGGCATGGGTTAGCGTTGGGGCAATTAGTCCCAGTACCATTTGTCTCACCCTGCTGAGCTTGCGACCAATTTAAACCATCCTGTGCTGGGATCTCGCCATGCTCTCCATGCGCGGATCGTTGAGGTACGTCGGCCGGAAGTTCGACGTACGAGTCGGTGGAGGTTGGGGTTTCGTGCTCCGAGGGAAGTGATGGTAAGGATTTATCCAGGTGCATCGCAGAGCTTTGAGGCTTCTGACGCTGCGTGGTCTTCTTTGTGGTGCGCTTTCGGCGTCTAGCCATTAAGGATTCATGGCAGTCCATGCAAAAGATTCCCTGAGAGGTTCGCGCGTAGCGAAGGTTTTCGATTGTTCGCTTGCAGTTGCGGCATTTGAAGCAGTTGGCACAAAAGGCCTGATCTCCTGTAAGAATGGCAAGATCTTCAATTTTACTGCCACAGGAGTTGCAGCTGTAGGTACAATTATTGCAAATGAGGGATCCGTCGCCGAGAAGAAGAAGATTCGCGTCAGAATCGAGGTAAGTGCCGCAGGTATGGCAACGAAAGCAGTCGATATGCCAGCGATTGCCAGCTTGAAGCAGGCGTTAGAAACGGTGCGATCCACAGCGGCGCAAAGAGCCACCTACCTAGTTCAAAGGCTTTTCCTTCCTCGAGAATCTTCAGAGGGGAGACGAATCAGCATTCATCATGATCATTGACGCGGTTGGCGCCCTCAAACGTACCTCACCACACCCCTTGCAGGGGATTGGAATGTCATCCTGATCATCGGGGTAGTCGGCAGCCGTGGGCGACTCCAACTGACCTTTCTCGATCATTGCAATCGTGGCCTTGGGCGAGATTGGGGAAAATAAAAGAAATGTGCGCTAATCGGTCGCGATCTCAACCATGCGAATACAGACAACCGGCTGTGGGCGAAACTATCGATAGTCTTGCTCGATCCGAACGACAATGGCCACGTGAGACTGAGACGGAGCTGCACGTTTCACGCTCGAGAGTGTCCAGGAGCTCAATAATGCCCCGTTCTCAGGTGTAACCCAGGTTCAAAACGAAAGGGATTGGGCGCCGATGGAGTTAGTCGCGCGTGAGGCGGGTCGCGAAGGAGGTGGAAGCGGGAAAGTATCGTATGCTGAGATCTAACACTGGCAAGTCACTAGTCAGTTCAATGATCGATGAAGAGCCGAATACAGTGCTGCCCAACAGCGACTGGAATTGGGAGGGGGGTGATGGAAGTGAGGTTCGACTCAACAGCGACTGCGAACTCCAGTGAAAACCAAGCACCAGGGGTGGTCTCAGTGTTGACGGAGGACGTCAGGGCAAACGACTCACCGAATCATCGACAGAGATGAAAAGAAAGGACTAGTCAGGGCTCCCGACACGAATCCACGATCAGGAGGCCAGCGAGAGAGAGGGGGATGGATTCAACGCCGCAACAAAGCTGCGATCAGGGACAGAACATCAGAGAGGGCGGGTGTCCATCTAAGGCTCCGTGCGGGATCACGACATCAGGAACGATGGATGTGGATTCGTCGCCAGAGAAACAAAAAGGAAAAAGGATTGCAGTGAGGGAGTTCCAGAAGGTCTGATTTGCGTGTCCATCATGCACGGAGGATTCTGGGGGATTGAGACAAGGTTGACTAGCGCGCTGAGGCGTGGCGGCTGGTCTGAGATGCTGTTCAGGCACGCTGTCGCCGGGGGTCATTGGCCAGCTGGGCTGAAGCAGAGCCGAGTTACGGGCAGCATTGGTTTCAAAAGGCACCTGTTGGAGAGACGAGGAAGCGCTTGCATCGTCGCCCTGTTATCACCAGCACACAGCAACTCATCACTCTCCCACACCATCAGTGAACAGGCGATATCAGCATGGTTTGCTTGGCCTAACTAACTAGTTAACTAACTAACCCTGTGGAAAGGAAATCGTGAACTCGAGATGAAACCGCAAGGTCCAAACGACCAACCTGATTCGATGCTGGCGCTGAATTGGGTTCTAAATATACATGCAGCTGGTGCGATTGAGCGGCGAAGAAGAGTGTTACCACCATCCGGCACTCTCAGATATTATTTTTGGCATCGGTTTCCAGCGACGGGGTGAATTGCGGGAATGCCTTCGCTTGGGAACCCTCTTCCCTTCATGCCCGCAAAAAGTGGCTGTCCAGACCTCGTCCATGACCTTTCGATCGACAACAGGCCCTTGACATCCTTTCCCGAAAAACAGTCCCATGGGACCTGGGCCATCACCAGTCCTAACCGGCCACCAAAGGAACGGGCTTTGCCTTTATTGCAATCGCTCAACAAGGGCAGGGGTTTGATCCAGACAAGAGACTTTACTCCATCATGATGACCGCTGCCCATCCTCAGTATTCCATCAAGGAGAACTTGCGGATATACTCGCGTGCCTGGATTATAGACACCTCTACTGCAAACAGCCCGTTGCACGCGCCATCAACACCGAAGCCTTCCTAATCTTCCCCGCTCAAGAGACCCCAGAGAAGCACGGATGTTTGTCTGACCTTCGCGCCCCTGACAGAGAGTTGGGCCTGCAATTATGATTCCCCGCAAAAGCTCGTCGTATTCATCTCCACTCGTCTCTCTTCCCCATGATTGTCCAAATCAAACAAGTCAAAGCTGAAAAGAAGAAACAAAATTGGGCAGACGCTCAGCCCGCTCACCCTAGCAGGGCTGATAATTGAGAACGGTCGACTTCTTTATCCTCTCGTCCTGAATTTCCACATTCATCTCTTCATCACATAATATCAGTACAGGGAGTGCCCCTTTGAACCCTCGTTCACCAAAACATCCCATATCCCAGCCACTTGGCAATGGGCCCCGGCCGGTCATCTTTTTTCGCGCATCGTGGCCTTTCTCCCTTGAAATTACATTCATCCTCGTTCATTTTTCATCAAGGAAAGCTCTCATCGGCAGCTCTTCTTTTTCTAGCGTCAGGGGCAAAAGCCAGGGACGCATGGGTCGCTGACCCCACAGGAAAGCAGTGCCACGCAAGTTCGTCTTCGAAGCCAGTCGAGTCGATTGCAGTCACCGGGCTGCTGGAGGTTAATAGTATCACTGCTCAATCAAAGATATAACTCATCTTTCCAGAACAGTGCCAAGGCCCGGCCAGTTTACATGCATCAGATCAACTCGCTCATTGACTAGTTTACTGGTTAGTTAACTAGTTGGTGAGATCGACAAGAGGCCAAAGCTTCGCTCAGCCCTGAGCAAAAGAAATCTCGAGGATGAGAATAAAACCCTTTCCTGATGGTCAACAAGATACAGCACAGTAGGAGCTGCCTCGAGTAGGACTTGTGTCCAGCGCTTTGCGGACGGGAAGGGATTGAACTAGTCATGTATTAACTAGATAATGAAGAGAGTTATGGATGACACTTGCTCCATATTCTACACTGCGATTCTCGCCAGTGAGTCCTTCACCCGTTTTCCAAACTTGATGTCCATTGCACTTGACAGTACTCCGTACGCCACGTTTTCCCAAAAGGCTTTGGAAATATCGTGTGTGCATCCTCAAACCAGGCTCCAGCCTGCAGCGTGGATATACAAGAACTGGAAGCGGGCAATTCATAGTGTTACCCCCGTGTTGATGCCTGACTGATACTGTTGCGGGGGCTGTGGATTTGGATCCCATGTTGAAGCATTCTATTCATCCGCAAGCTCGCTGGACAGAAACACCAAGCAGTGCAAAAGCAAATCCCATGCCGATCGCGTAGCCGCCTTACTACTCGCTAGACAACCGGCGTGTACTGGTGGGTATCAAGATTGCATCCATGGCGGTTACCATTCAGCCAGATAGAACATGCCAAAACTGGCCACATTCACAGTGGAAGCAGTAATCGTAGGGATAACCAACCCCTGACTTCAAGGATTAAAGGCTAGGCAAAGAGGCTCCTCTGCGCAATTGAGAAGCCGTGGGGTCTGTTCGACAGCTACGTAGTCATCTGATTTCAGCATCAGGCCGTCAAAGGTGTCAAAGGCCCTGACAGGATGTTGAAGGATTGCGAGTTGATGTGCAACGAACTAACTAGTCAACTATAACTAACTAGTTAGCGGTTGAGGAGAGGAGAGAATGAACCCTGTCAGACCCCTCAGGGCTTGTCTTGTAAATGGTGGTGCGATCAATGGGGGTTGCGGAGTTTTACATTCCCTCTGCCTACTCTGCATTTGATGGACACTCGAAATATCAGCAAGCAGTCATCCAGCATTGTATGTCAGCTTCAGTTCCGGAATTGTTCATCTCGCAAGTGAAAAGAGAATCGCTGACATTGGGAGGGGATCTCCACAGACTAAATAATAACCGAAACCATTAACCACAACTTCAAGACGGAAATCACCGGGGCCATTGTCATTGTCCATATAGAGCATTCTCCTTTAGGTCAGTTTTCAAGCCCCAGGGTTTCTCAGTCAAGGCAACTAATATGACCTCCAGCTAGTTAACTACAATATCCACGAGAATTGCTTCAACCTGTCTTCTTCCAGTTTGCCTGAATAATGGCTTCAAATGCTGGATCTATTTGCTCTCGCCCCGTGGTCTTTCTCCCGGAGCCCTACAATGCCATCTATGAAATCCACGAGATCTCGCCGGCGGGCTCAGTGGTGAAAACATACCGCCTTCGACTGGCCTCAGATTCGAAACCAGAGAATCTCATTTCAGAGCCCCTTCATCATGACACCCTTGAGTTTACTGCTTTCTACCACCCGGAACCGGAGTCGGTTCCAGAAGGGAATAATTCACCGTGGGCTCGAGCGAAGCGTAGCCCATTATCATTGATGCAATGGGACGGCCATGCACCTACGGTAGGACAAGCCTGGACTGTCATCTACACCGCTTTCACACTTCGACCTGATCTTGAAGTCTTCCGGCTCAAACTCTCCGGACCAGATACCCCGGCGGTGGCTGGGCAGCTGCAAGCAGTCGGTTTGGCCATATTTCATCCGCCACCATCTGCTCCTCCAGGACAACCAACCCCACTTTCGCATAACCATAAAGACCTGCTTGTCATTCCAAGGAGCACATTCTGGCAAGGGGCCGGATCTCCCTTTGGACCAAGACCGCTATGGGTTATCGGCTCTAGGAATCGTATTCTGGCGGGCTCTGCATATCCCAATGTCCCCTTGGAATATACCCTCACGACCAAGTTTCCTGGCGTGCGAGTTCACGCACGTCATCCTGTCAGACCGCTAAAGCCAATCCCTGGGTCAACGATATACAGTCGGTATATTCCCCATTTAAAGGAAACTTTCTCCATGGTTGCTCTTGACTGGCAGAATGAGGAACACGTGAAGTATTTCCATGTTTGGCAAAACGAACCGCGCGTTGCACAAAGTTGGAATGAGACGGGCACCTTGGAACAGCATCGAGAGTATCTTCGAAAGGTGCATCATGACCAGCACCAATTTTCTGTTTTGGGAAAGTTTGACGAGAATTACTTTGCTTATTTTGAGATTTACTGGGCAAAGGTACGCCTAGGGACTTAACCAGACTTACTTTTCCCCCAATCACACTGTGGATAACTGTAATACTAATCGATATAAAAGGAGGACCATATCGGAGCCTATTATGATGCTGGAGACTACGACCGCGGCCGTCATTTCCTAGTTGGAGAGGCCAGATTCCGCGGCCCGCACCGAGTCAAGGCATGGCATACCAGCTTGACACACTACATGTTCCTTGACGAACCTCGCACCAACCTGGTGGTCGCTGAGCCTCGAGCGTCAGGGACCAAGGTCCTCGGGTATGACCAGGCAAATGGCTACTACATCGACAAATGGATCGATCTACCCCATAAGCGTGCTGCATTGGTCAAGTGCACGCGAGAGAGGTTCTTCCAACTCTGTCCGTTTGAATATGAGAGCTCTACGTAGCCAGAGAGAGAGAGAGAGAGAGAGAGAGAGAGAGAGAGAGCGTTCACTCCAAGGTATCTTGCCAACGAGATTCTTTTAGGGTATAAAAAACTATAGCCCTATCACGTATTTATTATCCTTCCCGGTTGAACCTCAATTTGCAAACACTGCACGTCTCAGGATAAAAACCGTCGACTGCAACCCTAGTTAATAGCAAAAAGAACCTTTGGAAAGTATGTAGCAAAACCGACGTCACCCGGTATTTTATCTAGTAGCATGCCCAAAACGGAGTCAAAATTCCAAGAGGTTGGTATGGAGCATAGAGGTAGTTTGAAATCGCTATACATTGCCTGTTAATCAACGCACCTGGGACATATTATTTATATATCTAACAGTGAAGTGTAATTTTCTGCACTCAAAAGGAATCAGTATCCGAATCAACACCTACCAGAAGTTTGAGGCATCTCGCACCACAATTTTTTGTAAAAGGCTGTAATTAACGACAGAAAGTTCCTTGAGTGGAGGCAGTTGGGCGGATTCTAAATTCGCCTGGAGCACAGACGTCCGATCCCCCGCTGTATATGTTGGCCCAATTTTAAGGACGAGCTGTCAACAGCCGGGAGACGCTCGTTTCCTGCTGATTTATCCAGCATAGAACAGAGTGGAAACAAGAGTCATTGAAAGTGGTATTAATAAAGACTATACACATGGGTAGTTACTGAAAGTAATATACAAATTCTCCAACCACAAGCCGGCTTGCCACACAAAGACCCGAAGCAGGAAAGCATCGATATCCTTCAACTCCAGAGCTGGTAGAGAAAGAATACAATATTCAACAACACGCTGAGTTTCATTGAAAAAAAGAAGAATGGTTGAACTTGCCCTAAATAAACGACAAGGATTCTTTTAAAAAAAATAAATAGATAAAGAGGAGAAGAGAAAGCAACAAGAAGGGGGAGGAAAGAAACAAGATCCCAAGTTTTAAAGGGGCTATTGTACTCGCATCATCCGACTTTAGCCGGTCTCCGCATGATATAATAGGTCAACAGCGGCCGAAAATCTTCAACGGACGAATTGACCATTGACCAAAAATTGTCCTCGGACCCAACCATGTCGTACAATTCCGGGCAAAACTCGATAATCGCTCGCCGAACGTCCGGCTGGGTACTCCTCAGGTTTTGATTTGCAAATCTCCCAAGTCGTTCCATCTCCGCTTGTGTAAGGTATAATCTTTTGTTATTTAACCGGCGTAACAAGCCACTGAGGATATAACTGCCCATTGCAACCATTCTGTAGCATTCGTTAGATTTCTCCTCCGTTTCAAGCAAGTCCAGGATTGCATCTATGACTTCGGGAGGGTCACAAGCGCTCACGATGTCTTCGGCCGTCTCTTCTAAGCCGCTGACAATATGGTTGGTCATTTCGTAATGTTTACGCGCCGTGATAATGGCTGTTATGGCCCGAGGGTAAAAGGCCGCGAAGCATTCCCGGTTCAAGCCAAACATCAGGCGGATGGTCACCAACACTTGCGTCTTGAGGTCGAGTGATCGACCGGATGTAGCACCCTTATCTCCATCAGGGGTCTCCAGTGCTTCCAATAGTGCCATCAATATTTGTTCGTACTTATTTTCATCCTTGTATATAGGTTCATGGTACTTGACCAAGGTCTGGAACTTCCTGTAGCCATGAACATCCAAGGCGCCCGCTCGAATTCGGGTCAAGCCACGCATAATCATATCTTGAGCTTTTGCAGGATCTTTTGATCGTGGACTGAGGCTTCTTCGTCGTTCTGAGACTTCAACCTTTTTCCATCGCCTGTGCGAATTTTCACTAGACGGTGTAATGATAGGGCTAGGTTGCAGTAGTGGGGTATGGACCGGAAGTTGGTCATGTTTACGGTTTGGAACACTTGTAGGCTCGTTTAATGGTAATTCTTCAAGAGGCCTCGATTTCGCCGGGAATTTTGGCGTCTTTGGCGCTTGAAGCGCTGTGTCATTTTGAGTGGCAACTTCTTCAATATTTGGGGACTGAGGATCTTCGTACACCTTCAGTGTATGTGGGCTTTGTGTGTCCACAATATCAAGATGAGATTGATTGATTGGAGCGGGAATCCGTGACACGGAATCATCACTTCCTCCTCTAGAATGGCGAGTTTGGCGAGGAGTTTTGGGTATCATAGGTTCCTCACTGGTTTCTCGACTATCTGAGGGTGACACGGGTAGCGAAGGCACGGACGCCTCGTTGGTAAATCTCCGGTTCCGTGTTGGAGTGCTGAAACTTCCTTTCAGCGGAGTACGCACAGGCGATCCTGGCATATGGTCGACCTTGTCAATATCTCCAGGAGTAAACGCCTGAGACATTTCCCTAATGGTCTGACTAGCCTTAGCCTGAGGAGACACCAATACGAAGTCGTCTTCTCTCCTCAAAGGGCTTTGGGTGGCATTTCCGGTCCCAGCAGCAGCCGAAGTGACATCCGCGTCTGAAGGTCGCTTGCGCCGTACTTTAGGTGACAAGGTAGCGTTGGGGCTACGCCTTTGTTGGTCCCTGGCTGCACTCATCGGCACATTATCCATTCTTGATTTAGGCCGAGGGGGTGGATTTCGGGAGCGCGGGGTCGTCGTCAATTTAGACCTTGACTTTTGGGGGCTCTCGGATGGGCTAGAAATCTTTGATTGTGAACTGGGAGGGACTGATCTGCGGGAAGAGTAGGGATCTGCTGTAGCGGGCCTGACTAGTTCGGGACGTCGGGCACGAGATGCCGGTCGCATCGGCGCTGAAGATAATGATGCATTTTGTGATAACTTTTCCCCTGTTGGTACACGAACAGTCGAAGTAGCTGGTCGACGCATGGCTGGCCTAGCCGACTTGGATTCGGAGAAGGCAGACTGTGCCGATTCAGGCCGCGGAGGAAGAGCTTTTGATGCTGTCAAGCGCGCTTTCTTTTCTGCGTTAATGGTATCTCTGAGCGACGGCCTCGCCGCTGTAGCATGAGACTGGGTTGTTCGAGAACCATTGAGAGGGTTGAGACGCTGCACTTCGATGAGGATTTCCTGGGTCCCGCTCTAAAAGGCCTTTGGATTTCGGCTCTAGGGTGGACATGATACTAAGACCCAGCGCATTAGTATGGTTGTTCCATGAAAGCGAATACATGCACTCACGCTTCCGCCTTCTCAGGCCAAACTTTGTAGAATATCCAAAATGTCCCACGCATACCTTCCCTCACCCCTGGATTCGCGTCGCCTAAACCCTTCTTTATGCACTTTTCAATCAGCTCCAAGCCTCCGCTATGTTCAATTAATCCCTTTTGCTTGCTATGCCGCATGAGAATGGTACGAATCCAACCTGTTGCGAACTGGCGAGGCTGAACATTCTTGTCTTGACATGCACCCCATATATGTTGCAAAATGCGAGATGAATATGTCACATTCCCGATAATAGTATCCACGGTGACATTCCCATGTTGAGCGGTAATCTTTTTGAGGGCAGCAGTGAGTTTGATTAGGCTCTGGAGGAGGATTTCGATCATGGGGTCAATCGAGGGACCACAGGTCCGAGCGATGTCTTGAAGCAAATAACACCCGGCTGCTGAAAGTGTTGTGCGCAAAGAAGTTGCGGTTTTCAGTATTCCGTCAAGTAAACTTTTAATAGCGACAAGGTAGTTTTGCGGATAGTCCTGAAAGGAGTTTCCCTTGGTCAACCTGCGAAGAGCCACAACGTTCCTTTCACGTAAGATCCAGTTTTGTTCTGACTCTTTTCCCTCAAAACAAAGTAGCATTTCACGAATCATGTCGTCAAATTCACGGTGTGAATTAACGTAGAGTGGCTCAACAGTTTCCGCATCTGTTGTGTCTGAAGTTGCTGCCGGAAGTGATTCGACGCTAGCCGTGTGAGATAGGGTCGGGTATTTGTTAGACTGATCTGCGCCCATTGGCTTTGGTTGGCCATGGAAGATTGTATCAATTCTAGGCATACCTAACTTGATGTTAGCAAGCTTTCCATCTAAGTTTACGAAATTTGGGAAACATACCATGCAAATCAGCGTTAGAATGTGAGCGCACTGACAATACTGAGTTTGAGCGCGGTAGATCATCACGACGGTGGGAAAAGCTACTCACAGGCCTGGTGTTATCAGGCCTCGAGTGCGATTGATGGAATGATGAGGACACTTCTGCATCAGTATTGATATTGACACCAAGGTTAGATAAAATTGACGTCGCAATTGATTTCCTCACGTTATGAGAAATGAGTTGCTTTTTCAGGTCTGATATCGCTCGCGGAGGGGCATTCCTGGAGATAAATTGGTTAGTGCTGAGAACACCTGAGAAGCTAGATTCTATTTCACGCACTGGAAAAGTTCGATCACCGTCGACTTTGCCGTTTCTCGTACAGCGGCATCCGCGTCCTCAAGGCAATTGACAAGGGATGGCACGTAGGTCCGGAATAACAAGCCATGTTCCTGCGTCATCTACATGGATTCAAATCAGCCTCTGTCGGAGCGAACCATGATGCACGATCAATTAAAATAGCCTCAAGTCAATACCTTTGCGAGCCAGGTCATGCTTGTTTCCTTCGCCCTAGGATTCTTGCCAACCAAAGCTGTCTCCAAAACATGATGCTCAACGTCAACTGGAGAAGCCAGCCAGAACTCTGTGAAGGCTTGGGCGGCTTGGTCCCGTATTCGTGCTTTATGGTCGCCCAGTTTCTCCAAGAGCACCTGGTAAGTGGCACGACCTTGAAGTGTTATCGCCTGATGTTGGTCCTGCAGGCTAAGGCGCTTCAACAAGTGGCCCAGAGAAGAGAACCCAGCAGACGAGAGAGAAGAATGTTGGGAAGCGATCGCCAGGCGGAGTGAATCAAATAGAGGCGGGATGGCGGCTTCTGGAACATTTCTCTGCTTGATTTCAGATTTGATCTTTGCTAGGGATGTGGCTTTGACATCGATAGAGACATTGCTATTTCGCAGCGTCGCAAGAAGCTCCGTTGCTCTTGCATCCATTGTCAGAAGGCGGGGTCGGGGAATCTCATTGGAAGTGGTAGTAGATCGGGCAACAAAAACTAGATGACGATCAATCGAATTTGTGTAGTCGGAGATCGTGCGGGAGGATGGGGATTCGGCTGTAGCAGAGATATTAAGAGGGGGCGGCACCGGAGAGTTTGATATCCACTATCCTGGGAGTTGTATATCAGCTCATTGCCGTCGAAAGCGCTTTCAGGCTTGCCACAAAGAGCTAGGGAGAGGCCCAAAGAAAGTGCTGGGAGACAATACCTGATGTGCTAGTTGGATATTCCTGGAGGCCGATAATCAGGTGAATTTGGGTGCAGACGATCAAACGGCAGCTGATAAACAATAAGGCCGATGCCGAATGGATGCAATTTCGCGACGCTGGCAGCTCTGACACTGGCCAAACAATCGGGGTTGTCGTCGCAAAACAGGCGATGGTTGTTGTTGCCGAGTCGATCGGGGCCTTGCTGAGTCAGCGGAATCGCTGGAGAAGAGAACGGACGCTGGAGGACAAGAGCTGCAAACGGCGGCAGTGGTGCTATGGGATGCGCAGAGAGGGAGAGAGACAGTGCTGCGAGGACTGCATAAACAAAAGGGATGCGCTGCGAGCCCCGTGGAACAACCTGGAGTTAAATCCATTTTGCCCTTGCGACAATCCATGGATCATTGATGCCTGACTCCCGCCCGCAACCAACGAAACTACCCGACTGTCGGGCAAGAAACATTGGCCCAAATGATGGCATTGCATGGCGGTTAGCACCCATGGAGCGAGCACCAGAAATCTCCCCCCATTGGGCCATCAGGGGACGAAACCGCAATGTTATGTTGGCGCATCTCATCCAAGCCCTCTATACATGACCCCGCCACGCGTGGAAATTGGAGAGCGCCTCGCCCACCTGACACTTGTCGAGATGGGCGCTATAAAAACACCCATTCGCCCATGGCTGAAACAAGCACTGCCATCCTGCTTCCTGGTTGAGCTTTACCAGTGCTTGCAAACATGTCAACACCGTCCCCTGTTCCCCGAGAGATCAAAGGCCAACAAGCGCCGCCAGCATTGCGGGCAAAAGATAATGGTGTGAGCTCGCAACTGGCTCGCCCTTCGCCGAAGCTTCGCCTGCACTTGCAGGATATCACCCACAAATCCACCAAGATCTTTCTTGACAGCATCTCTGACCCCCAGGCTGTGGTTGAATCGGCGTTGTCCGACATTGTTGAATATCTCTACACGTCCCCAGAGGCGTCTCGCAAGGTCCATTTCAAGCCATCTTTGCCCGATACTCGATCCGTCACCTTCATCTTACGTGATTTCTCGGGAGTAGCATACACCACTTCGCTCGACATAGACTCTGATCACAAAGAAATACACTTCTCCCTCTCGCATATCGCTCGTGCTGCCTCAGGTGACCCCAGGCATGAGATCATCGGTGTCCTGACCCATGAACTGGTCCATTGTTACCAACATACCACTCCGCCGGATGGCTCCGCTCCCTATCCGCCATCGGGATTGGTAGAGGGCATAGCGGATTTCGTCCGCTTGAAGGCCGGGCTGGCACCCCCTCATTGGTCCCGCCCACGCAATAGCACAGACCTGCCAGATTCGTGGGACCGGGGATATCAGCACACTGCATTTTTCTTGGAATGGATTGAAGATATCTGGGTGGGGATTGGCGCAGTAGGCATGTTAAATGATGCGCTGTTCCGGACTGGATATGTCGGCGAGGGGGGAACCATCGAGACACCCAACGCCGAGGCTTTCTGGATAGGCCTTTTTGGTGCCAGTGTCCAACAACTTTGGGAGGAATACGGCAAATATCTCGACAGTAAAGGAGGGGACTCTAGTTGAAGGGCCCGAGGCGCAAACCATTTTGCTTTATGTATATGCTGGAAATTTAGTTGGATCCGGTTTATACTGTATAGAAGCTGATATAGTGTTTTATTTTTATGATAATATATTGAAACAAGTTGCTCTAGTAGGGTATCTCAAAGCTTAGAACCTCCCTGACTCTTCTCCCAAGCGCCTACTCTGCGGCCTCGCTCAGCGTCCATGCCCTCCCGCTCCGTTAGCCGGTCCAACCGGACCTTTTCATTTTCATCATGCGACTCAAGCACTCTCACAGTTTCATTATACACCTCCTCCTTCAAAGAAGCATAAACATGCGTCTGCCCCAACTTCACCAGCGAACGCTTTTCAATAAATGTGAGCGCCTCGTCAATCCCGCCAGTAGCATCAATGATTCCCGCCGCAAGTGCTTCCGTGGAATCAAATCGCCTCCCAGCCGTGATCAGGTCTCGCACGGTTGCGGGATTTCCAACTTTGTGCTTTACGATACTGGCCATGGGGGCGGGCAGCCAGGCTCCAAAGTGTACTTCATTTAGGCAGAGATACCCTTTGCTTGGATTTTGGATCCGGTAGTCATGGAGAAGCGCGACGAAGAGTCCGCCTGCGTATGCATGCCCGTTGAGAAGGGCAACGGTGGGCATGGGAAATCTGCGATAGTGCTTAGTTTGTGCTCAATATAACTCGAGAGATTCAGTGATAGTATAACAATAAGTAGAGACGCAGGTAGCAGCTCGTCTTAATTGCATAGATCCAGCATCTCTCATTGCCATAGCCCACTAAGTTATAGAAGGCGAAAAAGACAGAGAAGTAAACCTACGTAAGTAGCCTCTTCCAGAACGGCCAATATGTCTTTGCCCAAAAGCCCTCCGTGGTCATCGCATGCTCCAAATCTAACCCATTACTATAGAACTTGGGAATCTTGCTTGTAGTCATAAGAACGCCGATGGGTAATTTCTCTTCTATGATATCAAGTGCGAGACTGAATGCATCGATGAAAGCGGTGGTCTGTCGATTGTCGGGCGGGGAGTTGAACGAAAGGAGGTATACCCGGTCAGCGGGTGAAGTGCATTCGAATGAACCGCCTGTAGCGATGGGGACCGTAAATAGAGACATGATTCAAGGAACGAGATGGTGAAATTTGATTTGTGGTGCGGTGTATATAGTTGGCTATCAGCTGGTTGCTGGTCTTGATGGACACTGACAGTGACTTCAAAACCCTTGACAATAGCAACGCCGCTGAGATAATGGTACAAGTAGTAATTATTGACCAAGTTGTTGAAAGAAGGAAGAAAAAAATCAATCCAAAAGTTCGAATCTCTGGTCCAACCGAGGCACGTCCATAACTATATGAAGCTTATGGGCTGTGCTCTCGGCCTGTCACAAGCTGAGCCAGAAAATAGACTGCGAACGACCCATATCTTGCATTTATGCAAGCTTAACAAGTAGCTAACTAAGCGGCGGAGCCCCGTTAGTCGGCTTTCATAATTGAGGATGAAGTATGAGAGTTTTCATCTGATGTATTCCTCTTTCTATATAGCACTGCTCTAAAGCGAATTCCATAATATGTGCATGTCCTGTAGTAAGTAAGAATGCAAACAAGCAGTTTTCCTGTGGCAAACAGTACTTATAATCCAAGCGGAGGGAATCACTCGAAGATATTTATCCGATCGAAGGATATCGATGGAGGCCCCGAAATCAGGCGGGAAATGAAAGCATGGAATCATATAGCGAGTCAATTCACAGGAACGCCAAATATTGTACAAAATAATAAACAGAGAAGGACCCCAGATTCTCCGGTACCCCCAATTGGCTCAGGTTCTTTTCCTTATACAATAATCTCGCCAGGATCCACCATTGCGGGTTCCCATGGAGCGGCATCACTCTCTTCCATTGCGCTCGGTACTCTCACCGATAGGGGACTATATAGATACCACCCCTTCAAGGCCGCCGTCCGCGGCTCTAAACCGAGCTTCACTTAGACTGGCACCTGAGCCTTCGCCCAGTTGATCCTTCCCTGAGAAAATCCCCACTACAAATACCGGGTGCCGACTGAGACGACCGGTTTCACTGATAATCTTCGCGACGGGGGCTTCGAAACCTTCCCGGGCGCAGAGCTTGCTGAGATCCCTCGTGGGTTGAGAGAAGCTGAAAAGGTCAGCCATCGGGAGTTGTCGGCTCATGAAATGCTCTTTAAAAAACTGCTTCGCGATAGGACGTCCACAGTGTAGATAGATGGCGCCCATGACAGCTCGAACAAAAGTGGCATTGGCGTGCGTTACTGAAACTTCGGTGGGAGGCTGAGACGATGCTGTTCGGGCCTCACCAAATTCATTATCGTATATGACTCTTCCGCTCACTCCGCGAGGAACTGCACGGGTGTTTGGCGCCAATTCGGACGGGTTTATGCCTGGGGGTAGTCTTTTGAACTGGAGAAGGCCGGGGTCGACCTCACCGCCCGGTGCGGCTACATGTTCAACACCCCATTCCCTGCTTATAGCCGCTAGGGCTTTGGGTCCTACGTATGCCCACATAGATGCCCAGAGAACTCCCATCGGGAGCCGTGGAAAGGTGGAGATTAGGTGCTCGGAGGTATAGTATGTCAGGAGATGGTTTCCTAGTACGGCAAAGGAATGGTTGTTGAATTGTAAAGATGGGTCAGCCGAGGCGTCGACGAGCGTTCTAGCAAGGGTTTGGAGAGGTAGTCGCTCAGGGAGAGCGAGTCGTGAATGGAGGGCTGCAAGTCTTGCAGATTTGACTGCCGCTTCTTGCGGAGGAGAGGGTGTCGAGGAGTTAGACGAGAAATTGTATGTGTCGGAAATACCGTCATCTTCAATATGCTCGATTTCTGACAGGAGAGGAGAGGGGGCGGAGGATTGTTGCCGGATGACGGTCAGAAAATACTGTCGTGTGCTTGTGCTGCCGCCTGACGGCCGTATCCGCGGCGAAAGCACTGAGCCGCTCCATCTCAGGAGCTGTAACCTTTTCATTGGGGCTCCGGTCGTAATGATTCCCTTGTGGCGGTCGATTTGTGCTGCAGCTCCGCAATTGAAGTCATGCAGCGGTAGAGACAGGCGGGCTTGACTTTTGGATCGCGATCGAAATCTTTTGGATTTGAGCAGAACCTTAGCTTCACTTCGCATCAGGTGAGAGCGGCGCTAGTCCTACTTTGGACTAGTGCTCTCCGTCCACTTCAACCATGCTGGAAGTCGATTTTCAAGAGAGGAGCGCCCTCCACAAGCATCTCGAGGCTACGTTTCTATTCTCTGTTCACAATGGGTGGAGGACCAAGAGTTCGGTAGGGAGTTGACCCCGGGATCGGCACATTGAGATGACGGAACCGATACTGACGGGCATCATTTGGTCTAGTTACCCCAAGCACGTCTGGTCTCCAGCGGGAGGCTGGTACTGCCAGCCTGCAAATTGGAAAGCCAACACGGCCATCATGGGCGCTATAGTTCTCGGAATAGCGGCGATGGCATTTAGCGTTAGTGCCGAGCGAGAGATACGGACAAAGTTCCCTGAACCAGGCCGGTTCTTCCCAAGTCGATGGTACGTTTGCGGAGTGACGAAGGGAAAGGGAAACATCGCTGACCGATATTGCTAGGTGGAGCAAGCAGATAATCGAGCACGAGAGAAATCAAGCAAAGGAAAAGTCATGACTCTAACAGTTTATGTGGATATCCGGACCCGACATTCCCACGCCGTTTCCTCTTTCTTAGACACGACATTCTCGTTTAAATGATTGGACTTTCATGTTTCCAAAACTGTATCATACATGTCCATGAATTGTTTCTTGTACAGGAGAATTCGTTCCGCATAACTTATCCCATTCCAACACTCGAGGCCCTCACTTGAATATGAGAGCCTGGGAACGCCAATCTGTTCAATGGCAAAACTAGCAGCAACAATAGCACAGATCAATGCAGCAGGAGCTCTTCCGTCATCACCCCATATCGTTTGAATATCCTGCCACGCTTTTGAGTGATGGAGCATTTGTTGTATGAGATTAAAGGGTGCACGGCCGGTGGTTGCTAGGCCCTGTGCCAATGCACCAAGGAACGTATTACCTGCGCCGGTTGGATCGATTACATCCACGGACTCAAAGGCCGGCAGCTCTAGGGTTCCATGTTGAGAAAAGGCGTAACAGCCGTCCTTTCCGGCCCTTATTACAAGCATCCCGTCACCCGCCGGACCAATACCGTTTCTGACTATATTTTCTGCTATTGCTCGATCGTGGCTATCGTCCTTTCTCCATGTTGTCTTTCCAAAAAATCTTGCGAGTTCGTTCTCATTCGGGCTGACCACGTTCACATACCGGATGGCGTTGTAGAACTTTGGTAGCTCTTCTTCACAGCACCTGTCAGGAACCGGCTCCCATACAAAGGTAGGCCTTTCGTTAGAGAGCTCCAGTCCCGATTCCTTGAGTGCCTCGGACCTTCTCTCTAAGATTCCTTGGACAAGCTCACAACAACGAGATGATGAACAAACCATGTGGAACGATTTTGATAACAAGAGAGCCTTTGTGAGTGAATTGTGGTCTAGGCGTAACTTGGGCGTCAAATATTTGAAATCTGAGTAGCAATAAGCCTCACAAGTCGATCTTTCACGAACAGTGCAGTCACCCACCTCTTCTCTCGTTGGGACCGTATCCATTCCAGCCTCTTGTAGTAAGCCGCTTCGGATCATCCCGAAAGATGCAATGCGTATCCCACGATGAAATTGTATCTCTAACAGCTTCTGGAAAGTCGGAGCCGCAATCGACGATCCAGCCCACGGATCTTGAATGTGCTTTTCCAGCAACGATGCGGGCTCCTAGAGCTGCATACGAGCCAGCGCCCCCAATGATATCCTTCACTGGTGGCCTTGATGTTTCGAATTCGATCTCATCTGCCATGTCATGCGTTAGTAATTCTATGGGGAATCACACCGTTTTATGGAGTACAGTTAGACTAGCCGATGATAAACATCCCAAGGGTGCAAGAGTCGACCTGAGATGCATGTACCGCATCGTCGGAACAAAACGAATTGGCCATCAGGAGAAATCTGTTTGCCTTTTTGTAGCTGCCTACTGTTGCTTGTTGATGAAATGAATTCGGACCAGCCGCTTTCACTGAACGAAGCAATATCTACTCCGTACTTGGTTATTCCTCTGGCTGCAGTGTTTGGGCCCCTTTAACTCTGCAAACTGTATTATTAAGAGCATTGGGTGGCTGGGATTGTTGGGTGGTATTCTAACTACTCTGTACTCCGTAGCTGTGATGCTCCGGCTTGTTACCAAGGGCAACTCCTGGAAGCTTTCCTCTCGTCCACTGTTCTCTACAAAGGGAGTCGCCCACAAAGTTGCTTGACGCTCTCATATTCTCCTCTCCCAAGGTTGCATCATCCTCAAAGCTACCTGTCTGGCATCAGAAGTTCAGACTCTTGAAGCTGCCTAGTACCATCAAGTCTCAAGAGGATATCAAGCACAACCCGCAGCCATGGCTTCCAACAACCATATGCATAATTTTACGACCCTTATTAAACGGTATGTATAACCAGCCAATGCGCCAGGATGGATCTCTATGAGTCTGGTGTTTGACCCTGTTCCAGGTTAGAAGCCGCAACATCTCGACTCGAGGACATGGCCACTGCGCTCGAAGGTCCGACCCCATCAAGTCCTGCGATTCCAGAAGCTGTTCAGACTGCTCCAACCCAATCGACATCACAGACAGCTATCTCGGCTCCGCCTCCTCCGCCCGCCGAGACACTTCCAAAGTCCATCGAAGCTTTCGATGAGCTTATTAACAAAGAAGTCCGACCTTTTGTAGATTTTGCGCAAAAGATTGGAGATGCCGTTGCTGAGCAGGTACGCACTCTTTGCTCAACCCTGACACCTTGCGCTTGGCCTAATGGAACGTTCATTGTAGTCGAAAGCGGTGCTGAAAGCATTCGAAGCAGAACGGAAATATCTCCTTGTTTCTACAAAGGCCAAGAAGCCTGATATACAACCCCCAGAGCTCCTAACAGAATTGCACCGGGCGTCGGATGAGATCCATAGTATCCGGGATAGCAACAGACCATCACCCTTGTTCAATCATCTCAGCGCGGTTTCTGAGGGAGTTGTATCGATGGGATGGTTCTTCGAGAATCGACCCGCAGAATTCGTCACCGACATATTAGGCGGCGCTCAATTCTATGGCAACCGCGTACTCAGTGAATATAAAGAAAAGTGAGAAGCCCCCTTCGCCATTTGAATGACTTATTGTTAACATGTCGCCTTCAGAGACAGAACCCACGTCTCTTATATCCAAGCCTACTACACCATCTTTCGGTCTCTAATTGCGTATATTAAGGAATATTACCCAAGAGGTGTGACTTGGAATAACAAAGATGGCGTTGAAGTCTTGGAGGCCCTGAAGCAGATCTCGTCCACACCCGCTACAGGTGGCGCCGCTCCTCCTCCCCCTCCTCCGCCGCCATTGCCTAACCTTGAACTTTTGGGTGTCCCGCCTCCTCCTCCACCTGGCGCTCCTCCAACGCCTAAAGCTTCATCCAACAATGACATGTCCGCGGTATTTCAACAACTAAACCAGGGCTCTACGATCACCTCAAATCTCCGCAAAGTTGACAAATCTGAAATGACCCACAAGAATCCAAGTCTGCGCGCGAGCTCTCTAGTTCCAGACCAGGGTCCACAAGCAACCCGCGGCAAATCTCCTGCACCCAGCAAGAAACCCAAGCCAGAGAGCATGCGGGCTAAAAAGCCACCGCGAAAGCACCTCGATGGTAACAAATGGTTTATTGAACACTATGACAATCCTGGAGATGTTGTTGAGATTTCGGCGCAACTAACCCAATCTATATTGATATCCCGTTGCAACAAAACAATCATCAAAATTACCAACAAGGCTAATGCAATCTCCATCGACAACTGCAATGATGTCTCCGTTATCGTAGATTCCTTGGTCAGCAGCTTCGACGTTATCAAGTCTCCAAAGTTTGCGCTTCAGATTGACGGGGTGGTTCCCACGGTGATGCTCGACCAGGTGGATGGCGCCACCATCTATCTCAGTCAGTCTAGTTTGAGTACAGAGCTATTGACGAGCAAATGTTCCAGTATCAACGTGGTTTTACCCCCTAAAGAAGGTACCGAAGAAGCAGATGATAAGGAGTGCCCGGTTCCAGAACAAATCAGAAGTTATATCAAGGACGGGGTGCTGGTAAACGAAATCGTTGAGCATGCCGGATAATTAAGACTCAATTGTCGATAGGTCTTACTCTTTGGCAGAGAGTGTTTGCTATACTCATCTAGAAAATTTTGTGTTTCATGTTTTTGGTGTAATTAGCCACATTTGGGTATTATTCCCGTCTCCTAACCTGTGTCTATATAACAAATGCATGGAGGATCAGGGAAGTAGAATATGGCCATATCAATCTTTTGTCATCTTTGCCAGGTGCTCGTATATATTGACATCAAGTTCCAGATCAACCTTCAGCTCCCTTGGCAATATATACAGAAGCGGATTAAAGCTGGAAATCTCGTAAAACATCAAAAAACGAAGTGCTGTTCATCTTATTAATGGGGTATAGAGCAGAGTAAAATCTTTATAAATTTCCGACCCAAAGCCACAATTTGAACGCCAAAGTCTAGAAAAAGTTCACGCATAAAAGCAGGTACTGATGAGCACAGGAATCAGGGCCCGTAAGTATACTCATAGGTAAACGACGGTCCCGATAAAACGCGAAAAGCAATTGGACCTATAAATCGAATCGACGCGAGAAAGGAATGTCGAGCTCCCATGCAAGATCAATCGCCTTTTCGGCCCTCGAGACTTGGCTTCGTCTCCTTCAAATTGCGAAGCCTTTGCGCCAACAAGCTCTCAGAGCCGCTGGAGCCCGTTGTAGGGGGTGTATATCCGCCGTAGCCTGCATCACCTTTGTTGAGTTTGTTATATATTTCCTCTTCTGACGCCGAGCCAGGTATGTTGGTCAGCGGCTGCAGCGCAAGTTGCTGGCTTTGTGGAAATATCATATTTGCCAAAGGCTGGATTGGTTCGGGGACAGCCTCGTCTTGTGAGATATATTCGGGATCAAGTTCCATCCCCATCTCGCCCATGTCCCCGGTATCATTTCTGGCAGGAAAGATCGGCAGGGCTTGATGTCGTGTTGCGAATGGTTGCTGGGTCGGAAATCCAAACTGCTTTGCTTCCGCAGGGACAAATTCTCCTAGGTCCAAGGGCCCTCGAAACCCAAATCCAAACCCGCCACTTCGTCTCTTTAATGCGTTCTCTGGCTTCGATCCGCTGGTAGCAGGATCCCTGGTTGGCTTATAAGGGCTATATCGGGGTTCAGGATAGTGAACTTCATTCCGTAACTTCTCCTTGCCGTCTGGAACTCTGTTCGCGAATACGACGCGAATTCCAGAATAAAGGTAGTAGCGATCTTTCGACGGGCAGCAGATGTTAAAGTGAACAAGGTACCTGAGTATCGATTTCTCGCTCATGTTGTCATGAGAGTCCATGGAACCGTTATTGACCCCGGGGGACAGTGAACTATCTGCTATAGGGCCGACAGAATAGCTTCTCTGCCGTACAAAAGTCTTCGTCCCTGGCTCCATCCCTTCAAGGTCATAAGGGACAAGGAAAAGCTTCACAGCTGTTTTGTTGGGGTTCTTTATTACAATCTGTAATTGGCCTTGTTGTGGGATCCGGTAGCAGCCACCTGGAGGCCATCTTGAAGACTGCGACTGCCGTCGCGACCTCTTGTCCCTGATCCGTCGTTCTTGTTGAGGCGTACTAGGCAATTTTAAGACGCGCTCCTCATTCGCATTGTGCGGACAAGGACACTTCGGGGGTATTGTGATCTGTTGAGGGCTCTTCCTAGGTGGTCGAACTTCACTTGGGAAAGAGTTTTCAACATCTATGTACCCAACATACGGACTAGGACTATCGTCTGAAATCGTCCTCCCACTTCCTGATGTAGGATAGCTGTAGAAGACTGCCGGAAACGAGACAGTCACATGTGGGGGGCATTTCAAATTGGCTTTGCACTGGCCTCTCCCCAATACTCCAACTTGGGCTGTGAAATCCAGTGGTCTTGATGGGGACATAGACATTCTGCCGCGAAGAATTGACTCTTCGAAGGAACCAACCATAGAAGCGTGGTACAACGGGCCTGTCTCTGACGAGTGGGAAGGTCGTCTAGCACGAGGTAAAAACGTATTTTGGGGAGAAGATGCTGGTTGCAATGTAAACCCGGAAGTTAAGGACCTTCGTGGGCGGTGCCCCTGATAGGAAGATAGGCCTTCACGGTTGAAACTGGACGGAGTCCCACCACTACGATCCCAACTGCAAGTCCGCGGTGACGCATGAAAAGCTTCTGGCGGTAGGGTCTGTCGACGATTTGTTCTTTTAAAACATGAAGAGAGGTCGAGGGGGTCGAAATTGTGAGGCAGGTCGAGGTCAGGGTTCCTAGCTTGGTACACCAAGGGGCTCGTAGGTGGTTTAAGGACATAGTTTGCAGAAAAAGAGCCAAATGAAGGGCCTCGTAGTCGGCCAGAGAATGACATGGCTGGCGTAGAACCCGGTGATGACGGCTGGTTTCCAAATGAGCACGGTTCAAAGTGTGATTGTGACTCTTCTGAGTACCAAGGAGCCGGAGGCGACGTGGATAATATGTGATAGCCGGATTGTCCATCGTAGCGGCCGTTCTGTGATTTCTGTGGGCTATCTGGAGAGCCCTCACGGAAATCACCAGAATGTAAAGCTGATCTTGGCCGTTCAATCTCTACAGGAGGGTCCGGAAACAACCCGCTTCGGTCTTCACTGCTAGGTCGCCGCTGTGGAGGCTCCAATATCTCCTCATCGGGAGGTGAGGCAGACTGTCTCTCCCTTTTTTGCAGTTCTTCAAATCTGGTTTGAGGAGCATCTCCATGGATGGCGAAATATTGCTCCAGCTATTGTTCATAGGCGGCATTAGCACTGTTCCACCACGAAAGTTGAAAAGAAAAAGGGAACCGCAGGCTTGAATGACCAGCCGGGATCAATTCTTGTTGGCATCATGCTAGACCATCTCGAGAAACGATATTGAGAAAGTATAGGATGACGATGGCGGGACTTACTGAGCGATTAGGAATCCATGTAGGACTTTCGCCTCGCTTGATGCTCTGGATAAGTTCTTCTCGACTGCTTGTGTGCAGAGTTGGGCGGTTCTGTGCGTCCATATTCGACCCCTGGGAAGTGATATCATTCATAGATACATCTCGCGGGCCATCAGCTTGCCTATCAACCGGTGTTTGTCTCCCGCAATGGCTGTGATCCTGAAGCCGCGGCGGACAGAAACGACTGTCCTGGCGATCTGGATCCTGGAAAATCGGCATGTTGGCGGTTGCAAAGAGGATGACCCGGCATGGTGATCGAGAGAAGAAAGCCGTTTGCGAGCGTCCAAGACGTGGCTCCTCAAGGGAACAATGCTGGAGTCATAACGGGTGAAGTGGCACAGTGGCGGGGATGTGGGTGGATCAAGGTAACCAGAGAAATCAAGCTGCTTAACCGGCTTCGGTCTGGTATGAGCCACGAAGCAAGCTTGGATGATTGCTTTTTCACTTGCAATCCGGGCGACAGAAAAGGATATTGTCGCATCTGCAGGGCCGTTTGGGCGTTGGCGGCCTGACTGCGGGCGTTGAGTCTTGACACCAGTGTATCAAGGGCCTCTCGCAAATCTTCCCCTTCCCACAAATCAACCCGAAACATCGCCTTTTTCCCTGTGGCTGCTCTCACTCGCTCCTGTGCCCCGACCGCAACCTTGTTATCTGCGCAAAAGATCCCTCCTCCTTGCCCGCATGAGCAAATTTTGTTAATTGGATCGCCCTCATCCCACACGGGAACCAAATCACTCATCATGGCGCCAAAGAGACCACGCGACAACGCGGATGACCAGGCACCTGGCAGTCACAAGAAACGAAAAGGATTTTCTGTCGGGCCTGCCAATCTTCCGGACGGCACATATAGAAGAAAAGGTAACGCACCGTGTTCTGCATCTTAGGACCCAGTCGTGCTGATGAGTTCTTCTTTCGACCTGCAGTGCAAAAAATCAAAACCGACCTCATCCACAAAGCAAAGGTTAAAAAATCCTACGCAAAAATAAAAGCACAAGAGCTCGCAGCTACCCAGGCAAAGTCCGTCTACGACCGAGAACCTAAAGATGAAAAGGACCCCGACGAACCGGGCGTGGACGTAATTCCAGCTCCGTCCCTGGAGCTGCATCCAGACCGGCAGGCGATGTTGGATACACGCGAGGAGGAGTCTAAGAATCTACTGCAGGACCAGGAAGGCGTCAAAGAAAGGCCGCGGCGCAGAGAGCGGCGGCCTAAACCTCTGCCGTTTACGAAAGAAATGCAGTTCGCCCAAAAAAGAAAAGAGGAAGCCGAAGCTAGGGCGAAGTTGAGAGAGGCAAAGGCAAAAGAGCGCGAAGCGATGATGAGAGCGAAAAGGCCAGACCAATTTGGAAAACAGCGATTGGGCCGCCAGAGTAAGGTCCTACTGGAGAAGGTGAAGCGGATAGTCGGAGAGCCATAGTTGAATATGCGGAAGGCTTCGAACGGGCGAAAATGCATTACGCTTCCCACTGCATGCCGAGCGACGAGGAAAATCAAGGGATTCGACCTAGTCGTTGCGACCGAGTCTTTCCAGCGACAAGATGGGGCTCCCTTGGGCTCTCTTTTGGACGCTTCAGGGTATTCGTGCAGCAAGCGCTGCCGCTCACCATCAGTTGAAGCTTCTCCGGGAAGATCGTACAAAGAGTCTATGCGAGGAGAGAACTCAGGGCACTGTCAAACGAGCAGCCTTCCCCCTGACCTTTTGTCAAGGTGGTCTATGCCCAAATCCTTGGATGTCATCGAATGGTTTAGCGAGCCTGGTGCTACAAATAGGTGCAATCGCTTGACTTGAGGACTACACATCGAGTCGATGCGAGAGTTATTACTCGAGATACGTAGGGTATCTATTGGGATTTAATCGGTACTATAATGTATCTATAAGATGTATTATACATTCTTTTCACCGGTCGACTTCACGCAAGTCGTGCTATGTGCGGTAGAATCCGGTCATGTCGAGTTTCAAGAGTAATTTATCAAAAACACTATCGATATCGACTTTTGCCTCTTGTCCCGTACCCCATTCCGCTAGGTCATGATGTCTTGCCTTTTTGAACGTAGATTTCACATTCCCCAAACTGCTCAAAAAGCTAATGAAACCTCTGACCTGCTTTCTAAAGACCAAATGTAGTTCCCGGATTGACCGTTCGTAGAAAATAGGTGAACGCTCTCGATGTCTTGACTTTGACTGTAAGAAAAGGGTGAGCACGGTGCCGAAGATTTCTTCCAAAAGAGCATTTGCGTTTGCGTGTTTCTTGCTCAGCAGCATAGCGAAAAGCATCTGATCGAGGACATCTTCGTGATGCTCCCTAAGTCTACTAAGGCTTTTCGCATGCTCAATAGTGCCATCAATATCCCCTTCATCAATACATTTCTCAATCCTGGACAATGTCCTTTCGAATTTGTGCCACAGGCCGCCCACACAGACATGAAAACAATACTCGCCAATTGCTTCCACAAAATGCAATGCTTCAAAGGCAAACTTTTGTTCGCAAGGTAGACTGCACAACTTTCGAACAAGACCACGGGTTGCGGAGAGAAGCCTTAGTAGCCGAAGCAGATGCTTAAAAATGCGATCGTACTTGGAGAGACTTCGAGACGTGATAACGCTTTCCAGCATGGGAGGGGGGGTATACTGAAGGCGAAGGAAGTCGAGTGCTTGAACGGAGTTCGGATTCTTGCACTTTATGAGCTCTTCGTCGGAGAGCTCTCGAATCGAAAAGCTTAGTTTTCCGGGGAGTTCTTTGGCTGGACTTTGCGTTCCCAACTGTGTAGAGCAGCCGGGTTTCGCATATTCAGCATGGCATTCGGCCAGTAAACCCATTAGGACCAACCGGAGCTCAGAGCTCGCAGGCGGCCAAGTATCCCTGCTATCAAGACGGAGGCCTGTGGACGTGCCGCCACGAGCGACCCCAGCTTTTCTCTCGCTACTCTGTACATTGGAATCAAAAAGCGTTGTAGACAATTTGGATAAAAATGCACCATCTCCAAGGAGCTGAAAGCGCCACTGTAAATGTAGGTGTTCCTTTAGTTTATGCTTTTTGAAAAGAAGATGAAGGCACGAAAAGTTAATAAGACGAGCCTGCGACGATATAGGGGACGCAAAAGATATATAGAGTGTTGACATTAATGGCGGGCCAAAGGGTAAGTCGACGCCCAGACTTTCCTCAATGTTCACACAAGGGCTTTTCGAAATTAGCTGGTGAAGCTTGTGAGAGAAAAGAGAGTCTCGATGCTCGAGAACAGGGGTTCGGTTGGCGTCCGGGTCCAAATCCGAAAGTTCGAAGACGTTTCTGATCGGCTCATCACTATCGCGTTGCTCTGTCTCTTTTTCTCCTTCCGTTGTCAGAGATGTCCCTACTTGTCCCAGATCCGCCACCCCTTGGATCTTTCGACTATACTTCAGAATTTCCAGGCGCATCCCCTCTTCATAATCCTTTGCTTTTTTCTGGATGCGATCCATATCATTCCATGTAAACCCACATTCTAAAGGCGGACGGGGCGGTTTCTCGGGTCTCAATGGCTGAGCCAGTGGGTGGTCGGGGTGAAAACGACGTAGAAAATGAAGGCTTTTTGTGCTCTCAAGAATTGCGTCGGAATGCTCAGAACTCACAATGCTGGGCATTGTAGGACAAATAATGCCCAATTCTGTTTCGAAACCTTGCAATAATTCTGTGCCGCCTTTTATCCCATGCAGCTGATGGCTCCCGGATGGTTTAACAGGTTCAATATTATTGTTATGGAGGCCGATCGATGTTGCAATGCGGAGGAGCCAGCTTCCCGCTGTTGCACTCAGTATTTCATGCAAAATATCAGTCAGCCAGAGAAACTCTTGAGAAAGATGGTCGCACTTGGCAAATATGGATGAAATGACTTCGGCTTCCGTTGTTGCGACGCCCACAGTCTCAATTATATCCGCAAGGCACTTGACCATACAGTGTGAGCGTCTGAGGAGCGTTTGGCTCTCCAGGAGGGATGGTTTGGACTTGAATCGCTCAAAAAGCTGACTTTCAAGGGAATACAGTGATACATAAACTGCACGGGAGAGATTAGCCAAGGCAGCAGGTGCTTCGGCCCTAGTAGGCATAGAAGAAAGAAACCTTCTAATCTGGCGAGTCTGAGATCCAGACTCTAAAACTTCATTAATGAATGTGTCCAAGGATGGCAGGCTTATCCCCGATATGCGTACGTCTTTCATCGACTTTTCGAATTTCCGCGTTTGCTCATTGAATCGAAAGAAGATAGAGTTCCAGCCGATGCTCAGTTTGAAAAGGGCTAGCATAAATATATCCGTCCTTACTACCCGCCCCGAGTCTTCAAGGCCACTCTGGCTCGACTGAAAGGCGAGAGCAGCATCGAAACCAGCTGAGCCAGCCTCACTTAGATACGCAGGACCAGATATTTGATGTGATCGGCGGTGATTAGGAAAGGTATCCCAGGATTTAAGCAGGGCTTCATCTCGAAAAGGTTCAGAGATGCTTTTTAGTTCCCAGATATCTTCAATCTCGCTCCATCGGTCCGAGTCGAAACTTTGTTTCTCGTCTGAGCAACTCGACAGAGATGAATCAGGAAGTGAGTCGACTGAATCTGAGAAATCATTTCCAAATACATTCAATGCATAAATGTTTGATTCATCCTTAAGGAAAACGTGCGATTGGTTTTCAAAGTTACCATGAGCCAGGTCTAAGAGCAACAACAGAGAATTAGTATGTACATCCAACGTTGCAGTTCTCTGCTCAGATCGTATATGACAGCCGTACCTGGTAGGCTGTCGTCCCAAGGAAAACGTTCCAGCGGCTCCAAAGACTGGAGTTTGAAGAAAGATGGCTCCCCCAAGGTCTCGATGGCGAAAGGATTGTCTATCGGTCGAAAGTCCATTTTTTCGTAAGGCGTAATGGAACGCTTCCAATGGGTCTGGCGAATGCAATCGCCCAGCTGTCAACAAGCGGCCACATTAGCGGTCATGGCCGCACTGTGTCTGTGCCTCTGTCCGCACTGCCGCAGCACTCGGGAGTTATCAACATCCATCCGCGTCGCTGGAACGCGCATCAAGTGGCTAGTCTTTGTTTGGCTAAGCTGCCAAGCCCAGCAATCGCATGCACGGACCAACTTGAACTCCGCGGCGGCGGTGGCTTTGGATTGCAGCGGATGGCCGTAGCACAGCACCTGAACTGCTGTTTACCACCTGTGTTCGCTTTGCTAAGGAGCTTCAAGCCTCGATTTGACAATGCCTCCCCGGAAAAAACAAAAGCTTTCATCTCAAGCCCCATCCACGCCGTCGCAGGCCGATAAGGCCCCCTCAGTTCCTTCAAGCCAGCCCGCCGCGTCGAAAACAGATGCCGATGCCGATTCAGCTGCTATCGATCCGTGGACCGATGAGCAAGAGACATCATTACTGAAGGGAATAATTAGATGGAAGCCTGCAGGTACGTCCACCTAACTACCCTACAAAACCGATTGAATTCTCATTTCATTCAAGGTATGCACAAACACTTCCGGATGCTCGCAATATCGGACCACATGAAAAGCCAAGGTTATGCGACGGATCAACATACACGAATACCGGGTATATGGGCGAAACTTGGTAATCTGTACAACCTTGCTGCATTGGATGAAAGGGTGGGTGCTTCAATGTAACCGCTTCCAGAGACTGGCTGCTGAGAGATGGACTGTACTAGGAAGACCCATTTGCAACCGATGGATCCGAAGACGTAGACGTCTCTAATGAACCTTATTGTCCCTTCTCCTTGGAGGAGGAGGAATATGGTGATATGATGTTTGAGAGGAGACTGGCGCCCGATGGCTCATCCTCACCTCCCCCCAGCCTTCCACTTCCTTCGCAGAGAGGGAGCACAATAGCAGATACCGATGGTAAGTCCGTCGTTCTGTTCCAATAATCTCCTTGTACTTCTTGTTCGCCCTTTCTAATCGGCGCTTTCATCTGCAGAGCCTCGTTCATCACCCGCTCCGTCGCGCGGCGGTAGGCGCAGAGGGCGCGCTACCCGGAGGACTATGGGAACTCGATCGTCCAAGCTGCAGCGGGAATTAGGTCCCGGTGGCAAGACTAGTAATAATGGGGACGATGCTGGAGAAGATGGTGGGAATGCGAGCGATGCTGAACAGTCGCAGGCGGCGGGGTCACCAGCTGCAAGATCAACTCGAGCAACTACAAGGGGGAAACCTAGGCGCGGAAGGCCGCCAACAAGACGTGGGAGAAGGAGATGACCCTTCAACTGTTATCAACATAACACCACCGCGCGATATGCCATTCCGGAATTACCCTTTTATGTCAATTCACGCAAACATTCTTCATAAGCCACGGGCATTAAGGGTCGTGTAACACGCCAGAGCCCCTGTCTCATTTATTTTATATACAAACATGCATGGATACCGACTCATGGAAGCCAAGTAGACGAAGCAGGAATATGGAAGGCGAACTCCAGGAAATTGAATGAAATGCCACCGTCTAATATTCGTCTTTTCAACTATGAAAACATGGTAGTATGCGCGCAGCCGAGACTTCGAAATCCGACGTTGGAGTAGGGATGAATGGCTTTTTATAGGTGTTTGATGATGGCATCAGCATATTCATGGGTCTTGGCTTTGCCGCCGAGATCGCCAGTGAGCGTCTGTCAAATAACACGTTAGCCACTGACTGAAAACAACAATATGGGAATGATTGAGCGCCTACCTTTCCCTCGGCGAGAGTCGCAAAAATGGCAGTTTCGATATTCTTGGCCTGATCATGTAACCCCATATGCCTCAACATCATGATGCTACTAAGCAGAAGCGCTGTGGGGTTTGCCAATGCCTTGCCAGCAATGTCGGGTGCGGATCCATGGACAGCTTCAAAAATGGAACATTCGTTTCCGATATTACCAGAGGGGGTGAGACCCAGGCCACCGATAAGGCCAGCGCACATATCAGACAAAATATCTCCATACAGGTTAGGCATGACAAGGACCTTGTCGCTGTACGGGTTTGGGTCTGTGACCATTTTTAAGCATGTGTTGTCGAGCAGTTCGGCATCGAATTCAATATCTGGAAATTCCTTTGAAATGTCCCGGGCAGTTCGCAGGAAAAGGCCGTCGGACATCTTCATAATCGTAGCTTTGTGCACGGCGCGAACCTTGTGTTTGCCGACTTCTTGTGCATATTGGAAAGCAAAACGAAGGACACGTTCCGAGGCTTCTCTTGTGATAAGTTTTATACTTTGCACAACTCCATCTACAACGACGTGTTCAATGCCGGAGTATTCTCCTTCAGTATTTTCGCGGATAAGCACTGTGTTGACGTTGTCGTATGGGGTTTTGTAACCGGCAATCGATCGACAAGGTCGAACATTGGCGAAGAGGTTAAAAGTTCTCCGAAGTGTCAAGTTCAAAGAGACGTGGCCCTTACCCACTGGTGTCTGAATGTAAAGGGTTAGTTGACGTTCGGGTCATTCGGTTGTCAGCACGTACAGCAAGCGGGCCTTTCAAAGCAACATAGTTCTTTTTCACACTGTTGATAGCTTCATCTGGAATGGCAGTCTTTCCGTCTTTTAAAATTGGGGTTACGTCAACCGGCTCCCATTTAATTGGCACCTATTGTGGTTCAGCGTTTCCCTCCCTTAACTCGACACAAGATTTCGACAATGTTCCTCACATTGGCAGCGCTGAAAATGTCCTTAACAGATTGTGATATTTCTGGCCCAATTCCGTCTCCTTCGATCAGCGTCACAGTGTATTTGCCCTATAAGGTATCCGATCTTTAGTTCCGATGCTTTCCGGAGAAGAAATCCGTTCATCGGGGAGCATACATCAGATCCCTTTGTCCCAGGGAATTTAGCAATTTTATCGGCAGCAGGAACCGCATAGCATCGAACTTGCGAATTCTAAATTGTCAGTTAAAAACCATTCTCAAGGGTTTGAACTGGATTTTCGGCAGCGCATACATTGGAGAGGGGTACCGCTCGGCGCGAACATTGTCGCAGAGACGATGTGAACAAACGACCCGGGAGCATCTTGCCAGGCCTGCTGGGTATGTCGAAAGGGATATGAATTCCAGTACTTCGCAATTGAATGCAATCCGGAGAATTGACATCAAACAGGCTGGTCTTGTTGGCGTGAAAAGCTGAAGTGACCTTAAGCTGCTTATGTAACACAACATCCATCCGGGAATTTTCCGAGAAGCCCTAAGCTGTATGCGGACTAGCGCCTGCCCCAAGGCTGTCAGTGTCAGGGGCCTGTTTGCCTTGTTTGACAACTCCGCTTCAGACCGCCATCTGGTCAGCAGCTGATGACAATGAGGTCGGGGTTGTCGAACAGAAACCAAAGTCCGTCGCAAAAGCTCCAGCAATGGAAGCGCAGCAAGATGTCGCTCGATACTATAGTCTGCCGACTCCGTACCCAGAAGAATGGCCTTCGGAGCTGGACATGAGTGATGGTTCTGGGGATGAAGATGGACTCTTGACGAAAATCAACTCCCAGACAAAAGGGAGATACACTGGCCTTCATGGCGGTCGAAAAAACTCGACGCTTACATCCGAGCCTCCGCTATCCCAGGACGAGCCTGATCCGCTTGGCAGCTCACAGAGCACAATGGAGCTACTAAGGCAGCGAGGTTTAGCAGTTGATGAAGACCCCCATTTGCGAACCCAATTCATCTTGTCTTCGACGTCCTTCTCTCCGGCATTGTTCCTTTCGCAAACACGCTCAGCAGCTTCAGCACAGTCGTTGCTACAGGGACTGAATTACCTCACCGAATCCATTGATCGAGAATCCGCTTCACTCAAAATGTTAGTGGAGTCAAACTTTGAGAAGTTTGTCAGGGTCAAGGCTACAATTGACGACGTTTACGAAGAGATGCGAGATGAAGGGATGTCGAATGACGGTGGTTTACAACGTTCTCTCTCCCAGAGTACTAGGCAAGCGGGCGCCATTGTTACAAGTGGTCGGAAGAACGCCCTTACGGAAGCAAATGAATACGGTTTTAAGGGAATAAATGCACCATTAGCTGAAGCTTCAAACATGGCAGAAGAACTATGGGGAGAGGCTTTAAGTGGCCGACAACGAGAGGAAGACCTGAAGTCTGTCCTGGAAGCTGTCGAGAAACAACGAGCAATATATGAGATTGGCGCGGATCTACAGAGGTCCATTAAGCAGCGCGATCACGATGCAATTGTTGAGCAATTCACGCTCGCTCGAACATATGTAAACGACGCGAGACTTCTCGTCGATCGCGCTGCTTCATCGCAAAAGCCATTAACCGAGGACCAAGTGCATACCGTCCTTGTGACTGGTAGAATGTGGATGGACGTTGACCGACAGTTACAATCATTCAAGATAGATTTATGGCGTCGCCTGAGTAATACCCAGTCAACGAAAGCGACCATTCCCCCCAGCGGACGGGATGAGGAATATATGGATCTCATAACGATCCTTTTGGAGCTTGGGGTTGAAGACAACCCTGTTTGGGTTTGGCTCCTCAGTCGTTACGATTACCTAAAAACAAGAATTACCTCTTTTTGTGAGCGCGGGAAAGCTGAAATTGAGGTTTTAAGACGTCTTCTAGCAAGCAAAGAGAAGCCTAGCCCTCAAAGCGTTGCCACATATTTGCGTCTCCCGGTCCGAGAAGCAGCAAGAAAGCATTTGGGGCCTCTTGATACTGAGCCGGTCTTGGAGTTCTGGGAATGTATCAACACCTTTCTCGAAAAATTGATATCCATACAAAGTGGTCTTCTTGGTGATATCATAGAGTTCTGGGACACGGCGCAATCATTCATCAACGGGAACAAACAGAAAATTTTACCGGCAGGCTTTGAAGGGGAGAGTCGAAAGCATCACCGTCTGTCCGCAGAGAATATAAAAGGTTTAAATGATGGTGTCGTTGAGCTTGTAAATCGCATACAAGCTAATCTAGTATGCCTCTTCGCTGATCCACCCCCAGATGATTTAACATACCTTTCCGCTCCGCCATCATGTACGCCTATGGGAAGCTTAACACCTACTGGATCCAGCTTCAACCTTGACCCTAAGAGCATTCCGCCACTCCCAGCTAAAATCGGGGAAGCATGGGAAGAATTTGCATTTTGGCCTCCTTATGCCAATTCGCTTAGTGGAGTCCACTACCTTGGACAGTTTCTAATCCTCATTGGGACGGCAGCGAGCGAAATGGCCGATCTCGGGCCCATATCAGGCGGAAGCGCAACATATGACCAGCTAAAACTCCTCGTTAGCGGTGCTCGAGAAAGATGCGTTCGTGCCACGTGCGCAGCCTGGAATGGCGATGCTGAGCACTGTAAATATCTTGAGGATTGGACACGAGATCCGGAGCGGAAAGCCTTGACCAAAATGCCGGGCCATTTCGTTGCATTCGAGAACGCCATCCTTTCTGGAATGCAAAAAATACTCTACATCTCTGAAGCAATGACCAAACCTGGATCTATAAACGTTGTCACCCCTCCCCCGACGAAACTTCTGCAGATGGTGCGGTCACAGTTTGTAACGAGTGTATATAAAGCGTTAAGTGGGCTCGTCGAAAATGCCGAGCGACCGGTCAATATGGAAGGCGACGACGAGTGGGTTCTTGTTGGGCCTTCTGCTCTAGGGTCGAGTTTGGATGTTCCCTCATCTGTATCTGTTTACGGTGGAATTGATTCCAAAAATAGGGTAGGTTACAATTCTCACTCATTGCCCGGGCTTAGTTTGGCTCATTTTTCTTAGAACGTACGCATACTTTTGACATTATCCAATCTCAAGGCACTCCGTACCGATCATGTGCCTCAATTGGTGACTAGCTTTGAGAGTGCCTTTGCAGTCAAGTTAACAGACGAATCGAAAACGATCCAAGACGTGCTCGGACAGATCGACACCCGCTTATTCCAGTCATATACTCGCCCCATCGTTGAAACATTACATACCACGATTATGAATGGTATCTCGTCACCAGATTGGGTACCATCGACGAGCCGCCCAGATCAACTCCGTCCATACGTATATACCGCCATGCTAACCCTCGTGATGGTGCACACAGAAGTTTCCACCACTTTGCCTGGCGTTGTCTCTTCAGCCATGTCACCCGCTTCCCCTACACATCCCCTAACACACAAGATTCTTGCTGAGCTACTTACACGAATCTCTAAATCCCTTCTGGAGGGCTTTATGTCGCGACCCAAATACTCTCTTCCCGCATTAATGCAAGCAACTCTCGACACTGAATTCATCGCCCAAACAATGTCGCAGTATGCAACTGAAGCGGCAGGCCAGATTCAAAGTCAGATATACCTCGAGCTGGACCGAAGAACTAATAATGAAGCCAGGGCGAAACTCCAGGCCGAGCTTGGAGAAATGCGAGGTGTTTTGAAGAGGTTAAGAGAACGCACGCGGGGAGAATTTGCTTGTTTCAAGAAGATGAGGGCTGTAAGCAACAAGTAACTAGTTTTGTGCGAGGCTGGTTTTCGGCTATGGTCTGGACAAGTGTTCCTCAGTCGCCCTCTTTTCGTTATTCCGGACTGCTCTATTCGGACTGAGGGTTTTGTCGACATGACGTGCATTCGGAGCTTTTGGCACCCAAGATGATGCTGGACATTTCTAGTTTTGGTTGCTTGACTCCCTTGGTATTAGATCCTGGATGACTCCCATCATGACTCTGTCATATTTATCATTTTTCCTGCTCTTGCAACCACAGAAGCATTGGTAAATTGATCAATCATGTCCGCTTCATGATCAGTATGGTGTCTTTTCTGAGGCCAAGAGACTAACACGCCAAGCCTGACGGCATCGGCATCATTCGATCGCTAATCCCGATTTCCCGAGACTGACGATCAGCCGAGAAATCTTCCCGAGAGCCGCTTCAATATGAAGCCCGCTGCGAAAAGACGGAGACGACAATATCGGTCCTCCAGCAACGGAATATACATGATCGGTTTCTTCGATTATTTTCCTGTGATTTCAATCCATGATCGCCAGAAACTTGAATCTGCGTTACACAAGCGCAACTTCTTAGGAACGCTCGGAACCACCGGAAGCTCACTTGTGAAGAATAGGAAACTCCTTTCTATATTCCATTTGATCAGAAAGGAGAAAGATCGCCTTCAAAACAGGACTTGGCTAGATGTGAGAATCGTATTCAAGCTCTCCAGAGGTTATAATTCGCTGTAAAGGTGTAAACCGTCACAATACGAAATGGAACAGAGAAGCAGTGTGGTATAAGCACCGCTGGTTCTTTCATACAGCATATTCCTGTTTCAGGCTCAACTTTGCAGAAGTTGGCATGTGTTGTCAGCAAGGATTAAAATGGAAAGCTTGACTTTATAAGTGCCTACGATGGCCGGCTCTCGTATTCTCCTTGTCGCCAATTTTTTGCTCCAGACGTGAAACGCTTTCGGGACCATATGTAAGTTTTCAAATCAATGCCTGTTCCGCTGCTTGGGGATGGAAACTTTTGTGACACCGTTTTCTTACTTTAGATCGTCCTGCGTCGATTGGTACCGTGTGTATCTACATGCAAGCATGATGCGAGAGGTCAATTGGGGAAACCAAGGGACCAAGCAGTCAATGCCTTAGAAAGAAGCTACCTCCAAGTCCCATTTGGAGCGCCAGTGCAACTCTGCGTTGCACCCAACGGTGAAGACCATTCACTTCCCACATGCACGCATGCATCATCGCATGGATCTACCGATGCCTGGGCTGATGAAAGGAGCCATCGAATTCTCCCCTTCATCCGACACAATGTCGATCGTTGTGTGCAGCAGTCCCGCGATAACCAGGATTCAATGCTCGGCCTGTTCAGCCGAGAATCGCCAAACCCACTCGGGGTACCATCCAGAGCTGGTCATCTCCGCAAAACATGCAGTATTGGATTGCAGCTCATAATACCTCCCTTGCGTATACCAACTTGCAGGAGTATCCAAGGCAGGGACAAATCTGGCAGTTAACAGTCTTCGCCCACGGATGGGAACCTGTATTATAGCAATCTCCATAAAGGCTGATAACTAGGCGCATTGGTGCGCAATTGATGACTATATCACCATGGCACATCCATGCTTAGCTGTAACCTCTACACCATGAGGGATTGTCTTGATTCTTTTAACTTAGGTCTATCAGAAAGAGGCTCGGACACTCAGTGGTGGTTTCTTCCACCTCCTAGACCTGTCATACTCTGGCGCATACCCTCTTTTTTTAACCCGCACGTGGGCTCCACGCGGCGTATTATTCAAGGCATTATAGAATCTCCTGGTTGAGATTTATCCGTGAGATTGGAATACTCAAGATCTCTGTTGTCTTGATGACTCTTATTGCTTGCATATGATGGTAGTACAGTCAAAGAGTACTACGTGGATTAGAATTCTCCTTAGCTGTGTCCTCCAAATTCATGTCATATACCTAGAATGCTTTCGCATGCACTCGCCTGATGTAATCTCAACCATGAATGCTTCATAATGCTTCACTGAAAGGGCTGCACCTCTCACCAGGTTGGAAAAATGGACGGTTCCATCATCGAATGGCAGGACATAGCATCGCACTCTCAGCTCATTATGGGAACGAAAAGATGGGAAATGTCTCAAATCTAGACATCCGGTTTTTTTGATGGCTGATTTGTTAGGAGTCGCCATCATGCATTGTGCTTCTATATCCTCATAGATCTCGCCACTACAGCAGTTTGACACATGGAATGCAAAAGCCTTACACCTTGTGAAAAGCAAATTGGACCCTGGGAACAAAGGGGGCCCCGATTGACTATTCAAACACGGGATTCTCTTATCAAAAACCGGCGTGCACAACTTCAAACGCAAAAAGAAAGCATTTTGACAGTTTGTTGAGAAGAGCGCTAATTAACTATTACATACCTTGCTAAGTGTCAATCTCCCATGCAAGAAGTATCACTTGAACGCTCCATGGAGGAGCATGGCAAATTACTCTGCAGGCCAAAATCATGAGTTGGACCTCACAGGTTCTGCAATGCATAGTGGTGGATCTTGTCAGATATCTCTCAGTTTTGACGATGGAGACACCTTCAAAGCCATCAAGTCCATGATGGGTGGCTGCCTGAGGACCACGAATTATGGCTTCGGCTCCTAAGCCGATGTCCCAAGTGGCAATGCTCTCGTTGCCTGGACTTGGTTTAACCTCGTTGGCGACTGTGAGATGTATGTATGTACGTGAACTGCGCCCAGGCCTCAACTTCTAGCAACGCGTCGGATGGTTTGCAATTCATTGAGCTTCCAGACATGTTCATGGCCAATATGGATAAAGAGTGTCATACAGCTGAGGGCAAAGAGACGGTTTTCAAAGATCCCGAGCACGATGTCGTTAATGGTATGTAATGCGCGACAAGCCTTGCATTTCCAGATTGTTGTAAAATCATATAGGGTTTGTTAATTTCTGTTCTATTTTCTGACACTTTGTCCCTCAAACCGACCACTGAGTATTTTGAGGGACACTTGCCGTGTGATTTGGAGAGGGGATGTATGCACTGTCCATATGCTTGCATTCGGCGTAATGAAGTTGTCCGGGGAAACTTTACCACCTTTTAATGATGTATGGAGAATATGCAGATGAGTTCTGTATTCGTTCTCAGCCTCATGCTACTATGTTGCCACCTAAAAACGGTAGCAACTGCTCAAATCATTAGAGGCTATAAAGAAGTATAGTGCAGCATTGAGATTCGAACCTAATTGCCTGTATTCTAACGCAAACCCTGCTTGCGTTACTAGGATCCTAACCACACCGTGGCTTCCCGAGGCTAAGAGTGCCAAATCACCACATGGCACAACGGGGGGGATGGGTAAGGGTTAAGCAACCCAAAGCAAGCTGGATAGCGCTGAGCTTCGCCCATGTGGGCTGCCTATCCATGAGATCCATGCCCGGAGCAATGTTTCGGCGGTTCCCAGATATTAGCCGTCCAATTATGTCATGGCGCGGAATATCTGGCGCATATCCGTCAGAGAGATACACCTAACTAGGGGGCATCAGAATTGACAGAAGGATATCATTGCAAGTGATCGGTGGCCATGGTGGTATTTGAAGCCTCCCTTGGCCCGTTCTGCTTGGCCCGTCGAGTACGATGTACAGTCCGTTTCCGAGCAAGGTCACGATGGACACCAATGCGAGGGTCTAGGAGATAAACAACATTATTATTGTCCACTTTCAAGGGTGGGAAGCAATAATAATCGGCCATCGCCCTGAAACCTAAATTTCGGAGAAACACAACACGGTCGAGTAGCTGCTGTGCTCCGAGAAAAGTATGAGCAGCACATAACCTTTACAGTCAAGATCTATGGTTATTCATCCATTCTTGGCCCTAGTTCTTGTCTGATATTTTCCAAAAAGGGAAAAAAGAGAAAATAGCCTTGAAATTCCCCTGCGAGAGAATCCTTGTCGGACCACATGCATCATGGCCAACGAAATATTTCCTTTCGAATTCCTAGGAAAGTAAAAATATCTCGGGTGGGCAACATCCAAGCCGGCACGAACTCCCAGCTCCTACACGAGATCCGGGTCTACCCTTCGTCTGCGGTTTTGAATTGAATTTTAACAAAACTAGGTGGAGATAACCCCCCGTTCCCGTCAACCACACGGAAGATAAGACCAGGGATGTTCCGGAAAAGCGATCTGAGCGTCACTTTGTTTCGCATCATTCTGCACGTTCAAAAATTCGGGGAACATGTATGCTCCTCCCGCCGTTCAGCCTTGCGGCGCGCGACACTGCGCGATTTGGACCGTCAAAGGCTTGAGGATCATACGTTGTCTACCCGGGGGACGTCAGGTGGCGGAACGGGTTAAGTAACTAGCATTGCGGACAGTGTCAAACACATTTGAACAGCGATAGCATGCGCGGCACGCCCGTGAAGAGGAAAGGGAGACTGATTTACCGTATCTCAGCTGCGCCATTTCTTTTCAGCAACAGCGGGTGGGGGTACTTCTGCCAGACGAGGGATTTGAGAGCTGAAGCTGGAACAGTACCACTGAACCAAGTATTTTGTGCAACAGGGAGGGGAGGGGATGGATTAAGTGTCCCTTGAAAAAGAAAATTGGCCGTGCGGGATGCAAATGCACGCAATTGCATCTCGACATGTAGCCTTTCGGAAGACGATCGTCTACTCTGGATACGTCCAAGGCTCCAAGCGGACAGCAGGGTGTGGTTTCGAAGTATTACTCACCTCAAAGATTTATGACACCTCATTTCTCTGCAGAGTAGATTTTCTGATCTTTTTTGTCGGACGCAATTCGCCAAATCCCGAAGCAAGAATCAATCCATCTGCCGTTTTCAGGCCCAGTCGGGAACCAACCAACATTTATGTCACTCTGGTCGAGAAAGCCGAAGATGGGCTGAATGTCCCGAAGGCAAGGGTTTCAAAACACGAGGTTCTTGCAGCCTGAGGCATCAAACTCCCCGTATCACAAGCCATGTCACGACATGATTGGGCTCTGGCAGAGATGCAAGATGATCCAATTGGGCGAATTCCCAGGGGTTCAGCGTGACGGATACATGAGGTCATGGTGCAATGCTGGCAACGTGTCACGCACATGACTCGCTTCGCCCATGGAGGCTAACCAAGCCACTGGGATTTCATGTTGTCCTCCATGATCATCCTCTCCAGCACTTTCGCTTGTGGCAAGGAGAATAAACGGCATGGCGCCATGATCGTTGGCGGCTGTAGAGTCGGTGACGGGGGTTGTCTCACCGCGGATTGTTAAGCACGAGAGGGGGTGAGCGCGACGGCGGTCTCTTTTGAGGTGCGACGGTGTCGTCGAGGACAAGGCGGTTGTTCGCTGCAATGCCTGGGAAATCTTAGCTCGATGAGTTTCCAGCTCGCTGGGTAACGGGTAATACCAGGATTCGCACAGTCCCGTATCAATGGCTGTATTGTAAGTTACGGTGGAATTGTCGGTCAGTAAAAGCGAGATCCAACGACAGACGACGACGGCAACACGACTTGCTCGATCTCAGCCACTTGTCCCATTATAGCCGTGGATCAGAGACCTCTTCTCCCTTCAGCAGGCCGGAGGAGAGCGAAAAGAGGGGCCGCTAGAGGTGGGTTGGGTTGGGAACGGCGCAACATCGTATTTTCTGGAAGAGTTTTGGACGTCGTGGAACAACCGGTCACGAAGGCTGTGAAGTGTCGGTCAGCCATCTCGTCTAGTTATCCAGTCTTCATGAAGGGCCGTCAGTGTTGTGTACGGGAAAGTTGACTATTATGCCAGAGCCCATCGCTGACCACCTAACCGCATCAGCATTCAGCGAGCACCGAGCCAGTTGCTTCGCAGTCGATTCAGGCAACTGGTGATTGCTCCGAGTCCCAGAAAATGATAAGAAGAGAGATAATATCTCCGATATTAGGTCCTCCACTCAGAAGGACAGACGATGTGGAGATCTCTAGGAGACATTTCCCACCCAAGCCACAGTTTGCGTGGTAGTCTGGTGGGCAGACTCGAAGAGATGTCTGAAGACTCGGCAAGCCTGCTCTCCAGCTCCAGGCTTAAACGGTTTATTTGTTCGTTGTCTGTCGCCTTGTTGCCTTGTCAGTTTCTTCAGAGTGGTTGGTTCAAAATTTTATTTCAATCCGGCCTGTCCAATTCCCATTTTCGCCCAGTTTTCGCGCCTGTCAGGGTGTCGTTTTGTGAGCGGTTTGTTCGCTGCCGCTCATAGGATTGGCTTTCCAGCTTGTACACCAGACACAGATGTCGAAACAGGAGTTGCAAATCACTTTGAATATCGCTTCCACGGCCAGTCGGCACAACCGTCAATCAGAAGTACATACATGCATCCATACCAGGCACATGCATTTCACGGCCACAAGCACAAGTTAATGCCAAGCGGCACAGCGAACCTTAACTGTTAGTTAACCCCAGGAGAAGCCGAAACTTGATAGGGCTGGAGAATAGGGGCCCGATTGCTGCAAAGAAACACGAACATCCCAGAGAGAGCATGTGGCTGAAACGATTTCTTTGCGAAGCTCAGCGCAATAGCTTTTCTCACTGCGATATGAATCCTGCCTTTGGCTGCTCCGTCCTGCGGAGATCTGTCCTGAGATAGGGAAGGACTGGAGACTCTGAAACTTCGTATACTTACGATTATGATCGACCAGGAGAGATGACCTCTCGGGAGTGCTCTGTTCGAAATCACCTGTAGTTTTGCAGACTGAGAACACATATGCAGCCAGAAAAATGGCAATCATGGTTTAAATTTTACGGGTCCCAGGTGCTGAAGGGACGGGGTTTCTCATCCGGGCATGCCGGCCACAGCCTTGTGCAGCCCAGGACACTTGAGTAGCTTTGACACTTCAGGACAATCAAAACAACTCATAGGTATTCAACTCCCTGGACGGATTGAGCTGAACAAGCTTGTACACAGCAGGCCATTCCAAGAGGGAAGTCCGGAGCAGATTCTCCAAGGACCGCTCCGGAGAAGCACAAACGTCCCGAGATTAAACCGTGACGCCAGGATCCAGCAGCTCCGCACCTTGCATCTGAATAATCAACAATCTTGATGAGCCTCAGACATGCTTCCAAGAGCTACGGTGGAGCAGACGGACGTTTGGATGCTGGGAGGTATTGGCGCACCGGAGCTGCTGTGACAGGTACTCGGTGCCCAGGCAAACTAACCAGCCGGCGCCTGGCCACCTTTCCGCTTCCGGCCTAGGACAATACCAAGGCACTCACATGACATCATCGACGGCCTTACAGAGCTTCGAGTGTTTTTTTCGATCTCCGCACTCCAGCCGTACTGGTACATAGTACAGTATTCGTCGAAACGCGGTATCGTCACCGTGCGAACGTAACTTACAGGGTAATCCATCTGTCAGTCGGGCTTAAAACGTTAGTTTCAGAGCGCTTTTGGCAACAGTGCAGAAGACCGTTTTATTTCTGCAACCAGGGGGTTTATTATTGGCCGCCTATCGCTTTGCTCGATGGGCGCTCCGGCATGTGGCCTTCGTCGGACCCGGCCAATTCCTGGAGTCAGTGCGAAAAGATGAGCATCTCGTGCTATCGAGGTTCGTGGAAGTTGTGCAAGCAAATTGGAGGCGCTCTAGTGGAGCAAGATGCACGTATCAGCACTATCCAACGTGAGATACCCATGATAGCGCAAAGGCACCGGCGCTTGCGCTCTAAAATCCCTCCACTGCGGAGCACGGCTCTCAATTCAAAACGCCGTTCAGATTCCGAAGTCGATCTCACAGACGAGTCAACCTGCAAGAAGTATCATCTCCGTTGCAACCTGTCAGCCAATTGCCCCGCATGAGTTTCTTGCATGTTCATGTAAGAAGCCGCCGATAAAGTACTCGCGGAGTGACATGGGCGTCGTCAGTTCACATATGTCGTATCCTGCTCGTTAGCCTTGACAATTGTGGCTCAATCCACGGGTTTAGTGTCACCCTGCGCCACAAGCGACGTGGAGACGGAGGCCCTTGACCAAAGGCCTCTTATTGACTCTCACAACTAACAACTCCAACAACACGACCAGAGAGAGAATCACTGCTCTCTGGGGACCCTAGTGGAGTGCAATCGGATCCAACCTCATGTTTAAAAACGCACCTCAGCTGAGGTGGTAGTATGTATGTCTCACTTCTAGCACCCAGAAATGTCAATGCAAGGAATGCACGGCTTCCCGAGGCACTCTTTTAGAAACGGCCGTTCTTCTTCCCCGGACGTGGGCAAAAGGGAAAATCCCTAGGCACCTTCGGGACTGGCGAATCTCGAAATGGCCTGATAGGCCGGAACGATCGATGGGTGCGAGCCGTTCCTGGAATGGCACCAGGGCTATACAAAGCTTTTATTATTACTGTCGTCGATAGGCGAACACTCGGACCCTTGCTGATGCACGAGGGGCAAAAGGAAAACAACGACGAAATGTTTGCTGAAAAGAAAAAAAAATTGAAAATTAGAACGAGAGAAGGCGCCGAGTGGACAACAGGTTCGGTTTCTTACCTGCTAAAAGACTAGTCGAGGTTCCTTCTCCACATTTAGGTCAAGCCGGCATCAATCCTAAGTGATTCCGTTGGGCCTTTGGATTTTAACTACCGCCATCGCCGTACATAGTGACAGATTAAATGAACCTCGCAAATGCCTAGCAGACATGGCACAGGTTATCTGAATGCACAGACGTCCTGCAAGGCATTGGCATGCATCCCATGTTGCTCTACCCATGAAACTGCCCCAACAGTTATTCAGACAGAGGCTGGGAAAATAGGATGGTTTATGCAGTTCAAAAGATGAGAACCATCTCAAAGAGGAAGTTTACAAAAAAGGCGAAGATTAACTAGTTTCCTCGCTTTCCAGTTGTCACATGGTTTCGCTTCGTAATTGCCGCGACGCTCCAAGAAACTACAATCCTCTCAGGTCTCAACTCACTCTGGAGTACAGAGTAAATAAGGCTCAGTTTGCATCCTCTTGTCGCTGCTCAAGGGGAGCTGCACGTCATTCAAAGGAGGGGTGCCAATCCTCGCTGCTTTTGCAGATTTCCAGACGTGATCGTCTGCACCACTTGACCACTGACAAATGCCAGAGAAGCGCCTTTGCGCTCAATCCCATCGTTGACGGCCTGCCAACCATTCACGCCTCGCTTTCGGGTGCTTGCTCCCGATTCCTTGCTGGCTCGGACTCTTTCAAGGACTGGGGCCTTTTGTGCTTTCATCCACACAAATTACATTTTGATCCCTTAACTGTCTGTTCGCCCCCGCTTTATCCTTTGCGTAAACAGCCAATAATCCGCCGCGTCAAAGAGCCATGCGTCGTGGAGTTTTGAGATCGTCCGCAGTCGTTAGACGGAACCTTCGGAGGGGAGCGCCCGTGAGCACGGAGTACTGACTTCCAAACGCAAGTACTTTTTTGCTTTTTTTCTTTGCCCACGGCTCTCCCGCGAAATCCCTGTCCACTGTGGCTTGCAAGAAACAGATCTCTAATCGCCCTAAATTTGGAAACGACACCCCTCTGCAACCCAGCGATAACCAAAGGCTTCGCAGGAGAAAACGGGTCCCAGTATTGTAGACGAGACAAGAACCATTTGGCCCAACGCCGTCAAGATGCTGTTCCTTGTCTGTGGGGTGGTCATCGTTGCAACCGAGAAGCCTATATCAGACGTGAGCGGCTGTATGTATTATGTAATGCTTTCGGTCGGTTCCAGTGTAATCAATTCCGCGTATTGTCACACAGGCCGAGTAACATACATCCCCTGCTGCCCGTAATACACTAGTACGCGTGCATACTGAGATGTTCCCCCGTTTGCTATTACCACCTTTGGCGGGTGCTGAATGGAAATTATCACGACAGCAGCAGGTGGTTGTTCGACTCATTTGAATGAATGCGCCGGCCCAATCCCTTCTTCTTTTCTCTCCCTCTCCTTCTCTCCCTTCTTCTCTTCACTTTTTCTAACTTTCCTTTCTTCCCTTGCGATTGTTTGACACAACCCATCTTGTTCTCTTCTCTGCATTCCCGTTTCTCAGCTTCCCCTTCACTCCTTCACAACCCTTACGGTAAGCCCAACGTCCCCCTGCTGCTCTGCTCTGCTCTGCTGCTTGCTCCCAAGGCACACTGGAAGAACTGTCTGGTGAACAGCAAACATTGCCTTGAGGTCGTGTGCTTCCTCTCTATTTTGCGGCGCATGCGCTGACCAGGCAGCATCCGCAAAAGATTGCTGTTGACTTCCCAGTTTCCTGTGCCTCCGCAGTACTGTCTTCCGGTGGATGTGCTTTCCGTCTTGCTCTATCACCAGACATCACTGCCTGCTCTGCTTGCTTCTTTTCGAATCACAACTGTGTAACGGTAGCGGGCCCCAACATATAAAGTTTCGAGGTTCTCTCCTGGATGAGAGCAGTAATTCTGAGTATGCAAACCAAACATCCCTGTTTCCTCTCCTGTTGCTAATATCGAGTCATTGTTAGCTGGCCCAGCCATTAATTCCTTTCTTCGCCGTACTCATTTCAATTTTTCGTGATCCGCTATTCAATATTGTCTCGTGCATTAGTCGCCGAAACATCCGCTCAAAGCCGCCTGTCGTCGAGGGGCTGACGCGGAGTTTTAAGAGTGCATTATAGCGCTGTCGAGTGGTGGATACGAGCGGACGTATCGAGGAGCTGATCGATATTTGGGTTCGCTGAGCTGAGGCGACTCTTCCAAGCATAGGTGCTAGTTTTTCCCCCCCGCGCTCTCCGGAAGGGCAAGATAATACGCATCTCATTGCCGGCCAAGATGCACGCAACATTCAATACCACGTTCTGAGGCCTTCGCCCTTTGTTCCGTTCCGCTCGAGAGATTTTTTTCCTGTGATATCACGTTCTTAATCAGGTCCTACTCCCAAATCATTTTCTCCAATATACGATCCGGCATCTCCTCGAGGAAAACCCAAGCAATCACCAGCAAAACTATTCTGTTCCGCTGGTGGATCTTCTTTCTTGACACTGTTCGACGATTGCGTGTTTGCCGGAGTTTCGTGGCGAAGCACCGAAATGGCCTATCCGTCGAGCGACTCAGACGGACGTCCTAGATCAGGCTCTAAATCATCGTCCGAATTTTCCCAGGTGACTCCATTAGAAGATGCCTTCACGTCCCTCAGCTCTTCAGCGCCCCCTGACTGGCAGTTCAACTCTGCATCGATGTCCACCTCTTCTATTACTTTTCAAAAGCCGTTTCCAAGCTTCAGTGCCGTCACCTCACCACTGCACATGTCGGTAGATACTTCAGCCACAACCTTCCGAAATGATTCCGTTGAAACACCGCTGCTTGCGTCACCGTTGCCATTGGAACTTCCAGAGCCGGTATTGAGTATTGCTACGCAATCCGTTTTCACTGATGGACCTTTGGGAAACGCCGCTTTCAATAAGGCCCCTGGATTGATGCGAAGATTATCCAGAGGTGCGGCCAGTAAGCTTTCTCGGCGAAGGCTATCAAATTCCCACGACACGCGAGATAACAGTTCGGGGCCCGTCATACTGCGCAGAAGAAGCGATAGTAAGACTTCAGTCTCCAAAGATAGTGCCTTAGAGTCAAGTGTTGAAGAGGATGAAAAATCCGAGGCTCGTAAAAATCGTGGCCCTCTCGAAGGAAGCACATTCAGCGGCGAATACCCGTTATCCTGGGCTACTACCGCAGGGGTGGCGCCGAGAGTCGACCCTCTTTTACAGTGTGGCTCACTTCTCACAAAAGTGACCAAACAGAAGAAGAAACGGAAGACATTCTTTCTTGATGTCGATGCAGCTAAAGTGTACTGGGATCTCTCAAACCCGTCCAAGAGATTTTATATCGACGACATCAAAGAAATAAGACTGGGCCAGGATGCGCGGAATTATCGAGAGGAACATCAGGTCCCAATTGAATTTGAGAATCGCTGGTTCACAATTATCTTCGCTAATCCCGAAGGGTCCAAGAACAAGCCTGTTAAGACAATGCACTTGATCGCACCGAGTCGGACCGTTTTTGAGCTGTGGACTACCACCCTAGAGCAGATCTCCAGGTACAGAATTGGACTTATGGTTGGCCTAGCTGGCTCCGGCCAAAGTGAGGCTATATTGAAGGCGCACTGGCAACGCGAAATCGGAAGACGTTTCCCTGGGAAGCCTGGCCTTGCTGAAGAAAAGTGCCTCGACCTTGGAGCTGTGGAAAATCTTTGCCATAGCCTTCACATCAACTGTTCTAAATCTGTTTTACGTCTTCAGTTTGCGAGAGTCGATATAGGTGGAACCGGGGAGATCAACTTCTCCCAATTTCAGGCTTTTGTGCAACACCTTAAAGCTCGCAGAGACGTGAGAAACATTTTTGCATCCGTGGAAACAACAAACGGTTTAAGCATGGAAGAGTTCTTTGACTTCCTTCGCAATACACAGGCGGAAGATGTCGACAATCGCAAAGAATACTGGACTTCCGTTTTTGAAAGCTTCGTCCAAAAATCAAGACTTCGATCACAAAGCCTTCCAACACCCCTCTCTGGCTCATCTGCGCGCATGAATCTTGATGCTTTTTCGTCATTCTTGATGTCCACAGCGAATAGCATTTACCCAACCGATGTACCCCAGCCAAAGTTTGACTTGCCGCTGAACGACTATTTCATTTCGAGCTCTCACAACACGTACCTTTTGGGAAGACAAGTAGCTGGTGCCTCCAGCACAGAAGCGTATATTACCGCCCTTCAGAAGGGTTGCCGTTGTGTCGAGATCGACTGCTGGGATGGCGCCGATGGTCGTCCGATAGTGTCCCATGGCAGGACGATGACCACCAGCGTCTTGTTTGCAGATTGTATAGCAGTTATCAATCGTTATGCATTTTTGTCGTCTGAGTATCCGCTGATATTGTCGCTCGAAGTCCACTGTAACTCAGAGCAACAACTCCTCATGGCCAGCATCATGAAGGATGTCTTTGGTGAAAAACTCCTCCTTGAACCGCTTAGGGCGAATTGGCCAATCCTTCCGAGTCCGGAAGCCTTGAAGGGCCGAATTCTCATCAAGGTGAAAACATCCGACGAGTGTGAAGGAAATAGCGCAACTGTCGGTTCTGGTAAAGCTGTGGGCCGCAAACGAAGCTCCAGTTCTCCTTTCCTACCTTCAGCTGCTCAAAACCCATTTCCAACTTACTCGCCGTTATCTTCTCCGCCAACAATCGGGCCCATTGATGGGTTACCCCCAATTCTGGCTCAACCAAAGCGCTCTCTCACTGGAGCTAGCTTGAGCAGCGCCTCTGAAGAAAGCGATGCAGCCTTCGCAGCCCTAGCCTTTCAGAAGGACAAGAAGAAGATGCCCAAAAGCAGGGTCATCAAAGGCCTTGCAGACCTTGGCGTTTATGCTCGTGGTTATAAATGGCGAGGGTTCGACACTCCTGAAAGTAAACAGTTCAACCACGTGTACTCCTTTGCGGAAAGATCTTTTGAAACAATATGCCGAGACCGTGAAAATAAGGCACTTCTGGAGGCGCATAATCGCCTATATCTGACGAGAGTTTATCCGTCCGGATATCGTCTGCGTTCGTCAAACTTTGACCCGAATAGTTTCTGGCGGCGTGGTGCTCAGATGGCTGCACTCAATTGGCAAACCTACGACGTTGGTATGCAGATGAATCAAGCCATGTTTGCGGCGGGAAATGATCGTACTGGATATGTGTTAAAACCGGAAAGCCTACGTGTTCCACCATCGTTGAATTATACAACAGACGGAAAGCCAAAGATTGATCGGCAATTGCTCCGCTTTAGCGTGGACGTGATCTCTGCTCAACAACTTCCTCGATCCAGAGGCATGGGTCCTGACGATAGTATTAACCCATACATCGAGATTGAGATTCTCAGCGCCGATGACAAGAAGAAAGGTGTTGCGTACGGCGAAGGCGGAGTGAACGCTTCCAACCGCAATGGATTATCGGGTATCGGTCTTCCTCATCGTCGTCGGACGAGGATCGAGCAGAAGAACGGATTCAACCCTATTTTCGGAGACCAGTTCAGATTCTCCCTAGAGACTAAATACCCCGATCTCGTCTTTATTCGTTGGATCGTATGGAACTCCACGGATGGCCGTAGCTTCGGGGGCAATAATAGCACGCAGCTCGCTACATTCACGGCTAAGCTTAGCAGTTTGAACCAGGGTTATAGGTATTTACCACTTTATGATAGCAACGGTGATCAGTACCTCTTTTCGACCCTATTCTGCCGAATCACCAAGTTTGAGTCTGTCCCTTCTCCGCAACAAGTGAACGTCGAAGAATCGAAGAGCGAGCGTATGGGTATCTTTCGACAGCTTGGCCAGTCAATGTTCAAACGTGCTCTGTCGACAGAAAGAGAGAAGGAGGCATCTCGAGAGCGGGACAGGCTCATCGAGGGCATCCGAAAGGACTCGCTGAGCCGAGAAAAAAATGAACCATCGTCGTCATCATCGTCGCTTCCAATGGCCACGAACGCCTCGTCGGCTCAGTGAAAAAATAAGACTGTTGCTCCCTCGGTTTGTTGGGTTGTGAAAAAGTTGATAGACCAGGTAGAAACAAAGTGGTGGAAGAGCAGGGCTCAACAAGAACAACAGAACAGTCGCGATTTCCCACCCCGCGATTAATGACACGTGATGACCATTTGTTTGTTGCTTGACTTTGTTTAAAAAAGGCGAAAAAACGGCGTTTGTGGGAGAGAATATCTCTGTGAAAAAGCTGCCGGACAGGCTGAGGTTGTGAATTGTGCGTTCTTCCAGCCTCTATGGTCCTCCTTCAGGGGTTTGTCACCAGAGCCGGGCTCTATCTGTTCCAGTCTATTTCTTTCCCCCCTTTTCTTTTATTTTAATGGCCTTGTTGCCTATCCAGAAGGATTAACTCCCTATTTTTCTTTTACCGTTGCATGGAAAGGAGGCCTTTTATCATATTATGCGGGATCAATCAGGGCTGGCATACGGGTTATCATATGCATCTGTTACTTATCTGCATGGGTGGAAAGCTTTGCGGAGTACATACAACCTGGCGACGGACTTCTTCATGTACGATTCTTTCTTTATTCAGTCTTATAACATTCTGTATTAGATAGATAATATGGATTAATTCGGTATCTTTTAAATCATCCTGACTTTCAAGTGACAATCATATTATCATATCGAATGAAACTCGACTGATAATAACGTCTCGTCATAACCGCCTCGAAATCAACATGTCGACGAGGTAATCCCACCGTCTACCACCAGTTCCTGGCCGGTGATATATATTTGCCCGCTAAAACGCTCACCAGCGGCGTTATTGATCAGCTTCCGGGCGAGTTCAACAAGCTGAAAAAGTCGGACAACTAAAGAGTCAATCCAATATCGCGGTGGAGAAGAGCAACGTTGAACTGACCAATGTCGCGACATTCGATTCAATATCACAACTGAAGGCATAGCCAGTCGTAGAAGCTGGCATCAATATCGCGTCGATGAATAGTCAATTAATATGATAATAATAGATACACAAGAAGCTAAAAAAGCGACAAATAACGTCATCACAAGCCCGCCTGTATAAGATGGCAATGGTGCGATATGCTGGTAATTCAACGAAGCCAGACGCCTCGACTGTTTGTTTCGTCCCCAAAGTATTAATGCCCGGCATTTGAGAATTGGCCTCCATTCTAATAAAGCTGTCCACGCGGATCTAACCCGCGTATCGGGCTTATCGCGAGTCCAGATTAAGTCTCCCTTATTCCGCGCCCATGATTTGTTTCAGTATCGGGACCTCGGTATGATCTCGTGTTGTCTTCATTCGATGGCACCAAGCGACAGTAACGCTTTGCTTGCTGTCCTTCTTTTCCGGGCCGATCTTGAAGAGGAACTCTCCGCCAACCTGTGCCATATCTCCTGACTTCAATGCGTCACCACTCAACGTCCGCCGTAGACCTTGCGTAATGCCTTTTATCACTAAAGCAAGTGTTGAGTGCTGGAGGTATTGGGGAACCGGCCCTAAAGACCAAGTTCGCGTCATCCCAAAGATAGTGTATAGCCGGCTCGTTGGGTCGGTGTATATAGGAAAGGAGCATGATGTTGTCTTCGCGTACATGGGGATAAGGCTAGTGGCCCCGCAGCCGATCACGACGAGGCTCGTGCCCGTTGGAAGAGATGCGGGTGACGGGATAGAGGAAGAAAGGGTTTGAACATAGTCCTGACAACTCTATATACAATCGTTAGGCCATGTACTTGCGATGGACGCTAGACTTCTATCCGAAAAAACTTACACCACAGAAGAAATGCCGAACAAACACAACCATAACCTGTTTCTGCTCCGGAGAATCTGAATTATCGAATAGATCTCCAAACAGTCGCTCTTTACCATCAGAATCTAGGATGGGTATCCTGAATGACTGGTTCAAGACATCTTGAGATGGGATAGCGTCGCATGGTTGCATGGCCTTGTCGCCATGTTGTCCATGGATCCCACTGCCAGACGCCCGTGCCTGGGCCTCCGCCTGCCCATCCAATGGAAGAGACGGTAGTGGTTTATCCATCGGAATGGAAGGGAGGATACTCGGGGGAAAGTCAACAGCCAGTTAACCGAAGAGAGGAGCTATCATCGTAGAAGCAGCGGTGACCTCCAACTCAAGAAACTACCGCAACGATGATTCTGAAAATAAATAAATAAAACGGTTCTGCTCTGAAGAAGGAAGAGAAAAAGGAGTATGGATTCTGGAAGACAAGAGGACACGCAGCACAAGGCATGTACAGGCAACGGGGGAGTTTTGGAAATCAAAGCACCATGCTAAGGCCGATGTTATCGCAGAAATGAATGCCAGAGCAAGTCTCCTTCACACCTGACTCACGCAACAAGCAAAAGAAAAAAAAAAGACCACTTGGAGGAACTGCTTTGGTAAGAAAGGAGTCGAGAAGAAAGAGAAGAAAGCTCTCGGCTTTTCATGCTTTGGAATGCTTGTTGCTGCCCGCCCCGCCCGCCCCCATGCCTCAGGCCAGCAGCCAGGGGGGGGTCCCTTGTCGAAAGGAACACCGCAGCCGGAACAGGCTAACCATCAGCCTTTTCCATCACAAGCTTGCCTCGCAGACGGCATTGAAAAAACCCATTAAAATTGAATAATCGCGAGCAGCCGCTGCGACCGAGACGGCTGCCGATCGGCCAAATCTCGCTCTGCGCGGGCTTCCCGGGCCTCTGATTGGCCGGCCGCGCGAGACCAAAAGTGATACATGCCAAGATAAGCCAAGACATCGGGGGCGGCCGGCGCTAGTCTTGGAGCGGCTAGTGCGCCCCAGATGGGAAAGAGCTTCTTTGGACCGCACGCTTTGGGACAGAGCGAAGGGCGTGTTTGAGACCGATTTGGTCGCAGCAGGAGCGACTTGGTCCAGAGTGGAAACCGCGACTGCCCAAAGGGGGTTGGTGATCCGGCACTGCGAGACGCGTCTGAAACACGCTCTACTACGAGTGAAGGGGAAGGTGCTATTTTAGGCACAATCGGGTTTCATTCAGCGCTGTATCAATCTAGATGGGTTCTTTTTTCTTCTTTTTCGGTTTCTTTTTCTAGCTAAGGTGGCTGCATGCAGCGTCCGAGCAAAGCAGCCCGCAAATGGCGCTGGCTCATTCCACACTCCCTCCCAAAATGTCCAACTTCCCGGACGTCCAGCTGATCCTACCTCTAGCTCGAGCATTGAGATCGTCGGCGCAATATAGGGCCTTGAAGGATTAACAAGCGCAGCTCGTGATGATCTCGTGGTCGCAATCAACGGGGCAACGGTGACGTTCTTGTTGCTAATAGAAAGGCTATGTCATCAGCTCGACACTTGGCGCGCTGGGTCGGGCAGCGATCAGTGACTGGAGCAAATCAAACTCAGGTGTCGTTGCAGCTGATGACTATGACCGGCGTCTGTAGCACCTAAATCGCCAAAGCGCTATTCGAACAATGCATTGCAATTCTCCTCGTTCCAGCTGCGCAGGATCTTCTGTGTGAGTCCGAGGTGATGAGCCAATTTCAAGCAATGACACAACAAACTATCGACCATGGACGCACTCAGTCATACGTGCCTCCAATTTGGCTTGCAAATGCGGTGGAAATGCTACGGGCGTCATCGTCGTCGGTTGCAAGGCTGGCATTGCCACGAGGAACGCGCATGCTCGCCGAACTGCCACCAAACACACTCGTAGTTTCGTTTCCTCTGTAGGGTTCCCCACGGCCGCTGGATTCAACATAGTGCTTTAGTCGATCAGATTGGCTGAGGCTGGCCTGTCTGTGCACATCGTGAATGCTGAGGCCGCTGAGACTGACGCCTCCTTGACCAACACTTCGCCCATCGATCATACTTGCAGTGGCGTCGGATTCCGTCGCGGCCACAGACTCGCCGGCCACACTGGGTGCTCCTCTCGCTCGAGCGCCGTTCGCACGACGGTTATGCGGAAGCTGCGGCCACATGTCGCTGAAATTCTGGAACATTTGCGGATAGCCAGGCGGGATAGCGACACCACCCAAGGCAGAGGAATGCACAGAGGAGACGTCGTCCGGAATGTAGCTAGCAACAGACCCGGAATCTTGATAGTCACTATGCTGTCCATTTCGACCATTCATCAACCCGGAGGCCATGCTCGAAGCGTGATGGTACGCCATTTGGAAACGCTGGGGACCACGGTATGCCTGCTTCGGGCGACTAAACTGCACAAGTGAAGTCTGGAGGTTCGACAACGGCCCCTCCACCAGGCAATCCTGTTCCTTGAAGTGACGGAGAAGGTAGTTCCAGAGAGGATGTTTCGAAAGAACTTTTGGATTTCCCAAAATTACAAGGCCGTATTTGGCTCGCGTAAGCGCCACATTGAGACGACGCGGGTCGCTCAAGAATCCAATACCCTGATGGTCGTTTGATCGGACACATGAAAGCACGATAAAGTCTTTCTCTCTACCTTGGAACGCGTCCACCGAAGCTACTTCGATCTCCTTGTAGGCTTCTTTCTTATATGTCCCGTTGAGTTGCATGGAGCTGACCACATAACTGCGCTGTCCCTCATAAGGCGTGATAATACCAATGGCAGACGGCTTCACGCCGGCTTTGAAAAATCGAGTAACAATCTTTTCGACGTTCGCAGCCTCAGTACGATTGAGATACGACGTTCCGGATGCAGAAATTTCTTCGTTGCCAAGGTTTGACCAGAACATCATGGGCTTATCTGAAATAGGCCACGGGAAATCAACATCTTTCAATAGGCGGTCGTCGCTTGTCACACCGTTTTGTAGAGAGCCATCATAGAACATGTTGGATGGGAAACTAGATAGACAGGGATGCATTCGATATTGAACGTTTAGCCGGATAGGAGCGCAGCCCAGAATAACCAAGCGCTCAAAAAGAGACTGGTTCAAGCCCGCTTTTGCAGCTTTCTTGTTCATGATAACCGGCCCAAGTTGCAGGTGGTCACCAACGAGAACGACTTGTTTACATCCCATCACCAATGGAATCATACATTCGGGCTCCGATGATTGCGTGGATTCGTCAATCAAGACTGTTCGAAATTTGAATTTCGCAAGTCGAGGGTCTCCAGCACCAACGCAGGTACAGCAAATAACGTCTGCATTCGTCAATATTTCCTTTTCCGCAGCACGCGTAAGCTGTTTGAATTTCTTCTCATCCTGGCTCGACAACTCTCCGAGTTCGTTTTTCAATTGTGTAAGTTTCATTAGCTCAACATTGCTGTCATTGTTGCGAACTTGTTCGTGAAGAGAAAGATGGCGAACAGGCGACTCGACGTCTTCTCTAGACTTGGCAGTGACGCGGACTGTCTTGAGGCCGGTTCTATGAATACATTCGCAGAGCTGATCAACCGCTACATTAGATGGTGCGCAAACCAGAACCTGTCCACCAGTAAGCTTTGCTAGATGGTAGATAACCGTTGCCGAAGTAACGGTTTTGCCCGTACCAGGCGGGCCTTGGATCAAGCTCAGAGGCTTCTGAAGGACAGCCTTGACTGCATTGACTTGACTTGGGTTCAAGCCTGGAAGACCCGGTGCTGTAAATTTCTTGGGCAGCTGGGTCTTCATTGGTGCGGCAGCGACTTCACTTCCCAAGAGCCGGTGAAAGATATATCCCGAAACACTCATTTCATCCACTGCAAATGTCTTCATGGCGGTTTGCATTCTGTCGAAAGACGTCGATTTCCAAACGTAATCGGCCGTAAAATTGTGAGTGCATTCTGTAGGGACCGATTTGTGATCGCCTTTGGTCCGAAGTTCGATAGTAACCTCATCGGACTGATTGTTGGGGATTTTAACGACATAGCCGACACCTTCCCACTTTTGTCGCAATTCCCCTGAGTATTTAATTCGCATTTCATCACCAACAGCTAGCTTCACATCACCAAGCTCCAGCTTTGGAAGCACAAAGCTAGCTAAATGCTTGTTGTTCAATCCAAGGTCCCACTTGACTATCAATCCATCCTGTGACTGGGCTTCCTTTAATTTGCGGTCGTAGTCTGCCTCGATTTTCACGAGAGGCCCAAAGACATTTTGGTATTGATACGCATCATCGTAGCGGAGTAAGACAGGCGCGGGCTCGTCATCGACACCAGTCGCTTTTTCCAAATCTTCAACCGTCGCGCTGGAGTTTTCTTTCCATATTTCCTCTAGTTTCGCAATCATCTGCGGGCTAAGGTGGCGCGCTCTCAGCTGTTCCTGGTCCGAAGGGGTGCCTACAAGCCAGGACAAGAAGGAACGATCCTCGATCAGTGGCTGCCAGAGAGAGGTGTCCCAGTTCATGTCTTTGGAGGACGGCATTGCTGCACAGGGCTGACGGCACAGCAAGACAACCACGGTGTCAGATTTGGCTGGAATAAAGCCTAAGAGAAAAACATTTCGTGTACCGCAGTTATAACACTCAAGCACAGTGTCACCTGCTGCGGATGCAGGATGGAGTTGGACTTCCTTGTGTCGAGCTCTAACAAGATGATTCACAATGTGCGACGAGGATGTATTCCCACGAGCACTACAGAACCATTTGTTACAGGCAAGGCATTTGACCACGCTGTTGGTATTATGTATTCCGCAATAACTGTGAAAAAAAGAAGGGTCAGTAAAGGAATTGAAAGGAAAGGGCGAAACCAAACTGTTCTTGAAGCTTACCAGCACGCATGCGGGGGGAGCTGCCTGTCTTCTTCCGCTTTGGTGGCGGGTGTTTTCGCACTACCATCAACCGCAACACTTGCAAGGCTTTCCAGATCATCATCCTCATCCTCATCATACACTTCCGAGCCATCGTCGTCGTCGTCATGCTGCCGTCTCCGTGGCCCACCAGCCATTTTCAGAATATTTTCGTCGCCGTCGACTGTAGACATGTCATCCGTAGCATTAATAGTTGACGCAGAATCGGAAACCATATGGTTTCCCATTTGAGTGAACGCCTCCGCCGCCATGGTCTAACGCATATGCTTTCTTGGGGACCACGTCGTAGATCACCCTCCGAGTACGCAGCGAACACCGAGAACCTGATGCTTGTAAACCAGGTCGACCATCAGCGAGCGTCCGGAAGCGACAAAGCCCCTACAAAGTATGTGACAAGGTACGTCAGTTTTCAAAGAAGATAATGAATCGTCATTGGAAGCCAAGTCTAGGGGTCATGGGTGATAGTCAAATGCAACGGTGAAAATGACACAAGCACAAGCTATGAAGCCGACGGGGGTTGGGGGCGCCTAGAGCCTTCACTCGACCACTTACTCACAAACAAAAATAAAAAGAAGCAAGGAAATCTCGGGATACTGAAGAAAAAGGAAGAGCCACGAGAGCCACTCGTAATCGGAATAAGACCTGACTACTAGCGATGCGGGCGCAGAGATATCAAAGCAGGCAAGTAGATGGAGGATGAAGCGACGATTTCGCGAGTGATGGCGTTAACAGGGAGTTTGGAAAACTGTAATTCTGCGGTGGCCCGTGCGTGCCATAGACGCAGGGTTCTCCCGCTGAAAATCTGCAGCAAAAGTAACTTGGGGAGAACCCGCAAGCTTCAAACTCGTCGCCTTCAGTGGTCAGGGACTTCTTTTCGGAATGATAGTATGTGCCTATGGAAAACTGATCCCTTACTCTGGATTCAGCCCGCTAATGGAATCTAGCGTCGTCAAGCGCGCGAGCGCAGAGACTACCTTTACCGGAGAGCCCTCCTCCTCCGCGATGCCTCGATCGCAGAGAAACGTGCCAAATTAAAGGCTTCGCTAGCCTCCGGAAAACCGCTAGATCCGTCCATCGCAAATGACAAGGCTTTAAGGCAAGACTTCAAGTACGATGAATCGCTACAAACTGGCCCGGACGCCTCCGGTGCAAACTCGAAAGATGCCGACCAAGTAGATATCGACGATGAGTATGCAGTCACTTCGGGCCTCGTTGACCCTCGCCCACTCGTCACCACTTCGCGCTCTCCCTCTTCTCGCCTCAGCACCTTTGCCAAAGAAATCCGTCTCCTTCTACCCACCTCTATTCGGCTGAATCGAGGTACCCTCGTTCTTCCAGACCTGGTAGCCAGTGCCAGCGCCGCTGCGTTAACGGATATGATACTACTACATGAACATCGAGGTACGCCGACGGCGATCACGATATCACACCTTCCACATGGGCCGACCGCAAGTTTCTCCATACACAACGTCGTCCTACGAGCAGATATCCCGAATGCGGCTCGAGGCACCGTTTCGGAAAGCTATCCGCACCTCATCTTTGAGGGCTTCAAATCAAAGCTCGGAATGCGAGTGGTTCAAATACTCAAGCATCTATTCCCCCCGCGAGATGCTGGAAAGATAGGGAACAGAGTTGTCACATTCAAAAATATTGAAGATAGCATCGAGGTTCGCCACCATGTGTTTGTAAAAACTGGATACCGAGATGTCGAGCTGGCGGAGGTTGGGCCGCGGATGACAATGAGGTTGTTCCAAATCCGAGGAGGTACTCTAGAGAAAGGCGCCGGCGGGGATGTGGAGTGGGCACTTACACAATATACCAGAACAAGCAGGAAAAAGGATTACCTATAGAGCTGAATCGGCACGGCCTATTTTGTGGAGTTTTGGTTGGGTTTGAAAAGTAACCTTAGGAACGGCTGGCGCAAAGGGGAAAATTTTTGTCGATGATGTGCGGTAATATTATAACTAGCTGGTTCAAATTGATCAACTATCTCTGACCTAAGTCATGCCATTCCCAGTCCCATCAGCCACGCCGGTTGAATTACTCCCTGGAACTCCATGCACTTCGAAAACCTTTAATATATAAGCGGAATATCACTGCTATGCTTCCGTCGTACTCAGCTGTGTCTCACCTCGAACCCCTCGGACTTCGTTGGGCTCCATTTCCTTGACAGCATCCTGTAACATGATGATAGTAGCTTCGGTAGCTGCTCCCTCGTCGTACCCAGGAGGAAGGCTAGAAACAGGGGGAACGTGAGGTGGTGTTTCCGGGGTATATTCGAACCAGCCTTCATCGGGTGGAAGTTCAATCCCCTTTACTGTTTTCTTAGGAGGAGTTTTCTCGCCTCTCTCACGCCAGTCGATTCCGGATTTGGCCTTAAAGAATTTATGGAACGCGCTGATTGCCGTCTCCAACGTGCTTCCTCGCGGAGCCAGAAAATCAGAGGCGCTCTTACCAACGCGTGTATATTTCACAAAGGCTGCATATGTGTGTGGTAGCGCATTGGATTCGTAAATCTGAATGGGCCCAGGCTGTTAGCTGCATTTTCAAGCAATGTTTGACCAATAAGTGTGTACAGCTCCCGTGCATACCTTGATCGTATGTCGTTCCCTAAACTTAGAAAACGGGCTGTGGCGAACAAGCATTGCAGTATACCGATGACCGAGCCCATCGGTGTAAATATGATAATCATCTATGCTTCAGATTAGATCGCGATACTTGAGTTTTGGAAGCATCATGCTCACCAAATTCAGAAAACGGCTTCGTGCCACCGGCACCTTTGAGAGAAAGCTTCTTTTCCAGTTCCCTCTTTCTTTCAGCTTTCATTTTAGTTACCCAGAGATATGGCTTTTCCCTCTTCGGACGCCTTGTTTTGGATAGAAGAGATTCCTCAAGCCAATCAACCGACACGATTTTTATACCTTTGATGCGCTTTGCGGCACGCACTGTATTCTTGTTAGTCCGGGGCGACCATGGAGTGATTGGAGCAGGCAGATAATCATTACCCGTAGAAACGGCTTTACGAAACGCCGTCTCAGTGCAAATGACATGAGTAATTCCGGCAGTTACATCTTTCGAGAATGTACCGCCATTTCCTTCCACCCATTGTTTTATTTTGTCGGCGTGGGCCCCAAATTTTCCAGCAATGCAAGCATTGACCCTAGCGAATGTTTTGCCCATTGAGATGAGCTGTATGATTGATCGCGGGACGGCAGGAAAGGGGAGGGGGGCGGGGTGGACGGGGGAGACGAATCGATAATAACGGGTGGGTGAAATAAATGTAAACTGAAATGAAGTAGATGTCATCGAGTACGGGTTCTTCGACTGGGAAACTGATTTCAGTATGCTATGTATCAATAGCTTCTGCAAAATGAAGAAGAAACGCGTTACACGTAGAAAATGCAAGAGAGGTACTGGAAAGTCACAAGTAGCGGATCTGCTGAGGTTTGCTCGAATCGAGCTTTCAAGGGCCTAGGGAACGAAGTGAGGTCACGACACATGAGCTCTACCTCAGATCTGGACCTGGGTTTCAGTAAGAGAAACAGTGGCTGGACGGAATGCATGCGAACAGATAAGCGTTGAGTGAGAAACGGCAAGGTTGACTGCCGAATGGTCATATTTAGAATGCTGTTCTAAAAAAAAGGATATCAAAGTGAACCGCTTGGACATATTTATGGCTATCCAACCTCAATAAAATCATATTGAAAATAAGGTATGTTGCACACCAAGGTCACAGCCCTTTCGCCGCAGCCACAAAAGCTCTAATCTTTCCTAGATCCTGGGCTCCGTCCGACTCAACACCGCTACTGACATCAACAGCGATCACCTTAGGGCTTTGTTCGCCAAGTGCTTTTATTGTAGCGCGGACATTTTCGGAGTCGAGGCCACCAGCCAGTATTATCCGAAGGCCATCGTCCTGTTCGAGGGCTTTCTTTACTGCCGGCGATGATAGCATTTCCCCTGTTCCTCCAACGCCGGAATCCAGCAAAGGGAGTGCATGATAGCCACGCTTAGTAAGGGTGTTATCGCCCGGCGAGAACTTCCGGATAACTGGTACCGGAATCAACCTGGCCCACTCAATAGGTTCCGATCCGTGAAGTTGTACGATATCAAGGCCAAGTTTCTGCTGTTGTGCGATTATGTAGGAAAGGGGCTGGTTGGAGAAAACGCCTACCAAGAGTGCCCGAGACGGATGCCGCAATAGCTTGGAAGTGTGATCAAAATAATCCACGCCAATTAACGAACATGTCATTGGTTGCACGTAGGCGTCCATTGTAGCAGGCCGCGGTGTTGTTTTAACAACATTTGAAATCTCCAGGCCAACCTGGTCAGAAACTGTCCTCGTACGCCCCTCGGCAAGGATAATTCCTATAAGGTCTGCACCTGCTTCAACTGCGACCCGTGCGGCGTTCGCTGAGCGGGTTCCACATATTTTAACTAGTGGTAAGGACGACGTAACTTTTGCTTGCAATTCAGTCTCAGACCCTAGCAGATTCTGTACAAACACGCCCGTGTCTTTGGCTCGCATAAGGGCTTCTCCAACTAGGATTGCCTTGACGCCGTCTGCGCGATACGCTTCAACATCCTTCGGACCAGATATACCGCTGAGCGCACAAACAATCGTTGACTGGGGTACTTGATCCATTAAACGGCTCGTTGTTCCTAAGTCGACTTCAAAGCTTGTGAGATCCCGATTGTTAACACCAATAACTTGAGCCCCCAGCCTAACAGCTATGGCCATCTCCTCTGCAGTATTGACTTCAACAAGCGGCTCCATATTCAATGAACGAGAATATTCGAAGAGGTGAGTTAAGAGGTCAACTGGCAGCATCTTGACAATGAGGAGGACAGTATCTGCGCCGGCCAATCGTGCCTCGAGGATTTGGTATTCGTCAAATATAAACTCTTTTCGTAGAACCGCTGGACGGTTTGGTAGGCCTTCTAAGCTTTGCCTCACCGCTCGCAGATCTTCAAGACTTCCTTTGAACCATTCTGGCTCGGTGAGAACCGATATCACACTCGCGCCTGCCATGGCATATTTTCTTGCTTGCGCTGGCGCGCAAGTAGAATAAGAAATAATGCCCTTAGAAGGGGATGCTCTTTTTATTTCGGCCATCAGCGCCAGCGAGAATGGTGAATTTCTTAGGCGGTTTGGAAATGATATTTGAGTTGGAGCAATCCCAAGGTCGTAGGCCGCCTGAAGGTCCTCAGGGCGCTGGGAAGGTATCGATTTCTGCAGGTCTACAGCAACCTTGCGGTGGGAGTAAATTTTCTGTAATATTGACTCTGCTTTTGAAGCCGTAGGCTGGCTAGCTCCGTGGGGTTGGTTCTCCCTGCTGGATAGCGCTTCTTTCCAAGTACCGCCAGTCAAGTTAAGGAAGTTCCGAAACATTGTGCGCCCGTGCTCCGTTAATATGCTTTCTGGATGGAACTGAACACCTTCAACGGTCCATAGCTTATGCCTGACCCCCATGATTATCCCCCGACCACCTCCATTCTCCAGTTCTGTCCAAGACGTCACCTCCAAGCAGTCAGGGACCGTTTGATGGGTTCCCGCCAAAGAATGATACCTTGTTACCGCTAGATCGGGCGGAAGAGTCAAATAGACACCTTTCGAGTCGTGTTTTAACGGCGACGTTTTTCCATGCAAGATCTCTCCCGTAACTTCGACTTTCCCTCCAAACGACGCTATTATGCATTGCTCCCCCATACAAACGCCAAGAATCGGTATCTTGCCCGCAAAATATTGAATTGCCTCCTTGCTTATTCCGGCATCCTTGTCTGGGTGGCCGGGGCCCGGGCTAATAACCAGCTGTGTAGGAGTTTTGGCGATGAGCTCCTCTAGGGATATGGTGTCATTTCTGAAAACCGTCACTGTGGCACCCTCTAAAACAAGGTACTGGTAGATGTTCCATGTGAACGAATCGTAATTGTCAATTAATATGACATTGGACGCATTCTCGAGACGTTCGGCCTTGGTGGGGTGGCTCGGGGAGTGATCAATCAGTTCGGAAACGGCCATGGGGAAAGTAGGGATAGCAGAATGGTTCAATGGAACTAATCTTCTTCCCGAAAACGAAGCTCAAGACTTCCTACCGGCAATTCAATCCTTCGTCGCGCAGCAAGGTGTCCAACTGAAGAAACTGATGCGGGCAAACTCACTATCACAGTCATCCGCCAAAGACCGCGCTAAACCCAGATAGGCAGCCATTATCTGAAGCTCGAACGAGCTCTGTTTCTTGGCTTCAAAATATCGACGATATAGAGCTTTCAAGGCCCGATCCTTCGCTCGTTGCATTTGGGGAGAACAATGATATAGGTGAAATTGATCATGGCCCCGCAGCCGGAAATATATTTCCCGTCGTTGGACAATTGTTTATCTGGTGGTGCCCAACTAATGTAATCGAAAATATTGCGTCCCCAACAGTGATCAAGAGAACTAGCTAATTGTTTGCTTATAGACCATGGGAATCGGCCTTCCTTCGCTTGACTGGCTCGGATGCCAGCCTTAAAGGCTGCGATAGTCTTTTTCCTTTCTTGATATGCCCTGAAAGCGTTCGCATCCTATCCAATCCTTTTAACCCTTACTCCAAACCCTCCGCACAAACTAAATCGGCATTCGAATCAAAGACAGCGGCTATCAACGTAACCTCAGGGACCCGCGACCGATGTAACTTCGACGAAATCAAGGGAGACGCGCTGTGGCTTAGCAAGGAGGTTCTGATCGACGAGGTCTCTGCGCTGAGAATTGCTATTCAAGAATGGCAAACCCGTCCCGAACACAACTTGTTAAATCACTTTTCCGATGAGGAAGTAGCAAGTCTTCAGAATGCAGTTGGCGTTGAGGAACTATCCCCTCCAACAGGCGGAGTACAAGCCGTCGAACTTCTCAAAAGGGCGCCTCGAAATACCCAGCTTACTGAAACTCCCTCGCAAGATGAAAGGCAACTGAAACTATTTCAACTATACTTATCGGAAAAGCGGTATATTACAAAAGTAGCTTTATACGTGTTGAGTGTGTCACTGCGTGGAAGTTTATCGGGCACCTATCGACGTTGCGGATATCCAGAAGATCGAATGAACCAACGGGGTATGAAATTGGATGAGCTTGGAGCATCCATCTTTCCTAGGCAAAAGGGTAAAGATTTAGATATGCCTGGCCTCTCTATACGAAACTGCATCGAAGCTATACAATCACGGCTAGATCAAATTGATGAAGGGCGTAGTTGGCTATCCCCTGAGGCGGAATATCACCGACAACTAAGTGTCACAGAAGAGGTCATACAGATTGTGCAGATTTTGTTCCTTCGACTTCAGGAATCGGAAAACATCCCATCATCCGAAATGCTACTTTCATGGCTACGCCTTGTGGCAAAGTATGATTTTTTTAGCCAAAATCGCTCAGTAAGTGGGATCCTCCTTAGCCAACTTTTCTAACGTGACAGTCTAACTTTCTGATAGCTTTCGGAAGCGGAATCAATCTTATTCAACTCTTTGCAAGCACTCACATCTGTGGTTACGCTATCGTTTCTGAAATTACGTACCGCAGCTTTCTTATTCGGAACCGTGATCTCCCAGCCTTCTATTTCATCCGACGTCTGGGGTGACGAATGTCCATCATTTTTGTCTCGTGAAGATGTTGGTGAACTCAATGAGATATTTCTCAAAGCCGCCGATTCCGAGAAGTTAAGCGCGAGCCCTGCGGTGTTTGCTTGGGGCATGATCATGTACTCAGTCCGAGAAATCGCACTGACGACAAGGGAAGAGCGCGAACTTCAGCAAGCACAGCATGCCGTAGACGCATTCAATGGCGATACACCTTCTATGCTGGCTTCTCGAACTGTCGAGCCGTCGATCTACGAAGAAGCATATGAGCGGGCACGTAATCCGGCCTTCGATGACGACTTTGTCAAGTTCATGATTTCGGTCGCTGTGGACCGATGCCGAGTCTTCGACGTTGCTTCGAACGTCATTCGCCAACTCGATTCAATATCTGGGTTGGATGATGGCAGTTTAGTGAGCCAATGGGCTCGCGTTGAAGTTCTCGATCTCATCCGAGTCAGCGTCGACTTTTTGAACTATATTCCTGAACTTTTGTCCGCCGTCTTGCAGGTGATCACAGAACCAAGCCTGGAATGGGATTGCATCGCTGACTCTACAACGAAAAGTGGGAATGGGGCCAAAGCCATTTTCCTTCATGATGACACTTTAATGAACAGTATCTTTAAGATTGCAAAGTCTCGATTCCCCTATGAGGCGATCAATTTTCTAAAGCTTTGCAGATGTCTACTAGACTACAACTTGAGCACCGACGATGGATACCCATTTATATTCCAAGAACTTGAATTTATGGAAACTTATACTCAAATTGTTTCACCCGGCTTCCAAGGTTATCAATCTACCCGTGAAGATGAAAATGCAAATTTTGTGTCTCTTATAGAGCCACTGGAAATGAGGGAATTGGCGCCGAAGGGGAAGGAGTACAGTGAACAGTCCAACTCAGAATTGATGGTGATGAACGGAGCGTCGATTCTACCTGCTAATACCCTTGGTCAAGTTATCAACGAATCTAAACCTGCCGTAATAATGTGGCATCATCGCTATAACTGCCTTTACTTTCTCGGAATGTGGCTCGAACAAGCCACCTACAGTCGCAAAACAGAATACGAGCCGGAAGATGATGTGATTGCTGAAATAGTCGGTTTGTTGGCGGATTTGGTTACCTCAGCGCAAGCTGTTGCCAGGCATCAAAAAGTTGAGTCTTGTGCCAGAAGAATCTTGGAGATGGCCAGTGATGGTTTAAATCATCATGGCGATATCATCTCCGTTATCTTTGACATATTCGAGCGAAACCTTCAAGACACAAGTAGGAAATTTGGTACGGATCGCGGCTTGGAGACCATAACAGCCTGCCTTTCTTTTCTCAACGCCCTCATCACTGTTATTCCAGGAAGGGTCTGGCCATTTTTGACACGAAGTAGTCTTATCACTGGAGATGGTAACGGAGGAACGCTCCCTGCAATCATTTCTGCGGTCGAAGTCAATACGGGAGATTATTCTTTCCTTCTCGAGGCTACCCGAACCTTTAGGCTTATCGTTGACGATGCAGCCAGACATATCGCGGTCCGGAAAACGGCAGGAAATGTTACAGCCAAAACCACGCATCTCACCGAATATACCGCTGGTGCGCCATCATATGTGATAAGCAAACTTATCCAATCCTTTGCTCGCGTTATGGTTGATATATACAACAACAGCGCCAGCTGGAGATACAACGATATATGCCAGTCATTGGAGCTGAATGTATCTCTCACTACTACGTTCAATGATATCCTGCATTACACCTACGGGATCGATGATACGGAAGATTTGGATTCGAAGGTGACAGCCGTCTTTGCGAACTCGGCGAAATATTTATTGAATATGCTACGTCCAGCCTCCGAAGAAGGAGTCATTTTCAATCCAGTACTGCGGTTAATTTTGAATGCCTTTCACACGCCGGTACTTACCGAAAACCCATTTTCGCGGCTCCTCCAATCGCAATTGGTAGAGGCAGCTTTGAAACTGGCATCGACCTTAATACAGGCTGGATGGGTTCCGCATTCTCCCATGTCAGGGTTGGAAAGACAACTTTTCGACGCGTCACCGGTGTTAATCCGCTTGTATGTGCTTCATCAAAATCACCAGGCGGAAGTCGTCAAGCTGCTAGAATTACTGGTAGCGCATGCGTCTATGGATAAAGAGCATGAACCTCCGTCCCTACTCGGACATCTTGGGGCCCAATCGTCTTGTCGATTTTTAGATATACTTGCGAAATTCGACCGGCCATTTAATAATATTTCGTTGAATACCACGATATGGAAATTTCTCACGACCATCATTAGTAAACGACAACAGTGGCTGGCTGTGTTCTTGCTGACTGGCTCTTCGCCACGCGATGCCTTGAAGAAGAAGGGTGACCGCGATCAACAACCGGCAATGACATCTAACCCGTTTTTACAAACCGCTCTTCAGCTAATATCAGCGATTGGCAGGGCACCCCTACGGCGTATACTCTCCGCTTTAGAATTTATTTCCAAAGCACAAGAGAATTGGCCCTGGGCTACGCCACAATTGAAAAACCACCCGGATCTTTTCCCGAAGATGGTCAACTATGTTGCGAGCTTAGATATGCGCCGCTTTTCACCACTCGAACAGTGCATGACCACGAAGGTATCGTCATTTATCGCAGATATTTGCGTCGTATATCTGCATAGTGCAAAGGAGCAAAGGGACTGGGCTTTTTTCAAAACCCTCATTCCTCTCATTTCATGGTACTCCGAAAATGCAGTTGAGGTCAACGGCTATAACGCATCACTGCATGCGAACCTCAAAAGGAATTTTGAAATGAAATATCCAGGCTGCAGCCTTTTTGCAATCAAAAGGACGTCACTCAATGATCCAGAGTTTGGGAGCGATTATTTTTATGATATTGAATTAGGTACCAAAATGTTTGGCTATGAATTCGCTTGGGCAGGTAGCCGCAATCAAGGGCTTCTTGATGAGGTCAAACGAGCTAATGAAAATCTTTCTCTTGTGCAAGCTCAAATGGTACGTTCTGCCGCTATGGTTCTACAACTCATATTCTGACTGGATGCAGGATCTTCTTCTCAGTTTCAAATTCTTAGCCATAGAGCATTGCGCGGACTTTATGCCAGATCGCGGAGTTCAAAAATCAATGACCTCTGTCGTTCGTCACTGCCTTACAGCAAACTCACAAAGCATCCCAAATGAAAACGTCTTCTGTAAACTTCATCAGATTCGAGCAGAATTTGCTCTTGGCCTTCTACAAAGACTTGTAGAGGCCCAGTCTAGAGGAAGCGAAGTGTTCAGCCTTCTTGAAGCTGCTTGGGATGCGACTAGATTTCGAAATCCAACTTACGAGGCAGCTCTCGCAAACGATGATACGGAGTACTATGGAATGCTGCTAAACGTCCTCTTTCTTTCGTTGCAATTCCACGTTGTGGGTAAATCCCGAGTGGTCCCTCAAGCGGTGAGCAAGAAACCCGAAGTTTCAGGACATCTTGCAATAGTTCTTGATATCGTCAAAGTCATCGCTGCGCATGGTTTCCGGTCCTTGACAACGTACCTGCACGAGGAACCAGAGAAATGCTCGCCAAAAGACTTTGCGTTGATAACTGCAATTTTGCAAACAGTACTAAAGGTGAAAAGCGTGGATCGTATTTATGAACAGATCGCATTCCATCTAATCGATTGTGACACGATACGATATGCGTGCACTCTTTTCTCTTGGTCCTATCAACTTACGGTAGAAGGCGACCCTGTATATGGAGAGCTTAGCATCCTCTACCTTCTCGAGCTATCTTGCATACCTACGATGGCCGAACAAATTGCGATTGATGGCATTCTCGTAAAGTTATCGACATATAGACTTACCGACGTCCTTCGCCAGCCCCAGGGGTGCGGTCCTTTCGACCAAGTACCAAGGCTATTCACAATCTGGCACGCCGGGTTTCTCCCGCTCTGCCTCAATTTACTCTACCACGTTGGACGTGCAGCGCCAGAGGTAGCCGCCTTCTTGAACCAATTTGAAGGCCAGCTTCGTCGAGCCTCCGAAGCGTTTTCCATTGGCCGTCCCACGGTCGTGACCAACCCCTTTGGTCCATCCAACGTTCGCAACCTTCTATCATCCGGGCAATCAGCCAAGCGCCTCTCCTTGGGAATGGCCACAGAAGCATGCTCATTGGCTCTCATCTCATTAATCATCGAAAAATGCCGCGAAGCCGGCCCAAGCGCCGGCATCGATTCGCAACATATCCAAGAGCTGAAATGGGACTGTGCACGCGTAAAAGAGGATATTGAAGTCCTCTTGGAGAAAACCTCTGTCCTTCGATCCCGAATCACACCTACCAATGAAAAAGAAGTGGCGTGGCTACAGCATCAGCCATCTGATTCGAGCTCCAATGCAGAGAGTTTACTTGAGGAGAAAATTGTAAAAGAACTACAGACTGCATTGTCTTGTATCGGCGGTGGTGATTAGGCAAAACGAAACTTTTTGTGGCGGTGTTTGGAGCCTCTGTGGACTACCCCATACTGGGCATCGGATATCCATCTTGCTATTGCTCGAGTTTCTGGATTGGTTTTTGTATTTGATTTCTTGTCCTTTTATGACTCTTTAAGCATAGAGATGATTTGCTAGTTGACCTACCTGCATTAATCTGTTAAATAGGGCCTAGAGAAGCTCATTCTTCTTGTGTGTTTCGAGGAAGTATCACCGATTGTATAATTTTAGAGCTACATGTGTAAGTGTTTAGAGCACAAGTCAAATCGGTCATTGATCAATGGCATTCCGGTAACTACCTGAGGAAGATAGACTATCGGGATACGGAGTAGTAGCTAGTTAACTAAGACATGTGTCTACTTCGTATATCAAGGGTGGCAATCGTCAGTTAACCTTGGGCCGATCACAGTAATGCAGTGATTCATACGCCCCCAGGCTTTTTCTCATGTCAGAATTGTGAAGAGCTTCATATTCTCAGGGGAATTTGACGCTGTTGCTTCCCTGCAACCTCGATAGTTATTAGCCGCCTAACCTCGGCGACACCCGAATGCTAACCGACTCCTCCACTCCCAACGTCGGTTCCTGCGCATACCTAGGCCCGTCTTCGATTCGAGCTTCTGGCAAGCTCGTACCGGAGCTTTGGCATATTTTCCCCGCTTCCGCAAGGTTATTAACGGTTTCACTGGGATATGGAGCTTCTTGCGGGTTCTCTATCTCGTCCAGGGACCAGTACGCGCTACGACCTGGTGCCAACCGAGCATCCAACGGTCAGCTGGGACAACTCAAACGGTTGTATTTAAGACCGGGTGCCCTATAGCCATTACATGCGGTTTGTCAGGTCATTGCTTTCTACTTACACTCTATTCAATAATATATCCATCTTCACCAAATAGTACCAGCAACTGTGCTACGTCCGATCCCCATCATGCCATTCAAATCCCGGTGGTCTATACCCATACCAGACACATCTTTACCAGGTCTGATCTTCAAGTCCCCCAAGCACCCGCAGTCGGATACTAGAAAATGCTACATCGATACTGCCCGCCCCAATACTCATTTCTTCACTGTCCATGGCTACCTTCTCTGGTGCAAACGATTTGCTGCCGGACTCCAACAATCGGGCCTCAAATCCGGAGACCGGGTGCTGGTCTTTTCTGCAAATAACCTCGTATACCCCGTGGCCTTTATGGGCATCGTGATGGCTGGATGTGTTTTCACTGGCGCAAACCCGACATATACACCTAGGGAGCTGGCATATCAATTGAGCGACAGTGGGGCAACATACCTTCTATGTGCGGATAACTCTCTGGACACCGGTATCGCGGCAGCCGAAAGCATTGGAATGGGCCGAGACAAGATATTTGTGTTCAATGATCTGATTTATGACGGCAAAGGTGAAGGTATAGAAGGCTGCCGATACTGGGGGGAGTTGTTCGCCACTACTGAAGAAGGGGAGCAGTTTAGCTGGGAGGAACTGCCAACCCCTGAAGCGGCAGACAAGACTTTGGCCTTGAATTACTCCAGCGGAACAACTGGAGTACCTAAAGGTGTCGAAATCAGCCACAAAAACTATGTTTCCAACGCTATCCAGTTCACACACAGCGCGTATCTGGACAAAGACTACGAAGAGACGACCAAAAGGACAAGATGGATGTGTTTTTTGCCAATGTACCATGCAATGGCACAGAATATTTTCATTGCTGCGGCTCTGATCCGTCAGGTGCCCGTATATTTGATGGCACGGTTTGAGTTCAATCAAATGCTCGAAAATGTGCAAAAATTCCGTATTAGCACTTTGACCCTCGTTCCGCCTATTGTCGTGATGCTCGCGAAACACCCGGCGGTGAAAAAGTATGATTTAAGCAGCTTGGAGCAAGTGGGCTGTGGTGCTGCGCCTCTGGGCACAGAGATCAGTGAGGAAGTTGAAGCATTGTTTCCAAAAGGAAAGATATACGTCAGACAAGGCTGGGGAATGACTGAGTATCGTCTCCCCCCATTAATGCGAATATCTTTAACCCGTAGGAAATACTGCGAGCTAACATCCTAGTAGGACCACTTGTTCGATTCTAGGATGGGATCCAAACGAAAATGGAACGAGTGCCTCTGTTGGCGAGCTGAATCCGAACTGCGAAGCTAAAGTCATGGCTGACGATGGAGTAACCGAATTAGGGGTCAATCAGCATGGAGAAATCTGGGTTCGAGGTCCAAATATCATGAAGGGCTATTGGAATAAGCCAGAGGCCACGAGAGAGACTTTGACTCCGGATAGATGGCTGAAGACCGGTGATATCGGATATGTGGACAGTTCTGGAAAGTTTTATATCATCGACCGAAAAAAGGTACGGTTTACCATTAAGCCACGGACTTATTGATTGGGACTAGTAATAAGCGACTAATTCGTTACTATGCAGGAACTCATCAAAGTGAAGGGCAACCAGGTAGCCCCAGCAGAACTGGAGTCTGTTCTTCTCGACCACCCAGCAGTCGCAGATGTAGCAGTCATTGGAGTCACAAAGTAACGACAAGGCGTCCCATTTCTCGAGGCTGGTAAGCTAACAAGGTATTTAGGGATGGTGAGGAATACCCGCGAGCATATGTCGTCCTTACGCCGGGAAATTCGGCAACGCTTGAAACTGCACAAAGCATTGTGCATTACATGAAAGACAAAGTAGCGCCCGTAAAAAGAATCACCGGAGGCGTTATTTTTGTGGACGTCATCCCGAAAAATCCATCTGGCAAGATTTTGAGGAAGGCTTTGCGAGACAGAGCCAAAAGCGAGATTCAAAATGGGCTTGCTGCATCTAAACTATGAGCATGCTCTCTGGTTGGTAGCGCCGAGGGCTGTGTCATGCTGGGAATGTAGACAATGGAAACTTTGCTTGGTGTATTTGTGATGCCTCTTGCCATAGGCCCGTCGATGTCGAAAATGTTGGTCGGATACATCTGGATGACGGAAGAAATATAGACAAATCCGACAAGTATTTCAAAAACACTTTTTGGCGGAAAGCTATCCAGAATACCAATAAGAACTCGAAAATGCACAAGAACGATTGTGTCTACAGAAATAGCTGGCAAGAAGCTAGGGTATAAACTAGCTGGGAGCCTGATCTTGTTATCATCGACATCCTGCGCCACGTATATACGTCGGCCCCTTCAGGAGATATTTCCCAACCCGAACCTACCCAGCTCAGGGGTATGTGTCGCAGGCTCAGCCATGGACGTACGTTGAAGCGATCCCATATCCGTCTTTGCTTTCTGGGATTTCTGGTAAATTAAGCCCTCTCTTCCTGGTCATCAATTGGTGCATATACAATTCGCGTTCTCCAAGCCAATAGAATAAAACGAACTGTGTCATGTAGTCTGGCAAGAGAGAGATCGATCTGGGCCTCAATATGCCTCTCAACAGCCTGCTATCGCTATGCTGATGAAGGCAAAGTCCCCAATGAAGTCCCAAAACGGGGGCATGTGGCGTTGGAGTGGCTGGGGTTCCCGCGAGCCACACGTTCTGGAATAATACACGATACGTCGCCGATACGCCTCCAATACATCTCCTGCGACGACCTCGCTGGCTACCGATCACGCCTGAGCTGAGAAGCTCGTCTTCACATGGACGCACAGCTGAATGCGACATGCTTACACCTGTCTGTTTGTCTCACCACTTGGCCCTGCTGCTATGTAGATCTTTGGACCCTGAGTCACCTGCCTTCCGCTTTCCAAACCATGCTGGCAGCAAGGGAAACGCCAAACAAGACGTGTGCTGAAACCATTCGATCGAGGCCGTCTTGCTCTTCTATGCTTTGGGGAAATGGTGCTGGGTTTTCTTTGAATACCGGCCGTAGGGTTTGAAAGAATAACCCTCCATGATCTGAACCAACGATCGGGCTGCGAACTGCCTCGAAACATGCCAAGAGTAGTGAATGAACTACTCTTGTACGAGGAGCGAAGGTACTCCGTACTTCTATCAACAACGAACATGGCGGACCATTCTCCGGACCCTTGATACCAGCCTAGCAAACTGTATTCTTGATGTGGAGTGCGTCAGGTCGACTTCAGCTGAACTTGGGGATGAGCCAACTCCACAGAGAAACGTGATTGGTTTGGATCGTGGCCAAAATTGCGCCGAGATTTATTCCATGCATCCACCAAGATGCTTGAACTGTTCTTCAACCAGAGGGATGGGTCGAGATCGTGGAAAATCCTGTTGGTGAATTACAATTTAAAAAGCTGGCTGGCTGCCCAAAAACTTTGAAAATCCAAGAGCCTCATCTCATGCGGTGTACGGAATAGAACTAATGCGTATATAAACTATAGCCTCGTCACCCCATTGGAGTCACCGAAGCAAGGAGAAGAGGTTTGCATTACCTTCCTTTTCTAGTCGCTGCTTTCTTGGTCATACGCTTGACATATCCTCGGGGCTCGATATCTTCGATGAGGCGAACGACGGGGGGGTAATAGGTTCTTGCGCATTTCCCTTGTTCCCACTGTCGTACAAAACGATCAATAGCATGGCTCCAATACTCCAGCTGTCCAACCTTTCCTCAGCCGTCTGGCAGCCCCCATTAACAACATTATACGTTTTCACTTCCCTGCTTGTGGTATTAGCATTCCTTTCCGTCCGGAAATGCAGAAATGTATCTCCGCGGTCCCTTCCTTGCGATACGGAGGCAGAGAAGAAGCCAACGACGGCACCTTCCGCCGTATATACCTCACCGCCAAAGCGGACATCGAGCCTGAAAACATTCGATCGGCCGTACTTTCAACAGTCGCCATATTTCAATCCGCGAGACATAAACTTGCTGGTCGTTGAGCAGCCGAACGCATTATCACAAACATCTGAACCCCAAAACCTTAAAACAGATAATATTTCTTGCACCTTGCCACTCACGGACGTTGCAATGGCCTCCTTAGCGGATCGCCATGGAGGCACCTGTACAGAAAATAATCCTCAGACATTATCGACATTTCAGGTGCAACATCGATCTTTACATCACCCAGCGACAATCCATCCACAACGACGAAGTGAAACCATCCAATTGTTCCCGGGAGCGGGACCAGACGAAGGCAGAGCTTGGAAACGGAAAATTATCGAGTACAGCTGAGCTGGATGGAGCCAAAACTGAAGTCTTTCGGCTTAAGCCATGAGGATTGAAGGGGAGAATTGAATTTCCTGGGTTGGCGTGTTCTTATCTGTTCTGGGTGGAATGTTGCAGCCTTTATGGTTTATGTTGCCTTTCGGAATACCCAACGATAGCTATTTCTTGTTTCCTCGATAAGGGTGTCTTGTAAGTCGTCCAAACTCTCATAACGATATCGTTCCGGGATAGCGGCGTTTAGAGCAAGATTTGTGATCGGCATTATGTATTAAAGCAATGGATATAGCCTAGTAGAATCCGAGTTCAAATGTTAACGAGATGGGAAAGCCACCTTAAACAAGCCTAAGTTGTCACAAGCAACTTGAAGGGAGGAAATCATTTGCCATTGAACTTATCCTTGGAACTTCGTGAATATTGACTTATTGTCCAATCCGGACCGCCGCAGAATTTATCATTCTTTTACGCCGAGTCAGAGTAGGAAGAAGAACTTTCGGCCTCTGAACAAACCCAGTCGTAAGCATTCGATCCTTTCTTGAAATGGTGAGCGTAGTTATCATACCTACAAGAGACCACAATGGTTGGCAAACAAGGGGCCAACTACTCGTAAGTCCGTTTTGCAACAGATCCGCCGCCATCTAGCCCGGGCCTTCATGCCTTTCATCAATGATGACCCCGGACGTTTCCTTCAGCTGATCCATACTCCGTGGGCGTCGCCAAAATAAGAGGGCATTCCTGAAAATAGTCACAGAATCGGGTGTTTGTGCCCTCCAAAATTCACACAATCGATTCACATTGTTACCGTATCACTAATCTGCAATATCGACGCCGCATTGTGATGAGACTCCATTCACTCCAATAATGACTCCAGCCGAACATTGAGATTTGCATTTTCGGCACTGTCTGGCATAACTTTTGAGCCCACCTCGTAAGTACCTTGAGGCTGCCCTATGCCTTGACATCCTCCTAATCTCGTATATTATTCAGCGTTTCTCTCGTGTTTACTCAGATCTTTCACCGAGAAAATGCTTTCAACCCCCACTTTATCCTAGTAGACAAAGATTAGCGAAGTTATCATCCAATGAATGTAAGGTGTTTTCAACCCTGTAAAGGGTATTTGTATTGCAGTATGGTATCACATCCTCTGGGCCAATTCAATGCGTGCTCAAAAGATCCCGACACCGACCTAGGTATTCCTGAGGACTTTAACTCAGACGTGGACGTGATGTTGACGAACACGCACTATGCTTTTGGTGGCAATGAATCTTTGCGAGTCTAAAGAGAGAGGGGAAAGGGTGCCTCGACATGGTAACTGTCCGCATTTGAATTCGAAAAGAGCCTAGATCCCTCAACTCTGCATCAAGTGTGACTCGAGGTCGTTCCGCCCCCGCCTGAGAAACCATTGAGAGAAGAGTCAGGCCGGTTGACAATTAGATCTTCAAGTGTCGCTTGGGCCACTTTCGTCATTTGGCTGAATATTCACATCATGCGTGGTCGATTCTTCCTCTTTCGATCCCGCAGGAAAGATCAACGGGTTTTCAAGTGTCTCGAGATTGCATATCAACTGTACTCCGCACTCCTAAAGTTCTCATGTTTTGTGACACATTTGCAAGCTTCATATCAGCAAAATAAGCACTTCTTGGCTGGGGCTAGTTGCAGATCGTCCCTTCAGGCAACGTTCAGCTGCAGTCAAGTCCCTCGACGAAGAGCCTAAGCTGTATAGTTCATGGAGCTGAAGTGAATTTTACTTTAGCTGATCCGCGCCAATAGCACCTTGTACATTTATCATAACCTCGTTGAACGAAGCATATTCGCCGGGCAGAGGTTTCCAAAAGCATGTCGGCGCATATAGATCACCAAGGAGCTGCATTGCAATCCCTATACGTGAGCAAATTGAAGGTCAGGCTGGCTCAGCCGCGACGGGGAAATCCCGGAAATCAATGGAACCACCCCGGAGACCTCAGGTATAAATAAGAAGGATGATGCGCGAAACGGAGAGTCAGAACCAAATCGAACAAAATCACTTTTCTGCTGGGTTTAATTGCTTTGCTTTAAAACAACCAAAATGCGCTTTTCAACTGCCTTTTTCATCCTTAGCAGCTTTGCCTCCCTGGCTGTCTCATCTGCAGTACCTGAGCCGGAAACAGCTGGGGCTCTCGACAACTGCGGATGGCCCAACGGTAATTGCTATGACAACAACTGCCATGGCGAACTGAGCCGCAATAAGATCACTTGCACATCGGTATGGATACCTGTATTCCTTCATCTTCCCATTTCTCTCTCAACTGCAAGCATCGCCTGACGAGGATTTCAAATAGGGCAAGTACCTCGGTTGTCCATGCGGATACGGCTGCGGCAGAAACACGGGAAAATGCAACGAAAATGGCTGCGATGGTAGAAACGGCCGCTGCACCAACAACTATCTCGGATGTTCTTGCGTTTAAGGCACGCTCGAGTCATTCAATCAGCGATACCATAACCGGAAGCCAGTCTAAGAATTCGACTTTCCTGTGTCAAGCAACGGTATGAGCTGGAGAAATCGGGAGTGAGGAGTGGCCGCTCTGGCGCAGGGCTTTGTCTGGTTATTTTCCACTCATGTGAACACTTGCCTTTTCAAACCGTTAGATGCGTCATTCTCTGCTTTGAATGTGAGAGCCACCAGTTAATAAATGAAAGAGTATGTTAACTTGAATGAATATATCAGCCAAATTTGCTAGTCCTGAGAGCCAGTCGTTCGGGCAATGTATTGCTGCAGGCCGGGGCGAGTATTTTGAATGTACGGTATATGTAGCATGGGACAAACAAAATGCAACAAGTAATAACCCGTGTTTATGTTCTGCTCCACATCAAGAATTGCCAGCTTTGCTTCTGTTGGAGACTGTTGTTGCTGAAGGTTTGGTGAGATGCTGTTCTCTCAGATGCAAACATGACAAACAACCACAACAACCAGGCAACTTTGGCTGCATGAACAGAGCATACAACCGCATGGCTACCTACAGACAGTTAAACTCCATTCACGATGACCAAGAACATGTCGGAGAGCTATTTCTCTTCCTATGAGACTATTAATTTGTCTCATCTGCTCTCGCGCCTTCAGGCCCACCTTCTCTCTCCGTCCGCAGACCTCAAATTACTCCGGTCAAAGTACCATCGCGCGAGAATGACTGCCGTACGTTGGGCTTCTATGACCACCACAATACCTTGCAAAGCAGCCTGGTTGACATTATTTAGAACGTAGAATACGGTCGCACCCTACTTCTCCAGATAGAAAGCTCCCTACCGAAAATAAAGTCGCCAGTCCGGAAGCATGCATTGCAAGCAGAGCTGACTGAGCAGCGGCAACTACTCAAAGCGTTAAGACAGAGGATAGACGAGCTGGCGGTTGAAGCAGAAATGCTGGTTGAAGACGACGCTTCGTCATCGGAGGATGAGGATATTCTACCCACCCCCGAGGAGAGTACCCCAGAACGTCGACCATCGCTGGCAAGGTCTGCTGTCGCGGATCTCCCAATTATAGAAGATAGAAAGGAGAAGGAACCGCCAGAAACGGCTAATGAACCTCTATCGCAAAGCTATGAACAGCCCATGGACCCGTGTGCAACTTCCGACGAGCCTCAAATCACCAGCACTCTTCGCAGCCGACACCCCAAAACATCCACGGCACCATCATCCCACTCAACCGCCATCCCAACGCTCTCCTCGCCCTCCACGAAGCCCTCCACGACATCTTTCTGTCCGCCTTCCACCGCCGATCCCTCTACCAGCAAAATCCACGACGCCGAAACCGCCCTCACAACCTCTCGTCTCGAACAGGACTCCCTCACCGACTCCCTCCTCTCGCTCGCAATGCAGCTAAAAGCCTCCTCCCAGACATTCCACTCACACCTTGAATCGGAAAAATCCATACTCTCACGCGCCACCGAGGGCTTGGATCGAAATACCACTGGCATGGAAGCGGCGGGAAAGAGGATGGGAGCTTTAAGAAGAATGACAGAAGGACGGGGCTGGTGGGGACGGGTCCTGATGTACCTGTGGATCTTTGGATTGTGGATTGTTGCAGTGCTGATTGTGTTTGTGGGGCCGAAGTTGAGGTTTTAAACGGTTCATTATTGAAGTTGGCATATGCTGTTCTATACTACATACTTTGACATGGTGGTAATGATGATTATATTCTAAGGCACGATTATGATGCATTTGAGAGATACGCAACATTGGCAATTGTCCGCCTGTAAGGTTACGTTCAAGATAGACATGTTTAGAATGTGGCAAATGGGCGCAAGATCAATTGTTGATTTTAGATGGCAGAGGCACGATAATTTATAATTTAAAATTTCATTCTCTATTCCTTGGCCAGGCATTGATGGGTAATCCTCCCGCTCCCACTATCCATCCGACCGGCATACGAGGCGTTTCAACAGATACATCGACAAAAAAACTGGAAAAAACAGGCAAACAGTAAGCCAATAAAGCAACAAAGGAAAGCGGCGTGCAGGCAAGATTTGAATGAGACAAGGAGATCCGTAATAATGAAATTCAACGAGAAAGCTAAGGAACCCTCATCAAAATCCCAAAAGACGAAAGAAAAGAAAGTCCTGGAGAGAAGCGGAGGAAGTGCGATATCAGAGTCCCTGGGGAATATTAAATAGACATTAACCAAGAAGTTCACGGTAACCCAGTACTTCACGCAGAAAGTGGCTTGAAAGAGAGACTCCGAAACAGATAATGAAAAAAGAAAATGAAGTGTGTTGCTCGAAAAGAGCAGATATCCAGGATATCAAATGAGAGAATTCTCAGTTTGAATGCATAGATTGGGCATATCGAATGGTTGGGACTGTACAAAGGTCGAGGAATGCAAGACGTTTGAGGTATAAGACTGAACCGAGCGGAACAAAGAACAACTGAGGTGCATAATTTGATATCAAATACAGATCATATGAAAGATAATGAGACCGAGGGTGACGACAGGAATAATGAAATGGCCGATTCTATATTAAGCCACATAGTCGAAGGTTCTCTTGAATGATGATATCTAAAACAAGTTAGTGGAAATATGATTGACCAAATTCGATATATACAGGAGACATACCATTAACTGCAGCCATGACAAACCGGATTTGCGTTGTGTCGGTAGCACATGTAAAGTGTGTGTAAATTTGTTTCTGTTCGGCTTGGTTCAGGGAGACAAATCGGTTAAGGATGTAGTCGCAAGCGGCAGCATAATCAGGACCTCCTATATTTGTGTCAGTCAAATGAAGAATATACCATGACAGAACTCGAGTTAGGAATTAGACTGACCCTCATAATCAGGGAAGTAGTTTTTCATGGGGCTGACTGGAAGCTTCTCCTTGAATCGATCGATTTTGTTCAAAAACAAAATAATAGAGGTCTTGGTGAACCATCGAGAATTACAAATGGAGTCGAATAGGGTGAGTGCTTCTTGCATACGGTTGACCGTTTCATCTTCAAATAGCAATTGGTCATATTCCGATATAGCGACAAGGAACAGGATTGTTGTCACGTTCTCGAAACAATGGATCCATTTCTTCCGTTCTGACCGCTGGCCTCCGACATCGAACATCCGATAAGTAAGGTCGCCGATAATGAAAGTCGTTTCGGTAATACCAGTTGTCTTGACACGAGATCTCAGGACGTCTTGATCACTTGGTAGATAGTCTGGTTGCATAATGCGCCCAATAGAATCGAAGTAGCTACCGGAATGGTAAGGAAGAATGCTTGACTTAGCGCTTAGTGTTAGGAATGCTTACTATCTTGCAGAATCATTCAGCTGATATTCCCTAGACCGTCGGAAACATTCCTGGACACCTGCATCTTTCCAGAGTGCCTCGATAGCAGAACCGACCTCAGGAGGTAAACAGTCGCCTTCGATTTGCGCGGGTTGCATAAAGATAGTCTGAACATGGTACTCGGCACGCTGGTCATCCAGAGGAAGTTCAAGGCTTTCCATAGCTTCGAGGATTACACGCATTGATTGGACAGTGTTGCTGAAAATGATTTCTTTGAAGACTCTCTTTCATCTCGGGAATAAGAACCCTCATGGATAAGTTTCATCTGTTTCAAAATGGTCGATTTGCCGGATTCGCCCGCGCCTATGATTCCGTCAGTGATCGAAATGCCAAAGTATACTTCAAGGGGCCGAACCAAGTAAGAGCATTTTGATTTCGTTCCTCTGCATCAGTTTATCCCGCTTCAACTGATTATCGATCTCCTCGTTCCGGGCCTTGCCCTCCTTGTCTTCCGTACTCATACCACACCCCATCTTGGCGGCTGAACAAAGTTTGTGATCGAAAAAAATATCCTCTCAGTTCTCGAGCGCTTTCCGCAGTGATAGGACACAAGTGACAAAACCACTTTGGAGACTAAACTGTCAGAAAATATTCGCCGTTTAACCTTTAGAGTAATGCGACACAGTCGGCAAGAGGAACGGAAAATCATCAAAAATGTTGTTACAGAAGGGGAACGGTTATGGACAGGGAAAGCATTCAAACAGATGAAAAAGCGTCGCCGTTTGACTTACAAACACAGCTTGCACAGTACTAATCGAAGGTACGACCGAGGACGATCGAACGGACGAGCGTCAAAACGAACAGTCAGCGGCGATAGCTTTTACCGAGCTGTCCAAAAAAGCGGTCTCCTGTAGCTCTTTCAACAGGTTTTTTTGGAGAGAGGTGTGGACAGAGCAGCAACGGTGTGAAGGCCGAAGGAATCCTCAATTGCTAGCTATCGCACAAGGCTGTTGCCGCGAAGCTGTGAGGGCGTGGACTGGGTGAACTGAGGATTGACGTTCGAGAAGATGAGGAGACAATGGAGTGGATGGAAATGCATCGTCGGAGAAGCGAGATTGGCGCTGATGTTGGTGGTATTGTCACAAAGCACAGCGACATGTCGATACCGCGGTACAATACACGATATGCAACGCGGCCAATAAAACGCGGCAGCATGGTGCAACGATCCACTGTTACTGGTATTTCGGGACCCACTTCCAGATTATCACACGCTAAAGCTGGGGCTTGACTAAAATGGCAGCGACGGCGTTCTGCATGGGAGTCTCCTCCAATCACGCTCGTCGGGCGGCTTCAGGACTGCTGGAGAAAAAAAGGGGTTTGGACCCAGCACGACCGCGCGGGTTTCCACTTGTATCAATGGCACCAATCACAACTGCATCCCGCGCCAAGAGCTTCCCCGCCAGTCATGATCGATACACATTCAGCAGAGAAAATCATCACAATTTGAATTAATAATACGTTTGTGACAAAACACCCGTGCCTGAAATACGGCGTATCGAGTACGGGACTCAAGAGCTACCAGAACAACGGAAGAGTCCAGAGTCAAGAGGCGTCAACCACCGTCCAGAATCATCGATATCGCAGACAGACTGCTCCAACTGCCCCTTGACCCGCAGAATGGCCACTCGTGTCAATGAAGTATCGCTGCGTGGACAAGTGAGTCTCGAAGGCACTTGGAAGATCGACTTTGTTGGAGTCCATCTCCATCTGAACCTTGAGCATTATTTATAACTCCCCTGTTTCGGTCTATCTCAGAGTTTAATCGCGGCTGTGGTCTCTTTGCAGGGCTAGTTGATCCAGATGAAAAGAAGTGAATGGCAATCTATCAATCCCAACGTCTCCACGGGTATTGTGTCATGCCAATCGAGTTACTATGAAAGAGAAACGACGCACATATTCGAAGCCGCTTTCTTTTTATTTGCATGAGGTCCCACGGAAGTATGGGGGACTTGTCACTTCGCACGTACATATTCCCTTGGAATTCCCATGGCACCTTGCCTGTCTCGTCCGACAACCGCGGATCGTCTACACATCCGGTTTAGTGTCTCACACCTCCCTTGAACTGACAAGTCAGCTCACGGCGCATCAATGGCTGTTGAAAGGCTGTCCGGCAATCCTCTTCCATACAAACCACTTTCTGACACGATCATTCGTTTCCCACCCATGATGAGAAGACTCCCAAGACTTTTGAAGGGCTCCCGGGGTCCGAGGTGCATTAACATGTCGATCATTTCTTTCGCTCTGATTGTCGACATCTCTTGCGCTTGGCACGATGTCCTGGAATATACAGAGTCGTTATGAGCTTCTTGAACTGGTGGACCTTAACTTGACTCCATCGTGGGCAAGGCTGAGACCTTCACGCATTCTAATATGTTCTTTCACCAAGTATGGCAACCCACGCATCCAAAGCATGCAATGGGTTGATGCAAGTCTGAAGTTGGTTACACAACTCCCGAGATTGGCTCAGGAAGGCTTCTGCAGTCCAACCGACCGGACATGCCAGGTGCTTCGGAAGCGACGGTCAGCATTGCAGCAAGAGTAACATGACCATGATCCATCACGTCCAACCTTCAAAATGGGCAAATCGGGGTGTTCCAGGAATTTTCGAGAACTTTATTGAACCAGTATCCAAGAATGCATGAAATCAACATGAAACAAGTGTTACAAGGATCCCGACGAGGTTGGGTGCCAGCTGGTATGACCGGCCTTCCAGTACCACATTTGTTGGCGATTAATAAAGACACTTCCCAATAATGATTTTCTCAAAGCAGTTGGAAGGAGTTGTGTGAAATTCGGCATGTTCGAAGCTCGGATGAATTATGAAAATTGATACGGATACACAGGGCTTCGTGGTCTAAACTATGGAGTGTAAGCTAATGAGGCCTCTTTCCTCCATAGCTTAAGGCTAGAGTTCCCACACGAGCATAAAAAGTATGCAGTTGTTGAGCCGTTCTCAAGGGACATCATGCATGTCTGTCTCCTGGAGCACTTGAATAAATTCGCTTCTTGCAAATCTAGTGTTCGTGGAGAGGAAACTCCCGCTCAGCATTGGCACCCTCTTAGCCGTACGGAGCAGGATACCCTGCCTGTTTGTAGGAAAATTAACTGATATCCAAGTAACGATGAATACTCATACACCCCAGGCCTCCATCACAGGCAATCGACGAAGACCACGTGTGTTAAGGCAGCGCGTTGGGCAACAGTCTCCAAAGTACAACTCCCAAAACTCAACAAACTGGGCCATATCGCCCACACCTCAACTGTAGCTTTCCGGGAGATCGAGATCCCTATAAATCCAATCCCATCCTGCGAGGAATAAAGATATCCGCGAAGGATTCCTGAGCGTTCCATAAATAGCCAGAAGGTTTTCCCATCAGCGGCTCTGGACCCCTGACTCCCTGAACTCTCTTGTTCATTGGTTGCTTCCGTAACGGAACCCTAAATCGGCCTTGTTGACATCGATCCCGAGAATGTGCGCGGGAAACAATGACCGTTTGGATTGAAGTACGGAGCCATCTCTCTGCTTTTTTCATCGTCAATAATCAACCCAGGCTTTGACTGCAAGGGCACACGTTGGAATGTGCTCAGCGCCAGCTTTTTGGTTTCATATCACCGCGTCGCTTAGTTACTTACGTGCATTTGGTTTGGGCAGAGGAGTTTTCGTCGCCAGTTGCGCTGGCCAGGCGCAGCCATGTTGACCGTGGAGAAACAATGGATTAATGTGCAGCAAAAGACGTTTACGAAATGGTTAGTCCCCTTTTCGATGCAGCCCACAGTCTTGCTGGCTTGCTAATGGCCACCGTTGCTAGGCTCAATAACAAGCTAAAGATCCGCGACATCGCCATCGATGACCTCGTGATAGACCTTTCCGATGGGGTAAGTACTGGCTCATACACTCTGGAGATTTGTTAATTGATGTTTGCCCATTATTTAGGTTATCCTGATCCACATCCTCGAGATCCTGGGAAACGAATCCTTGGGACGGTATGCCTCGAAACCCCGACTCCGCGTCCAGAAGTTTGAAAACGTCAACAAATGTCTTGACTACATCAAAGGACGGGGGATACAGATGACAAATATTGGCGCAGAAGATATTGTAGATGGAAATCGGAAAATTATACTGGGGTTAATATGGACTCTGATCTTGCGGTTCACGATTAGTGACATCAACGAGGAGGGTATGACGGCGAAAGAAGGTCTACTGTTGTGGTGTCAAAGGAAGACCGCTTGCTATCCAGGGGTAGAAGTGAGGGATTTCTCTGCAAGTTGGAACGATGGACTGGCCTTCTGCGCCCTGTTGGATATTCACCGGCCCGATCTTATCGATTTTGATGCTTTGGACAAGAATGATCACAAAGGCAATATGAAATTGGCATTCGAGATTGCAAGCAATGAAATTGGGATACCTGATCTTCTTGACGTGGAGGATGTATGCGATGTTGCTAAACCAGATGAGCGTTCGCTGATGACATATATCGCATATTGGTTTCACGCCTTTTCACAGCTTGAAAGAGTCGAAAATGCTGGCCGGCGAGTTGAAAAGTTCGTTCTCAATATGCAAGGAGCTTGGGAAATGCAAAACTCGTTTGAGCGCCGGATGAGAGAGCATCGTCGTAACATCAGGGACCAGCGATTGCAGTGGGCGAATCGTCCTTTGCTGGAACGTACGCCGATGCGAAGGAGCAAGCGAATGAATTTACTGCTTATAAGAAGAATCAGAAGCGCAAATGGGTAGCGGAAAAATCTGACCTTGCCGCCTTACTCGGAAACATCAAAACCAAGCTCAGCACATACCGGTTAAAGCCGTATGAGCCTCCTCCAGAATTGAGCCTTGAGGTATTGGATCAAGAATGGGCAAGCCTAACGCAGGATGAACATCAGAGAAGTCAGCTAATCAACGAAACTATTCGTGATATCAAAAACGCCCTTCGAAAATCCTTCGCCGACAAGGCTAACGATTTTGCTTTAACCCTTAACACATTATCCTTGGCAATCTCAGGCCTCGAAGGAGATGTTGAGGACCAACTGTCTCACGTGCAGCGCCTCAATGATAATCTTCCGCCCCTAGATGCCTTTCTTGAAACCATTGCAGACCTTGATGATCAATGCGTTGAAGCTAACATTGAAGAAAACGACTTCACTACTTACACCTTTGAGGAACTTTCTTACGAGCTGGGTCTTGTAAGGTCAAGCGTATCCAAAAAGCTCGCATTTTTGGAGAATCAGATGGTAGCACGCAATATGACCAACCTAACGCCAATACAGCTCGAAGAATTTGAGTCTGTTTTTAGGCACTTCGATCGGGACTCGTCCAACACACTGCATGAAATTGAATTTTCCGCTGCATTGGCAAGCCTGGGATTGGTTTATGATGAGAATGAAATGCATGAAGTGTTTGTCGAGGTTTGTGGTCCTGGGCGTATGGAAAGAAACGCAGGAGTCAGTTTTGAGCAGTTTATCCGGTTTATGGTCAGCGTAACGGAAGACCAAAACACTGCTGAGCAGGTCTTCCAGAGCTTCCGGGAGGTGGCCGACGGCAAGGTGGGTAGAATTCTCCTTGCTTTTGCTCCTCTTGCTATTCTTGCTAACATTTCATCCCCGAAAAGCCATACGTCACGGAGCTTGATCTTAGGCATTCACTTATTCCCGAGGACCTCATTGAAAACTTGCTACAGACTATGCCCAAACACGAAGGACCCGACCTTCTTGAGGATCGAGATCTACCCAAATATGATTATATCACATTCATGGAACACATGACGAACAATAGTAGTCCGGAGAATGAAGGAGGTGGAAGCAGCAAATCAAATCCCATAAACGGTGCGAATTGATGGCACATGCAGGGAGCAAGTGTGGTCTGTATAGATAGACTCTTCTTCCTTTTTGAGTGGCAAGAACGGGCGGTTGATTTTCATGCAGCGTAGTCCAGCTTTGCTCCTTATGCATTTTTTAATCCTGTATACTGAATGTCCTACTTAATAAACAATTTGACCTACCAGTAGAAATACTTTGTGCGCGTCTATTGATAGATTTGATAACATCAAAAAGGCAACCATGGTCAGATTGCTTGGCAATGTCACGGGGATCGATACAAATTCCATCAGCAACCTTTAAGCAAACGTTCTCACCTTGACTTCACTCCAACGCACTATCGCAGAAATAAACACCTCAATTATACTGAATTTTTCAGTAGCTGGTGTGCCTTTTGCCATTAAGCGATTACGCCTCCCTCGAGTCCAGGAACCTCGATCTACGAAACCTCAAAAATGGACCGGACTTTAGATGAGATCATAGCTGAAAGGCCGGTGAGTCTCGCATCGCCCCCCAGAACACGGATGGTTATCGGACGCGACATTTCGAAAACTAAACAGCTGTGTAGAGATCTTCAAACCGTGGACGTGCCCGGCAACCCGCAGTACGCTCCCGTCGGGGTAATTTCAACCGCGACGAAGCTCGAGTTCATAAGGTGCGGCGAACCCAAGCTGCACTAATTCCCGTAAAACTTATTTCGGCGCGGCTGACCAACTCTTTGTCGTGTCTGTGTTCAGGTCTTCCTCCTCTTCCTCTCGCTTCCTCCAGACGTATCGTGATAGAGGCAACCGTTCGAGCCATAGCGGCCTTCCTTTTCTTGGGAAAGGGAGGGGCTTCATGGGCGCGAGTTGCCTTTCTTTTTCAGCAAAATATAGTAGCAGATCTAATTTTGACACGTCGGCTAACCTTGTCCTTCTTCTTCTGATTGAACAACAGTCCTTTAGAAATGATCGTGCAGATGTAGAACTGTGAGTGGAACCACTACCGTTTGACTTGGCTAATAGTGTGGCGGAATGCTGATTTCATGGTTGATATCTCTGATAGTGACTGGGTCCATGATAAATTCGAAGACGATAGAGACAGTGGGTTATTGATTTTTCTTCACCTACAGTGATCTCAACGTGCCTTACGTGTCAATCCAGCGCGTCCTGCTTCCTTCCGTGGGTCTAATTCCCGTCGCAACGGCCGCCTTTCCCCGCCTCCTGAACAGTATGCTATCCGCCGCTTTGTATAATAATTGGATGCTAACATAGGCTTTAGATCAACTAGTGGAGCGAAACTTCGTGTAAACAACCTGCACTATGATATCACTGAGAATGACTTGGAGGTAATTGCTCCCTATCCATTTGTTTTAAATAGATGCTTCAAGGGAGATGGGGTCACTAACACATGTTAAAGGACCTCTTTACTCGCATTGGACCAATTCTCTCCCGATCCATTCTTTACGACCGTGCCGGACGTTCTGAAGGCATCGCATTCGTCACATATAAGCGTCTCGTTGACGCTCAAACAGCAATCCGAGAATTTGACGGTGCCAACGCCAAAGGGCAGCCAATTCGTTTGACCCTTGTTCAATCCGACAGGAACACAAGACGCAATCCATTCGATTCCGCAGAGAAGCCAAAAGGCAGCTTATTTGATCGAGCAGAACGACCACGAGACACCCGTAGCCTTAGCCCGGAAAATGGTAATGGTTACCGGCGAAGTGACGTTTCCAAACCTCCACCAGAGAATATCGATCGGTATATCCCCGGTCAACGATCCCCAAAGCGGGACGGAAGGAGCCGTGGTTGGAGATCGGTGGAAAGCAGGGGTAGGAATGACAGCCGCAGAGGCAGAAATACGGCCGGGAGACCGAAGAAAACGCAGGAACAGTTAGACCAGGAAATGGATGATTATTGGGGGCATACTGGTACGCCCGGCGTTACTGAAACCGGGGCTGTACAGGACAGTAAGCCCGCCGAATCGGGTGCGCCAGCATTGGATGACGACATCGATATGATTGAGTGAAATATTGTTCTTTACCTTGGCCAAATCGGTGCTTCGGTTATTATCTGTCGCCTGCGGGCTTACAAAAACTAGCTGTCTGTGACTTTTCTCTGGCGTTTGAATTAGCAATATCTCTTTCATTTGCAGGCATTACTGAGCTGGTTGGAGGAGCAGAAAAGGAAAACCACTCATCTCTAACTTGGGGGCAGTATGGTTAACCCAAAAACCACGCTCGAGATATGAAGGTTAATAATAATTTCCAACTTGAGCAAACCACCGTTCAGATCTTGCATTGAAAACCACAGGGTACATGCGAATGCTAGTGCCATTCATAACTATTGCAAGCGTATACAGGGTATACCTTCTGTCTCTCTCTAGGCATAATCACCCGTGTCTCATAAGTATCTTTTTAACACTATGTATGAGAAAAAAGTAAGATCAAACAGCCAATCTGCATAATGCTAACGCCTCGCTGTAATTTTCCCACCCCAAACACGCACAATGTTTTTGGCAAGAAAATATAGTAAGAAGAACAGGACATGTGCAGGAGAATGGCATGGGTACAAAAGGGCGGAATTATCTCCAGAGGCCGTAAGACTCTTTACATGCTTTCCATAGTTTGATAGTCCCATCTTCGCTTCCTGTGCCATAGAGCTTTCCATCGGGCGAGTAGCTTACCGACCAGATCGGGCCGTGATGGCCTTTTTGGACTTCTACAAAAGATATGGTTAGTGAATGAATTCTAAAACATATGGTACGAGTCCGTACCGAGCTCCTCATCCGTGTTGAGGTCGTACACCCGTGCCCAAGTGTCGCCGGTGGCACCGGTGACAAACCTGCTAGCTTGGTTGTTTACGGCAACACTGGCAAGCTCATAATTAAACTCCACTTTCTTGAGTAGGCGGCCTGGAGCAGCGCCGTCGAAAAAGTAGGCGGATTTTCCAGCAGCGATGCTCAAAATACCTGGGTCGTTGTTTACTGTTGAAAGTGTATTCAACTCGCAGCTGCCAATCAGCCCGTCGACAGTGTATTCCATACAAGGATTTTGAGAGCGCAGGTCCCACCATCTAATCTTCCGATCGTCGCAAGCCGTGGTGATGATATTGTAGTCTTGATTCCAAATGATAGACTTGACAGTGCCTTCATGGACACCGGGTCCAATCTCAAAACTTGTCGAGTTAAAAGAATTTGTGTTGGAACCGCTGCCATTTAGGGCAGGAGAACTACTGTTAGTCGACGTAGGAGATGAGCTACTGCCCTCGCTCCGAGACAGATCGAAAATCCGCAACCTTTTCTCCATACCGCCGGTCGCAAGAACTTGGGGGTTGTCCTGCATAGGAAAGGCGACAGAGCGGACTATGTGCGCATGTTGCAATGTATATAGACACTGGCCGGTATGGGTATCCCAAACTTTTCTGTAGCGAATGATAAGCCGGCAACGAAATTAGACAGGATTGCAACTATGCACATACGCAGAAAAGTCCGCAGCGGCAGTGGCAGCAATTTTGGCGTCTGTTGAAAGCCGGGCTTGCCAAACAGCACCCTTGTGGCCCAGGAAAGTGCCAATCCTTGAGAAAAGTGAGCAAGCGGGCAAGCAAAACCGAAAGTAAAGTAACCAACCAGTCACCAGTCATCCCGTCGCGTAGCATAGGATTGTTATCTGTTCAAGTTAGCAGGGAGCTTGTGTCTCCTAAAGGCAGGGCCTGAAGCACCTTTGCAAGCAGAAATGAGATAATACTGGTCATCTTCCACGATAGGAGAAAAGCTGATATGTGGCACAGGTCTTGAATGTCCATGGCAGGTCAGCGGGACAACCTTTGAGGAATCTGAGAAGCAACGAAAGCGTCAGCTCTCGGTGCAGATTTCAAGCCACCAATTTCCGTATGGCCCAACGACACCCAACCGGCAAGCCCACTATAGTTACTGTGAACTTACCCGAAGCCATATTCCTAAATCAAGCTGAGACCAATTTAAAGAGAGAAGAAGAAAAGGGCGAAAAAAAAAAAGGAAAGGAAAGGAAAGGAAAGGGAAAAAAGAGCTTCCAGGGTTGGAAGGGTTAGAAAAAGGGTATCTGGATTCCCAGCCCAGGAAGAATTCAAAAGAAAATGGAATAAAAAAAGGTATACAAGCAGGATGTTTCCGCGTATATTGTACTCTAGCTGCCAGCCAAGGGGAATATAAATGGCCCGAAAGTCGTTCAGCGTTGGTTTATCGTGATCGTGATATGCAGGGCAGATGACAGCAGTTTCTTGTCAGATAAGATTCCGAAAATAAGGCAGATGCAGTGATCGGACAAGTGAAGAAGCAGTCAAAAAGAAGAAAAGACAACAGAAGGTGAAAGAATACGGGGAAGTCCGTCAAGTGCCAGCATCCATTTGAATTTCCAAAGCGGTGGTGCTGCTGGTTCTTGTAGATGCGATTTCTTAGGCACTTTTGGTTGCCAGCTGCCCAGCCAGGTCCAGCTCACTAAGCAGCCGCACTAGTCCCAGTCAAGCAAAGCGTTGGGCGCACGCCAACAGCATCGCTGGCTATGGCACAGGCAGACAGCCCGGCCATGGCATCAAGCCGTGGAAGCCTTTGGACGAAGCTATCAAGGCAACCTGATTACCAGGCTGAACCTGCCTCAACGTTATGCCAATGCCCTTTCACATCCCTTCCTAGCAATTATGCTATTAAGCCGCTTGATACCCTATCCGGTCGCCTTCATCCAGAGCCAAAATGTTTGATAGCTGGGGATTTCTACGGGGTTTGCAGGGCCAGTGTATTGATATCTGCAAACATTTTACATCAGAGCCCGTTGCATTTGCTTCAACTCGCACCGAACCTGTCAGACCATCTGGCCTTTCAAATCCTGGCCGAAAGAAAAACAGCGTCGAGTTCTCTTTCGTCTCCTGGCCCTCTTCCGCATACAGAAACAAAACAGGGAAAAGACACAAAATTAATTCTGAGATACGATAAAAAACAAAAAACTTAAAAATAAACTGATTCGGCCGTGTACCTTCTTCCGGCAAAGTCCATTTCCATGGTGGTTATTAACCACTAACCCTAACATGGGAGAGAAGAGAGTGGGCGAAATGCACGAGACAAAGGGCAATAGGCATCGCTAAAAGCACTGAAAAGGGCCTGTTTGATATTTTCCCCCAATGCGCTGAGACTGGGAGGGACAGTAGGGTCAGATGGTTTCCCCTTGGCTCCCATTCAAGATACCAGACACGGTACCAATTCTTGAGCCACAATGCGCATGCCTCCGCTGCACCAACCACAGTTGGGCAAGGCTGGGTGCAGCACCTACACCACTAGTTGCAATAACATGTGTTTAATCTACTAACTTATTGTGTGAGGCCCTTTCATTCTGTCTTGCACCACCGCCATGACCCAATTCTACATACCTTCCACATACGCGAACATCATACAATTGTTAATCATACCTCGGCTGCATCACGCTCGCTTTGATATTCTCAAAACTCTTGAGCTGATTTCTTCAGTTCCATTCCTACCTTGTAGTTTCCTGCTTCCTACATCTGTGAGTTTTCCGACTTCTGGTATTTTTATTCTTGTCTTTCTCCCACAACTCCCATTGCTAGTGTAGTGTCCTTCTAACACTTGATCTCTCGAAATTGGCTGTCCCAAGCTCCTTTGAAATAGCTCAGGGCTTTTAGTGTAGTAGCAGGCCCTTGAGCAAGCCAGGCCAAATAAGTGAAAAAGATGAGATATTACATGACTGTGCCCTACTGAGATGTTTACTATTAGTGTGGGGGAAATAGTCAATATTATCCAAAAATTGGTCAAACAAATGGCTTCATGCATCAACATCAACAATGCTGTTTATACTCATGGCTCTGATAGATGAAAGGCACCTTATCAGAAAGGCTGCTTGCTTTTGTAGGGAACTGGCGCATAGGACACGAGTACGCACCAATTCCAGGAAACAGTGACTGCGGGTTCCAAGAAAATACCATTTCAATGCTAGGTAATATAGGCTGGCCTGGTGACAGTGTCGAATATGCTCTATCAAATAATTTCCATTTAGAAGAGATACCTTGTGGTTGCAAAGTGATGACTCTTTGGATCTGTGAGGACCCCTCACCTTATGTAACTAACTAGTCAACTATGAGCTTCCAACGAATTCGCATGCATTGTTGTGTTCAACTTCCCCATACCAAACCACTATCTTTTCTCACTCTCTCAAGCTCGCTGCTAGACAGTTGCGTACCACTTGGGATCGCGCCATATAACCAAGAGATCTTGTTGTATGCCTGACTTCAGGATTGCCGCCGCTCTGGAAGGCCATAGCGATGATGTAAGAGCCAAACACCAGTCCAACACTGCGGTGTCAAAAGGTCCTCACGAGATACTGACCACATTATGCAACATAGGTTCGCGCTGTGGCCTTTCCAGATGCCAAAAAGGCTCTGACAGCTTCCAGAGATGCAACCGTTCGTCTCTGGAATCTTGTTTCAACACCACCGCCCACCTTTGACTATACGATTGCTGCCCACGGATCTGCCTTTATCAACTCCCTAGCGTTCTACCCTCCCACTAAAGATTACCCCGAAGGCCTCATATTCTCCGGAGGTCAGGATACCATTATTGAAGCCAGACAGCTTGGTCGACCCGCTGAAGCTGACGCCGAAGCATTGCTTCTCGGACACGCTCATAACGTATGCAGCATCGATGTCTGCCCGGAGGGAGGATGGATTGTAAGCGGGAGCTGGGACTCATCTGCGCGTCTCTGGACAGTTGGAAAATGGGAATGTGATACTGTCCTCGAAGGCCACAATGGCAGCGTGTGGGCTGTTCTAGCATTTGACAAGAATACAATCATCACTGGTGGGTTGGCACACTTCAACTCTGATTTTCAGTGCTTATACCACTATAGGTTGCGCCGACAAAATTATTCGAGTGTTTAATAGGGCAGGGCGACTGCAAGGAAGCATACAAGGCTCTGGAGACGTCATTCGTGCCCTCTGCAAACTCCCTGATAGCCATCCATCCGGTGCACACATAGCATCCGCAGGAAATGACGGTATTATACGATTGTGGGCTATCCATGGACAGCAAGTTGCCCAATTACACGGGCATGAGAGCTTCATATACTCGTTGGCAGTTCTTCCATCGGGAGAGCTAGTCAGCTCGGGTGAAGATCGTACGGTGAGAGTATGGCAAGGAACCCAATGTGTTCAAACAATCACACATCCGGCCATCTCTGTATGGAGTGTCGCCGTCTGTCGGCAGACTGGTGACATCATCACAGGCGCAAGTGATAGAGTAGCACGGGTTTTTAGCCGGGTCCCGGAACGGCAAGGCGATGAATCTATGATTCAGCAGTTCGAAAGCGCAGTCAAGGGATCTTCTATTCCACAAGAGCAAGTCGGAAAAGTAAATAAGGAGCAACTCCCCGGTCCAGATTTTCTGAAGCAGAAGATGGGGACTAGGGAGGGACAAGTACAAATGATCCGAGAGGATGACGGAAGCGTTACTGCACATACTTGGTCTTCTGCAAGACGCGAATGGATTGCTGTTGGAACTGTTGTTGACTCCGTTGGCAGCAGTGGCAGGAAAGTGGAATACCAGGGCCAGGATTATGATTATGTTTTCGATGTCGACATAGAAGATGGGAAACCACCACTCAAACTTCCTTACAACCTATCTCAGAACCCATATGATGCTGCTACGAAGTTCATACACGGTCATCAACTGCCAGTGACCTACTTAGACCAAGTGGCCAACTTTATCATGACCAACACTCAAGGCGCCACGATCGGCTCTTCCACCCAGACTCCTGCGAATACCGGAACTGATTCTCAGCCACCATCTACACCCCCCACATCCCGACCCAAAGTCCTACCCCAAACATCATATCTCTCCATCAAAACGGCGAATTTGAAGGCGATACAGAAGAAAATCGGAGAGCTAAATGCTCAGTTGGTATCTAGTGGATCAAAGGACCTCTCCCTCAGCCCGTCTGATCTGGAAACGGTCGTGAAGCTGTGTGGTCAGTTGGAGCAAAACCCAAACTTGAAAGATTCTTCGATCCTCGAGGCTGCATTGCCCTTGGTTGTTAAGGCTGCTACTGCCTGGCCTTCCACCAGTCGCTTACCAGCACTTGATCTTTTGCGGCTTCTCGCCGCCGCTTCCCCAATGACAGCCACGGAAGGATACAGCGGAGGTAACTTAGTGCAAACCGTGATCTCGAGCGGAATTTTTGACCCTCCTCTAAATTCGAATAATGCCATGTTAGCAGTGCGGATGTTGGCAAACCTCTTTGAAACCGAGGCAGGTCAAGAACTTGTAATATCTGATTTCGAAGAGATAACTTCACGGATCAGCTCGGTCCTTTCAGACCCCGGAGCCAGTGCTAATCGCAACCTTATAATTGCTGTTGCAACGCTGTACATTAATATAGCGGTTTTCCTCAGCGCTGCGGGACGATCGGTGACCTCTGAATCCGCGGAATATGGTCTCATGCTTTTAGACCAGTTGACAAAAATCGTTTCCAAGGAAAAGGATTCTGAAGCTGTTTATCGTGGCCTGGTGGCTCTTGGGACGCTGGTGATTTCATTGGAAAATGAGGTGATGACAGCGGCCAAAGAAATTTATGACATTGAGAAGACTCTGGCTACAGTTTTGAACACTGCTGCTGGAAAGGAGCCACGAGTCAAAGGAGTGGTTGGCGAAATCAAAGATGCTCTGTAATAACACTACCACATGGGTTACTTGTGCCCCTGCCTCAATTGCGAGATGTTTTAGCCAACAGTATTAGATAGAAACAACTGAATAACTATCAAACCAAGCTTGAGTAGAGCATTGACTGTTTCTTGATCCTCTCTATTATCATTCCTTCGAGTACATATTGAAAATTCACAGCTTCTCACTCCCCTCAACGTCAACTTCCATGACCTGATCCACTCCCGGATACTTGGGCACATCCAAGCCATACTTCTCCGCTACCCCCTTCGTCAAAAACCGGCCCCCGATGAAATGCCTCCCTTTGAAGAATTTCACACACGGCTTCGGAGCTGTCAAGCTAACCAGAACTTCTGGCATGAACTTGGCACCTGGACCTTCCTTGGGCGGGCCAGATTCGATGTCCCATGAACTAGGCGCGTCAACAGACACCACTGGTACCTGGGTAGATTCCAGTTGGGAGATTATGGCGGGGTACGGCTCACGCAGTGGCCCGCCGAAAGAGAAGCCGAAGATGGCGTCCACGACCAAGGAGGTCTTGGAGAGCGAAGTGGTAAAGTCGTCGGTGAATGGGACGGAGAGGTTGTGGAGTTGGGTTTTCAAGCGCTGTGGTGCAAAAGTGGTTGGTATAGCTTTTCAGGGGGAGAAGAAAGATGGGACTTGACCTCATAAAGCTCATTTTTTCCGTGTTTTGGATAGTATACTGTTGGATTGTAGCCGTAGTGAGCTAGATGACGGGCGCAGACTAGCCCGTCTCCGCCTGTGGGCCGGTGGAATTCCGCGCAGTTAGTATTTCCGCCGGGCGGGGGCGGGGAAGAGGAGTGTGGCGGAACAGGAGTAGTAACGCACCATTATTTCCCGGGCCACAGACAACGAGCACATCCCTGCCTTTGTTTAATGGGTGGACTTTATAAACTATTTTTATGATTAGACGGTCCACGGTTGAAGGGCATTGTACTAGCGATTAGTTAGTTAAAGCAAATGCTCACCGGCTTGAGACACCGAAAGCCCTGCCAGTTCCATCAATTGATCAATCGAAAAAGCGCCAGAGTCCATCAGGTCTTTATCAAGCGCCGCTGCATTTTGGGCCGTGATTGTCTATGGAGAACGGCGTCATTGGTTAGGTTTGAATCTATAGATTGCGTGGGTAATAGGTAAAATAAGAACTCAAGTAGTCTCATGAGCCTCAACTAACTTTGAGAGCCATTGTTGATAAATATTTGTATTTGTGAATAGAATAGAGCAGTGGGCTCGTTGAATGATTTAGTGTGTTGATGATTCTATACATAGAGATGATGTCAAGCTGGATATCGAATCCAGAAGTTAGCTGGTGAAGAGGATGATGTAACTCAAGACCACAGCTAAGATAACTAGCCAGTTAACTATTAGTTAGCCTTTTTTGGAGGTAACTCGTTCAGAGTAGCCTAGAATGTTGTTGCTCCAAGCACTGTCTCGTTCTACCTGTTTGGATGTACGCAGGTTTTGGGCCCTCATGTAGCTAGCTAGTAGTTATCCACGGCGTCACTGAACAAGGCTGGTTCTGGGCGGCGATGCCACAAAGTACCTGCACCCGAGCGCCCAACACCACCATCTGTATCATATGTAAGGGTTGCCGTTGTCACCGTCCCAAGGATCTAGCACCAGAAACAGGAGCTGACATAATCACAAGTGCTCGGGATATCCGGATGAATAGAATCTCCGCATCCGCTAAAATGTTCAAGCCGGCGAACCAGCTCGTTGTCGACGCTGAGATCAATTCAAGACTTTATGCTTCGCACCGCGGACGTGTCCATTCAGAGCATTAACCATGGTGGTTAGGATTCGTCTGTCCCGTTTCGGGAACCGACATCAACCATTCTATAACATCGTCGTGAATCAAGCACGGTACGTCCCAATGTCAAGCTCGTCTTCCAGCGATATATGCAATTGCTCCTTGCGTTGAATCCTCGCTGATTTAAGATCATTGCTGACTGCGCGCTTCCTTTTTTTCTTTCTCCTTTTCTAGAACTGCTCGCGACTCAAAACCTCTCGAGGTCATTGGAACCTACAACCCTATCCCTCAAAAGCCCGTCGGTTTGTCAGACGAAGAAGCCAAAAGTGCCCGCGCGTACAAAGATATTGCTCTTGACCGAGCGCGAGCGAAGTACTGGCTTGGTGTAGGTGCGCAGCCGAGTGACCCTGTGTGGAGAATATTTAGCTTGGTGCGTTTTCTTCCTGTTTCGTGTCCTCCCCAACACGGGAGTTGCGAGAAATCCGCTTTTCCCCAACCAAGAACAAGGAAAAATTAGTTTGTTAACAGAGTGTTTTCTTGCGCAAATAGATTGGGTTGGTGGAACCCAAGCCAAACCGAAAACGCCCTGAGCCACCGGAAGTTGTGAAGAATGCTTCATGATTATACGATATAGTTGCCCTGTCAATCAAGGCAAGATCCTACGGTAGAAAGATATGGGCTCCATTGGCTCAAACGGCCTCTATTCGCCTAATTATTCTTGTTGGATACCCGGAAATCCGTTTTACAAATATCGGGACTGCTATCAGCAGCCATTACTCGCTGGAGTTGCAGATGTGGAGTTAAGAATCTCGCTTCGCCGTCATTGACAGACTTTTTAGACAAAAGAGTATTGGCATGAAGCGGAGGCCGTTTATTTCAGTATTTATAAATTATGTGAGGCGTTTAAGGGGAACTTATCATTTGTGTGATGTTGACATTGTAAAATAGACACGAGAACGTCAACTTCTTGCTATTCAGGAGTTTTTCATTATTTTTTCTCCTTTCAAATTAGCAAAATGCTTGTACAAAAGAAAATGAATCGTATGTATCATACGGCGAGTGCCCGCAAAACATAACCAATTATGACTAGCCATTCATGTATTCGGGATAAAACAATATTTACTGAACTGGTTCGGTGGGAAAAAGGCCCAAACCTAATTAGGATCTGTAGAAGAATATGAGGTATCAATAGAAGGAAAATGGTTTGAAGCACGGAAGGTTCTCCGAAGAGTTGGAATCAGAAAGCATCAAGATGCTACGAAAGGTATCACAAAAGGTATGAAGGAGAATAAGTGTCGCCACAGTTCGGCGGTATTAGTAGGGAGGGATGGGCTCAAACGAAATCCCTTTATGCTGGTGGGTAGGAGCCATTATTGCTAAACGAAAACATGTTAGAATAATAAGCCGATAGGTGAGCAAGAGACGACTTACGGGTTATAGAAGGTCTGTTGCTGATTCATCGGAAGGGGAGAAACGGTAGCCAACGCAATGCCCTCTTTGTTTTGTAGTAGAGGAGAGTCCAGGTTGGTTCTCGAACCGTTTGGATAGTGTACCCCCATTCCGGGATCCGACGCATGGGGAACAGAGCCTGTGAGCGAAGCTTTTCTCGAGCCCACGGAGGCGTCCCACACCTTTGTAGGAGCTTGCGGGTCCACTTGACCTGGGTATAGGAAAGATCCCAGAACTCGGCCAGTTGCAGTGTGGTTGAGGTACCTCTTTACAACAGAGGGTCTGGCGCGGCCACAGAGGCAGAGTACACAAGTGGAAGCGGCCAAGGCAGTGGCAAGGGCGAGGGCGACAAAAGCTGGAATACCATACGCAATACGATATTGCACTCGGTGACGATACAAATCCACAGGCACCTGGACAGTCTGCCCTTCACGAGGCCGATCACTGTCTGCACGTTTGCCTAAAGTGGACCCGCTTTCTCGGTTCGTCCAGCCCTTTGTCCCCAGAACAGCGTTGGCGGCAATGTCAGTCCATATCTGATTGATGATAGACGCCGTACTGTTCGCACGTTTTGGATAATTCTTGCCATCTTGCGAACATGGGCAAGGTTGGATCTGCCAGTATAATCCGGGAGTGTGTTAAGGGGCGGATCTTCGCTCATTGTGTATACCGACCCCATTATATCCATATGGAAACTAACACCGGGCAAATTCATCCATGACCTAGTCGGGGTGTTGACCGATCCGGTATACCCAGGAAGCCAGAGTTCTTCATTTTGGATAACGGAAACATCGTCGCGGTTTTTGTAACGATCCGAAACTAATCCCCACAGGGCACTGGTGCCACCAATCGTCAGGTTCGTACGCTCGACTCCCCACAAAGGTTTGTCGCTATTTTGTTTGTAAATCTTGTCCCGAATATCAAGAACAGAGAGACTTCTCAAGCCATCTGTGCCATTATACCGGAAATCAACGGTCTTCACTACGGCTCTTGTAGAAGAGGCACAGCTGTAGAGTGGCATAGTCCATCGCGATTTTGGCACAGCCACAAGTGAGGCCTTCCCATCAGCGGGTCGGGCAGCACCAAGGAACAATCCGCAACCGACTCCCACTCTATCGATATCGGCGATATCTGCATCGCCGGCGCCTTGGCAAATGGTCCCTAAACGGCGAAACTTAGCGTTAGTTCAAAGAAATTTGATTCTTGCTCATTTTGTTTGTGGATTGGGAAAATCTTACTGATGGAAGTGAAATTCCTGCCCGTGACTTTGTACGGATTCGGGTACTCGAAGTCAGAGGTAGTCAAATTACTGCCGGGACTATATGGCACACCGTGCCATATTTTCCAATCTATTTTCGCCCCCACCTGGGAAGGTTGAAGATCAGGGAAAAAGACGTCCACAGGGAAAGCCTTTCCTTGGTTGGAGTTCATATAGGACCAGGGTTCCATCGTTGGTGTTCGCGGATTTGAGACATTCAAAAGCAGCATAGTATATGCATTAAAAAGATAAGCGGCCTTGTATGCTCTGCTGTAGAGGTCGGGGTTTTTTGCAGGTTCTTTCAGGTCAAATTGAGGATAGGTGGTGTTGAGCTTATGAAAGCCCCCCAGATCTACCAGCTTGATATCGCCCATAGTGCCGTTGCTGCTAGAGTCCGGAATAGTGAAGTCAACCGTAATATTGGTATCAACGCACTGCGTAGAAGGTTCGATAAAAAGTAAATCTTCGGACCATAATCCACCGTACTTGAGGGGCGCGGGCGTTGTATGATTTCGGAAGCCGATGCCTCCATTCTTATTATCCACGATCAATCCTTCAACGGCGTGGTAACCATCTTTGAGGAGTAAGCTATCCATTTGCCTATATGATCCCACCAGAAATTGGGACCCATTGTTGTAGTCCTCATCGAAGTTGATGCCATATGATCTCCATTGAATGTCAAAGAGGCTCGACATAGTTGGAGGCATGAACTCGAGGCCGCTTTCAAACATTTCCGTCAAATTGCTCGGGATCTTAATATCATAAGAGTTGGGCAACTCGACCGTAATATTACTTTCCGTTTGTGACCTATTGATAACAGTCTGCGAGCCTGGGCAAACAACAGGCAAAGGAGAACCACATTGCCGGTTAAAACCTAGATTTGAACGGGGTGGAGTTCCAATCCCAAACGGCGAAGGATCTTTTCGGTATTGGAATGGCTGGGGGACGTTGGCTGTCCCAGGCACAACCGCGTCGTATAAACCAAGGGGAGTAACAATAGCGGCGATAGCAATGGTAAGCTTTATTAAGGGGCGTATGATTGCCTCCATCCGTACGGCGCGACTGACTGCGCGAGTCGTAGCAGAGTCCGCACCGAGAAGCCATGTCCAGTGCGAGGAATGTAACGCCCTCCCGATTTGAGTCCTGATTATAGTCAGCGGTTTGCATCAGTGCTAGACTGGTATGCTGTGTTTACCAAGATGCCAGAGAGTTATTTTCTCCGAGAAGGCCAGCTAAAATGAGTGTAGAGGCGGTTGGGACAAAGAATTGAACTGGGGCTCAATTAGTATGGGACATGCAGTGAAAAGAGGGCGATTCGATCACTCACGCACAAAGACTCCGGCGGCGATGATACCGGAGACATGACCAACTGTAAGCTCAATCATCTTCAATGGCAGTTAAATTTGCTAAATGATAACGAGAGTAGGGAGTCACTCAAAGTGACTCTGGAAACAACCCGATGCGTACTGGACGTTAGAATGTCCAAGCATCCCGCTAGAGGTTGAAGGAGAGGGGACGAGAATGAGACGATGGGTGGCTGATTATTATTTATTCTCGTCCCAAAATCGTCAATAACGGGGAACTATGAGGCTTGAGGCTCACCACGCTTAATTCTCAAAGAGTGGAGTGGCCTTCCAAATCATCGGTCCCAAGAAATTTCAAGCCTCGTATTCCTTTGCATTGGGCGGCAGAAAACTGAACTTTAGTACAGATTGGGCCAAGTTGGAGGGCACATTTTCACTTTTTTGGGCTCACGCAACGGATATCATCGTCAAGGATGTGATTATTTTCCTCAATCCAGGGCTCAAACGGTCAGTTGAAGCCTCAAAGGCGCGCCGATCTCCAGATAGTCTCGAACATCAAAGATCAAAATAGCCAATCTCGAAGTTCTCTGTGAAACAGCGATGTAAGCAATCTTCGGCTTTTTCACATGGTCAAACAGAACAAGCGCGAAAATGGGCATTTTCCTTTCCCCATGGCAGTGGTGTGAGAAACTGTCATCCCATATGTTCATCTGCCCCGATTCACCACTCATACCATTTGTAGAGGGCCTCGTATTGTTGTCTCAACATGCCTTTTGATCTTGAAGAATTTGAAAACCCTGAGCTATTTTCAGAGCATTAAAACAGGCCCGTGTCCCAGGATCCTTGTCAGCGCATTTCAAGCTTATCCTGGCCCAGCTGAGATGGACACGATGAGAACCCAATCGGGGCACCGCTCGATTGGCTCTCTCGCACGTTTGCTCCGTTAGTGGCATGGCAGCAGAAGTCAATTCGTGGATCGGGCCAAGCCTCACGAGAACAACAGCCACAGGCAAGTCAGGTCGACACGGGCATCGTCCGCGCCGGTGAGAAATGAGGTTTCGAGATGATGTGCAGAGGGAAAAAGGGGTGCGGTTGACGTGCCGTTGCTGGTGGACGGAGGCAGATGACTAATGACCGCAGCCTGGGCTAGGGGCTTGGCGCTGGGCAATTCACGCAGCTCCGCGCCAATCAGCGCGCGAGAGGAAATTCAGTCAGCACAAAGGGCGTGGGGTGGGGTGATCTGGCTGATGCCCAGGACTTAAGGGTCCAGACAGCCCTTTGTGCGGACGGCTCGAGGCAGAAAATGGCAGCCAAATTGACCGAAACCCCCACCAGCAAGAAGCACCAAGAAGCACATCACAGCTGAACCCTCAGCTTCTTTGAACCCGTCTATCATGCAAGATCTTGTCCGTCTTCCTGCAGGCTACCGCCTCGTCGAAGGTACCCCTGATGCCGTCGCATACTGTCATCTCCGCGCCGCCAGCGGTCTCACGCCGAAAACTGAAGAACAGGGGCGGCTCGCGCTCGCGGGTACTTGGTACATGTGCTATGTCACCTACACGCCGCCCGACGATGGGAACAAGGAGCAGTCGGCGGAGGTAGTCGGAATGGGACGTATTATTGGTGACGGAGGATGGTATTTTCTCATCGCGGACATTGCTGTTCTCCCAGAACATCAGCGACGAGGACTCGGCGATGCCATCATGACAACGATTCTGTCACACCTTCGATCTCGCGCTTCTCCAGGGGCTTGGATTACCCTCATGGCTGATCCGCCGGGGAGACGGCTCTATCAACGCCATGGGTTTACAGAGACGGCACCAGCTTCGATCGGCATGGCAATTTTTGCTTTAATGAGGCGCGCTCTGAACCCAGGACAAGCGCTTGGGCCTGTTATGGGAAATATATATTCCCGAGTTTTAGATCCCAGGAGTATTGCTGCGATTTGACAATCATCGACTCGATTAGCCACCATCAGTGAAATTTCCATCCCGGTAACCGCAATCCGTCTCTGGGGCATATTGTGACATAAAAGTGAATTTCGCCGATATACAGAGCACAGTACATACACACACAATAGAATTAGAAACCAATTGTTCTGCTCACAATTAACAATCACTCCCCATGCTGATACCATGCCTTTTGTTTTTCTTTCCAGGAGAGTGTTTCAGGCATGATGGGAACGGACATTCAACGCGGTAAGCGTTTCACCCCAGGCAGGGAAGGTCAAATCTCCCCTGCGCCTCTTCCAGTGACTGGAGCTCCCCCAAGTGGGAGGTAGCTCCGTTATCAAATGTCATTTGGACGGAAACCAAAAGATCAGTCTCTTAACGACATTGTGTCGGATACTAGAAATAGGTATCATGCCTAACTTCATCATAGTGGCAGGGCATAATTGTCAAGCCTTGTCAGAAAGGCATTGCTGATGGGCATTGCTGATGGGCATGTTTCCCATTTGATAATCGAGGGCATCTAGAGAGACAATGTTTCTTCGTTCGGTTGATTACCAGCATGGAATAAGAAACCTGTGCGTTCGCTGCCCTTAATATACTCTGTAAAGGAGGACTGCCTGTGGTTTCTGAAAGGCTAACTCTCGAAGAATTTGCATTTTGCCTTGAATCGTTGCAGTACTCAGTCGGCTGAATGCATTGTTTGAGGTATTGGTTTCCAACGGAAGCTATACATTAAACTACGTGCATCTTCATGGTATTTCCAGCCAATGAGAAAAGTACGGCAAACTTGCATCAGTTTCAATCTCGAATTTCATTCGAGATCTATCGAAATCCTGGTTTTCCCTCGGGGTTTTATCCTCAATCTCTGGTTCCACGAGAAAAGCTTCGAGGAAATTGCTCACAAACTTGGGCGTCTATTGCTATCCACACTGATGAATACCACATCAAGAATGAGGACCAGCATTTTGACACTGACATGGAATATTGGGTATAAAGTGGTATGCAGCTTCCAATTCACTGTTGAAAGCAGGTTGAGTTTCCATCGTTGCAGACTGGGATTAGTTAGCCGAAAGATCTTGTATTCGGAAGACAAACTCCAACTTTGTAGCTCAGGTCAAGTCAAAATGGAGTTTCCGTTGACGGTTAATAACTTAAAACAGTTCAAGAGAGTGGTATCAGGTTGAGGACAGATTAAACTGGTCTCTTTTCCCCAAAAGTTGAGGCAGCAACAGCATATGCAAAAAAATTGTTTCGACTTCATTTGCAACATGCGTTTCTGGCGCTTGCATGATTGCTGATTATCAAAAAAAAAGTCATGACTTGCACCAGATGCAACAAGGAAGCAAAGTGAGCCATCCAACACGTGCGCAAACCAGCATGCGTCTGGCGCATATCCTGCTGCACCTTGTGAGTCCGACCAGGGTTCACGTCAAGAACAGGACTGGCACGCTAGCACAGCACCTTTCCCCAACATCAAGGGCACCTCCAGCCAGTTACGCATCACTCGCACCCTTCAAATTTGCACGTCCCAAACCGCAAAACGGCACTGACCAACCAGATGCCGATATGCATTGGAAACCGGTCCTAAAAGGTCCGCCACAAACAAAATCGACATGCCACCACCCCTGGACTGGTCGAAGCTAGGGCCTGGAGTTTCCATGATGATTGGTGCATGCAGTCATGGTGCTCCTTGTCCAAAGTTTCGTGGTGGACCGGTCTGGTCCCAGCATCCTGACTTTCTAAAGGGGGCTAAGGCCGGAAATGGGCCCTGAGGTGGGAAAAGCCCAGACGAGATTCACCGAGAAAAGCCAAGAAGGCACAAAGTTTGGGCTAGGAATTTCGCAGAGTCCCCCAGTGTTAGTTTTGGTGTGATTTGGATAGCTGGGCGATGACCAGTGGAGGTAAGATCAGAATGCGATTGAGCATGCCTGAGTATCTCGCCGTGTTTGCATGTATGGACTGAGCTGCCAAGGAGGTGCTCCTTTTGTTGTGTTGCCAGGATTCCGGATGGATTGGCATTGCAAATGGAGGCGCCGATACTGGACAACTACAGCAAATGCCAAATGACAGAGTAACCGCTCTTTGGAATGTAGGACAGTAGGAGGTTGGAAATCAGGAATCACGAGTGAGCTGCCTTGCTTTGACCACCTCGCAAGGGTAGCTTTATATCCGCATTTCTTTTGCTTGCGTCAATGGCATCATTGTCCTGCAGGTGAGAACATGGGTCAAAGCTCTTTGCTTATAATGCTTGCTGTGCCTCGTCAGATGTTGAGTGGAAGATGAGAAGACTGCACATTGTATGGGTCGTGCGATCTTGGGCCGTAGCAGCAGCTGGGATGTATGTTTATACAGATATGCTGTGATGCGTTGACTCGAGCGTCGCAGAGGGAAGTGCTTTGTCTTTTATTACGTCCAGCTTCGATCCTATCTGAGGTGGCATCGGGGATGAATCGATCCAGCTGGCTGATTTAGCCCAGAACGCCGCTGTTGAACGTCGGTGCAATATCGCTTCCTGCCGTGATTCCTGCCGGGAGGGAAGACCAGGATGGGGTGCATGAGCATCTCCTTCAGATCCTTTCCTCTTTTCCGTTTTTGTTTCGATTTGAGGGATGAGTTGCTGGGCTGGATGGCAGCTTGTGATACTCGAGACAAGACAGCCCGACGCCTCGACATCTCCACCCACAAAGCGCAAAAACTCCACGCCAGGGGGAGCCTGATTTGCTTGATTCGTTGGGTCAGAAGCCATAACATGGCTATTATTGGCAAATCTTCATTTCTTGGTATTCCAGCTCTCATCTCTCTCTCTCTTTCTTTCTCCCGCTTTCGTTCGCCGGTCGGAGAATCGTATTTTGTTTCTTGATGAGAGCTGGTGTCTGGTGTTCTCTTGCGACTTTATCATCGCCATTGTCCACGGCTCAGCCTCCGACAAGGCTATTTTCCATATTTCTGGTTGACGGTAGCTCCGAACCGAGAAATCAAGGGTGCTTCAGATTAATTTGGCGACGCGTCGTGGTCGAATCCAGGCGATTGTCCGATTGATGGTACACTAACAGCGTCCTTCGTGTGTCAAGAGTCGAATTCCCACCTCGATTTCGACTGTCAGACAGTTCCCAGTCCCAGTCATCCTCCCCCTGTTGCCCTTGACCTGCACTGAGTGCCCCGACGTGATCTGGCCTGGCCTGACCCGACCTGGCGACCCGAGCATCACCCCCAGACCACCGCAGTCTTGACTGAACCTTGACCCTGACCGACCACGACTTGCATCCCTCGCCATCATCTCTCTGCTCTTCAACCCCCGACATCATCTGCCCTTATTTGCTCGCATCCAAGATCGCTGGAGCTGTGGCTTCGAGGTACGTTGTTCATCGCACTGCTTGTCTTGCACAACACCACTCACTCTCCCTCTCTCCCTTTCTCTCATGCACACACACCCGCACACACCGCACACATCCCCCCGACCCTTGATTCCTGGTATTTTCCCCTTCTGTCACAATGCAGTAACACATCTATCTTTCATCGCTTCTTCAACCATTTTCCTCTACACATCTCTTATCCCTCTGTATATCTCAGATCATCGGCAACTCTTGACCATTCGCTACTCCATACACACGCTCTTTTGAATTTGAGTCGCCTGAACCTCCGCTCCTGCGATTCGCTGGTCGAGACTCACCACTTCCCCAATCCCCACAGAGCGCAGAATTTGGTCGTACCATTAGAGACCACCACGGCCCATTGATATTGACAGCCTGACCTTTTTGTCATCCAGCACCTTCTTGGTTTTCAGACTACAGCCCTCTCTGCCGTGTATCTCTAGGAACAACATTCATCCTTATTTTTCTCAGTTCAGGCACCTATTCTGAGCTTACTGCCTCCGACGGCCTCCGCCTGCCGACCACCTCGCTCTTCTTTTCCGTCGTCCTCCGTTCCTAACCTCAACCGCGTCGTTCGCATTGTCTCTGGGAAGCTGAGATCTGAACCAGGGGGCATTACGACATCTCTTCGCGAGTGTGTTCAATACCTGCGACCCGCGGCCTCTTCAGGAGGATCGCGTTACGCCTGATCAAGTCCTTCACGCAAGATATGAATAGCCAGCCATTCCAACCCGGTTTGCTGTATGACACGACGCTGAATCGCAACGTTTCCGGACCCATCACGACCGCTCATCTTTCCGTATCATCTTCGACCCTTCCGGCCGCCATGAATAAAATGCCGACCGATGTCTTTTCTCCGGTAGTGTCCCAGCCCACTGCGCTCTCTTCTGCGTTTCCTTACGCCCTCACTCCTATCGGTAAATCGCCTGCATTCGAACCACAGAACTCGAGTCTGAGCCGCATTCCGGATTCGGAAAGAGCACCGTCTGGAGTCAACAATGGGAATGTTACCCCTTCAAATAATGTCAGTGGTGGTCAGACTGCAATTCTGATGCGAAACCTCCCGAAAAATACCACTGACGAAACACTTCGATCCATGCTCGTGTTCGCAAAGGATCTTATCAGCGCGAGTCTCATTTCGAAACAAAACCCCGAGGATGGGACATTTGAGACTGCAGTCGCATTTTTCAAGTCACGTTCTGCTGCCGAGGAAGCGCGGGATATGTTAGATGGAAAACGAAATTTTACAGACGAAGCGGATATGGTCGTCGAGCTTCTTTCAGAACCTCCAGCCTTGCATAGGAGGAACACAATCGACCAAATTCCACGCTCAAACGTTCACAATCCGCTTTCGCAGGTTTCACCTCCAGGGTTAATGTCGCATTCTAGCCTCCTATCTAGATTCGATCAGGGAATGATATCAAATGGCGGCATCAGTCACAATGAATTTCAGTCACCCGATCAAGCGTCCAGGCTCCAGTCCCTATTTTCCGCCCAATCTCCGCTTGGTGATGGTCTGAACGGCCGCCCGCGCGTTAGCGGCAAATCAGTCATTGATCAAGAGGTGGATGAAGATACCGGAGAGCTTTTGAAAGATCCAATTGCATATGCCCGAAATGGACACTCCGGTTCTATGATGATGCCACGGCGGTCTACCAATCCTCCAATACCTCTTAACCACTTTGCAAACTTGAGCCTGTCAACCAACTTGACTTCTCCCTCTTTGCAATCTTTCGGTAGTGGAAGCTCCACGCGGCCTACGCCTTCTAGCGCAATGTCGCCCAACTTTCCCAACCTTGGCCAGAATAACGGGTATCACCACTCGCCGTTTCACCGGCTTAATTATCCTCCCGTGAACCCAGCCGACCAAAACCCACCGTGCAATACGCTGTATGTCGGCAATCTCCCGCCAGACACCTCTGAAGACGAACTCAAGGCTTTGTTTTCCAAGCAACGAGGGTATAAACGGATGATTTTCCGACAAAAGCCCAACGGACCAATATGCTTTGTCGAATTTGACGACATATCTTGGGCGACTAAGAGTCTCAAGGAGCTCTATGGCTACGAACTTTCGAATAGTATCAAGGGTGGTATTCGATTGAGTTTCTCGAAAAATCCTCTCGGGGTTCGAAATAGCCAAGCTGGGAATATGCACCCTGTCAGTCCCATGACTCCACACACAACTATGAACACAGTCAATGGGCCCGGATTAATCGGCACGCCTCGATTTTCGACAGCGAACGGACCGCCTCCTGGTTTGAGTGCGCCGCCAGGTTTACCGATGCCTCTGGGGATGGCAGTTAATGGTCTCCCATCTCCTCACCCGGTACTCAACAACTCCGCCACGAGCGGATTCGGTCCTAATGTCGGCCTTGGAATTGGGATCAACCCCATGGGAAACGGCATGGGTCGAATGAGACAACCACCCGTAAATGACCCGATACTTGTTAATCAGGCAACGGGACCTGCTCTCGGGGCGATGAGCGGTTCAGGATACCCTGATTATATGATGGGCCGTTAAATCTTTCAAAAATCACTTGTCTTTTATCGCAACTTTGCATGTATAACGGATATCGAAGCGTCTGGCGCAAGGAAAGCACTGGACTCTGCACTTTACACAATCATCACGCGGGGCCCACACGGCGGCATGATTCGTATTCACTTGGTCATAATATTTTGCCTTCCTGCGTCTTTTTTGGCTCAAGTCAAGCATTTTGCAAATCAGGTATCTTCGCTCGAAATTCTCTTGGTGTTTTCTCTTTTGGATAGCAACGAAAGCATAGGGATTCAGATGGACCGATTCTATTCTCATTACGAAACTTGTCAAGAAGGTCTATGCATATTCACTGGGCGCTTGTCTCGTTTCGTCTGGCAGTACCGGCATATGGGTTTCTCGATTCTAGGAACTGGAGCGCCTTGTTTCCTTTTACTTGCACTTCGTCTCCAAGGTCCACCGCCTTCCTCCATAGCCAGTCACAATCTCTGTCTTTCATCTGATTTGGTTTTCGTTGTTGTTTTGCACATTTTGATTTTCTTATGGCATTGTGATTTTTGATCATATCCCCAACCTGGTTTCTATTCACTGTTGCGAAACTCTTAAGGAGTTCAAGTTATTTTATGAAATTTTGATGTTTGGATTGTGTTTAATTTCCTTTGATATATGCACATATATCCCTTGTTTCGCTTGAACAAAAAGACCCATTCACAAGAAACAGTGCTGACGGTGTGCATCGGAATAATGTTGATTTTAGCATTTTGAACTTCCCGGCAAGAGGTAAAAAGGCGTGTGGATCAAACTGTGGCGGTGTTATCCCGTCACATTGTTTATTTATCTGTGAGGATTCCATGGATACCCCATCTACATCTCTGCTGTCGTTACCATTTTGGATTCTTTGCATTCTAGTTTATGATATGTCCCTGGTTTTTATCTTTGGGGTTTGCTGCATAACAATTCTTTCTGTTGGGCTGAAGTGCTGTTGTAGTTGCTAACTTGCTTGTTCACTGCCTTCTATTCATGTGCTTCACTTTTATCTATAGCTGAGTCTTTGGCTTTGTGGTTTTCAAGATTAACCTCTTGATGCGAGTGTTTTCTCTATCTTTTGCAAGCTTCCATAGCGACTTTTCTTTTTTCATTTTGAACTGCTGTTTCATTTTCAATAGGTGGAATGTCTTTTGGACAAGTCGCATCAGGAAGCTCCTCGGACTCACATACCTAAAAACAACAACAGAAGGGTGCTTGTCTTTGCAAATGAAAATGCATTATCTCTGGGAACACGGCAGGGCGCCTCGAAAGATGCTTTTTGACATTTAAGATACCTATGGCAAATTCTGGGAGGATCTCAGGCGTTGGTTACTCCTTTACATACCTTATGTTTCTCTAAGCGTTTGCTTTCTTCCTCTTCTTCGTCTTTCATTCAGACAAGATTGCCGCTGTTTACAGGCCGGTTCCCGTCCCATTCTGCAGCTTGCATTTTCGCGGGAACGAATAATTCGTACTCTCTGCTTGAGGTATTCTCGTGTCTTTCTTCCATGTATTTATAGCGGTAAATCCGTTGTATTGTTCCAATACCACTAGTCTCGAAAAAGCAAATCATGTGACTGTCCGAACTCAAAAAAAAATCAAAACCTCCAAACTCGAGCTTCACACAACCGACCATCTTGCTCATTGATGAAAGAGGAGGCCTGAGCCATTGGGATGCTAATACCTATCCATCATCTCACTTTTGGGCATCCGCTGGCTTCAGCTTTTATTCATTACCCATTTTCTTTTTCCTTTTCACAGTAATACCACCACAATGCCTCCGAGAATAGCCAATCCCCAACGTCTCTCATCCTCCCTCTCAGCACACATTTCCTCTGCCCGATCTTCACAACCACCTTTCTCTCCTGCCAGTATATCCTCATCGTCATCATCTCCCTTACCTTCGCTCCTCTCATCTTCCACATGCCCCTCATGCTCACAGTCCTACTCCCGCCAACCCCAACGCACATTCAGCTCCTCACCTGCGTCGTCAGTCACAAAATTGCGACAGCAAATGTTTGACTGGCTAAACGGTCCCGGGGCTGCTTTCAGGGATCCTCTACCCGGTAGCACAAACTACCTAACCGCCTATGACAAACACGGCAGGCTCATTCGGGCTCCTGATGAGAAGTCCCCGTCAAATGCAGAGGGCAAAGGCAACGAGCCGTCGCTCGAACCGAGTGATGGCTTGTTGCCGCGGGAGTCCACGTCGGATTTACGACCGTTCCCTCTTAATCCGCATTTTGTCAGTCAGAGCGTGCTGAGCGAGGAATTGCGGAATGAGATTTATAACCAGATCAAAATAAAGGGGAAGAGCGTGCGAGCTGTGAGTGTCTTGTTTGGTGTGGATATGAAACGAGTGGCGGCGGTTGTGAGATTGGTGGAATTGGAGAAGAATATGATTCGAGAGGTATGTCTCACAGCTTTCCCTCTATCTTTTTCTATTCACACGTCTGTCCTGGAAAGCCGTGCACTTCAATGATGAGCAAAACTCGATTAGTCTTTATGACTCCCTCTATTCCCAGAAGGAGAATGCTTACTAAATAAAATTACAACTCTCTGACCCTTGAACTATATTCACTATCATTTCGCCTTTCAAATCTTGCGTTGATCGTCAACTGACAACTGTATAGAAAAAACCTTTAGCTCTACCCTATGCTCGTGCTGTACATCAGATGGTTCCCACAACACCATTAGTTAAAGCACCCCAAGCACCAGTAGCCCATGAACCAATCAACGATCTCCCTGTTCACCGCCTCACAGAACCACAAATTTTCTATCCCGTTTCGGAATCTCGCCAGTTCACTCGAGTAGATGCCGGCAGAGTTTTCTCCGCAGCCCCGGCTTTGCCACGAGATAAAGAAGGAAAACCATTCAACACACCAGAAGCCATTGCCGAAGTAACAAGGCACCCCCATCAGATTGAACGCGTCGGAAAAGGTGTTGATGAAGAGCAAGTTCTCCAACCAGCGGATGTCCGCATTCCGCATCCACATCTTGTAGCCTTCCAACACGACCACATTACACTCAGCGGCGAAGCCAAGCTACGAAACCAAAGATTCATTGAACGCCTTGAGGCTGAGGAAGCCGCTGAAAATAAAGCCAAGGAGGCTAAAAAGAAAAAGCAAGAGGCATCGATGCATCGCGTTGCCCCTGTTGAGAGCCGATTCGAGTTCCGATTCCGCGACGTCGTGGTTAGCCGTGTGACGACTGGTACGAACGGTCGTGGATTGGAAGCGCCAGGCCGGAGATATGGTGTACCCAGCTCTGAGAGAAAGCGAGGCACTGTCAAAATTCCGACGAAGGTGGAGAACCAACGATCGGGCTGCGAACTGCCTCGAAACATGCCAAGAGTAGTGAATGAACTACTCTTGTACGAGGAGCGAAGGTACTCCGTACTTCTATCAACAACGAACATGGCGGACCATTCTCCGGACCCTTGATACCAGCCTACGCAAACTGTATTCTTGATGTGGAGTGCGTCAGGTCGACTCAGCTGAA